GTTCGTTTTGCACACAAGGAGGAAATGGAACACAATTTCTACAACATTTGGATATTATACTACAGTTACGTATTGCAACAACACACATACTTTCACACACGGCCCGTGCACGATGGCACTGAACTCTACCAGAGAAAGAGAACCTTGCCAAAAAAGATGGACTATATGCACTGAAATATCTAGGCCCCCCTATACATACTTGGTCATATATTTATATCTGGATTATACAGGCAGGAGGAAGATAGACATTGTTGTTGCGTGTATACGGTATGAAAATTTTGTTTGTAATCCCTCCCTCTAATTTCCCAATGGATCAAATTTTTTGAAAAGTAAAAGTTTAGAAATTTTAAACGTGAAAGTTTATCAATAATTTCCCAGGGGCTGTAGAAAGGAATGTAAAAGTCCGTGTTGTTTCCATACTGCAATTTGAAGAAGAGAAAGTAGGATCGATGCAGGCTCATTCATAAGACAAGAGTAAAGTGCATACGTTATGACTGATGTGACGACGACCGACCAACCGATGCTTATTATTAACCAATCCAACCCAAATAACCATCACAGACTTATTTAGTGGTGGTATTGACTTTCCTTTGTGCTTGTTCGGCTATTAAATGTACACACAGGCAGCCACATTTCTTTGCCATTTTGTTGGGAATATTATTACAAAGGGTTTTTGAAGAGGGAGAAAGACGAGAATAGAATCTCATGGAGAGGACCAAACAGGGTGGTAGTCAAGTCAAGGTCCGAATGCGAACGACACACACAGAACGGACAAGCAAGTACATGAGTAAGTAAAGATATCGGGAAAATGTAAGCTGTCTTTTTTTATTTAAGTAGCTGTCAAAGATTGTTGTGTGTTTGTGTTGGCGTGTGAAGGAGTGGTCTGGTGAAAGTAAATGGGGGAAAGTTTCTCCTCCTCTCTTTTGGCATGGAGCTCGCTATTTTTAGTGAGCGACAATTTTGTTATATATTAAAAATTCTTTTATACGACTTATTTGATCCTTTCTTCACCAGGTCAATCCTAAATATTTACTTGCTGCTGGTGAAAGCTTATACGAAATTCTGCTGAATGATGATTGCATTTTGGGTTGGATAATGTTAACATTCAGTGAAACAGTTAAAGGAATCCAGTCTAAGTAAGGGCTTGACTTTTGGCCCAAACTCCAAAACAAAAGTGGACAAATAAGTGAGAAGTGAAACACAAGAGAAAAGACCCAAATCCCAAAATTTATTTCAGAGATTTCCTCCCTTTGTCGTCCTTGCTCTGTTGTTGACAACATGAATGGACTCTTCAACTTGAGGAACTGTACATATAGGCAGAAGGAGAGAGAGAGAGAGAAAGTAGCCTAAATACATACTCCGTCCGTATACATACATATTTATATAGCGAGTAGTACAGACAAAACAACAGCCAAACTGCTCACAAAATGCCCAAGCTCAGAAGAAAGAGAAAATGTCATATTTAAAGATAGATGCGAAAAGAATCCACGAAAATAAAAATGTCAAGAAGTTTTTTTTTATTTAGAAAAAAAACAACGTTTAAGGGGCAGACTTTTGCAATGAAATTTTGTATTATTAAGGAGAAACCTATATTAGTGGGAAAATGTAATTTATCTACAACCGGAAAACATGACAAAGTGCTTATTTGTCGTTGATCGGACAAAAAGACACAACACAGAGGCCAAGCATGTTATTATGAATGAGCATATGAATTTCAACAAAGGATCTGGCTGCCTGCGTGTTCATATCTTTTATCAGAACGTGACATTTCTTAAATGTCTAGCGATGTCGTTCTAAAAGACATTCGAGACTTATATACATAATCATAACAGCAAGGTTCCTCCTACTCAAAGCTGTACTTTCCCCATCAGTCACACTAGTGCAGATACGTACGTATTCTCATAAGTAATCATGATATCATCACGAATAAGTCCACCTACTCTATAATACATGTGCACGTATGTACATGTATATGCAGATACATACATACGCCTATCTTTTAGCATCGTTGAAATGTACTGTATATTTATTATTAGATGTCAGCAAAGCAGCAGTTTCACTCCTCCATTATGAAAAGGGACTATTATACTATTTGTTAAGGCTGACAGTGACAGTGACGTCGATTACCAGGAGGGGAAATCCACAAATTTCAAAAATCATCACGCCATAAAATATTTATATACAAAAAATTCTCAAAAAAATGTTCCCCCATATTTAATAGCGTATCCACGTATCCGCACAAAATCCATGTAGTTTCCACACTCCACAGTTTTTGGGGCAAGCATATTCAGAGTGATCAGTCGGTCGTCGGTGTCATGTCCCCACCGCTGTCATTCATAATATTAATGAATGGTAGGCAAAGTCAAACCCGACTAAAGCCAAGACGTGGTGGTGCGAAGAGAGACGAGGGCAATGGGCCGTGTCACATTCATTCAGCTAATTCAGCATTGAAAACACCCAGAGAATACTTTCTCCCAAACCAAAACCATGAATCATTTATGTATTTGCTCGCATTCAGCCGTATTGTATCCCACCCGTCCAGGCACACATTGGGCATAATAAGGCATGCATATTCCCGTCGTCGAGGGTGATTGACGCGTAGAAAAGGAAAGAACATGACAGCTCCATCCTGCATTCAGCGACTTGTTTGGGAGTAAAATTAAATTGAATGCGCAAGTTTAAGTACTAGATACATATTTATTTGTATGAACTGACACTTTGTCCGTGATTGGAAACAGCTGTCATTTGCACTTTCTCAACAACAACATCACAACCAACAATTATACTAAATTGTTTCATTCCACGCTTTTTTAACCATGTCCAACAGAAATAAATGCATGCAACAAATGTGACAGCAATCTACATAGTTTGTACAAATTACTGCCCGGCCGTATGTGTTTAGCAGGAGCAGGAAAATAAACTGATTCATTATTCGAATGTGTGTGTGTGGTGAAAGCAGAGAGGCAACTTTTAATGAGGGACGAGCAGAGAGTGGACTGACTGCTGTGATCCGAATTTGAGAAGGAAATGGTTCGAAATGAAATGAAAATAGTGGGAAATGAGATCCGGTCAGTTGTTTTGGTGGAGAGAAAGAGAGTGACCAGAGCACAATTGGTCCTAGTTAGTAAATTGCCTGCGGAGATTTCCTGTTTAAAGATTTACCTTGGATTCGCTATCTCTCTCTCTCGTTTTCCTATTTCTCCTCTTGCCTCATCCTCCACATGCACGACCACCGCACAGCTTTACATTACAGCGACAAAAGAGAGAGTGAAAGTAGAGATCCTGCAACAATGCATGTGGTGTATTTGCTGGCAAGGGTTAAAACATGATGAGAAATACAAAGAGTGAAATTTGAGTGGCTAAGTGAACGATTTAATTTTTCATCGTAGCAATTTCTGTGATCTTTCATTCCAAATTGCGTTGAAACTTCCAAATCGTACTTGACGTTGAAATACTGACAAAGTTGTGAATATAATGTGTACACGTATATTCCTTCCGGAGATCATCTGAAATTCATTTAATGCATGAGACGCTCCGTATCAGTGGTGGTTGCGGAGTGCGTAGATTGTGACGTTGGTGGTGATTGATCCAATTCAGTAGGAAGGACTTTTTGTGGTGGTCATGACCAGATTGGTCAAATTCTCCGAATAAGGAAAATCGGTGAGATACACACATGTAGTATTGTACAAATATATATGTACGTACGTACTGCATAGTAAAATCCATCTCCACTCCCGTGTTTTGCGGTTTTTATACTTTCTCCACTAATGTATATATACATATACAAACTTGTATATATGTATACTGTGCTGTATCGTATCGTATTTGGGTTCCTCTCATTGAATTCTCTTCAAACAAACCCACTCAATAAATAAATAAAAGCCTCATTTTTCTTCCGATTCACCCCATGAATTTATTATCTCACCGATTTATCTTGCCCCATCCTGGAAAAAATGCAGCTTTCACTAGCTCATGATTCAATTCTCACAGCTTGGCTTGCAAACAACAGCTTGCTCCATCCAATATCCACCCACTCTTATCCTCTAGAACAAGTATACACGTAACAAATATGTACATATGCTGACTGAGATTGGGTAAAAAGCAGAGATAATACAAAGTTTCAACTCTAGAGACAGAGAGATAGAGAGAAACTGAGAGAGAGAAAAAAGAGTGTGCTAATGGCAGAATATTATAATGTGCGTGCAAATATCTGTATAATGGTGCTAGCTGGTGAACTTTCTTTCTATAAATTTTATCTCCCCACTAATTTAGGGCACCGGAAAGGAATGAAGAAAAAGAGGGGAAAGTATAAAATTGGTCTATAATTTGTTGGAGATTTGGCAAGATGAGCGGAGCGGAGGGAGGGAGAAAGGGAAGGAATTTTTTATTATATTCGTTTCCCCAAGATAAAGATGAGTATCGCATTGTGTTGCGGTGGGCGATGTGGTGGGTGGTTGGTTGGTTGGTGGGATAATGATGAAATTGGGATTGGGAGTGGAAATAAAGCCCTTGGGAGGACCAATTGGGAGGAGTGGTCCTTCTTTGTTCCCTGTTAGCCTTTGCTGCCTTGTGGTGGTGGACTTGGCCAATTTTACGCTTAAATGACTCCATCCTTCTATTAAATCCACTACTTCTCCTCTTCAACAACCCATCTACCAAACGCATCTCGGGAAACCAGGGTGAAACACTATACGTACGTACGTACGGACATACACATCAGACAGATAGACGTGTAGGTACAAAGATGCATAGCGTCCTCTTGAGATCAAAGAGGGGTCAACCGCTTTGTTGAACCGTTGTGGTAGACACTATTATTTTATATGATCACAAAATTTATAGAAAACAAAAAAAAAATCAATTTCATCAGAAAAACTCGATATTTTCATCAACTGTGTGAAACGCGTATGCAAAATTTGGTTTGCATGATTCTCGAATGAACAACTGAGCTAAAATTTAAAGTTGTAATAAATTAAGGAAATCCTATTAGGATTACTGCTTACCGTTCCCTTCTCCCCGCTGTCACCCCTACGCACGGAGTTCCCACAACTGATTACGAAAATGAGGGCTTTCTCTTTGTGTAAATTCATCAAACTTTCACCAGCTTTTGATGACACGTCTCTCTGTATAATTCTATTCCGCCAGAAAACCGCCACCGTTAATAGGAACAATTTATTAGCAAACTTTCACCACCAATGTGAGTAAAAATCTTTTTTGGTAAATACCGACAACAATGAGATTATATCACGAGTATAAACTAGCAATTGTTGATTTTTTTATTACTTTATGAATTTCCGCTAGTTTTTCTTCTAACTTTTAACTGAGCACAATTCACAGAGTTGGTTTGTTCAGAGTTTTTTTTACTTTACTTTTTCCGAAGGAGAGTGTGGTCCGAAAAAGTATGTGGTAGTGGTGGTACACAAGAATGTTTGAGTCGTCGGTGGTAGGTTGTCGTCGTCGGTGGGCTGGCTGGTGAAGTGGGTGTTGTGTCGTGTGATTTTTGTCCATAGGCCAACTATTGCGGTGGCAGGAGCTGGAGTAGACTGAAGAGTTTGTGATTTTTATTGACGAGGATCCTGCCTGAGAGCCAGCACTGAACGTGGAGAAAGTCGGGGTGTGTCGGTCGGTGGTGGACGAGTCGGAGCAGAGCGACTAAGGCTGAATATAATATAACGGAGCTGAGAAAACTGAGCCTTAGCAGCCTTAGGAGGGGAGCTTGCGAGGTTGATAATAACAGATCCTGATGCCCTTTGGATATGTGGTAGGGTCCTATGAGTGTACTAAAACCCTGAAGTGGTTTAACTCCATGGCCACATTTGCGCCCGCCACACCCACTCAAAAATACCCAAAAAACGCTTTCACTCCAGTTTTCACTCACTCAAAACCTCGCCAAAAATCCAATTTTACTCGGATTTTGAAATTTCTTTCACCATTACACTCCCAGATAGTTGCTTTCTTCAATCCAATATCAAACTCAATTTTGCTGATGATTATTTCGCAGGGATAATTTGCGTTGTTGATTACTACAACAATGCTCATTCAGAATTTTAAATTTTAAAAATACTAAAAATTTCGAAAATATTGAGTTTGATATTGGATTGAAGAAAGCAACTATCTGGGAGTGTAATGATGTAAGAAATTTCAAAATCCGAGTAAAATTGGATTTTTGACGTGGATTTGAGTGAGTGAAAACTGGAGTGGAAGCGTTTTTTGGGCATTTTTGAGTGGGTGTGGCGGGCGCAAATGTGGCCATGGAGTCAAACCACTTCAGGGTTTTAGTACACTCATGGGACCCTACCACATATCCAAAGGGCATCAGGATCTGTTATTATCAACCTCGCAAGCTCCCCTCCTTAGTCGGAGCAGGAATACCCGCACCCACCAACATGTGCACTTTCTCCGGCTGATAATCGCAATCCGTCCGCTTTCTCAACTGGACACTCTTTTGGATTAAGGACTCGACCGATTTATTCATTTGCATCACATCACATAGCGTCCATTTGTACGTATCTTGTATGTATCAAACTGAATTATGTCACATGTTGCACTGAATCTTCTTGAAGTCGTGTAAGAAAGAAAAATTTGGAAAGTAGCTTTTCACCAAATATGCTTTCACTTTTAAGCGATGTAACATAATGGATTTATTTATGTAGAAATTGGCAAAAAAAGACACGATGATGATGACACATGATCACATTAGGATGACAGAAAATGAAATGAACAAATCGTAAGGTAAAAAAAATAGTGTAGGATGAATACAATTTTGTTACTGTTAAATCACAACTTTTCGTGTTGTGGATTAAAATGAAAATTATACGTTTATTGCAACATCCGGCATGTCAAAGTCATTCAAAAACCCGCTGTAAAAATCCGAATTCCGCAAAAGAAACCGGCGAAAATGCAGTGCCGTATAAATGTGCTTACAAAACTACTTACCGGTGCGGTGATTCTGCTCTCGTAATTATGGATTTTCCGGGTATGAGAGTAAAAGTCAAAATACGACACTCATCATGTCTGTCTCTTCAACCCGGCTCAACTAGATTGGTGATCTCTACGTGTGAAATGTGCAATGGGCTTAATGTTTAAGGCTGAAAAGAAGACTGGTCCAAAATTATTACTATTTTGTACTATGCGTATTTCAATCTGAAGCATAACGTTTTTGTATTTAAAGCGAAATAAACTGGAGTTTTGTTCGCAATATTTACGGGAATAATTATCAGTAGTCGATTACTTATGTACACCCTCTAAATTACTGGGTCATAGATGATGGACAATTATTTCAACTAGTTATTTAAGAAATATTTTTCATTTTTATTATCTGATTAAATATAGAAAATTATAGGAAACGTTGAATAATGATACATTATATGGGCTGCAATTATTTATTGAAATTACCAACGTGGACAAAAAGTTACATATAAACATATAAAACATGACAAAAATTATATAAATTACTACCTTAAGTCTAACTTGACGAGTACATAGATAATTTTAGGTTATTGCACATATGTATTTATGTAAAATCAATACTTGGAAGTATTACAAGATCAGTAATAATGACTATACAATATTGTAATAATCGTATAACTTTGGCAGTGATCGATACATGAGGTGAGCTGGGTGTAAGTACATATGTAAATGGTTAGTGGATTAATTAATGGCAGTATTTTATGTATATTTGTATATCTAGTGTACATAGAAAAACAAACAAAAACACATAATATAAAAAACTTTGAACAAACAACTTTCACAAGTGGAAGAACAGTAAGTAATAAATAAGAAGAAGATAAATACAAATATTAAGAATACAGAATAATGCAATCAATAAATCAATACACACACGCAAGTAAGTAAGACATTATCAAATTTAGTAAACCTCTTATCTAAAACAAACAGGCCCCACTTCAAATCCAAACGCTTGGTCTTCTGCTCCATAATCTAATGGAAGGAAATCTACTACTGGCAGTTGATTCGATTTTTTAGTTTTTATATCAAATATTGTTTTCCCTTCACCAACTCCGGTCTGTAAACATTAATAAACATGTTCATATATATAACATACATGCAATTTAAATAGTTGTTTGTATCTGTATATCCGAATATTGTGTATGTATACCTTGCATCCATCTCTGGCAACAATTGGCTTCATAGGCATATAATACCCGAATTCTTGATCATTATAGCCGAGGAATTTAATTGATGAGTTATAACTTTGGGCTCGTCCGTCAAACCAAGCCACCGAATTCATGCAGTGATATGTAAAGTTTTGAGAAGCTTGAGAATGTCTGTAATTAAAACATTAAGGTGATAATGCAAGGTTTCGAATAGTTGTTTGAATGGATAAATAGATAAATCTACACTTACAAGAGTCTCAAGAAAGTCATTTGAACTGGACCAATACCTTCATATGATATCTAAATGAAATGAAAATGAGACAAAATATATGCTCAGCGTATCTATGTATCTACTGACAAGAGGAGGAAAAAATCAACATGTTGAACGAGCAAAGTGAATATTTATACCTTGAAACCTTGACGGAAAGAGCTGAACCATACTTCACGTTTTTTGCTCTCTGGAGTTTTCTCCCATGGAATATGTGGCATCCTGGTTGATTGTACATCGGGGAATATACATGTTTCTCCAGAATTTGTGAGGTTGCAGAATACAAAGACAGCATCATCAGGCATTCCCAAATTTGGATCAATCCAGTACCAATCTGGAGGATGAAGCAAGAATCGTAGATATGTATGTACACAACGTGGGTAGTAGATTACACGTGTCAAATAAACCTTACTTACCGTCTTTAAAGTGAGGGTGTCCATAAAATAAATCTCTACACGTCCTGACAGGATTTTCTCGGGTTCCTAAAGGCTTCTTTACCCGTTCCAATTCGACACGCATGTCGTAAATATCATTATAAATATCAGCTAATTTAGCAGTCAATTCCGCATCATCATCCAATGATCCTAGTTTCGTGTTCTTTTTATTAATATTCTTATTTTTATCATTATCATTATTAGTTCCTCCAGTAGCACTCGAAGCTTCTGCGTCTCGTTTTCGTCGCCCGGCTGCTTTGGGCGCAGTACTTTCTCGGCCAGACCCAAATAGTAATTCTGGTGGTAACAGAGGAAGTTCACCGGGAGGACCAGCGGACCCTGGAAGTCCTACTGGTCCGATTTCTCCCTTTGTTAATAAATATAAGTAATCAGATAATATGCAATATGCATAAATAAAATTTGAACTCGTCAGACTAAAAACTTTGTCTTCCGAATTATAAATTGAATTACCTTTAAACCAGCAGGTCCCTCAACTCCCTGATTAATAGTAAAATTAAGCATACAATTGTAACTCGGTTTAAAATTTAAAAAAACTACTAATGTATGTACCTTGGGTCCTGAGTTTCCAGGTGGTCCGGGGGCCTAAAGAGACATTGATTACAAAGTGGATCTTAATTGAGAATAATTTCTGTACTCTCCGCCCAAAATCTATATGTACATATGCCCTCTGACGCCGTAGTTATTGCAGTTTGAATTAAAAAACCACAGCACAGTGGGAGGAGTCTGATGATGTCAGAGACGCGCATAGATTTTGTTAGGGGAGGATATTATAGAGTATTACTCCAATTCCTCCGTCAGAACCCTTTTGTCCAGCAGGTCCAGTGCCTCCCATATCACCCTTTCTTCCCTCAGGTCCTTTTAAGGGATGATAATAAACAATTAAAGATTTGAATGCAGAAGTTGTCATATCAGGCAATATAATTACAATATTTTTCATGTTTTAGTGCCATTTTATAGCGTTGCATTAACATTAAAACTTACTAACCTTTTGGCCCAACAGAACCCTTGTCTCCCTTTTCTCCTTGTTCGCCCTTTATCCCAGTTTGTCCGATTTGTCCAGGGTGTCCCTTTGCACCACGACGGCCTCGATCTCCTACGACGGAATGTGTGATTGAAGTGGTGAAAATCTCTGTATAAAAGAGTTCTAGACGTTACCTTTCATCCCTTTTGGGCCAGAATCACCAGCTTTCCCAGGGCTCCCACTAACCCCAGGCGGTCCAGGGGGGCCGACGTCTCCCTGACATAAAGTATGAGAGTATAAAAGCTAGATAAAAAATTATGTGTGTCCTTAAATTAACAGTAGGAACCTTACAGCAGCCCCACCAGATCCACGCAAGCCTGGTGCCCCGATTGATCCTGGATTTCCCTGTGGTCCGAGTGGGCCTATGATGGGTGAAGTATTACAACAATTTTATATACACTGCGACACAGAACATGTTGGACATGTTGTTTTCGGTCATTTTCTTTCAAAATTTTCATTAGTTATGCAAGGATTCTCAGACATGAATATTAGAAATTGCAAATAAATAAGGGAAAAAGTAAAACTTCAAAATAGAGAATAGTTGGTGAAAGGATGTGATGAATGCGACAATGATGTGAAAAATTTGAATCTCTACCACAAAGTTTGCTTACCCTGTGGTCCTGTTTGTCCAATTGATCCCTTTTCTCCTTTTTCACCAGGCAAACCGACACTCCCTTGAGCTCCAGCAGGTCCTATTGAACATTCAATATAAATAAGTATGCATATTGTAAAGTATTGATGGCGTAATTGGATTGTCTCAAGAACAGCTAACTGCTGGTATGTATCCGTCATATATGCATATATCGGACTTTAGGTAACACGTCTAATTGAAACAAGATAATTTTATACCTTCAGCGCCCGGTTTTCCAACGGATCCCCCCAAACCAGGTTTTCCAGGCGGCCCTGGAAATGAAAAATTATGATAAAGCTACTACCCTTGCACTATAAAATTGGATACAACATTCTCTGACTACCTTCAGGTCCCGCAGGGCCAATTTCTCCCTTTTTTCCATCGTCGCCATCCTTGCCTGTAGACATATTTGAATTTGTAAAAACATAATTAAACAATCAATTAATTAATGATTTTAGTTAATTTTTAATGCTTCGTTTAATTGAGTGAATTTGGTCGTATTAATTGCTAATCAATTTACATACTAACAACTATTTAACGATTGACTCATGTAAACTTGAATAGCCGATGCTTATTTCATAAGGCTCATTCCATGCGTTAAAACCTTGCGTGCTTAATTTAACTTTCATGCCCTTTAATACCAGAAGTTTCGGTATATGGCATGTCAATTATACAAATGTCCATACAAGGAGAAATCAGTCTGTAATTGTTAATTATTGATTAATTATTAAACAAGTGCTACTTGCCTGGTTCTCCCCTTATTCCTGGAGTGCCGCTTTCACCGATTGGACCTGGAAACCCAGTTGCACCAGGGCTACCTAAATTTAATAGAGACAGAGAAAGCATTTTACATTGAAATCCTTATTATTATTAAATTTACATATAATTTACATGCTGTTAAATTTTTTTTGGGCTTTTCAAGCTGCCCAATATCATTTGACTCATAGCCTATTCATAACTTGTCTAATTTTAGCATCTGAGTAGAGTTATCTTTGACATAAAGTTATCCTTAGAAGAAATAAATTAGTATCAGACACGTGTGTGCATTACCTTTGGGACCTTCTCCTCCCATTGGACCCCTTAATCCTGGAGCACCACTTCTCCCTTGCTTTCCTTCTTCACCCTTTGTGGATAATATTTAGTATTAAATTATCCGTGATTAATCATTTTTCTTGGATACCTTTGGTCCAGCGGGTCCTCTGCACGAACACAAACAAATATATTAATCACATATCGCTTCTATTATGTTGGCAGTGTAAATTAATAAGCTATCGTAGTACAGATAGTATATATCTGCTAAAAGCCAATATTTAATTCCATGATACTAACCTCTCTCCGTGAAGACCATCTTTTCCTCCAGGTCCAGGAGCTCCTGGTTGGCCATCTTCTCCCTTTAAACATACTTGGTCTATAATCTGACTTCTTTATCATGTAGAAGATGTACGCATATTTTATTTACCTTTGCTCCTTGGGGTCCTTCAGGTCCCTGAATACATGCACAAAAACCTAAAATTTATCTCCACTGTCCGGTATCAGTTTTTATTAGTCTGCTTACCACTGGTCCTTGAAGACCTTCGCCACCCTAAAAATAATGAAAACAAAGTTTGATGAGAGATTAAAAGTTGTTTATTTAGTCCTATGCATATTTTAATGAGTAACTTCGGGACCCATTCATCGCAATATAAGATTTCCCCTAATATGTGTGTGGAAATATATTTGTTTCATTCTATTTCCTTTATCCTTGCCTTTGAAAAAATAAAGTTTTTTTTGCGTCCGTTTGATTAATTTGTAATTATCATTGATTCATGTATGCCACAGATTATTTTCGTAAAAGCTATAATACATAAATAGAAGTCATACCTTTGTCCCTGGCGGTCCGGTTTCTCCTTGTGCACCGTTTGGACCCGGAGGACCTTCATTTTAAACAAAACGTGATCAAATTTAGTTTTCAACAAAGACCACTCGTATTGTTGCGGAATGTGTAGTTATTTCTACCTTTGGGGCCCGGATCGCCATGCTCTCCCTTAACTCCACTTGGTCCAGGTAGTCCTACAAATTACAAATGATAAGTATAGCCTTGGTAAAATATGTCATATTTTAGCATTTCATGAGTTTACAAAAATAATTAAATAATCTCTTGAAACTTATTAACGTTCATAACGGGTTCGTCGCGTATGCTCGCATTGTAACATATTTTTCAAACTTTGCAAATTATTTTACTAACTTTAAGGTGACGATTGTTCTGATTTGCACGCAGGATATAAATATGCAATTTTGCATATTTTAAATATTTAATCCCCCAAGTGTTAAAATCTTGGGTTGTATTATTTGTGTTATCAGATTTAATTCAACAAACCTTGCAATCCAACGGGTCCTGGTGGCCCCTGAAATACGACGTTAATTTAGATACATTTTTAAAAATATTTGATTGTTTGACGTATAAAAGGTGCTTTGTTAATATTGGAGAAGATTTTGCGCATCATTCCTTTGATGCATGGCATTTTTCTGGCTCATATATGTGTTTTGTACATACATACATACTTTAAGTTTCGAGAATGGCAAAATATTTATATTTGCGAAAATGTACATTCAGCAACAAATACGTAAAAGATTTTTTTTCAAATCCTATCCTGGAAAACCTGACTACTTTTCTCTAAACTTATTATACAAAACACATTGAGCATATCGCGTTCACAAACTCATGGTCAAAGATCAATGTCATCTCACTTTTCCAAAACTAACCCTCAGCTTCAAATCGTTTATACTGTACCTGGACACCACCAGGACCTTTCTCGCCCTTTACACCTCTTGCCCCGCTGTAAAACAATATTAAACAACCAATCCAAATTTACAGTTTCACGTAATAATTAACGCATTTATATTAGATTAATGACTTTCGATGAACAATTTTGTTACGATTGTATGAATATTTGTAGGCAAAGACTAAGACTTCGTTTAAGACATGCAACCAAAGAAAATATGTATTGGTCATTGGTCCAATTCAACGGCTTACAGCATGTAAATACATAGCTTCAGCCGACCAAGCCAATTAAATCTCTAACTGAACGAAAAATATTTCGGTCGCCTTGCATATATTACATGCTGCAGAATCGTGCCCGGAATTAATGACCAATACTTGGTTCTTGCGAGTGGAAGTATATCCCGAATAAATTGTACAAACAATGAAAGCAAACTAATTTCAAAATGATATCAACGAGTATGCACATATTTGACTTGAACCTTTTGTCTTAAAAGTACTGTTACCTCTGTCCTGGAGGCCCTTTATCGCCAGGCAGACCCACTAATCCAGGTTCACCCCTTGAACCCTGTGACCCGATTCCTCCTTGAGGTCCCTAACAAACATCACAAAGGGTTTTATGAAATAATTGGGAGAATTTCCATATATTGCAAACGAATAGGAGACTTGCTATGACTTAAATGGCTATTTTGGACAGACAATAGTAAAACTGTTTTCACTCACCGCCTCCCCTTTTGTCCCTTTGTATCCCTTTTCGCCAGGTGGTCCAACGTCACCCTTGTCGCCATCTGTTATTCTTCAATTAAACTTGCGGCAGGTAAAAATAATGTTATTTAAGGCTGTGGTGCATTTCAAACGTAATGAAATAATGACTAAATGTTTAATGATTGCAAGAATAATGTTTGGGTCTTCAAATAATGCAGCTTGCACTAGTCGTCACATTATACTATGATTTTACAATTTTTTCAGCTACTTTGTGCACTTTACATATAAAAAGCACTAGTGTTGGAAATTCTTAAAACACTCAAATATGCATGACCATGACATAGCTAATCGTAAGTTATGTACCAACGCTGAGAAGTACCACAACCTTAAGACCCTAAATTAATTTCACCTTCCCCAGGGGGTCCAATTGGTCCTGCAAATAATAGTTTAAATTAGTTTGGATAATATGTGCAGATGAGAAAGGAACTAGCGTCATAGTATTTTTTCTTACCAGCAGGTCCTGCCAAACCTCTGGCCCCCACTTGTCCGTCGGAACCCCCGACTCCTGGCAATCCGCCTTCTCCTCTTTCTCCTTTGGCTCCAGAAGCTCCAATGGGACCAGGCAAGCCGATCTGTGGGATTAAGATAGATTAAGGGTTAATACTTTATTTATTTTATATACTGCATTCGAATGTGTATTGAGTTTTGTGCGGAAGAAATTGTGTATCTCTGTAATAGGCTGGATTATGCAAGTTGCATAACCAACTCAAGGTACATACATCTTGATATGGAGACCAAAGTTTAAGTACCTATTCCTCCACTTGCATAAGTTAGTTTTGTCGCTTATATCTCTAATTCTCGAACCGCAATCTAAATAATTTCTACTTACCCGTCCTTCCCCTCCAGGGGGTCCCTCCTTTCCAGATTCACCTTGTTGTCCCTTATCACCAACTTGAATAATAAATGAATTTTATATAAATTATGCTTTTCATGTGGAAATATATCTGATTTATGCGGAGGATCCTAAATAATCTCTTGAATTTAACAAGTTTTCGATGTTTTGTCCATGTGTATATGTAATCAGCATGATAAACAAAGTTATCGAAATTAGTATTGCAATATATTATATCCTAACCTGGACCCATTACTCCTTGCGCCCCTTGTTCTCCTTTAAGCCCAGGAATTCCCTAGAAAAATTTCACAGTAATACGATGTTAACCCGACAAAATTATTTGGCGTTGTGATTGCTTCTCAGATAATCGAATCGAAATAAGAGCTACATGTTAGTACAATAATGTTAAAGTGTTACACACCGGAATCCCTGGTAAGCCCCTTTCACCTGGAAATCCTCCCAAGCCAGGAGGTCCAACGCTTCCAGGTTTACCTACAATTAATCAAGACGAGATCACGCAGACGCAAACTATTGTTTGTTATTTTTATTGTGGCAAAAGGGATGGATATAATGAAAGACTTCAAATACTTCAAATTATTACAGCCACCATATGCATACCTGCGGCACCGGCGGGCCCCATTTGACCTTCTTTTCCTTGTTCTCCATTTCTCCCACTATCTCCAGGCAATCCAGGGCCTAATAATTACAAAATCAGTTATATTCCAAACGTATTCCAAACGTATGTATTGTACTAACAATGAGATTAATTTGGAAATTACAAAAATTTCGAGTAATTGTGAAACCTTATTTTTAACCTCGCAGTCCTACATTACTATGCACTTTTACTGAAAAGCAAAAGTGTACACACCTGTCATTTGTACACTGAATGTAAGCAAAAACAGATATACCCTTTATGGACATTCAATTAATCTCCAAATCAACCCCAATTTGTGCCATTGATCAACCGTTTAAATATTTTTACCCCCTGGTTCTCCATGCAGTCCAATTGGTCCAGGTTCACCAATTTGTCCTGGTGGTCCAACGACTCCTGGATTTCCCACTGGCCCCTTTTGGCCAGGCCCACCCTAAAAAATCAAATCACTTGGTTTAATGCACAAGCACAAAAAAAAGATAACATGACAGATTTAAGGCGTCATATCATATTTCAACTTCTCCTATATGTTTACTCGTTTCCATGAAACTATGGCTTATTCGAAAAACATGCATGTTATTGAATAATTAATTAGATGGTGATACGTCTACTTTAAAATCTACATATATCTCGAACGTTATTTTAATTATGTAGCACTTACGGGAGGTCCTCTTTCTCCTGGGGGTCCCGTAGCACCATCTTTTCCAGGAATTCCTGGGGGGCCAGTCGTGCCAGGAAATCCCCTCGGCCCTTCGAAGTGAAAGAAAAATATATTACATAAATATATTGCATGATAATTAACAATGTTGTTGTTTTACCTTCACTGCCCTGAGAGCCTCGTTCTCCCATTGCTCCACTAGGGCCAGGCTGCCCTGTATCTCCCTTAAATCATATTCAAGTTAGAGGTCAAGTAATCTCCATTAATTTTCCAGCGATATGCGAACCTTTGGTCCAACACGTCCATCGTTTCCCCGTTTTCCTCGAAGACCACGAAATCCCTAACAAAAATAGGCGTTTATAGAAAATCAGTGTTATACTTAGATGGCAACTATCAACGAAAAAAATAGTAATAGATTTTACAGGTAAACCCCCTTCTCCTCGTTCCCCAGGGGCTCCAGACGTCCCCTAGAAAAGAAGCAGCACTTAATATGTACATTTATCTTACATAAAGATTAAATGCACTGATGCTCAAAATTATCCATCATTGGTAACCGGATTTGGTAAAATGCGTTTTTCTAAAAACTTGGGATTAATATTTAGGTGAAATTTTTGCATTGAAGGAAAATGTTATCTTATTTATATTACATTTATGTAATATTTGTAAATACAAATCAATCCCTTGCATATCACCTTAAGTTTTTTTAGAAAATTCGCATGTACTGAAATAAATCTAGTCATGATAATCATGATCATCAGTGCGTGTGCATACTCTTTCTCCTTTTTCGCCTGGATTTCCATGCCTGCCCTCGGCCCCTTTATCTGCTTTGTCGCCCGGAGGACCAGGATAACCTATTAGGGAAAATAACACGACTAATTGCCTTTAATTTTTGTTCAGTAACTGATGCATGCAAGACAAGGTCGAAATTGTTCGAAACATTATTAATCTTTACGACTATCGCGACCTTATTTTTTTATTTTATTTAAGCGACTACACTACTACCTACCTGGAAATCCTGGTAACCCGATTTTCCCCTTTTCACCCAATGGTCCAGGCGGTCCAGCTAACAGTAATTAATTAGTAAATTAACTCGAGAATTGTATTATTACTTGCGCAGAAAAAAACACTCGATTGCATACCTTCTCCCCTTGGCCCTTCAAACCCCTTGATATAATAAATACAATAATATAATAAAATAAAATATTCAGAAAATATTTTATAGCAGCGATGTTTGCTAACCTTTGGTCCCTCTGGTCCTTCCAAGCCAGCCTCACCTACAAATATTCGACAATGGTAGTTTATCCTCAGCTTATTATTAATTAGAAGGCGTGAATATGTATTTTTAGATGTCGCTCAAGAATTTTACCAAATTGTACACAAGTTTTATTTTGACAAAGTACATACCTTGCCCACTCCCACAGATTAGTATGTAAATGAGTATTTCGATTTTTTAATAACCTTGGGTGCCAATAAGTCCCCGATCTCCTTTTTGTCCAATGTCGCCCTTTTCACCTTTAAAGTTTGATTAGTTTAAGAATAAATTATAGCTTTACTCAAGTATGTGCTAATCTCTATGATGTTCAACGATACCTTCGGGTCCACGATCGCCTTTGTCTCCCTTCTCACCTATTGAAGTAAAAGAATACGTGTCTCATGAACAAAATAATTGCTTATCAAGCGAGGAATACTCATTTTCAGGTAACCTCGAAAAAATTAAGTTTATATTTTTACTAAGCTCATGTACTTTTGTTTTTCATTTTTATTATCAATTAAGTAGACGAGTTACACTTTTATAATCAGGTAAATAATTTCCGTCTCACCTCCAGCACCACGCTTGCCTTCGTCACCTTTTACACCCCGAGGTCCAGGAAACCCCACTTGCCCCTAAAGAATTTTATTATGAGAACGTGTTTTTATGAGAACATTGCAATGATAATTATTAGTGATGAATGGGTTGGTGGATTAATGTGCATTATTAATAAGGGTATAATGAAGAGTATGTTAATGAATATTAAATTATTAATAACATGTTTATTTATTTTCTACAAGGAACATGTTTAAAACACATCCATCTTTTTGGTATGTCATAAGGCGATACAATTCTTTCCAAGTCATAAGGAATATGCCAATATCCACTTTCTTCATTCTTTTGAATAATGGGAACAATTTCTGCAAACGGTTCCAAACGAATGTTGGCTTCTCCTTGACCCCTCAATTGAATCATGGGAGCCTTTTGATGACTTAGTCTCCACCTCTTGAACAATCTGGCCATTTCATAATCCTTCAGTCTAAAAGTATGGTTGCGCATAAAGTCATTTGATACAAACTGTGCATTCATTCCACTCTTCAATGTCGCCCAGATAAGGAAAGGATCATCTTGAGATTGATCTTCTATGAGATAGACATCTGCCATTGAGCTTATACTTTTCATGTGCCCTTGACTCCATTTTTGCATGTGTTGCCGTCCAATGACAAGAATCTTGTAGCCTGCTCGGTGTAAGTGAGAGACGAATAATTCCAAAATAAAGGCAGGTGAGTGGCTACGATTTCCAGTTGCTCTCCCGCAAGAAAGTGCAATGTTAAGTCCGTCCAAAATAAAGTCATAAGGTTTGGAATTCGTCATCTGTGGCCGGTTTATGAAGGCTTTGTACTTTTCCAACTCTGATGGCGTAGTGTTTATAAAAATGTCATTCATTACTAGAACATGAGTAAAGAAATGATCACGGAGCTTGTCAAATTCTTCTTGAGTGATAATAGACCGTTCCATTTGATTCAGACAATTTTTGCACACGCCACGTCTTGGAATTATGCTTGAGGTTACCCCCTTGTACTTGAGCTTGGTTTCAAAGTAGTACTGGATTTCCTTAATTAGTTTTGACGTTGGGAAATGTTCATATAAATTCATGTACTCGAGAACTTTGGCCATATTTTCTTCTGTGGAAGGTGTACAATTGTTGAGCCAGCTAATTAGTGCATCTTCCGCTAATGTTCTGTATCCAATTACGTTCAAATAGTCCCATCCAATATCGAATTGTAAATTATCAAATGCTGCTGTTGCTACTACGGCATATGAGGTTGACAATGGATCTCCTCCAACTTTAATCCCTTGCAAAATATCCAGTGCTTCCTTCCATCTTTTTGTTTTGCAAATAGCAGTGATTGCTTTGTCTCCAGTTTGGCGATCAAAAATTCCACCACATTTGGATTTCAGCTCGTCATACAACCCTAAAATTGTTGAGAGATAGTCTGGATCGCTTCTTTGCTTCAGGTCGGTGCAAATTTTTAAATACCCAGAAAGAGTTGCCACATTTGGATTCCGTTCCCATTCCATGTAGTCTTTTGCAATGTGATAAGACTCATTTTTAATACAAAATGACATCAAAATCCCTCCAAAATTCTTTTCATTCATGCTTTTATCAAGCTGGAGACATTTTGCAATCAAACTTGGCCAGTGGATCTTTCCAATTTGTTTTTGTTGTTGAATTGATGAGGAAGTTGTATTTTTGCCTATCCAAACGTCAAGGAAGGTCCGACCGTAAGATTGCTTCGGAATTCTTGGAAGTGTAGAAACTATCCTGTCATATTCCAACTCATATTCAGTGAGGAGGATGTTGGACGATGAGGTTTGTTGAGAGAATTTTCGAACATGAAATACATCTTGTACTCGTTCATATATTCCTGATATTCTTGACCACGACGATAAAGGGGAGGAGACAAATCTTTGGGATAAAGAGTCAGCCAGAACGAATTTGTTGACAACGGCTAAAGGAATAGCTCTGTGTCGCCAATAATAACGTCCATGTTGGAGAAGTAACGTTGTAGATTTATCCATCTCTATGTGACATACAAATTAATAGATTAATGGAATTTGTATTTAAGAAAAAAAGATGTAATGATTAATTTACTTGATCTGTCTCTTTAGCACATGGTAATTGGTAGTAAATATTATGGAGATGGACAAATTTTGTTGTTCCTAAATCGTAAATGAATCATAAATTATTGCAAATCATGAAAACACCACCATTCAAAATGAGTACTAAAGTACATACATACAAATAGAGTTTAATTTTTATTTACCTCTCGATCGATATCCTCCAAGAGATGATAGTGGTAAAACCAATTTTATTTTTTGTTGTTGTACTTTTATTTAATTATCAAAATAAACTAAATTTCTAATTCTCAAACTCTCCACACGTGTGGCCGGTGAAAGTCGTTCCCACACTCTGACTTTGCGGATGAGACATGGACTGATCGTGAGAGATCGCATGTACACCGCATGCAAATACATGTATATTATATGCCATAATATGCATTATGCATATTATGTACCAAAGCCTTGAAATATTCAAACATGTATAAAAATTTCGACCGTGTGACCTAATCATGACCAGAAGAAAGTTATCCCGGTCATTGCAATCGTTTACTGATGACGCAACCATTAATATGATCCAACCCATTCATTGCATGCAAATATTGCATACAATAAGTGCTTCAATACCTGAGGTCCTTTGGGCCCTTGGTCACCCTTAGCACCAGCAATTCCAGGGTTCCTAAAATATAATGCGTCACATAATTCAGGATAATTTATCACAATTCCACTACAACAAGCCTTTTCAGCTTGTCATAATATTGTGACTTTTCCGATGCACAATTAATTGATGGTTACCCATTATGTCCAGGCATCCCATCAGCTCCTGTAATTTTGTAATATAGGTAATGTATTATGATCGACTTTGACTTATTGATAACTGAAAATAGTAATTACTGACCTGGTAATCCAGGCGAACCCATTTTTCCCTGAGGACCGGCTAAAGAATAGGTTCAAATTTTAGTACGATTATTTTCCGAAATTATTAAAGGTTCCAGGGCTTGTGATTGCTTCACATTTAAATATATGGCTTCAGTTGGTTGTTGATATTTTTATTGTAAATATTGCGACAATACTTTTTATACATAATGAAGCTTTATTCAATTGTGACGAAATTGAGAATTTTTCTTTTGTTAAAAACTTCCGAGTCATGAGAAGTAAAGAATTTATTAGTTAAACTTGCCTGGTCCCAAAGGCCCTAAAAACGAAAAATTGATTAGCTTTGACATGTACAGATGCAACTATAAAACTACTCGGCGTATAAAAGCAATTTCAAGATACCTGGTGGTCCTGGCGGCCCACTTGAACCCACGTTTCCTGGGGGTCCTGTCTGGAAATTGTTTACTTTGTTATGAAATTGTTATGCCAAATGCATACTCGGACAAGAGCATTCATTGAAAGAAACTGAAGCCCTCATGTGTAAGATGTTAATAATTCTTCTTAATACAATTTTATGAAAATAAAGCAATTGTCCGATTAAAGCGAAATTTTGTCAATGCATTATTATCCGTCTTCACATGAATAAGCAATATGAAAATGAATGAATGCACGAACCTGTCCGGGTCCTCCGGCTTGACCAATGGATCCGGTGTTCCCTTTTGCACCACTTGGACCCTCAGATCCTAGATTGAGGTAAAGAAATATTTTATTTTAACCTTAATACGTAGCTTAAAGTTTAGATCTCTGAGTGAAAAATTATGTACCTGGAATTCCCGGGGACCCTGCAAAATTAAATTTAATTATTAAAAAAAATTATTACAATAATTTATTGCGCATATATCAAAGCACCAATAATTGAGAATCTACTAAATAGCAAATAACAACCCATCCCTCTCTTTCCTCAAAAACGACATTAATCGTTCAATTTTCGGTATAGAGAAATTTTCCCTAGATTTTCAATTACTGGTCAACTCACAATCACTGACCTTGAATGCCAGGAAATCCCCTTGGACCAATAAATCCTCGTGGACCCTATGCATTAGGAGTTCAAACCAGGTTATGGAAATGTCAAAGGTTTCATCGTGAATGTGATCATTAATTACCCTACTACTTTTATGTTCACTTTATTATGGTCCAATTCCACACCGACCCATACATATGTAAATGACGATAGACCTACCATTTCTCCAGTTTGACCTGTAAGTCCAGCAACTCCGTCGTCTCCTTGTTGGCCATCGTGCCCAGGTGCACCCTTTTCTCCGACGTTACTAAATAAAACAACGATTAATTAATAGGCCGAGAGCAAAGTTTTACATCGTTTAGAACCATAAATTGTTTTATTACTACTGAATTATGAAAAAAAATCATTAAGGTTCAAATACTAATTTAACTGACCCCTTTTCCCCCCGATCTCCTTTTTCTCCAGGTAGTCCCCCCAACCCGATGACCCCTTGTTCACCTTTTTCCCCCGGGGGTCCAGTCATTCCGCGTTCCCCATCACGACCTACATAGTCAAATTTTGATTCACAAAACTATTTATCAGTTGCGCCAAAATTGATCAAAGTTCCCGACCGTTACTTGATAAAAATACTTTAAATTAAACCACCTCTAGATATGGCGGATGTGCGTAGATGAGTCTTTGTCGCTTACATAAGACACCATAAATTACTATAAAGACTTATGCTCAAATTCTAACTTGGAAATTTGATAAAGTAACGATCGGTAACCTTCAAGGGCTTAGCTAACGCTTAAAAGTTTAGGTTCATTAATTTTAATTAAGTTTAAACTGACCTGGTCTTCCCCTCCTTCCATTCCTTCCTGAAGGTCCAGTCTCTCCTCGATGCCCTTCAGCAAACAACAACTGTTAGTATAGTTATTATAAGTAGAATTATAAGGTACTCTTTTTTTAACTTGCTGAAATTGTTTTGCAGAATTGAGGTTTAAGGAAACGAGCTTGAACGAATTTGGTAATGCTTAACACTAAATACTAAATTCAATAAATGTGTAATTTAACTGACCTCGCGGGCCGGGTTCCCCCATTTCGCCCATTTCTCCCTTCGGTCCATCAGCGCCAGGATTTCCGAGAGACCCTACAATGTTAAAGTATATATAGGTTATGTGCATATGTACATATTTATATTGCATTTAATCAGTATCATCATATACGTAAGTAGTTAAGACAGACACATTTTGATGCTTGTGTCAACCTTACCTGGAACACCTGTCAATCCCATGGGGCCAGTAGGACCTTTCATAGCCATCTGTGGAATTGAAATTGGTTAATTTGTAGATTTATGGGAAACTTCTTTACGATACTTTGAAAGAAACCAGATTACTGGAAATTAATGCAAACAATGCTAGATAGAAGTGCATTTTATGTGTAATGTGTGTAATGTGTGATGTGTGTGAATGTGTCTGACAATGCAATTGATGCATAACATCATTATGTTTTCTTGGTTTTTGTGTCAAATTATTCACCTGTGCCTGTAATTCACACCTGCTATTTAATACCTTACTATATGTACATAGTACATACAACCTCCGATTTGTTAATGTGAATCTCGGAAGTAATTTTTTTGCCTTTCTTGCACTACTAACCTGGTTTCTTTCACCATATCTTTCATGACATCGAATACTGCGAAATAATTTGTTTTGCATAATATCTAATCTTATTTATTGTTACACATACCATGTGCTGGGCAAGCATTTGTCGCAATGCTTCCGCGCTTGCATCCGGACCTTTCTTTGATCCACTCCCACCGCCTCCTCCATCTCCGGAGAGCTGACACATTATAATTCTAATGATAAATTTAAAAACTAATGAAATTAGCCGTTTAATTAATTACTGGGATCATAAAAATGTGTCCTGGGGGTCCCTGAATTCCATTTGTTCCACCTAAACCGTCGCGGCCAGCCTCTCCCTTTACAAAATAATGATACGTAATTAATATTTAAATAAGTAATCACATATCAAACCAATTTGTTAGATTACCTTATCTCCTTTTGGACCTGTATCATGCAATTAATTTTGAAAAACAAATAATTAAAGATACAACACAAAATCTATAAAGGTTGATATAGCTCGAGCCAGTCATTTCATGTAATAGTGTTTCTCTTGATTTTTATAAATTTCTCCACTTTGCATTTTTTAGCTTTTCCGACTTTCGTTGGAAAAGCTTCGTAGGGTTCTTCTGGCAAAAATATTCTTGAAATTTACTTTATATTCGCAAATCTGATTTTCTTATGTCCATGCCTTGTCGAGACACGCATTTTAAGACTAAGGACAAGTTAGTCAAAATCGACCCAGTGGTCACCAGTACCACGGGCAGACAGACGGTTCTAATTCTAACTAGCCCTGGCTCGAGCTACATGCTTATAAAGTGCATAAATATTACCTTGTGGCCCTCGTAATCCGGTGTAACCTATTATCAAAATGTAATTATAATTATGCATTGTGGAAATAGTATAAGTAAATATAAGTCTTATTATATTATGTATAACCTCGTGGACCTGGTGGACCTCTCAAGATTTGGACATTACTACCACCAGCATTGGATGTTACATCCAAGTAGTATCCTCCACCTGCCGCTCCTTTTTCTTCTTCCTATTTAATTTTTTCAACATTGATTTCGTATTTTAAACTAAACCGATTGATTGATTTGCACCTCTAACGTCCTATTCCTGTACTCGTCTTCGCCACCAAAAAGCAGTCGAGAGCTGGCAAACTCTTCCTCGGTATTTTCAAGGGGTGGGATGGGTCTTGCACACTCTGGCATGTAGGTCGTGCATACTTCGTAAGCAGGGTCAGGACTTGGAATTATGAGCAATTGCTGAATAGATCCTGTAAAGAAAGCATCGTCCAAAAGTCGCTGACCCATGAGAATAATTCCAGTGTTTGAGGGGCGAGAAAATGCGGTTCGGTTTAGCTCCTGAGTGTCAGTGACTTGGCAGTCCAAAATCAGGGTGACAGAGTTTCCTTTGACCGCAAGACCAAGTCGGTGCCACCTTAAAGCAATGTAAGAAATGTTAATAATCCTTGGGTATAAAGTTTTCAAGGAAAGTACTTAATTTATTTTCTGACACGTGCTTACTTTCCATCATTTATAGTTTGGTCAAAGGAAATCCTTAGCTGATCTGATTGACTTTCGCTGTCCTGTACAAAATACACGCTTTGATTGATTTATTTTTGTTTTACACAATCTTTTAAATAATTCACCTGATAAATGAGGTGAATCCTATCGTCAATTTCAATTGCCAACTGTTCATCCCCAACATCATTGTAGACTGAAACAAGGACTGACCTTGAGTCAACGACCGTCTTAAAGGTTGACACGATCGAAAAATCTGTGAATAAAGTACACTTCAATTTATTGCGGTACTTTTGAAGAAGCAATACCGTAAAGGAAGATTACTTTGCATATACACATTATAAAAATTAAATCCTAAATATTCGATCTATGCATGTATTCATGATTTTAATACATGTGCAGACGATTAGATATCGTGACCCCCGATTCAATTCGACGATTAATGCGAGAAATTCAAAACATTCGTAAACATTACCTGTGGGGAATCCGTCTGGAAAAATTTGTCCTGTATTGACCGAAAGAACAGCTCGGACTGAAAGCGTATATGCCAAATCTGGTCCAGTTTGAATTGGTTCCGATCGGTTTACAAAATGTCCACCACTCCCACGAATGGAATTGGGATCGGATATGGCTTCCAGAACGGTTTCTTCGTCCAACACGGTTTGAACTCGGTTATCACAAATTCCCGTGGTTTTTTCAACTCCAAGAGGAACATCTCGAATTCGGGTGGCATCCAAAAGATCTGCCCCTCCTGCATGCATACAAAATAAGTTATCATTCAGAAAATCATAAATACGTACGTACACACACTTTTTTATTTCATATTTTAAAATTATTAAGACGATCATGATTCAAGTATTCTGAAAATGTTTTCATATTTACAGTAAATATCATGCTTCGCAATACATTTCTAAAATAAATTCGCATTTCATTGTACTATTTCAAACATAATATTTGTTACGCCGTCAAAACCATTGTAATTCATGCACAATAATGAATGGCAATAATAAAGCTGCATTTTTCACACGACGTGCATATACGTATTATGCAAAGTTTTAATATTGGAGGGCTTATTATTTACATGGGGCTAATGCCCCAACCGACCGACTGACAGAGTCAATTGACCTTTAAGGTCATCATCTGTCATGTACAGACACTGTCTCACTCGATTACATTCAACATGCTTTACTTCCTCTTCAACGGAAAAACCTATATTTAACATGTAGTTTTTGCGTATATGAATGACTGCATGTTCATTCAGTACTTCATACAAGTCTCCTCCAATCCATTATTGAAGGATTGGATTATAACGTTGAGACGGATTGTGTCAGTAAATTAAACCCAAATAATAAATACATATGACAAACTCATCATCAGAATTCAAATCAGAGGAAGCAGCCACTTTTCGAGTGTTGAGAGCGTATGCATACGAAAATTTGAGCAATGACAAATGAAAACATGCCAATCATTCCAAATTTTGAGTGACACATGTAAAATGTATGTAATTCAGACAGAATTTTTGGTGATACCAAGAGAAACTTACCATTTAAAAGAGAACCATCTGCAGATAAAATCAAATACAAAAATGACACAAAAAACACAAAATAGTTTCCGGTCGTTGGTGCAAATAATATCCTCATTATTGATGATGCATTGTGGTTATGATGTTTCTGGCGATTGCAATTGCACTTGTTCACATTTCGTTTGCACATCATTTTTAAACAGTTTTTTTTGTTTTAGTACAATTCTTGTGCAATTCTACGTATAATTGTCTTCTTTAGTACATAAATATGTTTACACAGCACTTTCAGTTTGCAGGATAATTTTCAAACTCCAAATTTATCCAGTTTAAACAAATCTTTTCTCTGGACGACAAGATGGAGCATTTCTCCTACCGTTGAATAAAATTGACTTTTTCATAAAAGTTGGGCAAGATGAGTTGCTAAAAATACTAGACACATTTTTCCACAAATTCACAACCAACGTGGTTATTCTGTCACCAACAAATGATGCACTTCCCTTCCAGTCAAGTCCACTCAAAGTTTCTTGAGCAGAGGTAAAAATCTCAATAATCATTTTTAAGTCAGCACGTATTCACATGACATTCACACACAAAACACAATAAAAATCACACTAATCGCACAAGAACCCAAATTTTGCATGGAAATCACACGAGTTCCAATTTCTTCCACATCCACAACTTTACCAAAAAGTGGATGGAGAAGAAGAGACTGGAAAAAGAGGAAGATGATGATCGTTAACACGTACGTATGTATTTTTGGTTTTAAAAGAACTCATAATATAGTCGTCTCACTCGGCGTTCTCAAAAAGTCTTTTTTCGCTTTAGATTTCAGTCAGTCTACGTCTTCACACAGTGGCATACTTACTTCTTCAGATGTATGTATATATCTCATTAGTGTAACTCCTGGAACCAGAAGAGATGCTGAAGAATTTGTGTCTTTCCAGTTATTTATATTTATTTACCCTTCCCATCCAGCCCTTCCAACGATCATCATCCATCTTTTTAACATCTTTTGCCAAGTGATCATTTCGACTCGGATTTCCAGAGCACACACGACGAACGAACCTCAATAAGTTTTCGTATTGTGGTTGCAAAGATCCATACATTACGGATATATGTCTGTATCTATGTAAATAATGATGATAATTATGGATTACTATATGACCTGAATGGCATGCAATAGTCAATGCAAACTGCAGAGATTATATGTGATGAGCAAATTAATATTGGAAAATGCATGACAGAATTTTAATGCATCAGTCAATCAATTGTGCACATATACAGATATTAGTAAATCCAAATGGTATGGCTAAACCTAGTGACACACACTAACATGTAATATCAACACTTTGTTGCACCGTCATCCGCATAAAAAAAATTACCATCATTTAAGCAATATGACTTTGCACGAGTCGTTCTTCTGCAACTTATTATAGATTAGTACAACCGATGAGGAGATGACAATAAATTCAATGCTCGAAACCAACAAAATTTGATCTAGATAGATTTACTGTGGAAAGAATTACAAATAGGCTCCAATCTATATATCTGCGAATGCGATTCGCTCCTGATCGAATCCAAAGTAGCAATTGCATATTTTGTAGTTGGCATGTAATTCCTTCCATGCTCTGTTATTATTCGGTATCCACTTATTTTGCACGGTTTGGGAGGACATTTTTAAAAAGCACAACTTATTGATTGATATGGTTATCTTGTTAAACATTTTAAAATTGAACCAGCAAAGACACTGCCAATATCAATTCAGATCAATGCAAAAATAGGTCTTAACGCCTGTGGACTACTTGAGACTTTTGTTTTGTTTTCTCCAAGACTATATGTAAATGCACATGCACAGACATATATACGCATGTAAATGAATGTAGTATAATAATGAGAATGAATAAAGGTCTGCTTACTGATCAATTACTGAAAAATTTGTTTTTGCTTTAATCAAACCCACTCAAAAATACATACATTCATTATTAATTTTATCCAATTTAAAGAGCGGATTTAAAAGTAAATCACGCTAGATGTGGTGTTAGCATTGACAGAGTTTTCGCAATTTATTCTGCCGTGTCCGAACGCATTATTTGGCCACTGTTGACCAGTTCCACAGTTCACGTCAGCAGGGTCGACTGGTGGCTGATCTCCAGTAGTTTCTAAAAGGTCTTTGATAGCATAAAAGTTTCGAGATGGGTCTTGAGCCAAAAGAAGGGCGACGGCTCCAGCGACATGAGGAGTTCTAAAATCGCAAGATTTTCAGTCAATTTTATACTTATAACCAGACAGAATTCAAATTTAATAAGCAATATGTAGGCAGAGTCTCTCTTACGCCATGGAGGTTCCAGATTTTGAGGTGTATGAATTTGTGCCTGAATTTCCGGCAGATATGATATCCTGACCTGGAGCTGAAACTTCGGGTTTGAGCATGGTGGCAGTTGGTCCTCGAGATGAGAAAGATGCCATTTGGTCAGCATTGTTTGTAGCTCCTACACCGATGGTGTAAATTGAGTCACCTATCCATCGAAATCAAAACGGAGCAATTAGTATATTTTCTACCTAATATTAGTACTTAGATTATATTTATGTAGACTATTTGTACCAGGTGAATTAGCCGAGCGGCACGAGGGGCCTGAATTTCCCAGAGCAAAAACTGGAATTTGACCGGCCACAATCCAGGCGCGCATGGCTTCATTGTACCATGGATCTCCGGAACCGCCTCCCCAGGAATTTGTAATGACCTTTATGTATTCAAAAATATATATTAAATGCATGCAAAAGTTATTAGTGGTGTCCAATTGTGAATGTGCTGCTGTGTTTCTTATGTATATGTACATATACGTAAACACACACGAATTTGTTACCCACATGAGGCTTGGGGTCAGCTCCGCTCAACATCCATTGGGCGCAGTCAAGGAGATCGGCTTCAGATCCTGATCCGAAGTCGCTGAGACCACGGCAAGCAATCCACCTGGCTTCAGGGGCTACACCGATACCGTTGGAACGTCCTAACGTAGAACCAATGCAATGTGTACCGTGGCTCTGTATATCATCGGGGGTTGGTCGGTTGTGGGTTGGGTCGTGCCATGCGCCGGCATAAGCGTCTCTAAGGGCTTCGTGGTTAAGATGAACTCCAGTATCGATGATTCCAACGACGATGCCGTTTCCTCTGGAAGGAAAAGAAATGCTCGGTTAAGTATGCATACATACAATATGAAATTACAAGGGGATATATGTACTTGGTTGTGTTCCAAGCCGCAGGAGCCTTAATCATAGCCACTCCCCATTGAGCTTCATTCTGACGCACTTCTTCAATGCTGACGGGTTTGGACTCAATTCCATCAATGATGGAAACGATTTTGGGCTCTCGGATTACGAAATCGCCAGGAACTCGGGCAAGAACTTCAGCCAAAGCCGCGTCGCAGTTCTTGACCTCAAACCTGTTACTGATCCACAAAGGGGCAGCAATGGACCTCTGGTTGGAAAGGCCAAGTTCGGACAGGATGTTGACAAAGGGTCTGCGAGAGGCTGCAGTCCTATCCTTGAGCATGGAAATCATGTTGGCAGTTCGAGCTTCCACTGTGCTCCTGCCCGTGACGAAGGGGGAAGTGAAAATGTCCTCGAGGGATGGGAGTTCAATGATGACGTCCATGACCTCACCACTGGCCAAGCGAGCCTTGAGGGCAGGGTGGACTTTGCCAGCATGTGCGGCCGCGGCCAACACAAGGACGAGAGCGAAGACCTTCATTGCAAAGAAAAATTGGCTGGAAGTAACACAAAATTGCTACTGCTGCTGAGTTGATCTTGGTTCGGGATGCCTTTTATATGAAATATGAAGTATCTATCATGGTCATCGCAAAATCAAATACAAATCCAACGTATAAAACGATTATTCATCACTTATCCACTCGGAGGATGAAGGATCGAGTATTGTATCAGCTTTCATTGTCATTGTCATGTGTAAAACTCGCTATAGGTTGCGGACAAGGTAATCGATGTAGGTAATAAAGAGATAAATTAATTAATTCACCACTTTGCTAAGTATTATGGTTTGTAAATCAAACGTTGACTTCAAATGTGGCTTTCTCGACCATCATCTGGGTTTCCCAGTGGTTAATACGGCTTAATAAAAGGGAGATAATCCGGCAATTTGGATTTTCTATTTTAGTCATTCAGATCAGAATTCCCCATATTTCATAAAGTGATTGTTGACTTATTATTATTATTCTGTCTCATTGAGAATATTATACAAATGAAGGCATAATGAATGTGAGGTACATACAGTTTACCTGTGTGTACATAAGAGCTTTTGATTCGATAAGGTGTCTGTATGTAACTTGTATCCTGTATTGTGCAAAATGTGACTAGTCCGCTTATCATAGCATTCACTCCTCACACCCGCATCGATAAGCACTACGGATATATCCTTGATCATGATAACCAAGGATAATTGAAACGAGCATTGTTTTACATTACGTCGCCGTTTTATCAAGGTTTTGACAAGTTTTTTAAAATGAATTTGTGCAAAAACTACAGGGAAGTATGCAAATTACTTAAAAATCATAACAATACTGCATACCATTAATTTTTGCATAAAATTGCGTTAATGATTATTGATGATGCTGGGGAATTTCCACGGGTGTTGTTATTAAAACCATGTACCCAAGAGACTCATAATATCATGCGAATTATGTAGATCATGAGTGTTATGCATGCGTAGTATATTTAATAACAATGATTATTTGCAGTTGTCATAATTAAAATGTATGGCATTGGCCACACATACAAAAATTAACCTTTATTAATCAACAATAATGTTAATATTATCGTAGTTTGAGACACATAAAAGCCACAAATTCGTCATCAGTTGCCCCATTGAGTAAAGGTATTCCATTTTCATCTCTAAAATCATTATAGTAAACACGTGCCAATTCTGTAAAACCGAACTTGTGACAGATTTTCCGCGTATATGGGGACGTTAGGTTGCTCTTCACGTAGTGAAAGTCTTTCCTCTGGCGGACGAATGCTAGTGCTTGGTTATACATTTCCGACGCCAATCCCTGACCTACAATAATAAATAATCATTGCATGTTGAAGCTGTTATTTAGTAATAATTAATTCAATAATTATAGTAAAAAAAATAAATTTTTACCCCGATATTTCGGATCGACGCAGGCAGTGTAAAAATTTACAAACGAATCAATCCCATAAGTTTCGTAAATTTTTGAGTTGTGATTAACTGTTCCCATGATCTTTTGCATTATTTTCATTTGCGGTGTCTCAAATCCAAGATATTCAAATGTTCTCTCGAGCTCTTTGTCTTGAACATACGTAATCCGAAGTCCTGCAATCTTACATATGTAGCAAACAGATCTATTTATACGTATATCGAAACATGTTGGAATAAATAAAATAAAATACTTACCTCATTGGTCTCAACATCGACAGCAGCAAAGCTTAGATTTTGAGGTAATGTGGTTAAATAAATTTTATCAAACTCGTCAAAATATTCTTTTGAATAGTCTAATCCCTGGGTGAGTGGAGTACTTCGAAAAAAGTTGTTGTGCAAATGCTCTAAAACGGATGGATATTGGGATGGATCTGTAATCATTTGAAACTCAAACTGCTTCCAACGCCCTAAAACTGTTGGCGAAAATGGGGGAGGTGCCATTGCAAAATTGAGCAATTGTGAGGAAATTATTTATTAGCAGATCTTGACGAGTTACACGACGTCCGTGCAATAACTACTTATACGTACGTGGACAAAGTGATCATTTATACGGCATATGAACTCACTACTACTCATCAGCAGACCATTTTTTATCTCTATTTATGCATATGTATTTATGTGTCCAGCAAATTACCTTCACCTTTGATTCATTCAATTTTTTACATTATGGTACGAAAGCGCGTGACCAACTAAACCGGTTTCTTCGATACTTAAAATTTAAGTCTTGAATCTTGAAAGTGCAGAATTTATTCGGTACAAATATTTAGTTAATTGCAATTATTGTAGTAGAGGTTGACTTTATAAATGTCCATCGAGCTGAGTTGTTGGGCTTCGTAACGTATGGAATCGATAGATCCATCTGGAAGGGTCATTGCTGGCCTGTTTGGGTCACCATCAGAAAATGCGTAATACGGGTATTGCATAACACTGGTGTAGTCGTAAGGAGTCCCTAAATTGTCCACTTGATCCGAACTGTACTTGTCGAAGGCATAATGATAAGCTGCAAATTCATAACATATTATCATTTTATATCAAACCAACTAACCAACAAATCTACTAATCCTAAATTGGGATTCCCAATTTTATGCAGTACTAATACATACCTGGATTAATGTTATCAAGGTGGACTAGAATAAAATCGTCCCGATCAGGACGTTGATGTTCATGGTTTTCTTAGTGAGGCAAATACCTAGCAACAAAAAATTACTAAGTATGCATTTGACCCTCCTCAAAAAAGTGACCACCGACGATATCTCAGTCATTTCGCAACCGATTTGGATGAAATTTTGCACCGATCATTGTTAGATAATTTCAAAACGATGTGCGAGTCGCCTTTTGGAATTTTTATTTTTTGAGAGAGTTATGGGCAAAAATACGCGAAAATTTGCCCCTTATTGAACATTTCTTTTCATAGCTCATTAATGGGTCATCCAAACAGGTTCCCTTATTGAAAACATTGTAGACAAAGTCATTCCGGTTATTTTAAGTCCAAAATTATCCAAATCCGTTAGGAACTCAGAAAGTTTTTCAAATTTGAAATCTAAAAAATTGCCATTTTTTAGTGACCTTTATACCTGGCAACAAAAATTACATATTGTGTGCATTGACCCCACCCCAAAAACTAACAGAAATAATTCAATATCTCAGTCATTTCTCAACCGATTTGATGACATTTTGCACCGATTATTCTTATGAAATGTACAAATGACATTCAAACTGATTTGGTCAGGATGATCAAAATCGGTTAAGAGCTCGAGAGATTATTAAATTTAGAAAACCTTCAAATTTTTGCAGCGACGCAAAGCATTAATGTTGTTGACAATAAATCTTCTAATTAACTCTAGCTTTAAGGAATGTGTGGTGCTTATTATTAAATATATAAAGAACTCAATTACAAGTATTAAATAAACAAGGCCCCAAAAAAGGGAAATCTTAGTGAGGCTTGGTGTGACTACAACTAATAAATAAAATTAGATTGCAGAATTTTTGCATCACCGCTCTCAGTACCATTCTTTACTGGAAACATTAGTAACCATTGCAATAAATGACTCCCCTTAAACATGCCTGTAATTTCATGAGAATAAGAATTAACAGGATATCCAGATTATAGGATTATCCAGAAAATATTAAAATTAAATATTGGCAACTTTTGTAGCATATTTGCCACTGTTTGCATCTTAAACTTAAAGATTCGTAGTTCACAATTGTTACCCATTAAATTTATTCCCAGGTAATTTACCAAACTTCTCATTCACTGGTAAAAACGTCTTCTCAAAAGCCAAATTAATTCAATAAATGTAAAAATGCATGTGTATGCGAAACAAAATTTACATTGGATCCAGTAAGAACGGTACAGAGAGCGGTGATGCAAAAATTCTGCAATCTAATTTTATTTATTAGTTGTAGTCACACCAAGCCTCACTAAGATTTCCCTTTTTTGGGGCCTTGTTTATTTAATACTTGTAATTGAGTTCTTTATATATTTAATAATAAGCACCACACATTCCTTAAAGCTAGAGTTAATTAGAAGATTTATTGTCAACAACATTAATGCTTTGCGTCGCTGCAAAAATTTGAAGGTTTTCTAAATTTAATAATCTCTCGAGCTCTTAACCGATTTTGATCATCCTGACCAAATCAGTTTGAATGTCATTTGTAAATTTCATAAGAATAATCGGTGCAAAATGTCATCAAATCGGTTGAGAAATGACTGAGATATTGAATTATTTCTGTTAGTTTTTGGGGTGGGGTCAATGCACACAATATGTAATTTTTGTTGCCAGGTATAAAGGTCACTAAAAAATTGCATTTTTTTAGATTTCAAATTTGAATGACTTTCTGAGTTCCTAACGGATTTGAATAATTTTTGACTTAAAATAACCGGAATGACTTTGTCTACAATGTTTTCAATAAGGGAACATGGTTGGATGACCCATTAATGAGCTATGAAAAGAAATGTTCAATAAGGGGCAAATTTTCGCGTATTTTTGCCAATAACTCTCTCAAAAAACAAAAATTCCAAAAGGCGACTCGCACGTCATTTTGAAATTATCTAAGAATGATCGGTGCAAAATTTCATCCAAATCGGTTGAGAAATGACTGAGATATCGTCGGTGGTCACTTTTTTGAGGAGGGTCAACTGCATACTTAGTAATTTTTTTGTTGCTATGTATTTGCCTCACTATTTTATGCAGTACTAATACATACCTGGATTAATGTTATCAAGGTGGACTAGAATAAAATCGTCCCGATCAGGACGTTGATGTTCATGGTTAAAACCAATCGCATGTCCTAATTCATGAATCATTGCAGCATGACGAAGACATTCTCCAAACATTTTCATTAATTGTCGCCCTCCTTGGCGTCCCACATAGGAGTAACAGTAGCTGGAAGTTGAATCGTCTGGGGTTATTTCGAGATAATCGACATGATGAGGTTGTCGAGGGATAAAACGGACACACGTCTTTGCCTCCCATTCTGCAATCGCGTTCAGCACAATGTTACGTTCTGCACTGGTGTACAAGGGACTGAGGACATATGGTAAGGTTCCTTGCGGCCACTTGTACCGTTCCGGTCTCCAAAAGTTGAGAGGTTGGAATAGAGCTTTACGAATGTCGGCATCACGATAAGCAACCGGACGGTGGTCCTACATACATGAGTTCATTTGTATAATGTTATTTTAAAGGTGGGCGTACGTATTTACTAACGGTAATTATTAGTTTATATACCTGATCAGTGTTTGTGGGGGCACATGAAATTGATTCCAAGAAGTTGAACAGCACAAAAATGTAAATGATTATTAATCCCTTCATTTTCGGATATTTTTGCGTTCTGCGATTTTAATTCAGGAGTGTAACTGTTTGAGGAGTCAATTTTATCAATATAATTTTAAGTGGTTCCCATAATCTGCATGCTAATCACGATAGTTATATACTTATAGATTAGTATGTACAATATTAATTGGATGATACTTCGATAGCAAATGATGGTAATAAAGGTGATTATTATTATTCTTATGTAAACCAGATTTATTAAACCAAAAAAATACAATTTTGTTTCAAGAGGAATTCTCGAATGACATGATTGAAGGAAGAAATCGAATTTATTTCCCAAGCTTTCGACACTGCACTCCTGTCATCGTCAGGGATAAAATATTTGGAAAGCAAATTTGTTAAGTATGCATAGTAGAAAAAATGCATCGATAATTGATATAATTGCTCATTTAATATTGCTAACAAGTTCCCTTTTTTGGAAATGCAGTCTGGCAATTTGTTTTAGTTTTTCACTGGAAGTCTTTCCTGTGTGTTTTGCCAATTGGGAAAGTAAACTGTCCGATCTTTCCAACAGTGTGAATGGATGGTCAAACTCCTGCAAATTTAGCAATAAGTTCACACATTACATTGACATTCTATGCAAATAATTCATTTCGTACCCTAATTTGACCAGCTTCAAGCACCATAATTCTATCGGAGTCCATCACGGTATTCAACCTATGTACATATTTACGTATGTATGTATGGTTATGCATGCTAATTAAATGAACGATTTTTTTCAATAATCTAATAATCGTACCTGTGGGCTATCGTGATGATGGTACATTTTGAAAACTTTTGGCGAATTGTTTTCTGGATGAATTCGTCAGTTCTGAGTTTTAAATATTGTTGCATGTGAGTAATTAATTTTCAAGTTGTAAATATAATGCTTAGCATAATATTTTGTTATATTTGTGTTAAGTGCCTGCCTTTCATCTACGCTGGCGGTTACCTCGTCCTTAATTTTCCAATTAATTACACAAGAAAAATTAAAAAGAATCCAGTTTAACGCTTTTAAGCAAATTAATGTTAGATTTGTGTACCATTATTAAAATACGATTTTGTCGCAAAATAGCTCTTGCTAGGCAAACCTAATAATAATAATAATTTAGTAATTAAAATATCAATTGTATTAATTGTATTAAATGACAATACCAATTGGCGTTGGCCTACGCTGAAATTACTTCCACCATTTGATACTTTAAAATCCAATGCTGAGACGGCATCTTTTAATTGTACCTGCATAAATTCAGGTATATAGTACTTCAATGCACGACTATGTAGGTACATACATATATGATTATTATGTTGTATAATAGGGCAATTGTTTTCTACCTCCTCTAGAACCTGCCACAACATGGCATCTTCAAACTGTTGAAACGGATCCAGATTGTACCGTATTGTTCCCGAAAATAGGACTGGATCTTGTGGAATTATAGATATATTTTTCCTCAAATCGTGCAATCCAATCTTCGTAATCAGCACGCCGTCAATGAAAATTGACCCTTCTGGCTCAGTAAGACGAAATAGGGCTGCAATTATTGAACTCTTGCCTGCTCCCGTTCTAAATAATTGAAATATATTCGCAATTAGAATTAGCCTATTTATTAAGCGTTATCGACTTGATGTGGGTACGGATGAACCTGCCGACAATGCCAATCTTTTCTTGGGGATGAATGTCGAAATTGAGATTTTTTAAAACAAAGTTGTCTTCGTATTTGAGGAAAACGTTGTTGAATTTTATCTCTCCGTTGAGTGGCCAGTCGGAGGGTGGTTTATGTTCCGGAAGCTCTAGAGGTGCTTCCGGAGAAAGCGATATGTATTCCAAAATGCGTTCGGTCGATGCCATGTGGTTTGTCGTTTCTGCACTTTGGCGAATCGCCCATTGAATGTTGACGGATAAGGCGAGTGTCGAAGTAACAACGAGGCCAACAATTCCCCCCGTTGAGTCTGCAGTTCAGAAATTCATTATAGGAAAAAATCTGTAATTAATGAGGCAATAAGGCATCAGTGTACCATCATCAGCAAGCAAGATGAATGAAAACGTGACAGCAGTGAGAAAAATGATTGCTACAGTTTCTGCCCAAACTGCGAAACATCTCGTTGTGGAAATAAATGCAAACCAGGTCGCAGTGTGGACATCCTATAAAATAATTTTAAAATTAAATTTGTGATATGATTTGCATCGTACCTAAATTTGGCATACCTGCTTCTGGTCAAATTGTTTTATCAACTTTTCTTCTGCTCCTAATGCTCTAATTGTAGTGAGACCTTGGAGGGAAGCGGCGACATGAGTGAATACTGGACTCTTCCCTGATAATTAATGAATATATAAGTACAGGACTTCGCAATGCAGTCAAAAATTACAAAATTCAAGTTAAACCATGCATATTGTTTGTATTTTAGCTTCGGTTCAGCTTGTTCGAAACTGAACTGGAATATTATTGCTTAATTTGACCAGAAAAGAGTCTCACTTTGTCTCTCAGTTTGTATTCATGTTTTTATGGGTGTTAAAAATCGCATTGTTTCTACATTCTAGTTTCAAGAACTTGAAATTGATCTCCGAATAACTTAAATCGAAGCTAAATAGTGTGTATGGTTTAATCTAAATTTCAGTAAATTTAATCTTGTTGACGTTCCTCACAATTAGACTCGAGTCGTTTAATGTCCCTTGACGTCCGAACAAAAATAATTCTTAATGCCCAAAAAATGATGGTGATCACAATGGTTGGAATGATGAGTAGGTAATTTGAAAGAACAATGATAAATACAACACCCAGCATTTGCAAAGTGTACTCGAATGTGTCATAAAAAGATGCAGGCAGCATCTCGTCAATGGAGCCAATCTCCTTGCTAAATCGATTAAGAATTCTGCCTGCAATTACGACACAATACGCAGTTGTTATCATTTAGCATAAGTTGTATTAGCAAATATTTATGTATTTACCTGAAGGGTTGTCGTCAAAGAATTTTGTTGGTGCTCTAACCACTGCTTTGAACATTCGATCGTGAAGATTATTGCTTATTCGTAGGCAATATCCGAAGAAACCAGACGATTTAACGATAGTGAAAGCAAAAAGTGAAACGACAAGGACCGAGTAGACAATCAGATAAGTGTCTTGTCCCAAATAATTTTTACGATCGAGGATCACAATAGTTTCATAGGAAGACATTGTTGAAGAGAGGTATGGGTTAGAGTCAAAGGCGGTGTCATTTTTAGCATCATTTTGCTGCTGTATACGATAATCTTCAGAATCCGTCCTGAATAAAAACATTTTTGAGAATAATTTGCTTAATGGCATACTTAATTGTTACTAATATGACGCTATTTAATGGACACTTGCCAATAAGAAAGCCAATACTCGCATCCGGTTAGAAGAATTTGTCCGCATAAGAATAGAAAAATTACGAGGAATAATCCAACCGAGGATTTTGCTGATGTGATGTAACTCCAGTAAGTCCTCATGCTAACGGATCCTTCCGCAGTTTTTTCTGTGTTATCTGCAGGTTTTTCAAACTCTTTCAAAACCTTATTTTCTTCCTGCGGGAAAGTTACGTCATTACGTGTTAATGCAGAAAAACCCGAATTCAAATCAAGTTAGATAAGTTGTCAATTACTTGTGGTGCCTCAACAACGCTTAACTTTCTTTGAGCCCCGTGATCTGTAGAATCACTGGCCATAATACTCATGAAATCTACACCGCTTTTTATTAGATTGTCATACGTTCCTTGTGCATGAATTGATCCCTGAAACAGAATTCGTATACATACTTATTCGTATTTTCCTAGATAAAGTTAATACCTACATGAAAAATAGATGTTTCATACATTGTTTAAAAATATTATGTAATCAGCTTGTGACAAGTATTGGAGCTGATGAGTCACTAAAATCCGTAGCTTTCCCTTCAGAAAACCTTGAATGCCCTTATCAAAAATGTGCCTGCTAACTCGGCTGTCCACTGCGCTAAGTGGGTCATCCATCAGGAAGATATTAGATGACGTATGATAGAAACTGCGAGCGAGATTCAATCGAGCTTTTTGACCTACATAAGTCACAAAAATTGTTATTTTTTAATGCAAAATAATAAAGCAACCTTAAACTCACCTCCGCTAAGAGTTATTCCTCTTTCTCCGACAAGGGTTTTGTCTCCGTTGGGTAAAAGATTGAAGTCATCCTGCACTTGCATGTGTATGTACATACGTATATTTTAGTAAAGAGGAAATAAACAGGTCTGCTAATTAATGAAAACTACCTTTAAAGCACAAGCTGTGATCACTTGTTCATATCTGTGGGGATCGAAGGCTTCCCCAAATAAAATGTTCTGTCTCACATTCCCAGGAAATATCCAGGGCTCTTGTGCTGCGTATGAGATTTTTCCAGACGATGCAAAACTACCTTCAAGAATGGGAAGTTCCGAAATTAACAAATTAAGCAGTGACGTCTGAAAGGAGACAGAATCCAAAAAAATTAGCACACAAACAATTAAATGCAATATTGTCGATTACCGTACCTTCCCTGAACCCACTGGTCCAACAATCATAACGAACTCGTCTCCTTTGACTTCAAATGTGAGATCATTCAAAGTAATTTTTTCTGCACTACTCCAACTTGCGCTAACATGCTTTAAACTCATTCTTCCAGGGTTTCCACTGTTCTTTAGTTTATCGGCATCAGTTGAAATTATTTTCCCATTGTCAATTAAATGTGTGTCGTCGGAAGTAGTGTTATTTTTAGATTGTTCAGGAAGCAGTAGATATTTCTGAATCAAGTTGAATTAATTAATTGATAATATAGTTATTAGTATCTCGAATATTATCGGTATTGCTGAATTATTTTAGTGTACCTGAACTCGCTGAATGGAAACGCTACACTCTCCCAGGCCGGATATTGCACTGGAAAAATAAAATACCATCGTCTCCACAATTGTCAGCGAAATTGCTACGCTGAAAAATGCGTTCTCTGCAGTGAGTTGATTCCCGAGAAGAACATAGGCCAAAATCACAAAGAAGGCGGTCAGCCTTGTGGAGAAAGTGTACAGTGAAAGGAAAAAGCCACGAAGGTAGGCTCGCTTTCCAAGTTCACTCACTTCTTTTCTGAATTAAATCAAATTAAAAACTGAAATGGCAGAATTATTACTTTTGGAGTGAATTTAAGATAAGACTTACCTTCGGATTTTATTTAACAAAGTCGAAAACGGAGCTTCCCAACCGTACATTTTTATTATTCTAATCGCCATTACTATTTCATTCATGAATTTTGCCCGTTTGTCCGTTTGTGCTGCGACACTACGTCGGAACTTTGCAGCAAACCGTCCGTTGAGAACTAAGTATAGGTTTTGTAATTTTTTAAAGAATGAGATGTAATTAAGAATAAAGCCTAGTATCCAAGTGAGAGATTTCACAGAAGTGAAATTCGAGTGAAATTTTTTCATTCATGCGAAATTCCACACGAGTTAAACAACAGTGAAAGGGAGAATTCCACTTCATTTTCATCTCGGCATATCCAGGTCAAAGTGTGATGAAAATGTCTCAAAGTGGATTTACAGTCCGCGAAAATCATATTTATTATTCAAAATATCACCACCAACAGTTATTAAATTCCAAATTAATAATTGGTATTCATTTCGTTTTGCATCATAAAATCTACAACTTTTTCAAAACTCCAAAATCTCAAAATCAATCAGTCTATTTTATTTTGTGTCAAGTGTATTTAATGGAATTTGAAATAGAGGAATAAATTATTCTGCTGGCAGCTGCATCAATATTGATCAAGAAACCATTTATAAATATTATAAATAGAGAAAATAAAGTCAAAACTTTTTTTTCACATTTTCACTAAATACTCGTGCACGCATATTATTTAATTATTAAATTACTGTAAATATTGTTGGTACATATAAACTCAATCAGCAGGGGCGAATTGCAAAAAAATTGAACCTCGCGGCATGACTTTTCACGACAATTTTATTTCATTCCTGTGGAATAATACCCCTCCGTTTCATCACTTTTGCACTCGCAATTCTGTGAAATTTTCACGCGCGTAAAATTCCACCACTTTTTCATCGCTAACCTGGATACGTTCGAGTGGAATTTTCACAGAAGTCGATTTCACGCGTGGAAAGCTCACTTGGATACTTAGCTTAAAGTAGAAATAACTACTCATTACCATACCCCGGACAAATATTTTTTTATCCTACCCTACTCGTGTTGAGCTCAACATGAGTAGGGTAGGATAAAAAAATATTTGTCCGGGGTATGCTCATTACCTTGCGTTGGTAAAATGACCAAAATAAATGCGGCACCTGCGAATGCAGATATTCCCATTTCGAGCCATAATACATAGACGAGGATGATCAGTTGGAAAGGGCCGATGAATATGTACGGCATGAATACCAGTTGATAGTCAAATCTTCCCAAATCATTTGACAATAAATTGACTAATTTTCCAACTTCACTGTCCTCGCTTCGAATGCGAAGAGACTAAACGCGAAAAAAAAATCAATTAGTAAATCTCAAACATCTCGAGAACAATATCTGTCTAATAATCACCTTTTTGTAGAGCAATGAAGAAATTGCAGTTTTTGTAAGGAGACCAGTTCGAAACATGAGATACACACATTGATGGATCATGATATCATGAAATAAGGCACATAAGCAGACTATCCCTCCGTAAAGGGCTTGATCATTCCGAGTGGCAGAATCATCACTGAAGGATCGCACTAATTTTCGCAAGTAAATTGGTTGCATTACTCTGTGTAATTAGTGAGATTAGTATTAGTGATTAATGACCAACAAGTTCGATTAATGGGTACTTGCCTTATAAATAGTTCGTCAATAGCGATGATTACCAAGTAAATGATAAATGACCACCGGTGGACGTAAGCTAATGCTTTCCAAAATTGTGGGGTACTTGAATTTTTGATTGAGTCCTTTTGTACGGATTCCCATGCTCTGAAAAAATGTTGCATCTTGTTGTCAAACAAACAAATCTACTAATAAATTACAAGCTTTACTTTTGTAATTTGTCTGCTCCATCTTGAGAAGTGTGGACGCTGGGAGCATCGTGGAGGTCATTGAGAGAAAGCTCATTGGAAAACCCTTTCCGGAAGAGGGGTAGGATCCAGGTGAATAGAGTCTGAGATAAAATATTGGCCTTCTCCCAGGGGTTGGGAACCGACTTTTTAAAGTCAATGTCCATTGCGATAGTTAGAGGTTTAAAATTCGATTGATTTGAAATGTATGCAAATATGAATATTCGTGTACCAATAATTTCTACATTTTGAGTTATGGCAGTGACAAATTGCAAAATCAACTAGAATAACTTCCTACTATGTACAGCAGTCTCCTTATATAAGGAGGAAAGCTTTAATGTTTTTGAGGCCGAGGTGTGTCGACAATTATTGTTGTCGATTATAATTGTATAATCACTGTAAATAAGTCAATTTTATCTTTATCGGAATTTAAATAATAATAATTGTAGGAAATACATATGTATTTATGGAGCAGCTTATCTTGGTTTAAGGTCACTGTCAAAATGCAGTGGTCGAAAAATAAAGATTCTGTAAAGAAGAATGCAAGCGTGTTTTATATAGTTTATTTTTACTTAATTTTCACAAGAATCTCAGGCCTAAGTATAAATCTCAATAAATCTGTCTCAGCCTAATGAACCTGACGAACCGAATATGCAAATGTATCCAGTTGCGACAATTGCAAAGCATGCAATATTCTCAACGCGTGGCTTCTGGTTTCATCAAACTGCTTATCAGTCAAGTGTTATTCCTGATCCTGAACAATAACAATTATCATGTTTTCTGCTAATTGCTCAGATTGCATTTAAATCGAGAGAAAAATATATCGAGTGACAGTAATATGATGACAGTTGATGAAATTTGGAGCTTGTTTTGCTCATATGTACATGCATACTTATGCTGGATTGAGTATTGCATTACGAAATATGAACGTATGTACATGCGATACATACGTCATTTTCCAAACGTATTTATAGGATCTCATTAACGTTTACAAAAGTACTTTTCTTCAGGAAGAGTTGTTTTTTTCGAAGCCTTTTCCAGTTTTGACGATCCACCATCTGAAAAATAATTCATTCCGTTTATAAATATGTAGGTCTGAATTTTAATAAGTCAAACAATAGTTCCAGCATGATATACCATGCATGCTAAATATTTGCTTAAACCAGTTAAGAAAGGATTGAATTTATAATTTAGGAAAATTACTTTTGAATGGCGGAGTAAATTAGAGCTGACAAATTTGATGCCATGAATTTAAATGATTTTATCTGTATGTATGTAAACACAACCAGTCTTCTGGAATATAATAAACTGTTTTGTCTATACAATAATAATTCGGGTTTCTGCAATTTTACCCGGGTTCCCCATCCTACCGGCATGTACCGAATTGTGTATGGCCATTTCTATGTGATTTCAGTTTGGCTGCATGCTATGTACGTAAGGAATTTAGAACCATTATCATTAGATTATCTTGAATTCAATACCCTCAACACTTTTATGAATGAAACTTGAAGCACAAAGCTTTTGAATGATACTTGTCTGTCGTCAAGAGATCATAAAAAGTTCCACTCTCTCAGACTTAATGACCATGAAAACTTTGCATGGCATAAAGTATTATTCATCTTATTCTCAGTTTTCATGAGTTATTTTCGATCTCTGTTCAGATATCACGAACCAAAACTATCTAAATATACGCATAAAACATGTTGCTCATTAACTTTTCCAGAATTGTAGCTATAATTATTTTCTACCACTCTGTACCATGTTTGTCTGACAAAAATGATAAACTAACATCAAAATTGAATCTGATACTGAACCTGTTCATTAAAAACGCCTGTTCCTTGCATAATTTAATCTCGGAAGACGATACATTATTATTTAACAATTTTCTGTCCAAGTCTACCTCTAATTTAATTGATCGTCTTAATGCCACCCACCTTGGAAGATATAACTTTACTTGGCAACTACTCAATCAAGATAAGTTATCTCGCCTCAATGGCCTTTCCAGCGCAAAGTTTAGTGGAAGTTGCCACGTAATGTTGTTTCACTTGGATCAAGCTCTGAGAAATTACAGCGTTGTGAACAGGTTACTGGATGGCCTAGTTGTAGCGAAAGAAAATCCGAATTACATTCTCTTTATCGCAGGTAAGCGAATATCTTAAGGACACGTATACACATTTTGATCACATTTTCTAAATACTCATTTGTTGTACATCCTATAAATGTAGGAAGTTCTTCATGGGTCCCTCTGGCATTTAACTTGTACTTGGGCTTAGTATATTACACGCTCGATTCAAAATTCATGTTCGTTACTAAAAATTTCGGCTTGCATTTGTTATGCAATCACTGCTTTACTGTGGCCCAGGTATTGTCCAAGGGGAATTTGAGATTTGATCCTGAAAAGATAACCGACTTGGATGAGGTATGCATTTTGTCAAGCACTTGATCTATATATCACAGGAATGGAAATGCACTTTCATTTGTTGGCTGACACAGATTCATGTTAAATGGTACAAAGTTCACAAAAATCTCGATTGGGGGATCTTAAACCTTGCCCGCGTCCCTTTGTGGCGTCAATTAAATGGATCTTGTAGTTTTTATAAAGCTAGACTTGACACACCTGCCGAGGATTGTACACTTCTGGAAATGAAGCTACGCTTCAACTTTTCGATTTATGGTGACGGTTCTGGGATGGACAAAGGCAAAAAGTATATGCGAAAAAGACAATTCAATTTTATAAATTTGTCAATAAAAGTAATTTTTGCACTAGAATTGTTGGAGGAATATTTCACGGCTACATTTCCAGTGCTGGGTTCAATCGCGACAAGTTTCTCGCTGTTTCTGTCATGAAACATATTTGGATACCGTACGGTTGCACGTACAAACCGTACGTGCTCGTCACCCTGGTTGGAGAATCCAGCATGAATTTTCTTACCTTGTTGCAACCACTTGATCGCTACTGTTGGATCGGTTTAATCATTTCATACCTTTCGATTACACTGATGATTTTCAACGTTTTCAAGATGGGAGTCATGAAATTAGATAACGATTCTTGGCATGACCGAATTTATAAGGGTGACATCCATGCACTTAGAAGTGTTGGGTTTTGGGGTATATCTGTCTTTTTGGAGCAGAGTTCACACCATCTCTTAAAAAGGTATACATTGTGAATTACAGTTACATATGTAGAATGTAGATATGTACATACACATTGTCATTGAACACATAAATGAATATTTTTTTCTGCCTGGGACCCCCTTTTGGACTTTATTTTTTAATTTGAATGAAACCTCGAAAATCGTGTTCAGCATAATTGAATTAGTGGGTTTAGACCAATTTTGGGCCTAAAAAAATTTTCATTTGGTGCAAATTGACGATGGTTATTCAGTAAAGGGGGTTGACATCTCCATGTTTTCTGAGATAGCCACTAGACAGATTTGATCCAACTTGGGCTTATAATGATCACAAATACTTTCTCTTGGGTGAACCGGGAGATGGTACTGATCTGTGACCTCGATGACCTTAATTTTGAACTTTTTTGGAATTTGTCGCAAATCACACAAAACTCGTATTGTGAGCACAAGCTTCAAACAATTGTTTGATGCTAATTTCATCCACATATGACCGTTCCAATGCGAACAGCAGCATGTCCAAGGTCGATTAAAACTCAAAGTTTGGATGTATAAATTACACAATACTTGATAAATAGCATCATAATTTGAGCTTATAAGGAAACCTGAAGTACTGTCACATCTCGATTTCCTTTCGGATAGTCTTAATTGATAGATAATTTAGTGTAACTTAAACTTTGTCATAGAACATACGCTGCGAAATCACGTTTTCGCGATATATTTGGCGAGAGCTGCTCCAAACTTGCCATTTTTCCAATGCTTTTAACATAGATAACAGCCTTCGGAATGATGAAATGAAGTTATAAGTTATATACCTGTCCGTAATTTCATGCTGATCACCAATATGTAAAAAACATGCAAACATTTGCGAATTTTTTTTAATTGCGAAAATCTGCAAAATATTCTAAATTTGAATTTCGCAATTTTTTTGAAAGTTCAACAAAATTTAAATGTTAAACTTCTTTTAAGGATCACAAAAAAGGTTTCAAAATAGACTTTTTCTTATTGCAACAAAATGGACAAATGTTTTCAAAGATTGAAATTCACAATTTTTCATGAAAAAAGATAACATGACCAATGCTACTCTATTTTACGTATGTTGTATGCTTCAAAACTGTTGGCTATATTTATTTTTGTAAGTTGCAAAAAATTGTGGAAATTGATATCGTCAGCTTTTAACATCTTAAAAAAATAACTTTTAAACACCTCGTTCGAGATGTTATATTTTTTGTAAAGTGAAAAAAATATGACATACATATGTGACATATATGACATACATATATTGGCCTGTAGATGGGATATATATGGGATATATATGGGCCCATATCGCAAATGTTTCGCAAATGTTTGCATGTTTTTTACATATTGGTGATCAGCATGAAATTACGGACAGGTATATAACTTATAACTTCATTTCATCATTCCGAAGGCTGTTATCTATGTTAAAAGCATTGGAAAAATGGCAAGTTTGGAGCAGCTCTCGCCAAATATATCGCGAAAACGTGATTTCGCAGCGTATGTTCTATGACAAAGTTTAAGTTACACTAAATTATCTATCAATTAAGACTATCCGAAAGGAAATCGAGATGTGACAGTACTTAAGGTTTCCTTGTTAGTGTGACGAAATGTTGCGCTGCTTTGCATTTTAGCCTTTGGCAAGAAACCTGATCAAGGTCCATTTTATTTTACTGACCATTTTATATTTATATAAAAAAAATAGGTTTCAATGGTCGTGGATCGCAGCGTCATGCTGTTCCTGTTGGCTCCTAGTATCCTTCATTCTAAGTAATGGCTACAAAGGTGATCTATTTTCGAGCATGGCATCCCAACGTCTTCCTGCAGTCCCTGACTCTATCCCAGATTTAGTAACGCATTACAATCTCCCGGTCCTGACCACGACGAAGCACTATTTGGACGGGAAATACGCCCACCCAACCTTGAAGGATATTGTGCTCATCGACATGGCCGAGGGGCTGATCGCGGCACAACAAAGTCTGCATATGCAATTGCGAGACAGGCTTGTGTTCATAAATGGCACAGACGCTGCGCTCATCGCCAACATCAGTAGGGGCATTGGAGTTAAAAGTGACCTAGGGCATTTGCTGGAGATTACAGGTACATCATTCACACTTAAAACGAGTAATCATCTAATCCATCAGTGTCACACGAATTAATTGAGTTTGTTATTGATCATAACGATTTAGAGGACTTTGCTCTCGTCAGCTCTGAATATGATGCCAAGAGATTTTCCATTCTGGCTCGTCGTTTCACAAAGTTTATCCCAATCCAAAACCCAAACCAAGTGAGTCCTTACATAACAAGAGTGCCTTGGTACGGTTACCGAAACTTTTTCACGACCATTTTCATCCCTGCGCTTGGCTCCCTGGTGGAGAGTGGAATTTACGAGAGGTGGGTGAAGTACAAAGAACTTCTCACCATGATTCTGTCATTGTACGAAGTGGATGACAAGATTAGTCGCCGAAATGAACTAAGTTATAAGACACAATCCAATAACTCAATTTCTAATGACCGAAAGGTGACCTCTACGAGTAGTAGACCCAATTTTTACGCAATGGCTACGCTAGTTCCGAGGGGGGAACATCGCAAATTGGGAAAGTCCGTCTTAAAAGGAGTGTCCTTCCAAAATGTCAAGATTGCCCTTATTCTATATTTCTTTTGTTGCTCTCTAGGAGCTCTTGCATTTTTGGTTGAAATTCCATTCAATCGATGGCTTGTTGTCAAAAAAGATTCTCCATTGATGAGAAAGCACTTTAGAAATCAAAGGCGTACAAGTATACTCCACTGTTATTATTAATTGTCGTATCTATACGTATTTATGTAAGCCCTGTCATAATAAAGCGGTTTTCTGCTTGTAATTTTTCTCATGATTTTCAACCTATAGACATGTACACATTTCATACATATGTACGTATATGCATATGTAGAGACATATGTATGTACGTATTTATGTACATACATACACATGTATGTAAATATGTTTTATTAAGTATTACACAACTCATTTTGGCATGTACTGCATTCATGACGAATGCACCCCACACTATTTTTCACCCAAATTTTCCAAACTATATATATTCATACGCACTCAACAATTGCATGGTCATTTTGACTTAACGTCTTTATAATATATGTACAGATTCAAAAATGTTTATATGCATGTAGTCTCATGTTTAACTTTAAAGTTCTCCTTGCGACTTGGCGGAGCTTATCTTCGATCCCATTCCATGACAGTGATCATCAGTCATTGTTCTAGATTATTGCAACTTTTATGTAAATATCTACATAGCTGATGATGAAGAAATAGTAAGATTGATCATCTTGCCCCTCGGACAGCCCCCGTCTCACCGTTGACAGAGCGCTGTGAGTCACGCAAAAAAAAAGCTTCCTCAACCTCCATTACACATTCTCACCTGCCTCCTCCAGCCAAATCTCTCTCACCAATATTTCTCCATTTTTTAAGTTTCCAGACTCAATTTTTTAGTAGCCTCCATTATTACCGATTCTCCTGAAAGAAATCTCCATTAACCGGAAGTAAGCAAAGTAAGTGCAAATTAAAGAATGCTTATGAGTACTATTTATCTTTTATGTATAGTAGCTTGTGCAAAAGCATAAACAAATAATAAATATTTATGGTTTATTATTGTTTATATGTAAATATTATTATATATGTTTATATTTAAACGAATGACTCTATTTACAGACAAAATGGCTGATACAGAACCGAAAAAGCGATCTGCGGATGATGACAAAGAGGGAAATGGAGAGTCTGCTGAAAATGGTACAAAGAAGAGGCGAACGTCGGGAGGAGATGTGAGTTCTATGACATTTTTTTGTGTTTGTTGATGTGATATCAAAAAGGTGCAAGATTTTATTTGGCTAAAAATTTGCATTTGTTTTATTGCCGAAATAGGCAGAGGAAGCGGAACTCTCGGCGGATGCTGGCGTGTTGCTTGTTGCTGGCGGCGTCAATTGGGATCTTATTGGGAGAAAAGAAATCCCGAAAAACTGTAAAGCTCCTCCAGCGGGTCTAAATGTTCAAAATTTGTGGGGTCCACATGCTTGGACGGAGAAGATGCGAGTTAAAAGGGTCTTCAGCTCCCCGGTTAGTTAACAATTTTTAGTTTTACATTATTGGACACAAGACTTAAACTGATTATATTATTCTATATTGTAGGTTGCTTGTCACTCGGCAATCATATCGGAAGATGGAAAAGTATACACATGGGGGCGCAATGAATCTGGACAGGTTACTTATTTATTTATTTTTCTGTATTGTCTAGGGGGTTTGGATTAAAATGCACAATATTGTACGATGTATATAGTTGGGTCATGGCGATACTGAGACCAAACATAAACCAACGTTAGTTGAGCACCTGTCAGATTATACGATTGTCAATGTGGCAATGGGCAGAGGACATACCCTGTTCTTGACGGATAAAGGAGCTGTATACTGTATGTTTTTTTCCTATAAATGATATATTTACGTGTATTACACACAGTGACCTAATGATTTTGTTTAGCCTGTGGTAGCGACAAGCTGGGCCAATTAGGACAAGGCACCGAAGGAAAGGATAAACCTACTCCTTCCAAGGTAAGTTAATTTGAATGCCTAAAGATATATGTAGTAGCAACATGATTAATAAAATTAATCATTCGGGATGTAGATCGATTATACTGGCAAGCCTATTGTAAGGATGGCGTGTGGGGCCGACTTCTCCATGATTGTAGATGTGGGCGGAGCACTATGGTCCTTTGGTTCACCTGAATATGGACAACTGTGTGTATTTTGTTACTTTCAACCATGAAACGCATCATGTACGATGTACTAGCACAATCTATTCATTTTATCCACGTTGTTTTTCGTAGGGGACACGGTACGGATGGAAAATTACTACAAAAGGCTAACAAAATCAGCTTTGTATGTGAGAAATCCCCACGACAGATTACCAAGTTTGTGGAGAAAAACAAGCAAGTTGCAACACCCATTACGAACGTTTCAATTTCCGACGTTAAATGCGGTACAAACCATACTGTGTAAGTGTTTCGCTATGTTTTGCAGAACATACTCTAGCGTGTTATTTATTTTTATTTCATTTGTCGATTTGTCTAGTGTTCTGGATGACAAATCCCGTGTTTTCACGTTCGGATTTGCTGGTTATGGGCGTTTAGGGCACGCGGAAACCAAAGATGAAATGGTTCCACGACAAGTAAAGGTGTGATTATTTGTATTATTTCATAGTATTTATTATTATGTCATGTATAATTTGTTAATTCTGTCGTGTTTATTTTATAGCAACTGGAAAATTTCCGTTGTGTCATAAGCAAGATTGCAGGTATCGACATATGTATTTAACCTTAAACTTAGGATTAGTATATTGCAATAATAAAATTGAATGTTAGCTGATTATGTGTTTATTATTTCAGCCGGATCGACATTTTGTCTTGCTGCGGCAACAACTAAAAATCTCTATTTCTGGGGACAAACAAAAAGCTCTGGCGAGGGTATACATATATTTCACATATTATAACTCGGGTGTTGCTAGAAAATTACTGAACTAAATTGTATTTTAGCAACAATGTACCCTAAACCCGTGCAGGATTTATCAGGCTGGAATGTAAAAAACATTGCTTGCGCGAATAAGAGGTTTGATTATTAGTGTAACTACACTCAGCTAGAAGTATGATAATAAAATCTCTCATATTTTTATCTTCAGTATCATGGTTGCTGCCGATGATACTGTTATTACTTGGGGGCCGTCTCCCACGTTCGGCGAGTTGTGCTACGGTAAAGCACATAATTCCATATTATAATTGTTATATAGAAGCTAATTTTCGCCTCTTACATAGGTGATGGGCGTGATAAGAGTTCCACGGTTCCAAAAGAGGCAAAACCATTGGAAGGGATGCAAATCTTGGACATTACATGTGGTTTTGGCCATGCACTGTTGATTGCAAAAGATCTCACTGCCGAAGACCGTGAGCGTATCGCAAAACTTCCACGCTGGCCATAAATTTCTTGAACTCCAATTCATTTGGCTCCTTCAATACCATCACTGTGTCACTATATATATGAACCAAAGTCATATTAATTGATTTTGACACAACAACAACAAGAAGAATCCTCAACATGATTTTTAATGGGCATAATAATGTGTGTATTATACTAATAATTATAATTGACTTTTTGACTTTTTTTTTTACCATTCGTTGTAAGTTTTTAACTGAGGTTTTCATCCACGACTTAATCCAAAGTCTTTAATTGCCTCTGATGGTACAATTTTATGCACTCTAAAATAATATTTAACATTATTCTTGAAAAAAAATTATTGTTCACGACCCGGTTTTACTTGTGTCCTGTTCACGTGCATGAAAACTGGTGGTGAAGACTTGATGTGATTCTATTGTAATAAAATTTTTAATCAATGTTTTAAAATCTTGAAACAACTTTGTATTATGCATCTCATTTCGAATAATGCCTACCAAATTGGCTGCTGAGCATCAAACTATTTCCCAGCATTGCTAAGATGATTCGACAACAAGTTATTCCAAGATGCGGTGGTTGTGGGAGAATTCCAATATTTGGTGGTTGGAATGGCACTAATGGGAACATTTGTCCCCATGGGAGGGTGGACAGGGCAACTCCAGTATTAGTTTGAGGCATCCCCTGTGCTGTTGTCAAGTCGAGAAGTAGTAATATTCTTGCCAGGGTATTCCGACCCAGGGTTTTATTGGGTTGGGTTTTTTGGGTTTTAATGGGTTGTTAACGAATAAAACCCATTGGGTTTTACCATGTTAAATGGGTTTTATTTGGGTTTTAATGGGTTTTATTCGGGTTTTAATGGGTTTTAACTGTGTTTCAGCTTAAAACTATATTCTAAAAGCTGAAAACAGCTGTCGTACGTTAGACGAAGTTGTTTCATGGCAGCTAAGCAGTTTATTTGATTAATACTGTAAGTTTTAAAAACCAGGAATAAATCGGCGAGTGCCATTACAAGTTTCAAGTGACAAAAATATTTAAAAATAATAATTTCGGAACGAGGTATGTTTAAGTGAGCATACATAATTTAATTACATTTAATTTACATTTTGCTGTCATAATTAATACTTTTTTCCCGAATACTTCCTCTCATCTCAGCGAAGAAATTAAACAAAATACTGTAGTATTTTTTAATTTATAAAGTTTTTTAAAATGTTTCAAGGCGATCTTAATTATCACCTCTGGAAAAATCGAGTACTTATGGACAGCGAAGTACCTTATTATGAGCAAAAGAAGTGTGTCTGTAAAAAGCACTTATTATATTCTCGATCATAATACATACGTACTTTCATTGTTCATAAGTACTCGATTTTTTCCAGAATTGATAATACACGTTAAGATCGCATTGAAATATTAAATTTTAAAAACTTTTAAACTTGGATTTCATTATGATGAGAGGAAGTATTCGAGAAAGAGGTAATATATATTCTCATAAAGTATTAAACTATGATCAGTTAAACAGGACTATTTCGAAACGGATACAAATTCTAACATGGACAAGTAGGATTTGCATATTAATTGAAATTGGATTGCAATAGTAGTGAAAATTGTTGTTCAATGTATTACTTATGTAAAACCTAATAAAACCCAATAAAACCCATAAAACCCATTAAAACCCAAAAAACCCATTAAAACCCATTAAAACCCCTGGGTCGTTACTTTTTGATTAAAACCCTGGGTTTTTCCGAACCCTGATTCTTGCGATTTTGAGGATAATTATAGTGGAATTTTACTTTTATAAAAAAGCGTGATCAAAATTCACATTTCTCTTTAAATATGGCACAAACAATGGTAGCTGTGAAGGACAAATTGTGGTCTACAAAAAATAAATATTTTGAACCGCTTGTGTATTTTTACAGGTGCATAAAAATTATTTATTTGTATGCATTCATGTACATATCCGCCACATTCTTGTATTTGCAACAACTTCGTAAGATTATACATATGTAAATTTAATATAATTTGTACAGTTGGGAACTGTATACATAGATAAGTAAAACATTTTTTTGTTAAAACTAATCAAAACTATTCTTCAACGTACTTGTAATGACCTCCGATATGAATCACTTTTTCATACTTATTTCGAAGACGAACTTCCGTATCTTCATAAGTGGTTCCGTTAACTTTCATAAATAAGACCAGTCTGCCGGAGTCTTTTGCTGAACCAATAATATCCATCTCTATTCTTCGTTTCGCATTCTTGGCCATTTCACCCACGCTAATGCTTACCGACCCGATTTTCTGGTATTTAAAAATTGATCAAAATCCATCGTAATTAGAGTAAATGAATTGTACACAAGTAATTAAACCGCCTTACCACATCTTTGGTCATCATGTTGTGATCATAGACATTAAAGACGAGCATCTGAAAGCAACCAATAATGCGTTTCAATTGGACCACTTATATAAATACATGCATTTAACTATCTTAAGGTATTACTTGTCCTCTTCCGGGATGGTAAATAATGTGATAAACCTCCTTCCAGTCTGGATTGTGCGAATTATCGAGAACTGATGTGTTTGTAACTGTTGGTTTTGCGCTGGTCGTCGCAAAGTATTCAATTGCGACATAACCATCTACACAAGAAAAAATATATTTCACGAGTGAACACTGACAATGATTAATATGTACATGTTATAATTATTATGAAATTACCAGGCGAATTGGTGCCCATGTTGTCAGTGTCGGGCAATTTTCTAGCAGAAATGACAAAGCAAACTTCTATTCCTGGTTTTGTGGGGGCAACTGCATTTTCATCAGCCTTTGTGATCCCGATGATAATTATTATAAGGGAGAGATGGAGGAAAATCTTCATTTCTTAGCCGTGGTATTCTCAAGAACGGTGAGAAGGAAATAAATTGACTAGTTGTAATTTTTGCAATGGGAACAAAACATCAAATATGAATTAAATTTATATTTGACAGGAAATAATTTTCTACAAAATCTGCTGTAAAATTTTTATTGACTTTTTCCCGATGCGTAATCCTTACAGTGGTAAAGAGCAAAATGTAGATGACTAACAAGTGGTTACAAAATAACGATATGGGTAGGATGTCCTATGTAATGTAAGAACAATAGAAATAAAAGAACCATTAATTATTTCATGTTCATTCTTCGATTGCGAAGAGTAATTAAAATTGCCACGTCTGATTTTATAACTTCCGCTAATTGACAACGTAATTTATCGCGAGTAAAGTCATGTTGCACAGCTTCAGATTTCAAGAGATTTTTTAGAAGGGCGTCCAATAATTTCCTTTGAGACAATTTTATACGGTCCAAAAGTTGTGCAGCAGTAAGCGATGACAATAATGGTTCTGTTATGCTAAGGGTTGGGGACAGGGCTGGGAGCTCAATGAACAGCATTCTTTGGTCTTCTCCCATTCGTGGGTTTGCAGGAATGACTTCAATTTTCTTTAAACAGCAAGATCCGTCCATTTCTGCAAACATGATACATTATGCCATATTAGGTAAATATTAAACTGGAACAAATTATAGGGAACAATTAAGTATTAACCTTTCAGAATAATTTTGCAATTATAGAAATTTGCACACGCTTGCAAAAGAACTTGACCAGAACTAAGTTCCGCAAGGACAAATTCTGATAATAAGTACGGATCTGTGCATTTACGCTCCATATTTATCATTTTCCTGGATAGGCGTTTTAGTCGCAGTTCTTGAATGAGGTCATAGCCTACTGATTCAGTTGGTTGAGTGTGACCCTTTGGTGAGACTAGTTCTGTGGGTAATTTGTTATTGCAATAAATACTTGATACACATATATACGTGTTTACTAAAGTTTAACGTTTTAATTCTAATTAGCTCACCTGTATTTTTTGGCATAAACAAGCGACTCAAATGTTGTTGAATAGTGAAGCTCTTGACCAAATTTCTCCTGCTCTGAGATAATTGTCTAATTAAAGAAGCATCCGCATCCACCAGAAAATTGCTGGTCACGGTATTTGAGATTGGTGCGAGGAGAATGTCATACAAGATTTCTTCCACCCTTTCATACAAAATCTTGCATATTTCAAAGGAAATGAATTTGTTTTGATATTTTGTATCAATTGAAGAACTATTTCGTATAGAAGTCGAAGTTGTAGCTGCCGAATTATTGGCAGATGCAATGCATGTCTTCAATATGGACGAAATCTCGCGACCAATGTCCTGCACTAAATCCTCCGATTGTGCAATATCCTTGCTACTTATTCTTGATAGTTTGTCTATTTGCTTCAAATAAAAGTGATATTTTGAGGTAATATTTTTCTTTTCAAAGACCCAATTCCGTACCAGACTCAATTTATGGTCGGCATACGTCTGAATTAAAGACTCAATTCGACTCCATTCTTCGTAAGAGAAGTTATTGTCCTGGCTGAGCGTGAGTATCAGCTTAGATCGGGCCTCATCATTCCCAGTTCGTTGACATAACTGAATCACTTGCTCAGAAGCCATGCATTCGTCGACAAGTTTGGAAAGGTGAGTATTGATGTCTTGCAATAGCTCGTCATACTTGGATTTTATTTTTTCTCCAATGGTAAAAACTTCTGCGGTAAAAGATATTTCTGAGAGGATGACTTTGACGACTTCTTGTCCGAGGAGAAGACCAGCACTGCTTGCCACGCGGAGGCACTCTGATTGACCATTTGCAGCAGATTGACTAATAATGCTAGACCCATATCTTGGGGGACACGTTCCCATGAGGTAGCCAGACACGGCTGGAGATATTAAAGCAACCAGGGAAGAAATCGAAGAGCTCAGTTGTGCCGTCCAATACCCTTCCCAATTTAAATGATCACTAAACATGTTCATTAGAAAGAAACACATGTCGGAGATTCCTTGATCGATTAAAGTTTGTCCGGAAAACGCTCCAAAACCAACGCTGTAAACTGATATTGCAATTCCTGCTGCAATCTGTAAATACCCAGAACTGCAATTGGAAGCAGCTTTCTCAATTTTTAAAGGACTCCATGACTTATCAAAGACATTAATTAGGGAGTCCAAGCCCATCGATTGTATCACCGATATTTCTGAACTCATTCGTTGCTTTGCAGATTTGTTAAGCTTTGAGTCGATCGATGCCAGTGATCCGTCTGGTTTACTGATGAGACTAAGACGGCTGGTGAATTGTTCTAGGGAGTGCAAAATTGAATACTTTTCATGAACTAGTGCTCCTCGAACAATCAAGAAATTGATGATTTCCGGTGTGTTCCAAGGGTGTTCAAGATATTCTCCAGTAAAGTGCTTTGGGATATTTATCTTTCCACTTTGAGGGATTTCATCTTCGTACCCGATTTCGGTGACATTGAGCCAGCTTTTGCTAATCAAGTGAAGCCAAAAGGCTTCTACACTTCCTAAGGTGAGAATGTTTACTCGTTTAAAGAATTTTTTGACTTCATCAATCGTTAAAGTTTCAAATTTTTCTAGCAAGGCTTTAAATTGGGCTCCAAGCAGTGGCTCGCTTAAAGATTCACTGGGCTTCAGTATGCGATACCGACGAAGAACTCCTGAGTAAAATAATTCATTTACGAGTGAAGAACATGGATCAGAATTTATGAACGAAAGGTTCACAACTGAAGATGATGGTTGTTGTTGTTCTGTTTTCATCTCCTTGTCAAGATGAAGGGTGTAAATTCTGAAATTCACAACAGAATCAATTCGATATTAATTAGGTACATTAAAATGTAACAGTAATCCAATCCAAATATGGGGAATTATGAGGCATATTATTGAATATGATGCTTACCTATATATGCAATGCAGTTTGAATACTGCAACAATCTGATCCTTAAAAAATGCATACTTTCCCCAGTTCACACTGTCGAAATCCGCATGGACTAGGAGACCCTACAAAAATTTTGATTCTGATATTTTAAAAATGACTAACAAGGGAACCTTAAGTACTGTCACATCTCGATTTCCTGTAGGATGGTCTTAATTGATAGAGAATTTAGTGTAACTAAAACACTGACATAGAACATAGGGTGCAAAATCACGTTCTTGCGAAATATTTGGCGAAAGTTCCACCAAAACGTGCAATTTTTTCAATGCTTTTAACATAGACAACAGCCTTCGGAATAATGAAATGAAGTTTATAAATTATACACCTGTCCGTAATTTTATACTGATCACCAATATGAAAACAAACATACAAACATTGGCCAATTTTTTCAAATTGCGAAAATCTGCAAAATTTCCTAAATTTGAATTTTGTCGTTGTTTTTTAATTTTAACAAAATTTAGATGCTAAACTTCTTTCTTTGTATTGCAAAAAATTTTCAAAAAATAATTTTTTCCTTGTTGCAACCAAATTGACGAAAATTTTCAAAAATTAAAATTCACACTTTTTCATGAAAAAAGATATAATGACCAATGCTAGTTTATTTTACGTATTTTTCAACATGGTTGGCTATATTTATTTTTGCAAGTTGCAATAAATTTTGGAAATTTATAGTTATTTTAGTTATTTATAGTTATTTTGTTGAATATATTAAAAGCTAACGATATAAATTTCCAAAATTTATTGCAACTTGCAAAAATAAATATAGCCAACCATGTTGAAAAATACGTAAAATAAACTAGCATTGGTCATTATATCTTTTTTCATGAAAAAGTGTGAATTTTAATTTTTGAAAATTTTCGTCAATTTGGTTGCAACAAGGAAAAAATTATTTTTTGAAAATTTTTTGCAATACAAAGAAAGAAGTTTAGCATCTAAATTTTGTTAAAATTAAAAAACAACGACAAAATTCAAATTTAGGAAATTTTGCAGATTTTCGCAATTTGAAAAAATTGGCCAATGTTTGTATGTTTGTTTTCATATTGGTGATCAGTATAAAATTACGGACAGGTGTATAATTTATAAACTTCATTTCATTATTCCGAAGGCTGTTGTCTATGTTAAAAGCATTGAAAAAATTGCACGTTTTGGTGGAACTTTCGCCAAATATTTCGCAAGAACGTGATTTTGCACCCTATGTTCTATGTCAGTGTTTTAGTTACACTAAATTCTCTATCAATTAAGACCATCCTACAGGAAATCGAGATGTGACAGTACTTAAGGTTCCCTTTTGAGATTTCCTAGTCAGAAACTTAAAATGTGTTTTACACATATTCGTACCTGCGGAGTAATAAGATTCTGTCCAATAAGGTGGTACTCTAGATTATAATCTAAAAAGTCGAGTGGAACACCTCTCTCTGCCAGGACCTTTAAGGCGTACTCAAATTTGAGCAGATAACCAGGTCCATATTCTAACTCTCTTCCAAGTTGGTCAATGTTTTCACTCATCCATTCCCCAAACTGGTTTAACTGGATGAATCCCTTGGTTTCCAGACTGCGAAAATCCAAATTCCTTACAGCATCCGAATAAGAATCTCTAATGATAACTGCCAAATGACGTGAAGACGACGAGGAGATGGCGATATTTGGAACAAAACTTTTATAAAACAGCCGACCTTGTCTTTCTATTTGGAAAATATCGCCAACCTTCCCATTCTTCTGCAACCGCTTGAAGCAAGGGTCTTCCACCAATCTTTCTAAGGAGCCGCAAATAACTCCAACCGTTGTCAAAGAGGAAACCACTCGGGAGGATACCAACGCTTCCCAGAATTCATTTTTTGTTGGGAGCCTCAATCGATGTTCAAAAAATTGCTTAATCTCTTCATTCGTAATGTCCATCCGGGTTTCGCACTCTTCCCGCAAGGACAATCCCAGCTCATGCAGCTCGACTGATCGCACCCCGTAAGCCGCGGCGATTTCCTCCAGCAACTCAACATCAGGGTCCAGACATTTGTAAACCAAGCGGTTTGTCACTCCGTTCGGAACTGCGCTGTTATTGCATGGAGGCAGTTCTATAACGGAACAATTTCGAATTAACCTGGCTTCCGTAAGTTGAGTCAACAATTCTGAAATTTGATCATGCGTTGTAATCGACTGCGTTTGAAGGTACGTCGGCAATAAAATGGAACCCAAAATACCGTGAATAGAGTCGATAAAAAGTTGATAAAGTGCAATCATATTTTTCCTCTGTTCTTTGAAAGACTCGACTTGTACAAAGCTCTGCGTTTCATGGAGACGCAGTGATATTGATAGCACTGCAGAAATGTGGCTACATTCTTGTGCAATTAGGGTTTGAAATCCCCGCTCCACAGTTCGTAACATGGTCTTGACTTCAGCCCTGGTATTGCTGTCAATTTTGTCCTTCATTATTATCATAGCGTAGGCCTTGTAGTAAAGCGGAATTGTGGTGAGGGGCGAATTGCTTCCCATGATGGAAATTGCCTTATCAAAAAATGGGATGGCAATCTCTGCATAAGTGTTGTCGTTCCAAACCGTCCCAAGAATTCGAGACCACGTTGATTTGTCCAGGTATAGTTTTCCAACGGTGACGAGGTGCGTTGGGGAATCGAGAATGTCGATTAGATTTGACGGTGATAGAGTTTCGCTTTCCATGATTTGCTCATCCGCATCTTGTGGTTCTATTGATTGCTGAGTCATCAATGCAGTTGGTATGTCCCCAATGTCAAGGTAATCTACGATAACGTCATCCCTGGGTTGTTGAAAATCTCTCATTAAATTGTTCAAGCTTTTGATAGCTTCAGCGTATGGAACTCGTAGTGTGACTATTTTATCCAACCAGAATGCCCACTTATCAATGAGGCTATGGAGGACGACGTCTTGAATCGCAGTCTTGTTGTAAAACTCTTTAATTCTAGGTTTCATTCGTTGATAATGTTTACTGAAATGTTGAAATAATGATTCCTCGTATCCAATGATGGACTCAAATTCACTTTCGATTTGTGACATGGCCAGCACCTCGTACTCATCTCGATCATTTTTCAAATCAACCATCGTCACTTCGTTAGAATTGTTGGTGTCATTGAGACGTTGATGTGATGAATGGTTTTGTAAAAGGCTTTTATTCCTGATTATCAAAATTCCAGAGCCATTTTGTCCCTTTCTTGCCGCTCTGCCAAACGCTTGTTGTTCCACACGGATATTATTTGGGAGGTAGGAAAGAATGACGCATAAGCCACCGTTGTTGTTGAGCTCTTGCGAAATTTTTATATCCGTTCCACGCCCAGCCAGATTCGTGGAGATGATTATATGACCAGGGCACAACTCCTTGTCGGCTTTAGCGTCCTTGTCATTGCCCATGAGAATTGAAAACTTTTCATAACTCCGTTTATACACGTGAATATTCTCAAGCGTAATTGTAGAATTCATTTTTTGAACTTTATCAACAAGTCCCAATTGAAGATAGTCTGCGTCATTGATAGACTCACAGATAATCAAAGCTGACCTTTTTTTCTGTTCAGAAGACGCTAACTCTATTGCTTTCGAGACAATGGAATCTCTCCACTCTTCTAAACTTCCAACTACGATGGGCAGTTCTTCAACAAATTTCTTGGGCGTGGCTGTTGGGATATTGATAAATTCTACGGCATAGTTTTTCTTTAAAAAGTTTCTTTCAATTTCTGACCCCAACGTTCCCGTCAACCCATGGATCAGTCCGTATCGTCGAAAGTAGGATCTGTTGCTGATAAAGATTGCTTTGAGGTTTAAGTTTGAAAATGAAGTTTGATGCTTTAATTGTAAAAACTGATGGAGTGCGTCGTTCCATTGTGATTGAAACAAGTCGACTCCGGTGTCTCGATCAACAATAATCACTTTTGGATCCTTGTCCGGACAAATGAAGCTTTTAGACGTGGTGTCCACAATGTATTCATTTCCCGTGGTGAGTTCCAATGCTCGAAACGCACTCGAAATCCAACTGTCCAAATGCAAATCTACGAATTCTTCAAGATGTTGAGGTACTACGAATTCTCGTTTTCTTGCATCTTCCACTTTGATAAGGTACCAAGCCTGAGTTTCATAGGACGACAGATGGTCAGGCAATGAGGGTTGTCTGCTAATTTGTTTCGGGGTATAACAATTGTTCAAGTCCAAGAGACCAAGCTCACAAAGTGCGGAATGAATCTGGGCTGCAATTCCTGCATTATTTTTTCCCTCCTCGAGACATTGAAATGTGGCTGGAGTGATTACGGTTCGGATTTCGGATAGAACAGCCTGTTTTACAAGATTGAATGTTACAGGTACTTCCGGCTTGGAGTTGATGTTCATAGTTTTCCAAATGAAGATAAAAATGGGATTGAGAGCTTCCATTCCTGCAGGTTTATGCGAAAGGTAGAGAACGCTGCTTCCCTTGTCAAGCAACATGCTATCCACCTCATCCACCATTATGGACAAGTTCTCAAGAGCAGACCTTTCTCCAAGAATGTTGGTTTCGAAATACTTGTTCAGGAGATAGTCCCGTTGGAAATTTCCGACATCGCCGTAAACCTGTGGAAAATTGTTGGTAAAAATTCCCATTTGTTTAAAAATCATAGCCTATGTACATACGTAGGAACAATAGTAAATATTTATCATATTTATGTAACGTACGACGTCGTTCTTGTAAGCGGATTTCCTTGCTTCAACGTCGCAGCTAGAAAACATTATAAAAATTCATAATTAAATGGTTAGATCTTGGTTTAAATCTTGATGTAATATACTGATTTATTAATTAATTTACCTCGAATTATGGCCGACGGTGACATGAAATATTTCGAAAACGTCCTTATTATCATTCGCATCTCTTTCTGCAAGAACCGAGCTAGAAGTTACGACATCGCATCGTCCACCCAAAAGCACTCTCATTATGGCCCAAGCTACGACAATAATCGATTTTCCTTCCCCTGTGGAAACCTGGGCCAACGTGTTTCTCCTTTCTTCCTGTAGCATTGTCACTAGTGTCACTTTTTGAGTATCCCTCAACGTAAAGTTTTTGCAGTGCGAAATAGCAGAGTTGATACAATATAGCATTTCTCCCACGCTTGGTTTCTCCTTGGGGGCTAAAGTTCTTATTTTTAAGGCCCATTTTGAAATAGCTTCCTTTATCGGAACCTGGAATTTATTTGAATTAGTATAAATAATTTAATTTGAATATCTAGTTTTAAATGCATGTATTTACCTCAGGATCAAGGAATCCAACCCCAGATTTCGGCTCTTCTTTTAATATAAAACGAAGCTTTTGAATATCCATCTGGCTCAAGGTTGTGTTTTTGTCGCTGGAGAGGAATTTAAGAATATCATCTCGTTGTCTTACTCCCTTAGGTATTTTGGAGTCATTCTGATGAGCCAAAATAACGTAAAAGTACTCGAAAGAGTCCAATTGTTGAAAGTTGGTTTCACATTCAATACTGGAAATTGACCAATATCCGTGATAGTAGTTGGAAAAAATCTCTAAAAGTCTCCCAGTGTCAATTTCGGTCTTAGGATGACTAGTTTTTATTTTGTGCAAAACACAAATACATTCATCGATAAAATTGGGATGCTCATTATATAGGAAAGAAACGTAGTAAATGCACTTTTTGTAATCTTGATTACTTTCATCCCCTTTCCAAGCAGTATTCAAAAGTTGGAAAGTTTTACGAATTTTTATGTTTGTCAAAACCTTGGGCCAATCTTGCAGTCTGATGTCCAACAGTTCGTTATAAATGTCGTCAGTCGTTAGGTCAATATTTTCGCTGATTATGGAAGAAATATTCTCAATTGTGTTAATTAATTGTACATTCGGGTAAGTAATTTCATCCAGAGTAGCGGATATCCGCTCATGAAAATAATCAGCACTTTTTTCTGCAATTAGAATTAAACCAGTTTCCTCTAATCTTGACAAATTGTGTTTCCATTGGGTCCACTGAAATTGATGCACGGTTTGATTGCAGCTTCGGAAAATTTGTTGCAAAATTATGAAAACAATTTCGAGTATCCAATCCTTTTGGGGTAAAGCAGTTATGGTCCATTCGATGTGAAGCATATCAACCTCATCACTGCCTAAAATTGCAAGAACAAGTTCAACAAAGGTTGAGCGATTAGATAGCAAAATGTCCCCTTGCCAAGTCAGCCGGTCAATTAAAGCTTGGATTAACCGATTATCAAATCGTGTACTTGTTAGGAACGCTAGTTTTATAATTCTTGACGTGTCAGGTAGAATATGATTCAGTTTTTGGGTCAAAGTATCCAAATCTGTGGAACTCGATGGAGGTGTGAATAACTTGCTCAGCGTAAACCTCCGATTCAAGAAGCATCCTTCAATTGCTTGTTGTCTCTCGGCGAGATCAAATTCTTCAAAAAACTCTGATCTCGAGGTATCATTAAGAATTTCCAGGTAAATCTGGGCTTGTTGGTTGGAAATGACCTAGAAATAATAGTCACAGAGTGAATAGCAAGGAGCTCATTAGGAGTGAGCTATAATTAAATATTTTATATACATAAATACCTGAAATTTGGCAAGTGGTGCAAAATTGACATCGGTCTCAATTATCTTAATGCAAGTTGTTGCTTGTGATTGGGCTAGTTCGTTGTTTAATAAGCTGGAGAAAGAATTTGTAAGCGGTTGAGCCGAGTAGCGAAGATGCAAACGTGGAGAAACTGAATTTGGCGAAGGGTTTGGACAATTATTGCCCATGTGCGTGTTCTTGTTGTATACGCAGAGTTGAACTCTGTAAATTGTGGCCAATACGTCAAAGTCTAAATCCGACAGGAGGCCTTTGGACAAGACTTTTGCATATTCCACCAGAACGTTTGGTACAACGTCCCCTGAATCGTTATCATCGCCATTTGCTAATACTGTTCCATAATTATTCTTTGAAAGTTTTTTGACATGTTTTTTAGTGTAGCGGTTAAGGTATTCCATAAACGTGGGAAAATTAGTTGTGACCCCCTTCTCAAATATTGATGTCTTCAAGACATTGAAAAAGTGGGATGGTGATGAGCCGTTATGTTCCCCATTTAATTGATCAGCTTCATTTACCAGATATCTCTCTATATCTTGACCAAGTTGGACATGCAAATTGGAAGACTGGAAATTATTTTCCAACAATTGGCCACAGTTTTTTATGAAAATGAGAAAAAAATTGGGGTCCAGTTTACGAATTTTTCCCATGCTGACTTCTGGCAAAAGTTGAATTTGGCAATGAAGTTTGTATAATAATTGATGTCTTAGTGTTTGGATCAGATTGGTTTTTATATCCAGAATTAAGGGGATCGAGTCCATATTGGTCTCCATATTATCATCATGTCGCTTAATGAATAATAGAAGCCTTTTGCATCCCTCCATTGACAGTCCAGTTGTTTCGCTGCCTGAACTGTGAACAACTTCTTGAATTCGTCGGCATAATTCTTGAATATTATGCTTTAAATTCACATGTTGGTTATTCAAATTCGTTACTGCATCCAAACTTTGTGTGTAGAGTAACAAGGACTGAGTTAAGTCAAGTAGTGGGCTTTGTTCAATTGGAGTTAGCAAGCTTTTTCTGTTTAATCTTGTTTTAGAATTTTCTCTTGTGAGTTTGTCCGTATTCTTTATTCTGTCCGATTCCCCTACCAATATTTTCTTTCTCGGAGGAGGGACAGGGTCCTTGGGATTAAAGTCACGAATTCTTGATGCAATTTGCAAAGTCTGTAATGCCGAATGCATCGAACTGCTCTCAAAAACTTGGTGGCTCAATCTTCCAAAAAATGTACTTGTTGCGGGTGTCATTAATGGATGAAGTTCAGTTTCTAAAAAGTATTTACGACAATGTGTCTCAAATTCGCGTTGTATGTCTGCTTTGACGATGCTCCGTTGCTTCTGTGCCGTTTTTATTGGGGCTCTCGCCTTTAACTCGAACCTTTTGTTCTCATTTTTCAACCGAGTAAATTCCCGTATCGAGTTTTCAAAATGAATTTTGCTTTTCGCAAACCCACAATAAGGTGAAGGTTCAATCTTGGATTCGTGCAGTCGCTTTATTAAGGTCCCTTTGTAGAATGTACGACCATGTATTGTACGAAATGGGTGGACGCAAGCATAATCCGTACCTGCAACAGTAATTGGAGAAACAGCTACTTGCAGGAAACTTACAATACTCAATAGTTCAAATAAATTACCTTTTCGGCCTGGTCTACCAGGAATTCCCTCTTTTCCTGGTGGTGCATCTTTTCCAGCATTCCCATCCGACTTTTCCACCGTGATCAAAGAGAGTTGCCCACTATTTCTAGGCGACTTTCCTCCTTTACTACCTGAATTGCTGCTATTTAGCTGAATATCAATCTCCCCCGCATAACCAGGCGACCCGCCTTTGCCTCCACGACCCGGATAACCACCAAGTGATCCTTCTGTTCCAGCCGAAGCAAAATACCAGGCGTGAAATCCATACGCTTTGGTGTGAAGGGGTCCCTCGTAAATAGAGAAACCTGCTTCTGCCCCGGCTGAAGTCACGATTGATTGATACACAAATTTTTCTCCACTGGCATGATACAAGCATGAATTTTCATTCTGGTATCCACCCTCGGCCTCCAAAATGTCTATGAGGGCTTGGTAACATTTTAATTGATGACGATTGGACATTTTGTCATTAAACCTGGAAACCTTAGGAATCATGGAGCGGAATTTGTCTTCATCAATACTCGTATATTTGTCTCCGTCTTCGCCGTCTATACCATGACCACCATCACCGCCAACCTGGCCTGAGCCACCGTCCCCACCGTTGCTTCGAATATGCAACGATGCATCAATTCCTTGACCGATGACTGAAGATATTATAATTTGGACATTTCCTCCAGGTTTTCCAGGCTTCCCGTCTTCGCCGTCTAGTCCATTTTGCAATGGGTTGATAGCTTTTGGTGGATTCATAGAAAATGCGGACTGTCCTGAAAGTTAATTAAACATGTATGTTTTACAAATAAACAAACACTTAAGTAAGCATTTACAGACATATGTGCAATATTTCTTGCAAAATAGAAAAGTGAATATGTTTAGTCAATTACTTATCATATGCACACATGTATGCAAATTTATATGTTCTGAATAATAATTGGTCTCATTATTAAGTGTGTACTTTAATTATCTAACTATAAAATAATTGTGTATTTCCTCGTCTAATGTTTACGGAAAAGGTTCAATGAATAGATTGCTCACCATTTTCACCTGAAAAATCCCAAACATGGCTCGAGCTAATGATTAACTTTGTTGTAGACACGACAAAATTAACGCCTTTAAATTCGTCATCCTGCAAATCTCTATCTACAATTATAACATCAGGCGAGTAAATATGCACTTCTTGAACATAGCATTTTTTCAACTGTTTTACTATTTCTGAATAAACTTCTGAAATGCTTAGGACGCAACCACAAATTGTTAACACGCCGTTAGTCGCAGATATATTTGCTGGTCGCACGAAATATTCCATTCGTAAAGCTAGTTTATTCTTCACAATTACTTTTTCCGAATCTGAAGAAACTTCTAGTCGATTTTCATGCAAGGAAATAAGTCTGGAAATAATTTTCTGAGGGGCTGGCTCAACATATTTTTGTTTCATTTTTCCCAAGCAAGTTTTTATAATGGACAGATCATCATTATCCAATGGGGTGCTCAATGTCTGCAACTTTAATCCAGCGATTAAATCATATTTCGAAATGCCAGATTCTGTCAGTAGTAACTGAAATTGTTCCAAATATTCTTTCGAATCTCGATATTGTTCCACATTTTCGAGGACGTTGTTCCAAATTTTAGCTTTAAACGTTTCTAATATTATTAACCGTTCGTGACGGGACTCAAGCGAGATGAAGTTGGAGCAAAAGTCTTCTAAAAATTTGAATGAATTGTTTCGTGTGAGAAGTCTCAATTCACGGGGAAATTGTTTGGGAACGAGTGCTTTCACGGTGAGGGCGTTGATGTCCTCCAAAATTTCGGACAAATATTCAACATCATCCAACGCTTGCAACTGTTTTGTGCACTGTTCAACCCAGGCGTCCAGACAGTATTTGAGACACTTGTATTTCACGTAGTAGTCCTCCATCATGTCCAGATCGCGTTTTAGGTGTTCTTTTAAAATTAGAAGTATTACATTGAGTGGTTTCCCTCCTTTAAGATTTTCTTTCAACAAGGACTTGATTTCTTCCTTTGTAGTCATTTTGTAGCCTTTTTTACGGTGGATTTTTTCCCAGAAATTACGAATGTATAAGTATGGCAAAAATATTTTGAGATCTTTAGTTTAATATTTATTTGACAGTTTAAGCGATTTTTTAAATGATGTCCAACTACGGTAGTATCAGACAGACAACGAATGTGAAGGCCAGATTTATGCATGCAATTATTATCAGTTAGCTGTTATCAAGTCAAGGATTTTATAATAAATTTAACTGGCATTATTTACTTGGAAGTGGACTGTCGTCATTTTAAATAATTCATAGTATTTATGTATATCGGATACTACTATACATACATATAGGAAATCAACATTCACCAATGTGCAAACAAATAGGCAATATATATATATATTCACCAATATGCAAACAAATAAAACGACGAGGGTGGTTCGATTGTGATCTAAATTCTAAGGGGTATGATAAGCTACACTATCCATTAACAAAATATTATGTGGTGGTACACCCTGATGTATATCACGCAAAACTCATGACCAAGTTTATCATAAAGGATATCAGAAATGTGAAGGGTTAGATAACTGGATTAAAATACTTCTGTTTGTAATATAGTGCAAAACTGATTGCGGATATTAAATATGTTTCTTGACACAATATGATTTATTTACCGACCACTAGATATGTACATATACATATCTAATAAATAATACTAATTGCATACTGGTCGAGAATCCCGACTCGGGATGATTATGTTATTACGCCCGTAGTGGATTTTAACGGATGAATTTCCATTTCAAATTGTTCAATAGATTTGTGGCTTACACTTAACCTTTTGACAATTTTCCTGAGTTGTACAAACTTTAAGAAGGGCCAATCTTTGATCTGTAATTGCAGCTACGTTGTATGTGTATACATAGATGAGAATATGGGACATGTGCATAATCAGGTTTTATCCAGCAAAGACCCAAGTCACAGGTACAATTAAAATCAGAAATTTTCAAGAAAATTTACAAATTGAGATTTTAAATACTTTACTGGGTACTTTTCAGTATTTTCCTGGGTGCGTTAATAATAATCCTTTATTTAATCGCCTTAAGTTATGATACTAACTTTATAATTCGGGTGAATTATTCCATACATATACAAATGCAAATCAGGCAAAATATGAATGAGGGAAAGCAATTAACAACGAAGCCGAGTAATTTGACAGGACAGCGTAGACGACTAGAACGGACCTCTTGGTAATAAAGGGCAACGTCCCTGTCTCAACACCAAACGGTTTCAAAGCGTTAAATTCCCTTCGAATCATTCCGATTTTGAATCTTGCACAACCTCTCAAGTTTGTCCTCCTGAATTTCTCCAAAATGGTTGTCGATGTCGTGTACACGGAGGCAGAACCGTACAATAGGGCTGTAAACATGATGAGCAAGAAAGTACAACAAAGGGGAAAAAGCATGTATTCGATAATTGAAATAATCCCATGAAGACGGATGGAACCAAATAAAGTGAGAACCGATGAGATGAAAAACATTGCATAATTCATCGGGTAGGCAAATTTAGTCTGGGCGTGGTTGAAATGTGAATTTATAACTTCAAGTTTCCTAAAATTCCTTATTCCACGTATGACAGCCTAGATGATTTTTTGCAAAAGGCAGTTGTTAATGTAATCGCTTTAATTAAATTTATGCAATTTATTTTCTTACGTCAATTTTCACTTTTCCAATTGACGAATTTTCCTCATTCCCCAACGTGGTCATCCAGTGAGACGCCACAATCATGTAGACTGTAGTGTAATTCGTAAAATAAACTAATCCCCCACAGCTTACGTGGATTATGTAAATTTGAAATATTGAAAATAATCCTAGAAACATCATTGAATGATCGTCGTAATTTAATAGCGCAGAAATAAATTGTGGTTTGTTGGACAAAGCAACTGCCATGATGCTTCCGCATACAGCGAAACAAATCAGCATGAAATCTTGAGCGATCATTAATAGTTCTAAAATACTTATGGTTTGCAACTTTTGGAAAGTCGATGATGACGCGGTGTTACTGATTTTACAGTTGTCACTCTTTTTTGTTCTTTCCTCTAAAAGTCCTGCAAAAAAATTAAAACGTAATTAGATGCATAGTTTTGTACGATTCATTCCTAAGCGAAGCAGCGAATTCTGCATGAAACATGAGAGAAATGTAAGGGATTTTTCTAACTTGCGAAATGTGCATCCAGCTGAATTAATCCCTTGATGAAAATAATGCTATCCAACTGTTTGTAAATTGTATTTACATAATTTTCCACAACCCACCAATAATACGTTCCCCATAAAATTATCCACAAAAAGTCCACAAGTGTTTTCCCCTCTTTTCTTCTTGATGATATTTGAAGAAATAATTGATAGGTTAGATAAGCAGCATAAATAAGGCTAATCAGAGCACCCAAAGCAAATTTAAATATTTTAAACCACGACTTTGTTAATTGCAGTGAACCGTTGTTTGATTTCCATTCACATAAAATCGATTGTGTGATTTCCTTATGTGATGTTGATTTTTGGAAAACTGAAACGACTCTCGGAGAAAACATTGCTGGGTTTTTCAGCATATTGCTTGGTAGAACATTTGCGAGTGAACTTCTCACAGCAGCCAATTTAATGCAAAAGCGTCGGAGTAGTACTCTGGTACAGGACATGGTTAAGGATTAGGAAGCCAATGCTAATAATTGTCGAATTAAAGTAGGTAGCAGATTATATTGTGTACCAGTTATTATTGCAGGGTTAATGTCGTCAAACATTTTTAAAGGGACATTGACAGTTGTTGGATGTTTCCTATTTGAAAATTGCATGTTATGATCCAATTATATAGCGGAATTAAATAATATATGAAATTGAACGTTGAATAACGATTCGGAGTACGATACCATCTACAGACAATTTGGGAGGGAGAAGAATCATAACAAGTTAAGTTGACTGACTGTGGTTTGATCTTTCTCAGATAAGCGCCTGATTGTTTTCGTATTTTAGATATAAAGCAACCGCTGACAAAATTTCATTTTAGAGTGTTAAGTGATGTCTGATGTGAATTGATGTCAGTGTCATTGATATAGTAATCTAAATCAGAATATACATTAATGCAGCATCAAGCACTAAATCGCCGTAAATGTCAAAGTGTTCATTCGATCGAGTAAAATACTAGTGATTCACATTTAATTGATAAATGAGTCCTATCTCAAACAATCCCAATTCGAATAAAAGCTTGGTCTAACTTTCATTGTGTTTGGCGTTGGTTGTTGACTATCATTATTTGTAATTATTGACTTGGGCAAACAGATGAGGACTTGTGACATTTAATTGTCATTTAATGTTTTATGATATTTGCTAAAATTCATCAACCAATTATATTTACAGATTTGCAAAACAAATTATAATTGTCACAGAGTAAACTGTGGACAGGATATTGGTAATCGTTTAGTTTTGCTATTGACCAGATAAATAGTAAAGCTATTAACCGCATGTATTTGGTAGAAGGCGTATCCCGCAGTGAAAAATATATTATATTGTTTTTGCTTATATGCAAATGTGTATGCGAAAAAGTGTGTGCATATTTACTTATGACTTAGGATTAAAGGTTAAGACTTTTGTACATATGTATGCTTAAGAATCTTTATACATCCATCTCCACCTTATGATGATATTAATAAGTTCGAAAATGACCCCAAAAGTCACCTTGCCCTTCAAGAGGTGACAATTATTTTGCATATGCATTTCACTACTAGGTCAAAGAGGTTCCCCTAAACACATTTCCAAGAATAAGTCTACGACAAAGCATAGTCTAAAAGTATCAGTAAAAGTGTCCCTTAAATATTAATTTTTATTATGCATACAACGTACGTTTTTGGGAAGCTACATAGGTTAGATGCTACATAAATTAATGCTTGGCTGACAATAGCGTGGTGTGATAACTTTAGGTTGGCAATTAGTTAGGGTAACATAATTAGATAACCTCAGGCCTATTCTTACCCCAGAAACTTGAAACAGACTTGCATATATGTAAATATATATGCATATAAATACCTTTAAATTAACTATTTGAGGATATAATTGACGTCATAAGGAACTAAATAAATTAAGGCGCAATGGTACACATCATACTGTATACATGTATGTATGCATACATATTTAAGTAGAAATGTATACGTAGACCTGACGGATTTCATAAGAGGTGGGTTTGTGGAAATAAGTTGCACTCAAGTAATATTGTAAAACATAAGCAATATTAATACGTAATTAATTTCTAATAATAATTTCTAAGAATACCATAGTCTATGAATACATATTAGGGTATTGCTAGGAGCTTTACTAGAGGGTCATAAAACTATATTTGACCAAATGCTGCTGAACTTCAACTCCATGAAACTTTACTGTTTTCTGACATTGGTTAAGACATATTTTTCTTTTCAAATTAACCAAATGGCCATGAGAGGTGAAAAGACTAAAGAGCATGAAGGAACACGGGGTACTATGTTCAACGACCGAGTAGTTCAGACCTTTAAAAGGCTGGTCTATCTCGAACAGATTACACAATCAGTGTTATGTGAGTGGAAACATGACAAATTTATCGTTACTAAATCAAAGCGAAAAATCTGCCAATTTTACTTTGGCGTTGGTCTCACCTTGTTGTACATAACTCATCTTTGTGTTCAGTTTGCCTTACAATTACACAGATTCAGTAATTTGGTAGACTTTTTCTGGACCATTTTATGGATGTTATACTTTTTTTGGTCATTTGGGAATTATGCTAATCTCATAGCTAAGCAGAAGGATGCTGTAGCATTTTACCGAGGAATGGTGACTCTTGATACTCATTTCGCAGGTATATTAAGTCCTAAATAAAGTAATGTATGTAAATTGTACTTATTAATTCAGTCAGTTTAGATTAATCTAACAATTGCTTGGCTGGTTCCAGAAACGATCTTGCCTATAAAGCATGAAACTTCAAAGGAGGAGAAAAAGCCAAGACATATTTTACAGGAAATTAGCATGATGGAGTGGTTAATGATCATTGAGGACATGATGTACATTACATTTGGGATTTGTGGAGCACTGATAGCCGTTGTATTATCGCACAAGCCACAATTCATTTCAATCCTTTGGGAAAATCATACCGTGGGATTTTTAACGTTTTTAGCAGGATTTCAATTTTATACAATAGAAGCGTCTTGTGGTTCCATAATTTTTTGTATTAATTACGCCGTACTCTACATGATTGCCGCGTGTCACTGGCTGAAGACTTTGCGAAGATTAATGATGAATATTGGAATAAATACGGGTCAAAAACTTGACGTAATTAAACTATCAGATTCATAAATGGAATGCGGCCAATATCAGTGTAAATATATTTTGTATGTATTTCCCGTTTTACAGATATTCTGCATCTTGGGCTGCTACAAAAAATTGCAGATTCTCAACGCAAGCTTAAATACAGCTCATGCATCGTTTCTCTGTCCTTTGAATTTAACAATGTTCTTTACTACGTCAATCTTAACCATGTTCGGAGCTATTCGACTCAAGGAAGTTGCCACACTGGCAGAATATATTTTGTTTCCATTAGCTTGCACATTTCTATTAACTTTGTTCTCAGCACTGCTCTTCGGGTCTGAACTAATTTACGATTACTCATCAAAATTGGTCAGTCAGCTGAAAAGATGCCAAATTTATAATGATACCGGAAATGCAAGGATTCAAAAAATGTTCAGGAGAGAAGTTGCAGCACAAAAATCATTTGGGATTCGGTTCGGAACAATGCAACATCTAACGAAAGGCACAGTTTTAGTTATTTACGAACGTTTATTAAACTATGCTGTGTCACTACTCATTACTTTCCCTCATTCCTACTTTCACAAGTAGTAAATAAATAAAATAAAATTGAATTTTATGCACTGTTTTACTCAAATATGACTAATCTTGATTGTGCACGTATTAAACATCAATTCATGACCCATGACCACCATTGCTAATTGATGTTTTTGTGTATCGGATTATTAAATGCCAATTGATCGTTTCTTTTGATTAGTTTTACTGCAGAAAATTGCATAATTAAAATAATTGTGATTATTGTCACTTTTGATAGTTGCCTTTCGTAAGGATAAGCGTAGTTAAATATGTATGTTCAAAATCTTCTTCTTGAATACTGATAATGACTCGGACATATCTGACGAATTCGTGGCTGATTCACTCGTTGAATAATACTTATGCATAACCAGTTTTAAGTCAAGGGCATGATAAATTGAGCGTTATTATTTATTAATAGTGGGGAATGACTCGTTACCCTGTAACTAATTTTATAGATATAAGGACTGTCATAAAGGTGACATCTTCCGTAATAAATAAGTGCTAAATGCAAAAGGGACCAATGATTTTGGTCTCCAAATAATGACAATAATTGATCGTATTAGGATAAATGCAATAATAATGATTGCAATGAACGGAAAAATATAGGAATTTCTATATTCCAATATTTCGTCTCACAATTTGATATGGGACCGTGTACAAATGACATCACAGGTGAGATAGAGGGTGTGTGGGAGGGGGTAAGGTCAACTGTGACGAATTATGACCAAGGGGTGGGGTTAGTACGAAGTATCACGTCATTTTTATTAATTCATAAGATTTGTAAAGAGTCATAAAATCAAATTCATAATATTCTAAATACGGACAAACAAATTATTTTCTCTTACCTATTCTTATTTTCTGTCTTTTCTCTTTCATACTGTAAATCTCCAGTCGTATCCATTTGTGAGCTAAAAAAATTATATAACTATTGTCTCTCTGTTCATGAAAAATTGAGACCTCTTGAATTTGTATGCAGATATTTTATAACGTTAGCTCGTAAAATTTATCAACTTGTCCAGGATAAAATTAGTACACTACTTAATCTGTAACTGAAAATGTCAGCAATGACGATATTGAAATTGATAACAGATTAGGTGAAAACGTAAATGCTGTCGATAGGTTTTCAGATATTAAAATTATTAGTTAGGTAGTTCATTCGTTGAAATGAAACATATTTCAATTTTAAAAATGACGTCATAGATGGGGATAATGCCAGCTATAAAGATGTGTGATATTTAGGGGGGAGGGGGTCGAAAATTTCGATTTTTTGAGTGGGATTTGTCATTTGTGCACGGTCCATATGCATTTTCTTGTATTCAAAGATGTGAACATTTACCGAACTCGAAGTCTTAAGCGAACTCCTTTATATATTTTTCTTGAGTATATTTTTTTCTTAGTTTCAAATCATTTGAAACTTTCATTAATGCATACAGTGCCTGAAATGAGCTCGTTAATCACCACGGATGGACAGACTAAAGTATTCACTGCCAGAGTCTTAATTGCATTCAAACGTTTAATTCGCAACAAGCAAGTCACACATTCGGTCCTTTGTGAGTGGCACGATAAGAAGGGGAAAGTGCTCGTACATACTAAATCATCATTTCAGAAATGCATGTTTTTCTTTGCGGGTTCTTTAAGTGCAATCTACGCCGTTTATCTGGCATTCCAAATGGTAGCCCAACTTATCTGGAATACTGGTGAAAGTAAAAACTTTGTCAATATCTTCTGGACCTTCCTCTGGGGATTGTACTACTGGTGGGCGACTGGAAACAACTTGAATATCTTCGTGAGACAGGATGATGCAGACACCTTCATCGGAGGGATGGTGCAACTGGATTCACATTTTGAAAGTACATATTCGTTATTGTTGTCGGAATTATCAATCCTCACTGCGAATATTTTTTTACCAATTATTCAGCAACCATCACAGAGAAATCTAAACCTGTTCCGGTAGCAGACACCACATCTATTTTACAGAGGTTAATGAGGATGGTTAACGTTCTGGAGTTGCTAATGCTCATTCAAGATTTCATGGTTGTCGCGTACGCCGTTTGCGCAACAGTAATGGCAGTATCGCTTTCTAATAAGCCGCAGTTTATTTCATTCGTGTGGAACAGTGGAACAATTCACTCTGTCCAGTTTTTAATCATTTTTGCACTATTTGAATTTTATGCAATAACCTCGTCCTGCAGTGGAATTATATTCTTCACAAATTACTTCATTAACTACATGATGTGTACTTTGCATTGGATGAACAGCATGAGGAAAGTCATAAACGAGAGTTTTTGGACATGTAAAGAAGTTGATGTAAGTATATACATATTTTGATGAAAAAAGTGCGTATTGGGTGGACTGGTCTGTAAATTGCCAATAATTCTGTGAATAATTCTATGAATTTCACAGGTTCACAGATTTCAACGGAGCTACAGGAAGTTGCAAATTCTCAATGCTTACTTTAATCATGCACACATGGGCTTCGTCTACTCGATGACTCTTACCATGTTTTTCACAACTTCCGTATTCACTCTTTTTGGTTCTATTCGACTAAAGGCGATTGCCCCCATTGTGGAATACATGCTATTTCCACTAGCCTGTACGTTTCTCCTGGTATTGTTCACGGCTTTGTTGTTCGGATCTGCGTCAGTTTACGAATCGTCCATAAAATTGCTCGAAACTTTCAAGAAGCCCAGAGATACAATGTCGAGAAGTGGGATGAATGTTTCCAAAAGATGGATGCAGAAAGAGTGCGTTGCGTTGAAACCTTTCGGTGTGCAAATAGGCACGCTCCAATTTCTCAAAAAAGCTTCAATGTTGGTGATTTATGAGCGGTTGTTGAATTACACAGCTTCTCTACTGATTGCATATCCCGACTCTTATTTCCTCCAACAATGAGTCAGGAGTTTATGTTTTGATTTAATAATTGATGTACTTAAAGTAATAAGTAAGTAAATCTGAAATTATCAAAGTTATCATATGTATGCGAGTAGATACGAATGTGGTTTTCGTTCTTATAAGAAACGAGTAAGATTTTTTGTTTAATATTTATCATAAATAAAGGGAATCGACCTTAAGCGGAAATCTGAATCTGAAAACATCATAGAAAAATTACACTTCTAATCTCAATATATACACTTCTAAATGGAATATTTTTACTAAACCAGACGGCCAGACGGTACTGGGCAGTGGCTAAAGCCAAATCCGAGTAAGTAACAAAAATTCAATTGTCGATGGAAATGGAATTGAATACATCTCGTCGAAAATTGAGCTAAGGATGATACTGCATACATTTACACAAACCAGGCATTCATCAGTCTGTGGTACAAATTTGAATGGATCGTGACATTTGTAATCTTTTCACATGCTTTATTCCAAATGTACAAATTATGTTGTTTGTCGTACAACAAACTACTATAATGGATGGTTTTAGTAAAAATTATGAAAATTGTATCAGTTTTCATGAACTTGCTCATTTACTACATATGTATGTACATATATGCAGGCAGAATCTATTGTACTTACGTCTATATGGCTAGCTGTAGTGTTAGGTAATTAATTTTCAAAGAGAAAAATTATTCTGAAAATAACAACCGTCACTAAATGTAAATAGCTAAAATGTTTTTGAAATTTTCTTAGAATAATTAACTTTTTTGTCACTACCCTTAGATTATACTCTTAAAGGGACCCAGTTTAGCAGGAATATACATATGCAAATTTGTAAATAAATAATGAATAAGAAAAAGTGCCTACTGTATCTCATAATAGTTGCAGCGCTCATGTTGATAATTTTCCAGTTTTTTGCAACAAATCAAACAAATACGACTGAGGATGAGAGAGAATATGTACACAAAATAATTTCACTTATTTCTAATAAAACAACGACCACGTCTCTAAAGAGGATTATTAGTACGCAAAAGGTAAGAAATTTATACATAAATGGACCAGCTACGTACTTGGTACTTACATAAATACAAGAGAACGTATGTATACAAATTCAGAAAATCAAGCGAATTTTATTTTGGGGGACCTTTTACGACGTCACGCCTGATCTTAAAGACTATTGTATTACGGATGAAAAATCCATGGATTTTTGTGACCGCAAGTGCGAGTACACTGTGAACGAGCAAGATTTAAATCAGAGCGACGCTGTCGTTTTCCACGGTCGAGATACGTATGCTCATAAATACTTAATTAATGTCTCTGTGTTGAATCGGATAATTTCGAACAAATCCATTTATTCAAGGGTGACCAATTTCCCCACCCATCTACCTCACCAGCGTTGGGTCTTTCTCATGTTTGAATCTCCGGACAATAGTTGGACTAATATTTCCGAGTGGAACAATATTTTCGATTGGACGATGTCATATAGGCGAGATTCGGATGTGTTTATTCCGTACGGAGAACTTATGCCAATATCTGGACAATCTGAAAGGATTGTTCTCTCAGCAAACATTAGGTTGGTTGCTTACTGTCAGTCAGGGTCCCACTTGGGATTGTCCTTAGATTATTTTGGACCCATATGGTATTTTAGATAAGGAAAAATTTAGGAAAAATGGGCTAGGATATCCCATGCAAATTTCCAAAACAGTTGGGAAATCCTAGGCAGAATTCTGACTGACTGTTCAAATATAAATATTATCTTACTAATTTTTTGCTTATCGTGTTAAATAGTTCACGGAAATTGGTCGCTTGGGCAGTTTCGAATTGTGACATGGTGTCCAGCGAGAGGAAAGCTCTAGTTGACGAACTGTCAAAATTTATTCCCATTGATGTGTATGGTACGTGCGGTGTGCATCATTGTCCTGGGAATTCAAGGGTACAATGCAATGATCCTCAAAGATGCTATGAATATTTGGGACATCGCTACAAATTTTATCTATCTTTTGAAAATTCAATTTGCCAAGATTACATCACAGAAAAGTTTTTTCTTGCGTTGTCAAATGGGATGGTGCCCGTGGTTCATGGGCCCAGCAAAAATACGTATCAAAATCTCGCCCCCCGCAATTCCTTCATCCATATTGCTGACTTCTCCAGCTTAAAGGACTTGGCCGACTATTTACTACACTTGAACCAAAATGATGAGGCGTACATGAAGTATTTCAGTTGGAGAGAGGATTTTGTAGTTGATAAAACTTATTATTTTCATAGAGCTTGGTGCTCCTTGTGCATAAAACTGTATGAAGAAATTACACCAATAATAACGCCTACAGAAATTATTAAGCAAAAACAAAATCATATATATGCTAGTATTCACAACTGGTGGTTTTATACAAATGGGTCATCAACGAAGAAGAAACTTTGTAGACGAGTTACAGTGAAAAATGGAACATTTAAGTATTATGAATAATTAATTAGTATGAGCACTAAGAAATTTGTTATTTTCATTTTAAAATTACTTCACCACTATTTTTCTGTATTCCATCTTATGACACAAGTTCACAGTTTCATGGTATCATTACTTTGAATGTACATATACGTAAAAAACGCGAAAGCACTTCGGAAATATGAGTAAGTCTTAATCTCGGTATTTTATAGTTATGAATGTATTTAGGATTAAATGTAATATAATTTTAGCTTAGGACGAACAATTCCAAAATGAATTAAGTATGATTAAAAAATTCTCACCATGTAAAATTCATTGTCGCATAACAAATATTTACTCTTTCGAAATGTAAGCTACTATACGATAATAATTAGTGGTACAATTCATTATAGCGTCAAAGCGAGTGTTGATAAAGTGTCATTATAAAATCAGAAACGGCGTGCAAAGTAACGTTATGTAGGAAATTCCCGTAAATCAAATAATTCTCTTAAGATAATTTTTTTCGGAATAAAATAGACAGGTTCAGTTTTCAGCTGTCACATTTCTCTCTCTCTCTCTCTCTTCAACTTTCGTGCGTTTCTTGTTTCAAAACTCATAAATTTTCAAGATGGAACCGATGAAAAGTTTGTAGGAAGGATAACAACGTGAAGAAAATTATCCGGATAACTCAGATGCTCACTTAGCCATTGTATCGGAGAATTTAATGGGGGCTCTATTCCATGAATTAGTATCCGAACTAAGTAATAAAAATGGGTCACATATATTTAGTATCAATTACTTTATCATTATAAAGAATGTTATATATCAATATATACCTTTGGAAGCGTCAAAATCAGGAAAGAACTCTATTAGTGCGTCGTGTAAAGACGTCCAAGAGTTATTGGCATCATCAACTGGCTTGACTAATCTCTGCATAGCAAATTTCTCAGGTGTGTAGCATCGTATAGGAATACTGTAAATCAACATTTAGACATTAATCAATGTTGTAACATATTTGCATCGCATAAATTTATGCGATTATGTTGTAATGTTACAACATAGTCGATATATTAAACTAATTTAGGTTAATAATTAATATATAATAATAATAATACTTGCGAAATCCTTCTCCAGCAGGAGACTCCATAAGCCTCTTGTTTACACCCCAGAATTGATCAAATTTATCTATACAAACAGTAAACAAACAAATTAATTACTACAATTTAACTCAAGAGAAATATCATGATACACATAAATATTGATAAAAATTACCATTTTGAAATCCAAGCCAAAGCTGATTATGGTCTTTTTCCTGCATAGAATTGATCACTTGTCCTTTATGTTTTAACGCGTCAGCCTCCTTAAGTACGGACATAAACTGCGACCTAATTGCATCCTTGCATGGACACCTGCACACGTTTTGTTCCGGAAACTTATCAAAGTGTATTGATATCGACCATGGTAAAATTCCATCAGAGAATAAGTCGAACCACAGACCAATTGGATGATTCCTGCAATGTTTTGTCCGTGCATCAATTAATACATGCTAATAATTAAAGAAAATTGAAACGACAAATTAAAATATACGTGCCACTTGATTGGTTGACCGTTGTACTCTAGCCACATCTCATTGTTAGCAATTTCAGGGTTAACATGCTGGGCAAAATGCCTGCGAACCTGCAGAACAAAGTACTTAAGATCAAATTATTAAATATTTTTAATTTTGATATATTACTTTATCTGTGACGAGGGGAAAGTATAAAAGTCTTGGAACCTGAGAGACATGTAAAGAATTTACACTTATAGGATGAAATTTAATTCCTGGCCGAAAAGTAAAGTCGCATACCATGAGGTAATATGGTTCAGGAGGTTTGACCGTGTAAACCTCCTCCTCCGCCAGAGCAAACGACACGGGAAGTTTGGAATCCCAAATTTCTCGAAGAACTTCTCGGTCGTCAGCCATCCTCAATCTCCCACCTCCACCACCTCCTCCTCCCAAATAGTTGGTAGACCTTGTCTTCTTGACCTTTGTCGTCGGTCGGAAGGAATATCTACCACTACTCATCGATGATGATGAGTCGTTGTGTTAAGCATAATAATGTAGTGTAAATAGTCTAATTGACTCATCGTCGCGAGAGATAAATATACTTTGACCATTCTCCTTTCGCGGAGAGAGAGCACCATGCCCCATCAAGCACAAAGAAACAAAAAGCAAGATTGCATTTTCATGATATTTGTAAAATTAAATTAAATGATACACAAATGCTCTAGAAAAATATGAAAGTATGAAAATGATATAACAGTTTAGAAATTAGCATTGACCTTCTAGTGATTACCACATGATTGGCTGTGTTTGGAATGTAACTCATGCAAAAAATTGTGGTTAAAATAATTTATCCCTAATTTCTAAAGGATTATTCGCGAAATATATAATCATTGTGAGGTTGTTTGGCTCACAATTAGTTGGTTGTTGATTGTGATTGTTGAACTTGGGATAAAGAAGTTACGAAAATATAGAATGATTTCTGAAAAGAACAGCAGACGTGAATCTGAAATTTTAAATGAGGTAAATAATTCCAATCTACATGTGCATTGAATATTACAAAGGTGTAATAAACTTAATAAATCAGTTCCAGAAAAGAGTTTCTGACATTCAAGTGGATGAGGCCAAGTGTCTCCGATTTCTAATAGGTAAGTTTGTTTTGGAAACTTGTTCACAATTTTACATAGCTTCTTGATATCTTCTGATTGAAACATGTAGCAAGAAATTTTGATCAAGGAAAAGCAGAGGACATGCTAAGAAATGTAATATGTTTATATTTATATTTTTTAAATGTATTGTTAGTCCTAATTCTAGTAAACAAATAAATTACAGCACATTAAATGGCAAAAAGATGTAAATTTGGAATACTTGTTAAATGGGTGGCCTGCTCCACGCGACATGGAGGATGACTTTAAATTTTCATTCACGGGAACAAGTCATAATGGGGGACCTGGTAATTATATTACTTAACTTTTAAGAATACAGTATTATTTACTACTATGACTATTCTTCAGTGGTTTGGGTTCCTGGGGGTGAATGGAATATTCGTCATTTTGTGGAGCAAGGACGGCGTGACGACATTATGAAACTGACAATACGGACCTTGGAATATGTCTTGGAGCAAGTCAAGAATCATGGGAACAAACCACTCGTAGCCATTTACGGATTTGAAGGACTCACTTATCATAAAGTGTCTCATTTTGAAAGTAAGCTAGCTGAGCATATACAAATTAATTTCTCTCTAAAAGTGTATGTATATTCAGCTATTCAACTCTTGAACATATATTTTGTAGCTTCACGGATAGTCTACGCTGGGTTTCAGTTATTAGAACAAAATTATCCAGAAATACTGCAAAACGTCATAATTGTCAATGGTACTTTATATATTCTTTTTAACGTAACTTTACCATAATGCACAAGTACACTTATTGTAAGTTACCTTTATTAATTTTCACCAGCCCCATATCCATTCTACATAGCGTGGAACATTATTAGCCCTCTCTTATCGAAAAGAACATCATCCAAAATTCGAGTATTCGGTCCAGACAAGAAAAAGTATGTTCCAGTCTTGCGAGAACTTTGTCCCGACAATGCAATTCCTGTCAGTTATCTTGGAATAAATACATAAAAGAGAGGCATTTTTGTTTCATTTATCCAGTTGCCCCGCATGACTGGTAAAAAGTTTGTTGCGTTGCGTTTACTGAATCCACTCAAGTCACTCACTCACTTGTAATTTTGGGAAGTTCCATATGTTGACCGCTACAATTACAAATTCCATTTTGTCAAAATAAAAGTAAATTTGTTACATATTTTATTCATTAAATGCAAAACAAATTATTATAGATTGGCATAACACAACTTTCACAATCAGTCAATTAGATATTTTAGTTTTAGATTTTATGGTAAGCAAGTCAATCGGGCGAACAAAAGAAAGAGTAAATCATCCTAGAACAATGTTGTTGGAAAGGATCGGGACAATGATTCTTATAGGTAAACCTTTAATTTAGTTCTCTTAAACTACTTTAAACTAGTAGTATAATACTACAAAGTATATAACTTTTTACATCAGTGCTCCTGGCCATCCTTGCATTTCGAATGGTTTCTCGAACTGGGCTGTGGAACGATTTCCCCGTGGAACCAAGTGAGGTAGCTAAGCTGCCCAATGCCGTTCTGACTATTCATTGTTCCAAAAACTTTACATTACTCCAACAAAAATACTCGTTCCCTTTTGAGCGGCATGTCAACTGTAGTTCCACCCACTGGATGGGAAGATATTTGCGAAACCTCGTCTGCCAAGAAGTGACACGACTGATAAAGACGCCATTGGGTGATGATACTGATGATGACAAGATTATTTCCCGTCCGCCCCCCAACGACTGGGTATTGAAAAGGCTGTGCACCTATCTCACTACCAAGTATGCCGTTCTATGGTCAGGACTCTTGAAACTTCAACGAATAAATGGGACATGGGAGGGAAACAGTTTCGATTGTAAGTGTTGAAAGCAACTGTAAATTATTAAGCATGAATCAGTTTATAGATATAAAATGGTCATCCAGTGAGTTGTAATTTTGATGACCACACTAAGTTCAATGAAATTTTATATTTCTTGTAAGTACATTACACATTATGTGCATCTGGTATGTATGTAATAAAGTTTTACTTTTTTATTAAGAAGACTCTAATTTGAGTAAATAGCAGCTAAATAATAATATAGTATTGTGAATCACAGTTCGGTTTAAAAATGGTTTGTACAATACCCAATTCGAATTTTTAATTTTACAAATGTGATGATAATATTCTTGGTAAACTCAATTCTTGTGGAGGTCACAGTTTCCTGCAGATTCACAAAAACGTCAGATAATATTTGGATGTATATGATTTAAAATATAACTAAATTAAAGTCATAATTTTACTCTGAAAATTTTTGATAATATTCCTCCTTGTTTCGTATTCTTTGCTCGAAATTAATATCGAACGCCTCCTCTTCTATAATTGGACCCCCAAGTGACTCGGGTAGGATTTCCTTTGGTATATGGGCGTGTAGAGAAGCCAAATCATTTGAATGAATGATCAACTAAGGTAATTTGTAGTTATATAGTTAGTGCAATTTTCTCAAATATATAAGTTGGCATACTTGTCATCATATTGATTAGCACTTACCCTTTCTCGAACTTTCTTGGGCAAAAAGGGATGCACAATTTTCAACAGACAATTCATAAAGAAACCCGTATTCACAATGTGAAGCGCTGTATAACGGACTGGAACATTTTTCCAAAGTAAATCAATTAGTTGATAAACTTTATTTGGCGTTGCTTCTCTCACGTGGTCCATGCTAAAACCGAACATGTCGAAAATTCCAACTAAACCCTCCGTCTTGTGGCAATCCACTCGAAAATACTCGTCCATGATTAGCATGAACATTGCATTCGTATCGTCAGCACTAACTTGCTTGCAATTCCACTTCCCTGTAACAAGAAGTTGCTATTAGTTCAAAGTAACGGCTGCATTTTTCGTATATTTTTTAGTTTGTGTATCGCATTACAGGTTCGATTTACTAGAACGAATCTGTTACGGTGATCTCTATTTTTCAATATTCGCAAAATTCCTGCATTCAGTGAAGCATTCTTGCTGGGTACGAGTGGTTTGAAGATGTGACGATATTTGCGACGCCGGATGTCTATAAAGTTGACCAACTAAGAATTTAATTAATTGTGTTACTCAATTACATTCAGAATTAACGAAGGTATAACAAAAAGTAATCAGTACGGTTGTATAAGCTTTTCCCAGATCCAGCTTTTTCCCTTTAATAAATGCTAGCAGAAAATCATCGTCAAAGAATTCGATAAAGTCCTTCAAATTCTCGTCATCTACATATGTGCATATGCAATCAGAACACGGTGTTATAATAATAGGCCAAATATTGTACTGCTTAGTAATTGTATATTTTGATTGTTTTACCTTTCATCAAATGCTTTAACTCTTGTAATTGCTGCAACAATTCTGGAGAGTCGTTGCGGTTTAAGTTGGAATTATTGGACAATACGCTACTTTTATCTTGAACAAGTGTCATCTTGACTTAAAATTTGCACGTTATAAACAATAAAACGATGTTGATTAATTAAAATGTGTTTTAGCATAAAACTTGGACCGATATTTTATGTAATACTGCTCAATCATTCACAACCAAGTAACAAAATTAAGTTGATCTGCTTGTTGTAAATAGTTAGTCTTGCATGCCAAAAAAGTTCAAGTTGAAGGTTATACGTACACTTCTATGCATGTAACTTCTTTCCTTAGTACCTTTGTTGTATATGTATGTACTTTGCGTATTGGAGATCTTACTGAAAAGAAGATACCTTTATGCAATGCCAACTCAACAAAAATCTCACCCTTTTTACCATGCAATAACGGGAGATGAGACTTGAAACTCAAAGATTTACTTGCCTTCGGTCTTAAACGAACAAAATATTCCTATCAATAATAATTATATCGGAGTTCTACATAGCAAATATTTCCTTAACCTAACCTGGTACGTATATATAATGTATATACATACATACGCTTGATGGATTATATGGTACCAAAATGGTACAATAGAGTCAACTGACTTCAATGCATTAAAAATTGTACGTGGCCTTCATCATCTCTGATAAAATTAAGCATGATGTACATTCCAGTCAACAGAAGAATTGTGTGATGTATGGTATATGATCAAGTGGTCAATCATTAATGGATCCATCAACAACATCAGCACTTTTAGAGTAACTGCTGGACGCATGTACACAGATATCTGTATCTCATGATTAGATACACAGTCAATATTGAATGGTACATTATACAGATTTAGGTAATTACATACATGCATTCTTGGTATGCGTAGAGAATGAAAATTTAGTCAGTCGTTTATAAATGCTAAATATGAATCACCATTAAATGAGTTCTTTGACAAATGCTTATGTAGCATAAAAATCTCTTTCAAACAAGCGACAATACAAGACTGTGAATTATTCCTGCGGTTGAAAGCTAGATATACATAGTCTTACCATAAGAAGTGATAGTAGAGCGTAGTTTTTGAACGGGTCAACATAAAATTAAAAGGTCATTCGCGGTTTGTACATACATTCAGTGCCTATAATTGGTGTTGACCGTTTTTACTTGACGTCACTAGGTCAAAAGTAGGAGGAGCTTAGCTACACGCGCGCGGCAATAATTTTTCACTTTTTCACGAGAAAAAAATGCACGATGTTTGATGTAGTGTAACAGTCCCAGTACAACTACGATCTGGTTGCCCAAACTATTAAACTAACCTAAGAGACAGGGTCTATCTTTGGTATAAAGGTTTCAGTGGTCCAAGGTCAAGGAAGATAACAGTGATGTCCGAAGCTTTAAATACCAGAATAGCACAAAATCTCTATCTGACGCCGGAGACTTTGGCCACATAAATGACCTTTCAACTTTACAGACCAGATTAACACTGAAAAGTGACTCTAAGATGAAGGTCTTTTCGATTAAAAAGCGTCACATGCTACAGATATCCCAAGCCTAAGCAATGGTCAAAAAATCGACCTCTCTCCCCAAACGGTACGGTGAAAAAAACAAAAAAAGTACCCCGTTTACCGATGATAATTTCTTTACGACAGGAACATATTTCAGCAAAAAAACTAACACGTTTTATGTCAAATATTCTAAGGGTTAGCTGATTACAAAATAAAGGTCAAAATGTTATCTTATCAGGCTCCATTCATGGTTTTGGCGGGAATCGGCGGAATTGAGCAAAAACAGCCCAATTTCCTTGATTAAGGAGAGAAGATAGTTTCAAAAAATATTTGATAAACGTCCTGATGAAACTGGAGCACCCCCTCAACTAGTCCATATCGGGTGAAAAGCCACCGACCTTTGTGAAGGCGTCCACAGTAGCATTTACAGCGAAATTCGTGAAAAACTGGATTAAAATCCACATTTCTGACTTCATTTGCACTTTAGGTTTAACGTTGGAATTTTCGAACCGAAGTCAACTTCACCACCAAATACTGATTACAATTGAGGAAAAGGTCTGTTCTGAACCCCATATATGCGTCAGGGTCACAAAAAAATTTCTGACCCGGGAATGACAATTATTATTATTAATTAATAATTAATTAATTTCGTGCGTATTTTTGATGGAGCTTTCTCTTTCGTGACCAATTTTTCATGGGCACAGGTGGAATGTATTTTCAAGTTTGATACATGTTTTCTACTTGAAATTTAACTGGCTTTTCAATGGAATAAGAATAAATTTGAAATTCCTTAAAACTGACCTAATATAGTCGTCTACTCTACTATCACTTTTTAAGTTGAGACTATGTATATTCGATAATTGTAATTCCTTATATTCATACATATTCGTGAATAAATATTTATTTTGCTCGCCCTATCGAATGAAAAGCAGTATTACTTTTTGTCGTCTAACGAATATATTCTAAGAGAAACACCCATAAAACGAATAGTAACGACAAAAGATGCGAATGGTCAAGCATCAGTGCACCATTATCTTTTGTGGGATCAGGCGTAGTTCCTTGTCGTGCACATGCATCATAAGGCTCATAGGGTTCAATCTCTGCAGGAAATTTCACAAATTCGGCTCTTGGAAGAGTAGTGAAATTTGCAAGAGATGCGCAAACTTGAAGGTGATGCGACGTCTTCAAATTATTTTGATACTTTTCTCGAAATTCAGAGGTCCAATTGAACATTGTACTGAGATACGTTGTGTAACGCGTCCCATTGAGGTGGGCTGGGCGTCTGATCACTGGATCCATTTCCCCAGCACCCGCACTAGATAAATATTTCAAAGATAGATATAGTTGTACCTTACTTTTGTTATCAATATCTTGTAAACCTGGTCATATGTTGGATCCCAAAATCTCGGAGGATGTTTATGGGGTTGTATGAACTCATACACGTATCAATTAAGATTCTCGGATAATACCAGATAAATGCCTCACACATTTCGTCAGTAATTCCTAGATCACCAATCACAACGCTGCCATTTTTCCACTTTGTATCGCATACACAATCTGCAGACAAATTTAGGCTTACATCTTGAACAAATCTGAAATATTCATTGGTTCACATACTCATGACTAAGCTATCTCCCGGCATTATCTTCTTTTCCTCTCGCAAAGGGCGATTCTGTTGATAATTGAAGTCGTAAAAGTCGTCATATGCAAACCAAGGAAGCTCTTTCCCATCCCTAAATTGTTGCAGCTTCAATTTTCGTCCTAAATGAAAAGCCGAGAATCTAGTAATATTAATGTACGTACTACTCATGAAACCATCACGGATTCACCTGACATGTGAGAGTGCAGCAAGATATTGAACACATTCAACCCATTCGGAGGAAATCGATTTGTGCACATTAACGAGCAATGACCGTAGACATGAAAATCTTCGGAATCTGGAGGTATAGTTTGTGCCCAATAAACAATGTGACCAAGAGTCATTATTCCTGCTTCGTTGGGTCTAACAAAAGTTGTAAGTAAAAGCAGCGTTTGACGATTTTACCAAATAGCTTGGTTTCGCACACATGACGTACCGTAATTTTTCAGTGTGGTATATTTCCAGTCCAGTCGGAAACTGAAGCCCGATGGTTTCTAAAGGGTTATTATAGTGAATTTCCAACATAAAATATTCATCTTCCCCTGTTTCTCCGATAGGATGACCAACATGATCCGGAAACATTGTTTTCTAATAAGAAATTACAATTGAACCAATAAATATTTAAGTATTTTAAACAAAGGAATGCAAAAAAATCAGCCTATAATTAATTACACGGCCACCAATAGCCCAGACAAAAAGATACGTTCCACATTGACCCTGTATAAACGGTCGGGCTTTACAGTCTTGTCCAGGTTGACCGACATGAGGTTCAAATAGTTCCTTTGGATCTGTTCCTCGTGGAGCCACACACTTTCGGAAAATAAAGTGATGTGTGTGTCGTTCTGCTTCAGGAGAGTCAAACCGAGTGTCAAACTATTCCGAAAATTTAAGCTACAAAAATCCAATAATACCAAAATCACTGATTATTACAATATATTTCTTACCCCAACGACATGGTGCACGGCGTTCATTTGCGGCCGCTTGTGTATAGTGCACCAATACGACGTATTATCACTTGGCATCACATCGTTCGCTTGAACCACCCAGGTCTGAAATCTTTGGTATTTTAAATTAGTTGAATATCTCAGTTGCATAGTGTGGAGAAACGAATTTGCGTGTAATATTCTCACCCACTCGTGTCTGGATCTGGCATTGGGGGATCTAGAAAATTGATATGAAGTGATCCCCGATTTATCGCACCGTGATACTTAATTTCATCACTCGAACCAAACGACCAAATCAGCTTTAATGTGTCCTCCTGTGTCGCAATAAAGAACAATAAATAGTTCTCTAATTTAGCTTTACAATGTTAATCCTAATGGATAATTGTGCATATGTGCACATACTCCTATCGCAATGTCGTCTTCTCCGTCACAAGTCTCAAAGTTTCTTGAGAACTTTAGGTATGTATGAGTTGCGTTTTCTGATGCTTCTTCCAGAACCCAGTCCTGGTGGTTATCAATAACAGGTTCAACAGTGCCTATTCCATGTCGATCCTGTAATGCATTTTACATAACCACATGAGTACGTTCAGGTCATTAAGAAATTTATCGTATCAATCGCATTATCACATGGATGTACATAAAAGTTAAAATTACAAGCAGGCTAACAAAAGCTAAGATGTAAGCTGGATCACATTTGCGTGTTCGTTGAAAATAATATGTACGAAATGAAACGAATGAAATGTACGAAAAAAAATGAAAATTTGCACTTGCATTTGCACTTCAATATCATGAATCTGCAAATATTATTATTATCTAAGAATCAAGAGTTTAAAGAGGCAAAAATGCGAAAATAATTCGAACAGTAAAGAAGGTTTTAAAGTCAGCCTATCACTTCATTTCATTGAAAACGTCACAAATATTTTAATGAATTTGTATATATGTCTGGACAATCACAGTAAAATAAGGCACGCCATCCTCTGATACTCCTCCAATTAAAATGTCCGATTTTTCCATTCCACCCGTGTGCGACACCCCGAATCCGATCCATCCCTTGGTTGCCACATGCACTTCGAATGAAATTATTCTACTCTCCAAATCTGCACTCCAACTCGAAGAATAAGCGCCATCGAGAGACAACGACTTTTGAACTTTTTCACCACTTACGATGCATGTCCAAAATATAGCCCATGAACAAAACCTTAAAAACATTTTAATATCTTTTTCGCACTAAATTTCTTGGATGTAGTCAAACACAATTTATTACTCGTTCCTATAAATAAATGTCTTCATTATCAAAAGTGCTCAAGAGGGCAACACATGGATGTATTTCAACATCAATTTATGCATGTACAGATATAATACTGCGATATGTCAATCATTCTTATAAAAAATTAACAAAACATAGAATAATGGGCGTGATTGGCAGATATTATTAAATAATAACTCAAGTAGCCGATGAGGTAGTCATCTCTTCAATTCTTAAATTCCTCAAGCCTTGCCAGGACTTTGGATACGCCTACATACATGGAAAAATTCATTATAGTTTACATCATCACAACGGGTTTCGCATAAATCATGAATAATGCTACATACTCTGCAAATTTTTCATAAAAGTCCTCCCGAGTGAAAATTCTTTTTTCAAATTCCTCGTCAAACGCGTCGTCTTCAGTCAACTGTCCATCATAACATTCCGGCAAAATATCTGACGCTATGTGAGCATGAAGTGATGCGGTGCTGGAATGCGTATGAATCTATAAAAAATAACAGTTTATATTTGATGAGTTTAATTAATTATTCAAAATCTTTTTGTATAGAATAACTTACTCGATTCCTCAACTTCTTTTTGAGAAATGGTCGCACCCCAGTTACCAACATGTTAACTAAATGTCCATGGTTGATAAAGTGGACTCCTTTATATCTCATTGGCATGCAGTTCTACAATAAATAAGAGAAATACACATATAAAGAAAGTTATTTGAATTTAAATAGTGAATATTTATGTCCCTCCAATGTGCTCACCACCAGCATGTTCATAGCTCTCAGGACCACGGACGGGGTCAGGAGTCTAGCCTGAGAATAAGAGTAGTCGCCAAAATCCAATAGCACGACTACACCCTTGGAACAAGCTGCATCTAACGACCGGAGAATTTCATCAGCCATGAGAACCTACGATTTTATACACAATATTATTAAGATGAACTTGTGAAAATAATTACTCGTCTAAAAAATATTTTTTTTTAAATACCCAGTTTCTAATGCCACATTCTGCATCAAATATCGACACATCCCAACGACCTAAAAAGTAAAGACTGAAAAGCGTCAAATATTTTGACCATCACAAAGCGATGTACTTACTGACACGGTCTAGAACAACTATTCTGCCCTCCTGGTCAGACCGCTTTAACATTCGCAACATGCCATGATTAATTAGCGGGGTAATACTAGGCCTCAAGGTGCGTGAAAATTCGGCAAATCTATCCGTTCTCAAATAAAGATAATTTTGTATCTGTACAATTAAGAAGAAGGTCAAAAATATTAGTTGCATGACAAAAAACACGGACACGGATATACATTTGTTACTGTAAGTTAAATACATACTTACATATTCGCACGCTTTTACTGTATCATATTTCTTCCCACGGATGAACTGCTTGAGAAACTTGTCGTCAAATAGGTCCCCGAACTTTTTAAAGTCTTTGCTGTCTGAAATGATTAGGAGAGACTTTATCAATTTTAAAATTAAATAAGTACAATACAGATAATGTCATACCTTCAAGCAAAACCAGCAATTCTTTCAACTGCTTCTCAATACTTTGCTCTTTCTCTTCAACATGACTTGTACTTTTGAGCATTTTAATTCTCGTTTAAGGAAACGGAATAAAGTTATATACGAAAATTAAATTTTGTAATAAAGTTTTAATGGTGAAACACGTAGAAGAACTGACCAACTAATAGTTTGCGAAATATACAGCTTAAACAACAGGTAGTCTTTACTTGGTAAAGCGCACATGGATGACGTATTTATCTAATGAACTGGTTATTATACATACGTACATATGCATGTACATACATAGTTTGCACGCTCACATGCACATAAACATCTGCAAGCTTGATCCTGTTTTCTTGGAAAGCGTATTTTACCAACAACAGTATACGTAATTGTGAAGTAAATAAGTGGTATTTGGAGTTGGGATGTCAAATTCAAAATCTGTTTGTAAAATACTTTAACGTAAATCCGAAATCCGTAAAAACCGGATCTACATGTTAATGCATGCAAAACTGATTTCGAAAATTTGGACAACAAAGAAACATGCATTAGCAAATTTACAATGATCATTCATACAACCAGTAACAAATGAATGCAATTGACCACAAATGTTTATGCAAATGAATAAGTGTGAATGAATGTACTTAAAAATAAATTTAAAAAGGTGTAGTTGTTAATATGTTAACATGTAAATATATCTTTTATTATCTCTGCATGGCAATAATTTAAACACTTATAAAAAACGTATAATTATGTGGATATTGTGGTCTCGGAGAGAATAAACAGTATGCTTATAATATTTTTAAAAAATCCAGTATATTAAGCTGGGCCATTGGCTTGGGCGGTATTAGCGGCTTCTGTGCAAGGGGCGAGGAAAGTGTTTCCAACAATTCCATTAATTGCGGTGATAATTTGGCACGCGTACTGGCAAAACTGCTGGTCAGGAGATGAGCACATTCGAGTCCCCAGAGCCCCCAAAGGCCCCCCTTTAACGAGGACGGGTGCTTCTTCAGCTTGGACAGCAACGGGTGTCTCGACTTCCGGAACTGGGGATGAGTTACCTGCACGAAAAGTGAGAAGTTTTAGTACATATTCTGAGCACTTGGACAAATTATTTATCAATTGTTACGTTTAGATTATTGGAGACTTACATGTCGAAATGATGATGGAGCACACCAACGCCAGGACAATGAGACAACGCATCTTGATCTGTTTGGAAGTATTGGGCAACAGCGAAAGAGTTAGAAATTGTAGGTCTTTCTTAGGCCAGGGTTTGTGGAGGAATGAAGTTTAAATCGAAAGACAGCATCCCAAGTAACTTCTGTCACCCAGCAGTGAAAGGGAAAAAGGTATAAATAAATGTATATTTCCGTGTCATTAAGCACAAGAGATCGAGTACATCGAGTGCTAAGTTCGGAGACAAAGAGAAGTAGGGTACCTCCTCTTAACCGTAATAGCAGGACAGGGGTAGTAGGGTCAAAATGTGTGGGCGTGCATTGTAATTAATCCAGAGTACAGTTTCTGCAACTGTACTCTGGAGACGCAATAAAATTCTAACTTTGACATTTCCTGTGTGCATGCATATGGAAATTTACTGACCGCACAAATGTAAGGCATTTACTTTGTGCAATGTTTTTCCAACGTAAAATGTCTTTAATCTTTTACACACGGACACCGGTCGTATGTTTCCATATTTAGAATATCTATATTCTCAAGTAATAAGAATATTAATAGCCAAGAAAGGTTTCCACTACGGTATCATTCAAGATGTGTCATTTCATTCATTCATTAAAGTAGCCACCAAACCTACTCAAGAATTTCTGACCTATAAATGAAACGGAAATATTTAGATAGGTATGCACGATGACTCGGAATCTGCGTTCAATTATTCGAGGAAATAAATCAGACTCAAAAAATGCGGAGATGAAATATTTATACGGTAATTGACAAATTTGAAGAAGAATAACTGTCAAACTACACTTTGATCTAGATCCCTTAAAATTGCCGTTATTGAATTCTAGGTTAATCTATGTATGTACGTGGACTTAAGGTTATGGGTCCCCGTTACCTCTGATGCACTCACATTTCATAATGTTCATGAGAACGGTACCTGAAGGTATACTACTGTTCAGTGAGACTTTTGACTTGATGTCAGACAGTATTAGGATTAATTGGGAAACAACGCAATATGCATTTACATATCAAAAGATTATATATTGTCACTTGTACACTTTATGAGATAAAAAATGAAAAATGTTAAATTAATGATAAATAAATATATATTATTTTTTCTTGTATTGGCTTATGTGTAAAGTTTAACGTATTTCTCAATAATGGATTCATTGTCCTTGTAGAATTCGTTGAATGCGTCATCCACGTCCACTTTTCCCTTCTCAACGGGACTCAATCCCTTCCTAATGAATTGATTGAGGGCCATGAGCTGTAGTCTGTCGTTAAAGTTGAGTTCAATATCTTTATTGCAATCTTTACAACTCTGCGCCAAGTTTATCGAATCCTGGACCAGCTTAAAATAAATGGCTTGAGTATTTTGAAGCATGGATCTGGTCAAGTAGATCAAGTGCAAGGGAGCTTTGTCTTGAACGATCGTCAAATAGTTTAAGCAAATTGTGGTGAAAAACGATATGCTTTCGGAGCATAGTTTCCCAGAAGGCGTCGTAAAACTTGTCGCATAAATTGTGCTGTTATCTTTTCTGGGTTCATTAATGGTTGAGACGTAAATTTCTGTGAACACTGAAAATTCAAAAGCGGTGACCACATGTATCAGTTCGCCGGTCGTGAGCTTTCCTTGCGTTCTTGAAAAGAGTAGAATCAGAAATTAAAATGCTAGCATAAAATAATGAGAATTGCTTCAATTAATTATTCTCTTACAAATATTTATGATCCGATACGACTTCAAACTTTTTCTCTGCCTTGTTTAGGGAAAGAATCCCACTTTTAACAACAGCTTTTAGTAACGTATTGATCGTTGATATGCAATGAACTCGTAGGATGGTCAAGTAGTAATTAATTACATCATCGGCACTACTACCAGTGGAATTTTTGAACACATAGTCTCCTCTGAAGCTGCTATTCCAGGGACAATTTCCAAAACCGTAGAATTTTGTAGGGTTTCTAGAAGTGTACGAGCCTTTGGCTATTTTCATGTATTGGGTTTTCCACCCTGGATAGTTGTAAGGCGACAATGGCGATATTGCATCTAGATTTGGGAACTGATTATAAATATGCCAACAACAGGCAAATATTTCATAATTTAAGCAATGTTTTCTAAACTGCTTTTTAACCTCTTTTTCTCCGTCCAATGACGACATCTTCCTTGCTACCAGAAAATGGCAAAATTCCAGTTGTAACTGAGGTATTCAAGGTGCAGAGTAATGGGGCTGCCATGCATAAAATACTTTTGATCGTTTCACCCAGAATCTCGGTAACGTTTAAGACACTGGTATCACTATAAATTTTAATATGTTAATGTTAATTCAATCCACCAAATGCCTTGTTGAATTTATTGTACATACCTTTCCATCGAGCCCAGTTTTATATCCAAGTAGCAATCATAATTGACATCAGTGATATTTGAGTCGTTATATGATTTGAAAACCAGCGATTCGAGCTGAGCCATGGACGATTTTGGTGGTATTTTTAATTGGCTAAAAGGGACCTGTGACGAAATATAGGTAGATTTATTCTCTGCCAAAACACTTGCATTGAAGAGACAGGAGGCCAAGATGCTGGAGGAACATGACATTGCAAATTGTCTGACTGGCAGTCTCCCCGGAATCCAGTGATCGTCGAACGGTGTCCACTCTACGAGACTTGGAACGTCGTCAATAACCACGGCATTTTCTGATGCGCTAGGTCTATTTGTTATTTGTCGTATAAAATAAACATATAATTCTTGAAATAAAGATTCATACGAGTAGTATGTATAACAAACCTGATGAATACAACTTCGCCAAAATATGTAAAACTGGAAGGATTCCTCTTGAACAGTACATAAGTACATTTTCTGTCCTTGATGGGAATTTTGTCCTCCTTACTCGTCAACACGACAACCTCTTTCTTACCGTCGTTCAGACTTCTTTCATACAGAATTGCATCTTCGCCAAGAAACTTGTAAATCGTCGTGTGATTTTTCTTGTCAATTTCCTGCACCAGTTCTGGATCAGATTGGAAGCTGGATATAAGAAATGATGTCGCTTGTTTTAAGAGTATTTCGTGAAGCGTGGTAACGTCGGTTGTTGTGTCTGGATTCAATTCGTTAGAGAAACTGGGGGTTGAGTGTAAAACAGTTATAATTGACAATATCACAGACAACTTGGTAGTAGTTACTTCCATCATTTCACCGTCGCGATGTCAAGATTTATATCGAAATTATATACACTTAAAAATCAAATACATATTAACTTCATTCCACTAATTCGTCTGATTTCAAGATTTTCAAAATTTTTACGTCGTACTTAAAACCATGTTACGCGAGATGTTAGTACATATACATACTTTGACAAAATGTCTCTTTTTATAACACAATGTTGTTTATTATTTCATTTTCTCATTGTTGATCAATATATTATAAATACGCATCTATTCATCAATTAGTCCGTTACACTATTTAAGTAGGATAACACATTAAGTATACACGACGTAACTCATTAATCATTTGGGGTGTATTTTAGTGGTGACAATCAGTGATATTAATGGAAGAGGTTGTATACCATCCAAATGTAAAGTAACCAACACCTGCACCAAAAATGATGGCTAACGACAGCCAAATGTTATACTTCATAAAGATTAGCATAAGGAAATACGAGAGTATAAATTGCACCATATGCAAAAGAGTTTGCAAACAGTGGAAAGTACTAAAAACTTGGGACCTATCGACAAAAAGAAAAAAAAAGTGTACACACTTGACAATTTATTTATAATTCATGAGATATATGCATTCACTTACATTGCAGATGGCAGACCCTTCGACCTAAGTAGCAACCTGCTCTTCTCCCATTGTGATTGAAGCATCCGATCCCTCCAAAATTTTAAGGCTTCGTATACAAACGATATTATAAAAATTATGATCAGTGAGCCTATAAATGTTCCCGTTCCTGTGCCTGTCTCCCAAAATTCGAAGAGAACTGTCTCATCTTGACCACCATGAAACCACATCTAGAATTATATATCCAGAATTTATAAATTTTCCAAAATATACTATTATTAGTCACTAAAAATTTATCAATTACACTCATTGTCATTTCCATGTTGGCAGAGTCGTGGTTGACTCATGCAAAAGTGTCACTTTTGCACTGAGATTGCAAAATTCGGGACGCGAGATCATGCGAGATCGAGTTGGTGCAAAATGAACTATGTAAATGAGTATCTTGCTGATGATGTCTGTATATGTATTTGTTTTATCAAAATACGACATGATGATAACAGCGGTGACCAAGAGATCCGTCGTTGGTATTCAAGCATTGATAAGATTGATTCATTCTATTGTTCAGAAGTGTTGTATCTGACGTGCTTTTGTTCGGTTCATAGACTGAATGCAAAAAGGTGTCATCGACCATTTTTAAGGAGCGCCTTATTGCTATTTGTATTGGATGGCATGCATGACCATTGTTTGTTTTGAGGGACTTTATTCGAACTATAATAGTATAAATAATTCGAATATCTAGTTTTAAACGCGCTTATTTACTCTGATAAGATAGCTCTGTTCTGTTTAGATTAAATTGCATTCAAGTTCTAATGTACTTTCTAAAGTACCAATCACAGGTTAGTTGCGTGATAATGAGAACGTAACATGACACTCGATACCCAGCACGTCCTCTTTGGCATGCAGGGTTTTATATAGACTATTAATTAAATCTGACTAGCTTACTTAATGTGGGACAAAGATGAACATAACGATGGCATACATACATACACACTTGTTGCTTATGCAGGGTTATTAGTATTTATTCAGCAATCATTAATTACAGTATCACAAAATAACAATACATTCTTCGTATCGGTAAACTGTTTATAAACATTCACATTTACTTTGATTCTTGGAAAACGAAGTGTTACGTGTTTATAAAAATTTTAACAAATAGATTTCAAAGTAACGTTATGGGGAATAAGTAATTGATCGCCTTAGTGACTTTTGGCAAACATTAGAGAAATGATGACGCTGGATGACCAAAGTAGTGACATTCGATTCATACTGCAAGTTAATTCCACCATCACCACTAAACACTATTAGGGACGTAACCAACACACAATAATACCCGGGTTGGGTAAATTACGCTTAACTTGAGGACAACATACCGAGTTCTAACTAAACGCCACCACACAAAAGCTCTGCCTGCCACTGTATGATGCATCAGTAACAAGTCGATCGATATAAAACTATGTATCTCATATGAAGCCGAAGAAACTAAATGTCACATCGTAAAGTAAATGAGGAAACGTGTGGTAGAGTTTAGCCTTGGCTCAATTTTAAGAGCTACCCGTGCACTATCTGACTTAAATATTCATACGGACCGACGGAGAAGTAAAGACTCGTCTCCACTCCAAATAAACTCACCTCTACAGATAAAAAATGTCCAAGGATTGGCGACGGTCCAAAACACAAAGTAATTCAAATTCATTTGATGGCGGTGGGAGTGGAAGTTCGAACGGGAGTGGTGGAGGTCTGTTTTTTGGGGTGGAGGACGACGACGAAGATTCCTCCTCGTCGTCATCTTCGTCGGATGAAGAGGCCGGCTTCTTCGTCAGGATAGAGAACATCATGGGGGGCAAGTTTCAAGTGTATGCTTATGCCAGTGACAGCGTGGAACTCCTTAAAACGAGAATTGCCTTTCAAGAAGGTCTGCATTTTTTTATGTAAAAATTTAATAAAAAAACTTGTTAATATAACCTCTTTGATATGCAGGTATTCCTCAGAAAGAGCAAAACTTGTTCTTATCGCATGGAAGAATACCGCTGGATAATCCCTCCGTCCTCCTCGCTGACTTGGGTTTTAACGAGATTAGCTCAAAGTCGAAACCTATTCGTCTCATTACCAACATCTCGAGTGGGCTGGGGTCCAAAACTTTCTCCAGTCATGACCCACCACCACCGTTCCCCTCGCTCCCTCGTATCCCACGCCCACTCTCGTCCAGACGGAAAGGGGACGAAGGTGAGAATCCGACTGAGAGGACCAGTCACGCACAACAAGGCCAGGAACCAGTCAGACTTCCGCGTCTCGATGATAACAGCATTGACGGCGTGCTGGTCTTTAAGGACCGGGATCGCCGAGTTTTTGTCATAATTAAGAAAGTGTCGAACGAAGAATCCCTCGGCTTGCCACCACCGTCTCATCCAAGCTCAAATCTTATCCGGGGAAGAAAATCGACTGCTACAATGACGGGGTTTGAAGAGCCTGCTGAGAGAAGTAGGAATTCCCTTTTGACGCCTCTAGAGGATGGAATTCGCCGACGTGGGGATCTTGGCAGTGGGAGGAGAGAATCTATTATAAGGGAACCTCAAAAACAGTTGGAGCGGATTAGAGAAAATGCTAAAACACTGCAAAAAATGACTCAAATTAGGGCCGATATGAGTATGAAAAAGGTATGGATTTATTAACAAGAAGCATACAAAAAACCTTGCTAAGAAATGATTATATCCCAATTATTGTTTTATTATTGTACTATATTTCTTGTAGCGAATACCACTAAACCCCAATTGCGATGATAGACAATTCTTTCGACACAATAATGAACGAGAAAACCAACTTCCAGACATTAACGAGACACAAAATTACAAGAATTACAACAGTTCGTCTACTTTCCGAGATGAATCAAGTCACAAGGAGACGAGTAGTTGCACTGCTTCCCTGAAACTCAAGTCTTCTGATTCAAAGACAAAAATTACAACGCACACAACGTTTAACAGAACAATCACGTCGAGTGTTTCGGAGCTTAATAGACTTAAAGCAGAACTTTACTTAGAAGCCAAGAGAACGGGCGGGGGCACGTTTGGGATTTTGCCATACACTAACAACCAACTAGTTCGATACGTACAACTGAAAGTGAAAGTATTGTTGGCTGACCAAAATCCTGAAGAATATGATTATCTGAGTCGTCACAAATTTGTGTAAGTTGAAGCACTCTTAATGTTTATTTTTAATTATTTATTGCTTATCATTATTACTGATAAGCAGACCGTTTCCCGACCCACATAGCTTGGTACCCACCGTGGTAGCAAGGAGACAACAGCAAGAGAACATTATGACACTAAATTCCGCTGTAAGGAGGCATAATGACACTGGGAAAGGTGGGTTAAGGTCATCGAATATTACTGGATTCACGACCAGACGGAAAAGGAATTCATCGTCAGACTCAACTAACAGCAGTGCATCAAGCAATATTAGCATTTTAAAAGAGCAAAATCACATAATAACGAGACTGACGACTGCAAGAAAATTAAAATCGGACGAATCAATAAGTGAGCCATATAATAAATCTAATTAAAGCTTAAATGACTTGAATAACTAGTAAATCTATACATTAAAATATTTCAGAATCAGGAGGCCGGTTAAGAAAACAGCAATCACAAAGTAGACAACCATCAGGCGGCACAACCGTCCGGAATATCCTTTCCGCTGGTCGGAGGTCGACTTCCGGTTCAAATCTAGGTACAATCATTTATCACTCTATCGCTAGTGACAACATATTAGCACAGCCTTGTTTGACCAAAAACAAAGTTGTGAACGGCGTGAATGAGAAAATGCTAGAGGTTCGACGAGGGCTTGAAGACGTGGATAAGATTCCGTAGGAAATAATAAGTTAATTAGGATTACAAACCCAGAGAAAACGGGTTCTCATATATCGTGAGCCATTGGGCTCGATTAAAATTCAAAATTTCAACTACCAGTCCATTGTCATTGAGGAACATTATCCAGCCTTGTATCGGGAAGAATAGTCGTCGTTGTTGTGCCGCGAAGCTGCTGACCTTGCGTCATTTTTGGTCGCATTGGTGGTTTCAGTTGGATCCGGGAGGGATTTCCTGTCTCTGAGAGGAAATTCTATTCAGGGCCAATTATGAAAGCCAATTCGTCAAAGGATAAAATCAAGCCGAGTATTTCCAATGTCACTCCCAGCGACCCAGAAATCCAACTTGACGATGAACGTGTAACATTATCACCACCTCTTCAGCCCTCCAGCACCAGCCCATCTCAAGCCACGCTACATTCCACTCAAAGTATATGAATATGTCATATTATGACAGGTTTTCGAGGAGTGTAGTTTGTAGTTGAATTTAAAATATGCAATGATCGTTGGCAATTTTATCCAGATAAATTTCTGCCATGATTTGACCATGATTATTTCTCTTGCAGGCACAAGCTCCACAATTCAAAAGAAAAAGAAGGACATTGTTCGGTGTGCCGAATGTCGGAAGCGAATCGGAGTGGCGTGTCGTTACCAGTGCCGCTGCGGGAAGCTGTTTTGTTCCACTCATCGCTACGCCGAGACCCACAATTGTAGCTACGACTACAAATCAGAAGGTCGTCGACAACTCCAGGAAGCGAATCCGCTCATTGTGGCCAATAAAGTGGACAAGATTTGACGACGGACTCATTCTAATCAGCTTTCACCCGACAACGTGCGACGATTTAAACGTATTATGTGCCTTGATATCCGTATTTGCTTCGAGTTTTTTCCTCCCCGCATACTTTTGTAAGATTCTTGTGAATCGAGTTACTATTTGACAACATGGCAGTTGGTCCTCCCGCTAATAAAAATTAAGAAATCATAACGATCTTTGATTTTGAATAAGTTATTTCTCTCTCGACGTGCACACATGTGTATCTTTTCGTATATTTCGTCATCACAGTTTACAATGTTTTTATTTAGTACAGAAGTGATACAAGTTTTCGTAAAATGAAAGTGAGCAGTAATGAAAATTTTGCATACAAAATATTTGCAACGAGTCTGGGATTACATGAATTTCCGAGTAGTTCTCCCAAAAGGACGAAAAGTGAGAAAACTATTCCGACCAAAGATATGATGAACGCGGAAAATGTTTCATTCGAGGACATTGAAATGGGGACATTTTCATTGGTCTTGCAGAAGAGTATCTTATCCCGGAGGGAGTCTCGCATATATTTAAAGTTTAAGCCACGTTCCCGAATTAGGAGTAGTCTATATAATTAATATTTTGTTATCCAAAAGTTTTTGTATCGATTTGTAGTATTTTTCAAAACTAACTTGATGTTGAAGACTTCTTTGTAAAGAAATCCCTTCCTCGCAGTCCAACAGTGGCTTCTTTGCATTTGAGGAAAATCAAGCCAAGTTAGTTTGGAGCATAGGAATTTATCGGTGTAGTTTTGCAACATTGCCACCCTATGAAATAAATCCCAATACGAGATCAAGGTGAAGGGTGCATCAAGCAACATGGTTACTTCTGAAGCCGTATTTGTAGTAATTTGCTTTTGAGACAATCCGAAAATCGTGATTAGATTCTGCAAAGGTTGCATAAGTACGCTATTAGAGATTCGCGAAACGATATTATGGCATGTATAGTACCTGAAGCTCGCTTTTTCCGGAGGCACTATTTTCATGAACGACCATCGTATACTGATATTTAATCAAGTCGGTGAAACCTTTGACTGGAATTCTAGCAGACGTAATGATGGAGTACAAGCTTGCAGAGTACACCCAATAAAAGCAGACAGATGCCAAGGATCCCATCCAGAAAATCAGTTTACCTGCAAAAGGATAATCGTACCTTAATCCGCTCCAGAATCCTGTGTCATGAGAATATATTAATTTTTTTGATAAATAATTTTAATGAGGAATGCCAATAAATAGATAAACCTTGCAGGGATATGTTTGAAATTACTGACAAAATAGTGTCCGCCCCGACAACCCTTTTCTCAACTAGTAGGGCTCGTAATGCATGAATTGTCAACAATGTCGTCAAACAACTAATCCAAAGTTGGTGAGTGAACGGAAGTAAGTAAACGTTCCGAATTTGGTCCATCCGCGGTTGCTGGAATATTGCGACCATGCTAAAAAATGGATTCTGATTATGCATTTTTGTGAAATATTAAGCATATTCGAACATAAGTTCGTACTTGACCCCGTCCAGGCTTGGATGGAAAATTTCAACTTTGCCAAACAACCTAAAGCTGTGCAAGTCGAAGGGAACAATATGGTTTATGAATAAGTCCGCATTTCCGCCGATGACACTGTGAAGCCCAGGGCTCACTCGACGCGTATCGTTCGGACCAACCGACATTGAGATTTTTGTTTCATTTGTAAAAAGTACTTTCGTTCTACAAAGGAAAAACCATACTGTACTCCACTCTAATTAAATAATTACTTATCTAACTCACTCAAACTTTAGTAAATATTTCATATCTTGCAAGAGACTTGTCGAATATCCAGACTTTAGGACCTTTGGATTTTCATCTGAAAATTCTGTTTCCCAAGTGAAACTGCTCATCTACATATGCATTCAGTGTATTTACGACTCATTATTAGATTATTTAAATATTCTGAACAAACTACTAACGAAAGGCCAGAAAGCCGAACGAGCCATACCTGCGCAATCACAGTAAGAACTGTTCCCGTTAAATTGGTTAAATTGCTATAAATTTCTGACATGTTTGGAGATATTTACATATTTACGAATATATGCAACACTATTTTCATTGGAAAAACCAGTACGATTAAACAAAGGTGCACCTCGTCCTATTTAAGTAAAGAATTGTAAATATTTCATATATGCCGTTAATTTGCATTAATCTAACCTGGGAGGAATACATGCGCATATTTATGCCTGATAATGACCTCAAAGTACTTTCGGTGACAAGCAATTAAATACAACTTATTGTCACATCAGTCAATATTTCAAAATTGTTGAAATTGGTTTGTCTTAAAACTTGACAAGTTGTTTTGTTCTCTGCTCATTTAATTTAGCATATTTTGTGTGTTATTGTCCATCGTTTATTGAAGTTTAAAGAATGTATTTTTATCAATGTAATACACTAAAAGAAATCTTAAACGTACATTTTGCAGCACCTTAAATATTTTTATAAACATATTCATACCAATACACATGCGACCTTTATCTTGTTGTTCAAATAAAGTCTAATTTGATCCAGTTTACTGAATTATCTAGAACTTTAATAAGTTACAGTATACAATTTTATTCAGACCAGTTGTTCTTGTTATTGTGTGACATTGAGACAAATTTCACAACGATTAGCATCTTGTCAAATTTTAGCACAGCACATGTGCGTGTATTTTTTATCAATAATGTATAAATTATTCATTACATTTAGTTTATGGAACTGTGTAACAGCATGAATGTGAACAAATATTTTGTCAAAATTAATCCGGAAGTGATAAATCACGGAGAAAACCATTAGAACATAAAATTATACACTTTAGTTGTATTAAATATTCACATCGACATGTATCTCTCAGTCGGCTTGACGTTCATTGTAAGTTGAAACGCTTAAATTTTTCTCTTATGTAAAGATTAAAATAAAATTTCTTATTTTTAAAAGTTGGGACTCGCTTTAATGGCAGATTTACTTCCGTTGGAAGAGACCATAAACCCTGATTTCGATAATCAACTGGACACTACAGATATTCTTAGTTATCAAAATAATGCTATCAATAACGACACCAAAATACTTCGTAGCTGCACTTATTGCGGTGGATTTACCCCTGCACAATGTTCAGCACAATGTTTTTCTCAATCTTATCGATGCTGGAAGTGTAATCCCTGTGTTTGCGATTGCTTTAATTTGTATTGCTAATCACCACCATAAGTTTTATTTTGTTCTTATTGTAAAATAGTACACAAAATATCTGCAACAATAAAATTGTTCAAAAAAGAAATGCAAAAGTGCCATTGCAATTCCAACTGACCAAATGACAAGGATTGTCCCCACATCGGCGACTTTGAGCGATCTTTCCGTAAAGTCAATTCGTTCTTCGGGCAAACTTTTTTCCAAATATTTATTCACTAATTTCGGAGCGACATACTTGTAATAGTTTTTCTCAAGATTCCACCATCGTATCCACGTCCCGGCCTCAAAATTTCTACGAATCGCATCCACCACAAATTGCAGTTTTGACCCGATTGCAACGGAAATATATCTCATTTCTCGGAGAACACTCTCCGTATTTGTTTCCATTCTGTGGAGATATTTTGCTGTTGTAGAAAGTTGGCTCCGACCGTAGGTGAAAAAAAGCTTTCTATCGTCATACATAAATAAGGCGTATCTGTGGGCCGTGTCATTTGCATCGTCTTCCAAGTATGAGGAAGGCGTAGATTTCGCAGGTCCTTCTACCTCCCGATCTCGCCACTTTTTTATCCCATTTAAAACCTTTGTATCGCGGAGGTGTTCCGGTTGTACGGCTTCACTGTAGGCCGTTGCGGCTATAAAATTGTTTGTTTGGTTAAGTTCACTGAATGTCTTTGGGGTCCAGGGATAAAGAGGGACCAGGAGGCCGACGAGTATCATCCCACCGTACGCAGATCTCAAAACCAGCAAAACATATTCTTGAATAGGCATCCAGATCTGTTGAGACAACTTTTCCGTCTTGGCGAGGGAAAGAATTTTGTAAGAAGCATTTCCTGTGATACAGTAGGTGAAAAGTCCACTCAAAATTCCACAAACGCCCAAAAATGCCCACACAATGGGGCTGAACGGTTGGAAGATATTTCCCCAGACAAGCGGAGCTTCTTTCATGACAACAAAGGTGATGCCTGGGGAGGAGTAGAAGACGGCGTTAGAATCTGGAATAAATGCTGACAACAGATCATCTCTAAGAGTAAAAAGTCTGGCCCATCGATACGCGGAAAAGTGATACGAGGTTTGATGAGTTAAATTAAAGTGAAGAAACACCTCACAAAAGAGCATGTCATTTGCATTAAATCTGAGGGTGAGATTAGAAAGCTGGTCGTAAATATTTGAGAATTTACATCGAGAACCCCATCCTGCCAGAGTAGAGTAGAGAACGGTAGGGTAACCCCACTCGGTTTGGGGTTCTCCATCTGACTTTGAGCTGTTGATTGTGGATTGCATATACTCTGGAAGATTTTGTAACGTAATAGAGTCGTGAATAATATGCGTGATTTTCGCTTTTGATGAAGCACTGGTTTCAATAAATATAAATTTATCTTTTACAAGTAACGATCGTAATCGATCAGTCTTGAACGTGGATGAATTATAGTCATCGTATTTGCGGTAGTAGGACTGTGAGAAATTGAAAAAATCTTTGGAAAATTGAGACAACTGAAGTTTAGAGTAGATATCAATCCAAGACTCAATTGAGGAGTCAGAAGCCCTGTAGAAAATGTGGGTAAAAGAGTGAGTTCCAAATTTAGCAATGTGATTGACACCGATCCATTCGTCTGTTATAAAAAAAGATGTAAAAAAGGATCATGTTAGCTACCGTTAACTAAATCTGTGTTTCGTATACCGATTTACCTGAGGTATTCAAAGTGTGCATTTTTCCCAAGCAACTGCCACCAACTAAAATCTTTACAGAGTTTGCACTTTTTATTATGTCTTGAACGTCAGAAGTGAAAAAGTAGAGGCAGGATGAGTCCGTTATGAAAATTATCTTGTCAGAAATAACTGAGGCGGCTAATATCTTAAAGTTAGTCGCTACAATGACTACGATTATGGAAAGATACATTTTCCAAAAGTGTTCACATCAACAAATTGATTAATTGTTTTTTCAGTATTCCCATATTCAAGTGTGTACCTGCAGTCAGAAAACATGGTCGACAAACTCCAGTGCAATTGTAGCAGACCAATAAGCAAATATTAGAATAGCCAACTTGTTTGCCTAGTTTGCAATTCAATTACATCATTATTGTAATCATATGTATTAAAGGCAATGAGGTACAACGTAGTAAAAAATTTAGGCAACTCAATAAACATCGCATGCCAACGTTCATTTTATTATGCAACAATTGGAAGAACTTATATTTAATATGCAAAAATTTCCAAGTATTGATTTCAAATTTACGATATTTCAGAACGATAACTTTTCATAATAGTAAGTATGTGCAACTCTTATTTGCTATATTTCCAGAGTGTGGAGTTGAGATAAATTTATAAATAATCAAGATGGGTATTTCGTTCTTCATTGTCGATTTTTAATATTCTTCAGTTCGTTCATTACTATTAAATATGACATTTAAAATATGCTTACAAGCATGTATTTCTATCGGGGGTACACAACTTTTCACAACACAAAGCGAAAATAACACTTTCTCGGATATATATGGTCCAAACCTGTTTGTATTGTCCTACCTCAACCTTTAATCTAGGATCCATTACTTATTTATTGGTACATTTGGGACCAGGGTAGAATAAAAAGAAACTTGAATTCCGAACGTGTTTTTCAATTCCTCTGTAATCGTCTATTGTAAAAAATAAGTTATGCACAATAGGATTGGTCATGAAACCTGTCGATGCACTTTATGCATAAATTATGCTTTCAATATTATAGTCGGACACAAACTAATGGATGACTAATTCTGTAATATTAATCATTTATTAGGACCGTTCAGTCGACCGGTAGATAGATAATAGAGATACCATTACTTCCTTCCTCCTTTTGTAAATCCATCATGCCCAATTACGTTCAAAATTGAATGCGATTAACTTTCATTCTTCTTTTTCACAATTCTTCAACTTTATTGTCTGAATATGCAGTCTTCCATGTTATTCATATTCCCAAATTAAGTAGTAGTGGATCTAGGAAAGGACTATGCTATTGTTTCAGTGAGACAAATACAGCTAACTAACCACTGCCACACCACATTTTTCCACATACAACGCTACTGACAGAAGGCTATGCAAAACAAACCATTTATTAACTACGTATGTGAAACATGACATGGGCGTTGTATCACAGATTTTTGCTCTCTATTCGAAAAGGTAAGGACCCGTTGTTGTCCAATGAACCATGATAAACTCAGATTCAAATAAGTTAGAGAAGAGTTGTATTAGCTTAAAAAAGTTGTTAAACTACGTCGATCGGTAGTATCTACTATGTTCGTAGCGTTTTGTGGTGTTGCCATTGACTAGTAAAACGTAGTAGTATGTAAATCTGTAGTTGTAAGTATGTAAATATGTGTGGATGCACTATCGCTCCTTGTAGGAATAAATCAGATCAACGCGATAAATTTTAAAAGAATGAGCTGCATTGTGCGAGGTTTGTCTTTTGTGGAAAGCAAATATTTGATCTAGTTATAGGATACGGCTAAACGAGTTGAGATGAACTACTCGTGATTAAAATTTGCATACACGGACGAAGTTCCATATTGCGTTAGAAAGTAGAAAAATCAAAATCATGTTTTTTTTTAGATATGTACATATTTTTTAAGTGTTGATTTTTCTACCCAATTTTTTATGCCTCAGAATATATCACAATTCTGGAGGAATGGAGATAATGAAATTAGGAACACAATGACTAGAACTGTGAGTCATATATTCAGAATTTGAGCACGAAATGTCTTCACCCACCAAAGTGCCTGGAGGTGGAGGTAAAATTGTGAAACGCAATTTTAAAGTCGTAAACAGCAGGCAGGGCTGATTAAAGATTGTTGATCTCAATTAATTTGCCAGCAGGGAAGTGCGTAGGTACGCCAAAGAATTTTGCGTGCCATCAGCAGAAGCATTGAATTGAAATCGTCTTCTCGGATGCGTCACACATCATCCTATTGTTGCGAAAGCTGCATGCATAACAAATATTTTTGGACCTCGGTGATATTGATCTCGCACAGTCGCACTGATTAATGGCTTTATTCAGACTAGTTTTATGTACTTACGTGACTGATGGTGTCGCAAAAAAGTGGTGTCTTAACTCTTCTTTGTTGAATGTCGGATCAACTTAGGCTGGACCACTGGACAACATACTCAGACATATGCAAATTTTGAGCATGAGGGAAAATATCAATTACGAATTACTTTGATCTCCTCTTGAAGTACTAGCCGAATAGTGTAACGAAAGTAACGCCCTGCGTTGGTACATAGATACATAGAACATAGAAGTTTAGCCATTATCTTTTAAATAATTTATGCCACTGAGGATGGACGACACAAATTATTTAAGTATTTAACACGTAACCAAATTATCCATAAATTATTATGAAGATATATGCATGCTCTGATATATCATAAACCGTCCTTGACTAGCACGCAGTGCCCACGCCGAAGCGCAGTTGAAAATGTGAACTTTGGTGTTCCCTTTGGGCACTGATAGTTTTTTATTTATAAAATAGACGCCAATAACTTGTCCAGGCGAGAGTTGATCGATTTAGCTGGCTTGTTTTCGCATCTTTGTTCCTAGTAGGAGGACAATTGTGATTGAAATTGAAGAAGCGAATTTCATCATTTTGAGACAAACAAGTCCAGCAAAGTGAATAACATGCATCACGTATATTTACTAATACGCACACCTTTGTATTTGTGTAAATACATGTGTGCATGACCCAAAAGTAATGAATGGTCAAAATCCAGTTTTCCGATACTTGTTCCAGATATCTGATTAATTAGTTGAGCATGCAAAGAAAAATGGGAGACGTCGCGTGTGGTGGTGGCAGCGAGAGTAGAAAAATTGAGATATTCGGCTCATGAACTCTTATCACGGAGCCAGGCCTACGTTGTCTTGTGACGCTTGATGGATATCTTTTACAAATTATTTTTTCACTCATCCTCAAAAAGTGAAGGATAATTAAGGTTTTTTGACATGTGATGTATGTATTTCGGTCATTCCAAAACTAAACCATGTGAGTCAGGTTTGTGCTAAATTGTGGAATTTCCCATATCAGAATTTGGGGAAATTTTAAGCAACGTAGAGAAGCCAAATGTCTCCATTAAATGTGAAGCATAGGTGTGATTTACGTACAGTCAATGGAACAAGTATTGGCAACACCCACACAAGCTAAATAAAATTGGCTATAACTTTGGCATGCATTATCAAATTAGCATGAAAATTTGTACGCATTTAGCAAATCTAATGTAGTGTTCGATTATAATCATGTTTCTGATTTAAATCTAGTAAACATAACACAATACTGATTTTTACCCCAACGAGTCAGATGCAAACCTGCAAAAAGTATTGGCAACATGTGGCCAAATTAATTACACAATTTTCGAAACAATTTTCTTAACCATCTTCCACATTTCGTTACGGTAAGTTAATTAGGTGACAAAATATGAGGTTAGCTACATTTTAAGTCTACAGTTGTGTTGTCTGGAGCCAAAATGGCGACACCAAACGAGCTGTATTTGGCGCGGCGAGAAATAATCATGTCTCTTGCACAAAAAAGCTTTACTATCGAAAAATCAATAAGAAAACATACTTTTCCATATTTACTTTTGAATACGTAGCAAAGAAATATAAAATGACAATCTCAGTTTCTACTTTTCCATGATGCGGAAGAAAAAAGTCATCTACGCCTAAAACCTAAGGATGCCTCAAGCAACGAACCACTAGAGAGCGGAAGATTTCAGCTTCCAAATCCATGTTAAATTGGAGTATCAACTGTAGGGTCAACATATCATACAATCTGGTGATCAATCAAAAATTATGCCTTGGGGTTTCAGGCTCCAGAAGCCCGACCGACGCGAGAGTCCCCAAAGCGAACCACCTCAATAAATCGGAATGGGCTAAATATCACTCTAAATATAGTTCCGATCAATGAAAAAGGGCCTACTGGTCCGACATAGGCATATTTTACTTATTCGGAGCTCATTAATTGGTTCAAGTCTGGCGGATGCAATAAAAGACTCAGAAATACTAAAACGTTCGTATGGCAGTTTAACACATAGGTGGATCGATTATGGTTTGGGGTTAAATGACTAGGAGGCGGCGTGTTTACCTGGTCATTATCGATAAAATTATGACCAGGAAGGTGTTGTCAATCATTCCAAACGATAATTTGAAATCATTTAACAAAAACCTGACCTAGGAAAAAATTTCATATTCCAAAAATGCAGTGACCCCAAACATGTAGCCAAATTAACGATGCAAGTTTTCGGAGACCGAAAAGGTTAAGATTCTTTCGTTGGCTGCACAGTCTCCTGATGTGATTCTGATTGTCCGGGTTGAGAAAAGAGAGACCGATGGGAAACCACTAGTCGAAAAACGAGCTTGTCAAAAGTTTAAAAGAAGTGTGGGCAGCCATTTAAAAAAACGTTATATAGGAACTTGTCGAATAAATTCCACAGCCTAGTTCTGCTCTTATTGTGTCGAGGGGAGGTGCCACGTAATACTAGAAGCACTTTGTCGCAGTAAAATTGGCGTTTCGTTGCTCTATGATTTTTTAAGTTAGAGGGTGCCAATACTTTTTGTGGGTTAATTTCACAAATTTTCCAGCAAATTATTTAAAAACTGCGTTAATCTAATTTTAATCAGTAAAACATGATTATAATCGAAAACTACATTAGATTTGCTAAATGCGTACAAATTTTCATGCTAATTTGATAATGCATGCCAAAGTTATAGCCAATTTTATTTAGCTTGTGTGGGTGTTGCCAATACTTGTTCCATTGACTGTAGGTATGATACTAGCCGCACACCTCAATTACTCGTAGATAACAAAATAAACTTGCAGCAAGAATCCTAATTTATTCAGTCTTCCCACTTTTAAGAGATTACACCGAAGGCGAGATACTTGGCAAAAAAGAATGTGGGAATTTGTAAATAATTGTCCAATTTGAACTGGTTATTTCATTCAGAAAAGAACAATGCCTAATTTGGAGTAGGGAATTGGGATGATGATGACGATGAGCAAAAATGAAATGGAAGTGCGAATATAGAAATATCCCATCTTTCCGTCGGTCGTGGCGTCATTCCACTTCCATGAAATATTTTTCGTTTTTGCGTCTATGTTAATTCAACGTATCTAGAAATATATATGTATGCTCCCATTCGTACTCTATATTCTCGATTTTCGTACTCTTTCATCGTAGAGAAGAAGACAATCTTCGTAGTTGACCATGAACAATGGATCATACAACATGCTTTCTAACTAGTTCGTAATAAAACACTTTTATAAAATCCATGATGAGAAAAGACTGAGATCACTGAGCTTTTCCATGATATTAATGTATGCATTTGCGTTCAGCGTTGCTGAGAAGAAGATGTGTTGTGGCATCATCACGGTTTGTTACTTGTCTCCAATAAATAGCCTGATCGCGTTGAGATGAGCTACAGAACTAGAAGCAAGTTCAAAGAGAACAGATCAAAAGAAATAAAAAAGACTAGTAGCTTTTGAAGAAATACATACTTTTTTTTACACAACATTAAACACAACGTTAAATAAAATAATTTTTTTAGCAATTTACAAGTAGTCGCATTTTTACATCAATCGTGAAAATGAATAGCTTCGAGATTCGCACCTGTCTCGTGATAATGTTCAGTGCGATACTGATTGTCACGGTATGTGCATATTAAGTAATTATTATTTATAAACAGGCCAATGATATAATTTAATTGTAATGCATTTCCAGACACGGGCCAGATTCATCTATCATCCAGATCCAACAATACATTGTCTTGAAGCTAAAGTTCCATGCAGTGGGCATCATTCGGAAGACTCGTGTAAAGAATATTGTCAAGCACAAGGCTTCATTGATGGAAGTTGTGATGCCACGTGCTGCCTTTGTTTCTCTGGCCATCCTGCAATGAGTGATGCATGTAAGTGCACCAAATTTGACAATTTATGCGCATATTATGTGTTTACTTATTATTTATTTATTGTTAGTGGCATCGATGGGACAGAGAATGAGACACCCCTTGATTCGGTCACGACCCAGAATGACCCTCGCACAACATATCCCATACTCCGTTCAAGATCAAATCTCTCACCCATCCGTTGGCCAAAATGTGGTCAGCAGTCCAAAAATAAAACGACAAAATGAAGAATTCAACGAAATCGAAACTGAAAAGACTGAAGGGGACAAACCAGAAAGCTCGATTTGTCTCACACCTGACTGCGTGAAAGCTGCGTACGGATTACTCGTCAATTTAAATGACGAAGTGGACCCGTGTGATGATTTCTACGAATTCGCGTGTGGTAGCTTTGAAAAGAATGTGATAATTCCTGACGATAAAGCGGAACTCACGCCGATTGGGGGTCTGACTGATAAGCTACACCTTCAAATTAGACAAATGATTGAAAACATTGGTGGAGAAAAAATCAGCCCTTCCGGTCGACTAGTCAAGAATCTCTACAGTTCTTGTGTTAATGGAGGTATGTGCATCATATGCAAATGAATTTTTTACTTTGTGAGGTAAAATGAGACGAATTATTAACAAGTTGATTGTTTTTTTTATAGAAATACGCGAAATCAAGGGAACAGAACCATTAAAATCGCTGTTGAAGAAGGTCGGTGGCTGGCCAGTGGTTGAAGGTAAACGTTGGACCCCATCCCCTACCTTCGAATGGACAGATTTGGTGCTGAAGTTGAGGAACGAAGGAATTGCAGGAGCATATCTGCTGGGAATTGGCGTTGGTCCTGATATCAAAAATCCTGGAAGGAGAATAATCAATGTTAGAAAAATGCATATGTAGAACAAAAGTCTTTGCTCTTATAATACGTTGATTTAATTTATAAGCCGTTGTTTTATTATTTTACTACAGATTGGTGAACCTCAATTGTCATTTGGAAGGGAACAAATGATAGATCCAGTCTTCATTAATGCATACCAAAAGTACCAATTAGATCTCTCAGTCTTATTGGGTGCAGACCCACGCGTGGTTGGGGCGGAAATGGGAGCTGTTTTCCAATTTGAAAAAAATTTGGCTAATGTATGTGCATTAAGGAAATGCAATAAATTCGCAAATATTATTATGTCGATAAATATTAATTATTTATTCTTTGCAAAAATCTAGATATCTCTCCCACGAGAAGCCACGAGAGCACACCCTTTAAAGTTTTACAATCCAATTAGCATCTCAGAGCTTCAGAAACGCTTCCCTCACGTGAATTGGCTACACTTTGTAAGATCATCTTTGCCGGATAATCTTGACGTTAAGGAAAACGAAGTCGTCATTCTCTCCGTGCCTCCACATTTGGTGAACTTACTTCGTCTCATTGAAATGACCGACCAAAGAACGCTGGTGAATTATTTAATGTGGAGGGCAGCCTCCTCCCTCATTCCTTATTTGGGAGAATCAGCCAACTTCCTCAAGGCCCATTTTAACGCCAGGGTCACCGGACAACATCAAAAGCCACCAAAGTGGGCCGAGTGTGTGGGTCTAGTCACAAGTACTTTGGCTCACGCCGTGGGGAAAATGTATGTCGAAAAACATTTCGATGAGAAATCAAGAGAAGAAGCAATCAAAATGTTTCACGACATTCATCAAAGCTTTAGCACCGTGCTTGATGAAGCAACATGGATGGATCCAGTCACAAAGTATGACTAAATTGCACTATTTTGTTACAATTTGTATCTATTTTTTGCCCGTAAAGTCTTAATATTAATACGTCGTTGTAATAAATAGGAGCAGGGCGCATGAAAAAGCGAGAGCCATGCGATCTTTCACCGGATATCCTGTGGAATTGCTGGATGAAAATGAATTAATCAAGTTATATGACGGGGTAAGTTGAGATCATAAGATAAATTGTATAGCTAAAATAAATAATAATGCATATTATTGATTGGCTTTAGTTGGAGCTAAGTGGCGACAATTTTTTCGAAAATGTGTTGAACATTACGAAGAGTGGGGTGAGGTACACGCTTGGAAAATTGAGAAAACCAATAGATCCCAATGAGTGGGTTGGACATGGAAAGCCGGCCGTCGTCAATGCCTTTTACAATCCAAGTCAAAATTTCATCACCTTCCCAGCAGGCATACTCCAGGGGCACTTCTTTTCGTACGATCGACCCCATTACATGAACTTTGCAGCGATTGGTTGGGTGTATGGGCATGAACTAATTCATGGATTTGATGATCAAGTATGTAGTTTCTAAAATGCTGTAGTAATTTCCATTAATGCGAAATTTTGTGTTATAATACGAATTTTGTAACATGTTTTATCGTTCTTATAGGGCAGTCGTTTTGATCTCCGAGGTGATCTCAAGGATTGGTGGCATCCAAACACGAAACAACGTTACCACGAAAAAACGGAATGCATCGTACAACAATACTCAAAGTACAGCTTTACTGACCTAGTCACAAATGTCACAACTCAGGTAAAATTACATATCCATGTTCCTTCTGCCATTTTCGCAGTTTTTGCAAACAATGTTTACAATATTGCGTCATTTAAATATTTGCAGCTGAATGGTCAGCTTTCTCAAGGGGAAAATATAGCTGACAACAACGGTGAGTTTCACTCATGTGACGAGACTTGTTCAAGCATGAGGAGTGAATGTTGACGATAATTGATAATTTGTTTATCTAGGAATTTTACTAGCATACAGAGGTTATCAAAAATGGGTGGAACGAAACTGGGCTGAGCAGGTAATTTATTATTCAGTGTCTAATTTATGACACTGACACTAAATTGAATTAATGAATAGAATTAATGATTGGGAATAATTTTTCGATTTGCAGAGACTTCCTGGACTTGAGAAATACTCGCCAAATCAAATGTTCTGGATAACTGCAGCGAATAATTGGTGTTCAAGTCACAGACCGGTAGCTTTTCGTCATAAAATGATGACTGGGGTACATCCACCGGGAAAATTTCGGGTGCTTGGATCATTTTCTAATTCTCATGAATTTTCAAAAGATTTCAAATGTCCAGTCGGAAGTCGTATGAACCCTGTGAAGAAGTGTAAAGTATGGTGAATATTTGCACCTCTCATGCATTTCAGATTTTCTATATTTTGTACCTTGTTTGTATCGAATAATGCAAGTGTTTATATGTAGATATACAAAAAAAACGTTAAAGAGAACAATAAAAATAGTGTTACTGACAGTATATATGATCGACAAATTGGATTTGCATACATACATAACAATAATTTCGCATTAATGGACACACTTCAAAATATTCTTGCAATTTAAATTATGTCGCCTGCAGTGCTCTTGAAAAATTTAACTTTGACAGTTACATATGTACGTCCAAGTAGGATGGCTGGATGGTGTACATTTAAATGTATAGGACATGCAGATATAGAGTACAATTCTATTTGATCTTGAATCAATATTTAAGCTCACTTAAGGCAGAGTTTTATATAGATTTAAAAATTTGCCAAGTTTTATTTATTTAAATAAGAGGACCATGAAAGTTTTTCTACTTTGGTTTTGTCTTTTAGTTTTTATCCCGGTTAAATTGTCAGGTTCTCTATTAATTCGTAAGAATATTCAAAATCCTAGTGTTTCGCTGCATTTTAAATACAAACGAATACTAATTGTTAATAGCACTGACGATGTAAAGATTGAGTTTAGTACGGAAGAAAGTACATCATTTTATAAAATTGAAAATGTTACCGATTTACTAAGATTAAGCCCATTGCCATTTCAAAAAGAATTGCTTCTGATCTTTGTTTCATCGCATCTAGAAGGATTATCATTAGTGAAAAATGTACGTCTTTTCTTAATTTTATCATATTAAGTACACATGTATTTCCACGTGTATTGCTATAAATATTTTATTCCAGCAACACAATATTCTTCGTCAGTTTGGAATAATATTCATCATATTTACGCCAAGGAAGTACAATCGAAGCGACATCATAAGCAGTATCATGGCGAGTCGAAAGTCCAGGGAATCTAATATCTGCAAAGAATGGTACCTTGGTTCACTAGATGATGGATATTTTGCATTCTACTGGAAAACAAAGTTTGGAAAATTACGGTTGCGGATTTATAAAATGTTTTGCATCAACAAAGTATTTATCGTGTTGAAAGTTTCAAAGAAAAATGCAGAATTCAACGAGAGAGAATCCACTTCAGAATTGTTTGAATTCATTAGCAGTTTTTATTATGAAATACACGCGAATGAACCAAATCTGAACATGCGACAAACCAAATTTCGAATTGTACTGGTTAGTATTTACTAGATACACTCGTAGAAATAATTTATGCTTTATTCCCTGCTTACTAATAATCTTATCAATCACATTATTTTAGCGGAACAAATTCGCCACTCCAATATATAAAAATATTATGCCAACTTGGTCCCTACCACTTTTTCTGGATTTACAGTTCATGTTGAATTTTACGTATATTTTCATACTTTAGAACAACCTATGTGTGTCGTATGTACGTCAAACAAATCAACATTTTGTCCATTTTTAGCTTTGATTTCTCATTCGTTAATAATACCGAGAATGAGCTAGATCTGGGAAATGGATTAGAAGCTGATTTTGCTGGATTTGGTCAAGCAATAATTCCTTCAAAGGCTACAAAGTATGGAATGTTAATGTCCATCGGATATGTGAGGTTGAACAATCAATATATTTACAAAATCATATATTTAAACGCAAACTTGTAAAATATAGCGGATCAATAACATTTTTCAAAATTTTAGTTTCGAGGCGTTTTTCCTTCGGAACGAAAAAACTCGCAAATCTCTAAATCTATACATTGAAAAATTTGGTGGACAACTTTGGACTTATTTTTCTGCTGTCTGGATTTCTTTACTTTTAACGTTACGCGTAATTAGGAAATGTAAAAGGATTCAGAAAATTCGAGAACCAAGCAAAGATCAGAAGCTAATAACGGAGGAACTGGGCTTATGGGCCGTGTCAGCGTTCTCAATGAGAAGTACATACATTCTCACAGCCAAATTAGATCCCTATTAAATATATACATATTTTTTTAAATAATTTGGTTCATTTTTTAGCTTGGCCAATTTCACCAACGAGCTTGTCGTACAGGGTCGTCTTTCTCTTCGGCGGAGTGTTTAGTTTGCTATTTTACTCTTTATATTCGTCACTCATTGTGTCCGCAATTACGTTCCCAATCTCGTTTGTTCATGGATTTCAGTATCTAATTGACGGAAAATATACGCTCACAGGATTTTACAAGAGCGAGCCAATCATGAATGTCCTCAAAGTAAAATATTTGTAATTCATATATTTCCGATAAAAATGTTGGTATACATTTACTCAAGTAGTGTTTCCCCACTTTATGCGTGTAGAACATTGTGACGACTTATAAAGTGCACTCAGACACGGTTGATGTCCACAATCAAACTTCTCAACTTTCTCCAAAGCACAACGAAAACGCGAAATCTACTGCCTTCATCTCTTATATTGATTCATTCTTGGAGATTTTTGAAGAAAAGGGAGAGATTTGTCAAATGTATGACCACGTGTTCATATCTCACGTGCCGACATGCATAATTATTCCTAAAGCATCATCCCTCAAGAAATTATTAAATCACAAGTATGTAAATATAATCATTGTAAAATTAATAATTTATAGCTTTGCTATTACATAATTAATGAGATTTTATTTTATTTTATCAGAATAATCAAAATCATGGAAAGAGGACTCATGCGACGGTACATTAAAGGTGACGAATCAAATATTTGGAATACTTTGTGCAATGACTCGACTCGAATCATCCTTGCAAATGCAATTACCCTACGAGATGCACTTTTGATCCTTATCGTATATTTGATAGGAACAATAATGAGTTTGACAATTATGCTGGGTGAGGTATATTACTTTAGCCGTACACTATTCAGGAAACGATCATAATCGATTTAATATTGATTAGCTAAATATGAAGCATATACAAATATACATCTATATGTGAAGTACAATTAATGTTAATAAAAAATTGATAAGTCACAATGAAAATGACCCAACGCATCTTTGTTTTATGCCCTATGTAAATACATGCATATGTATACGTATTATTACGTATGTATGTACATATACCTACATATACATATAGCATGTTGAAAATTTTCTGGCCATACATACCACGTTCAGTTCTTGTCCGATCATTACTGAACGCCGTGCTTGATAGTGCTTTCACCTCCAGATTACCACTTGCAACACTCATTTCTAGCAAATGCCGAACTTATATATAGTCGTTTCTAAAATGTAAAGAACTTTTCATGCAGAAATACATAGTAGTTAAAAATGAAAGGGCAAATTCAAATTTGCTTGCATATATTGTACATTTTGTTGTACGAATTACTTACTAAAAGAATATAGACTATTTTTTATTAAGCCTAAAAATTCCATTGTTCCATAATTGTCATACATACTTTCATGCAATTCACGTGCACATGAATCAATAGTTATAGAGTCGTTTGGTGTTAGTTAGTATGCTCATTGGACGATAGACGTTTGAGACAAGCTTAAACCAATATGCCGGATAATTGGTTTTTATTTATTCATACATTAAATCAACATGATTACTTGTGACTAGTATACACACATGATTATGATGATACATACTTGTCACATGCTGAACTTGACGCTTGTGGTAAACGTTATTGACTGAAATTAAAATGCAATGTCATATTGACATGTATATAAATATTTAGTTATCATTTTATGACATATATAATGATAAAAAGTAGCTTGATGTTTATCATTTAATGCAATATTTAAGTTTTATTACTCAGTCAGTGGTTGTGCATTCTTAATAACGTAAATTTTCCCCCTCGTCATATTCATTTCGATGCAACATATAATACCACACGATGTCCATCGAGAAAAATATGCCAAAATGATCCATATAACATGTTCACATGTTTTGTTTATAAAGTTAGAATAGTGTCTTTTTTAATACTGTTTATCAATAAAATAAATAACCAAGAAATTCACAAATCATAATCTTACCCCGCACCTATCATTACTTTAATAGAGAGGTAAAAGGTCCATGGGCAATATTATTTGACACTTTATCATTCTATACATGTTGCGACAAATGAATTGTTTCCAACACAAATTTTCATTTTTGAAGAAATTAAATTTTAATTATTATGTACTGACAAAATGGTGTGAGTGGACCGTTGCTAAGTTGGAGGATTGAGATGACCCCCTAGGTCAAATCCGGACCAAGTGATCTCACACCCTCCAGTGGGGTGTCAATCGATCGGTCTAGATAATACGATCAGTTTGGTATATTATAAAATTTTGTGAGATAAGAATTGGCTTCGAAATTCCTGAAAAACGTATATTTTGGAGATATTCTTCAAAATAAACATTTTAATTTTCGAAATAGTACACTCGAGATTTTTAGCTTAAAAAATCAAGCTAAAATTAGGATGATTTCATCCTCAGGAATTAAGTCTCTTTGTCTGCCTATTCAAAAGTTATTCAAGGTTAAAGTCGTTGGGGCAAACCAAAGGACTTTTGCCCCAACGATTTAAAAAATGAAAATTTTCTAAAAAATAATCCATTTGTCGCAACCGTATGGGGCACCACCCCATAGAAACGATGTCAGTTAATCGTGGTCCATGGGCCCTTTGAATCCCGATTTATTCACATTATTGAGAATGAGCCCCTCAGAATCCATGTTTCCCTAGTCTCCAGAGTGTGTCTCCTCATGGTTCCAGGGAAACATGGGCACCCTCGTGTCCTATCCAGCAGTTTTAAAATATTGCATTGTTGGTCTGACAATGGCCTTATGCAACCACATATTTGACTGGTTTAAGTCCCCATGTGTAACCCTTTTACAAACACCCTTCATATCTTTTGTAGCCTTGTCCGTGCAGTGTTTTTTCTTAAGAAAATATAAATATGAGATCAATTGTGACCCAATATTTTTCAGGTTAAATAAACCTTCTTACATGTTTCATATGTGTAACAGGCATGTATTCTTGGTCGGGCAGAGCCATACTGAGGATGAGTCTATACGAGCTTATGACTCTGCCCGACCAAGAATACATGCCTGATGTGTAAAGGAATTTTTCGTTAACTTTTGAATTAACGTTTAACTAAAATTGTGGGTTCATGCAACCAAGAATCACAAACTGTACGCGAATTTAACGTATATTGCCAAACACTGTGAAATCACATTGTTAAAATCAGGTTAATTTAACAAATGCAATAATTTAAAACCTAATTATAGGTTTCCCTATTAGTATGCAGTAGATTTTCATACCTGCGTATTTAAAGTCATATCTAAATTCCTGACAATATACCTTGTCGCAACTAATGATTAATACGAAGTAAACTATTCTACACATTAAAAGGTAATTTGACCTATGAACACTTGATAACAATTTAGCGGAAGTACTTCATTCAAATGTTATCAAAAAATGTATGGTAAAAAGCTGATCATTTCTATGTGTTTCGTGCTTAAGAACTAATTACCCGAGTTATTACGTACAATATTCATACATGGCTGTGTTTCGTACAAACTTTCAGCACGCGACAGTCTATTGTTATTAAACTAATGCAGATTTAAACTTATTAAAGGATATTTATTTGTGATTAAGCTGCGATAAGTGTATATATTCCTGAATTACAGAAATACGTCAGATTCCACCAGATTGAAAGCACATAGTTGGGCAATGATTAGTTGTTATCTAAACATGGTCTCCTGCCCTTGGTGTAGCATGCTGCGGTTCCAAACATGTGCACATGCCTATATGATATAGTAAAGATAAGTGTGGACAACCCCACGCATAGTTTTATTGTCCAGTTGAATTGCAACTCACATGACCGCATTAATTTTTAGCAAGAAAGTTTGCCATTTGTGGTAATCGCAGTTTGTCATGAGAGAAAACATTGATAACACATTACCGTGCATATACATATGTAGTCATATCCTTCAGCCTAACGTTGCACACCATGTATGAATATGATAAGCCTATAAAACTGAACATGCTTGTGTATAAGTCATCCATCAGTGACATAGGCCCTGCAAAATACGTACATATGTATGTGTAACGTGATCACCTGAGATCATCAAATCACAAGGTCTTCAAACTTAACATAAACACATACAAAGGTTCGGTTAAAATATATCCACGTATTGTTGAAGGAACTCGTGATTCGGTGCTAATCAAAAATAGCTAACTTAGGTAAAACCGATCTGTGGAGTGGGAATTGGTTCAGTTGTCGAGCTGAGTTACTCAGTGCCACAGACTGTGATACATAATTGGATCGGACGCGTTGAGCGAGCAAGACTATGGAAGAATATTGTGGATCCCCATTTTGGGTAAGAAAAATGCCTCTTTGAAATGTCAAGAATTGACAAGAAAATAATGGTATTTTTTCAATATTTTAGGATCGAAATCTCACATGGGATACAAGTGATCCGTTTTTTACTCCTTGCTTTGAGGATACGGTTTTAATCTGGGCACCAGCTGCATTTCTCTTAGCGTTTGCAATCTTTGAAATTAAGTCGTCTCTACAAAGCCCACGTCGAAGTGATCGAGTTCCATGGAACGCATTTACGATTATTAAGTGTTTAGATATTTTAGCATTGTGCGCTGTAGCGATAGTTAATCTAGTTAAGGTCTTAAGTTACGATGAATCTCGAAGTGTGGATACTCTGGCTTCCGTGGTGCGGTTAGTGTCTTATGTGAGTCAAATTATTATTATTCAAATTTTATTTTTTAGTATTTTGAAATTGTTAGTTATGTAAAATAAGTGGACCAATGTATTTCATAAATTAATGTGCAGATCGGAGCGCTGGCACTGTTAATTTTATCAAAAATGAATGGTGTAAGGTCTTCAGGGATCCAGTTTTTATTCTGGTGTTCGGTTGCGACATGCGAAGCAGTTTTATTTCGAACTGCCGTGAGGATGTACGACTCTGATCACGATGTGAGTAAATGATAATATGCATTTTTTGGTATCATTTTGACCATAATTTTGCATGACATTTTAAAACTGTTGATAGACAAAAACAAACTTTTCCTACTTTATACGATTCTTCATATTTCCACTGACGGCAATTCAACTTTTTCTGAATTGTTGGGCTGACGGGAGTTGGAGTTTTGGACAAAAAGAAAAGTCGGGAAAAAATGCCTTATTTGGGGTAGGAATAAATTTTGCCAATTCTAGCATGCTTAAAATTTAAAATTAATATTCTTGATGGAAATAATAGCTCCCCAGTCCGGATAAAAACTCGTCTTTCCTATCCAAAATCATGTACTCCTGGTTTGACAGTCTTGGTAAGTTTAGTGTGATTATTTGCATAAATGACACCTTCTTGCTCTACTCTGAGAAGAATAGAAAACGACTAATACTGACAAATGTAGTAATGTGCATGTATATTTATAATTTTAGCTTGGAAAGGTTATCGCATGCCACTTGAGTTTGCAGAATTATGGGACCTAAACCCACAGGATAAAGCGCATAAGCAAATCCCATTATTTTATAAACACTGGAATGCCGCAGTGAAAAAAGCCAAAGAGTAAGTGCGGCTGCGGATTTCGGTCCTTTGTAGGTAATTTAATGTCAATTTATTCTTCAATCAGAGAAAGCAAGAAAACTGGGAAAGTAGTCGAAGCTGGAATTATTTCAGTCTTTGCGAAATGTTATTGGACCACATTCGTTGTGGGTGGAATCATGCGTTTAGGTATTTTTTTTCATTGCATTTCTTGACCACCTGTCAAGCTTGATTTTTTTTAACAAAAATTGATTTTCGTCTGCTCCAGACCGCACTTTATCATGTCTATCAATGCTTTGCGATATTAATGGGCGAGCCATTTCATATATTTTTTATCACGCGTATTTATTTATTTTATTTTTTGTTTTTTAGTACAAGACTTGTTGCCATTCATTTCTCCAGAAATTATGAAGTATGAAATGTTTACTTTAACTTTAGAAGCATTTTTTTTACATTAGTGTGTGCATACATATTGACGACAAATTATCTCTGTGTCATGCAGATTGTTAGTGGCACATGTTGCCCCAAATAGTACAGAAGACTCCTGGAAGGGTTACCTTTATGCTGGAGTGTTGTTTGCGACATCAATCCTGCAAACCATATTTTCTATTCAACACTTAAAACGCACGATGATAATTGGTATGAGGACTCGGACCGTGTTATCCAGTGCAGTTTACAGAAAAGCATTGGTAGTTTCAAATGCAGCAAAGAAAGGTATATGGAACTTTCTGCGTTTCATTTTACACACAAAACTGACAAAACACATAATGATTTTGGCATTTTATTCCTAAAGATTCAACCGTCGGGGAAATTGTAAACTTGATGAGGTAACTTTAACCTATTAACGTAGTCATTTAGTAAAATTGAATTGACATCAAATTTTGAAACAATTTTTGCAAAAGTGTTGATACCCAACGACTTATGGATCTCACCTCCTTCATACACATGATTTGGACGGCTCCAATACAGATTGGTTTATCAATCTATTTCCTGTACCAAGCCTTAGGGCCGGCTGTATTTGCGGGATTAGCAGTCATGATTCTCTTGATTCCTTTAAATGGATTTATTGCGACGAAAATCAGGGCTGTTCAAATGGAGCAGATGAAGATGAAGGATAACCGTGTGAAGTTGATGAGCGAGTTGTTATCAGGGATGAAAGTACGTAAAACTGGGTGCTGAATTATTATTGTGGGTTCAATGCAGTATATACATAGATATGTAATTTAAATGCATATTTAGGTTCTGAAGTTGTACGGCTGGGAACCTTCATTTCAAGCTCAAATCACGAAAATCCGTGATATGGAAGCGGCTTTGTTGAGAAAGAGTGCGCTTCTTGGAGTCAGTACTATGTTTACATTTACGTGCGCACCATTTCTCGTACGTAAATATTCAATAACGGTTTACAATATTTATTACGATTGGTATGTTAATTTACGATTTTGGGAATGCTTTAGGTGTCGCTGGCCACATTTGCGGTGTACGTTTTGTCGGATGAGACGCACAATTTAAATGCAGAAAAAACCTTTGTTGCATTATCTCTCATGAATATTATGAGAATGCCGATGACGATGTAAAGATTTCCGATTTTTGTACAGTTAACTTATACATTAACTTGTACATTATCATAAAAATTGTCATATTTACAGGTTTCCCATGGTCATTGCTCTCTTGGTGCAGGCTTTAGTTAGCATAAAGCGATTGAATAAATACCTAAATTCAGAGGAAATTCATCCCGATGCTGTGACGCATAATGAAAGTGAAAGTATGATTTCCGTATTTTTACAGGATACACAACTTGATTGATGCGTCTTTGTTAGTACGACTTAAATTTGTAATGTTATTCAGATGATCCTATTGTGATACGAGATGGTAGCTTCTCCTGGACGGATGAAAGTATGACGCTACAAGACATTAATTTCAATGTTAAGAAGGGATCCTTAACAGCCATTGGTAACTTTGTACTACTTTTGACTACTTTTGAACATATTTTGCATATACCTTATACCAACAATTTTCATTAACAATTTATGACTTAATGTCCAGTTGGTACTGTTGGTTCTGGAAAAACAAGTCTGCTTTCAAGTTTGTTGGGCGACATTACAAAACACACAGGAACTGTGAATATCAAGGTTAGCTAAAAGTTCCTGGCTTGTGGTTGCGAACAAAGCCTAAGTTTGATATGATTTTGGTATGCAAATTTTAGGGCAGCGTTGCATACGTTGCACAAGGGGCTTGGATTCAAAACGCAACGTTGAAGGACAACATATTATTCAACGATCCCTTAAACGAAACTCAATATAGGAAAGTTATTGAGGCCTGTGCTCTTGGACCTGATATAGAAATTCTAGACGGGGGAGACCAAACGGAGATTGGGGAAAAGGTACGAGTACAAAATAAGAGATAACGGAGAACTTTCATAATGTGTAAATTTTCAAATGCAGGGCATAAATTTGTCGGGAGGTCAGAAGCAGGTTGGAAATTATACATTTCTATTAAACAACATATTTACGCAGAAATGGAATTTTAACTAATTAATGAACTTTGCCTAATTAGCGTGTCTCATTGGCTCGAGCGGCTTACAAAGAGTCGGACGTCTACCTTTTCGATGATCCATTGAGTGCCGTGGACGCACATGTTGGGAAACATATTTTCGACAAACTCATCGGACCGAATGGAATACTGAGAGGAAAGACGAGGGTCCTGGTAACCCATGGGGTCTCCTTCCTCCCACAGGTTGACAACATTGTAGTCATGAAGGATGGACGGATTAGTGAAGTTGGGACGTTTAAGGAGCTCTTGAAGCAAAAAGTGAGCATAACTATTGTTAATTAACTTCAAGTAAAACATGTTGAGCTCACACAATTTCTGTTACAGGGAAGTTTTGCTGAATTTTTGAGTACTCATTTGGGAGCTGGAGAAAGTGAAGAGATTGACGAATCCTTGATGCACGAAATGGAAGAAATTGTTGGAACGGAAGTGTTGAAAAGAAATTCTTCCATAATTTTGAGGAAGCGGTCAACGCAGGCGTCACTAACCAACAAACAAGCTCAAGCAGAACCTGTTCCGACCAAGAAAAAATTGATCGAGGAGGAGAAAGCAGAAACCGGAAGTGTAAAATTATCAGTCTTTGTTGACTACATGCGAACTGCAGGGTTGACCATGACAGTCGGCGCAATTGCTTTCCACTGCATATCGACAGGTGTGCTACTTAACTCTATAAATACGTCATTGGTTAATTTGTTAACATGGGTAATATTTAATATATTTATGCTTGGGTGCAGCGGCCTCAACCTATTCAAATATCTGGCTAAGTGATTGGAGTACCGAAGCCACTAAAGATGAAATAGCAAGTGGAGGTGTTCAAAATAAGGACACGACAACAAAGTATCTCAGGTATTCACGAATTTAATTTAATAAAACATTTATATGCATATATATCTTTGGAGTGGGGAATCTTTTGCCTGAGGAAAACTAAATACTAACAATTTGTGCTAATTATATCATGTTTTCCTCAGTGTTTACGGCGTACTTGGTGGAGTTCAAGGTAAACAAAATATTTAAACCGTCATGATTTTCTTTACATACATTATTAAGTAGTTTTAAAATCTGTTTTGTTTTGGTTATTTCAGCAATCACAATTTTACTTGGTGGAGGATATCTGGCACTCGGTGCCTTAAACTCGGCGTTGCACCTGCACGTCAGAATGTTGACGAGTAATTTAAAACAAAATTAAACTCTAAATTTACCTTGTTTAATGAGCTGTTCCAAATTTTGTTGTTACTTTAGGAGTCATGAAGGCCCCCATGTCATACTTCGATACGACGCCCCTTGGTAGACTAGTGAATAGATTTGCGAAAGACGTAGATATGGCGGACAATGTTGTTCCATTAAATATTCGTGGAACTCTTAACATTTTACTTGGGGCTCTCAGCATGATTGTGAGCATTTGCTATTCAACTCCTCTTTTCTTGGCATTTATCTTCCCTCTTGGAATCTTCTACTTTTTCCTTCAAGTAAGAATAAAAAATTAAATTCCTCAACGTTTCAGAAATCATGCACAGCACAAATAAATGAAATTTTATATCTCTGTAGCGTTTCTACATTGCGACGTCACGACAGTTAAAACGAATCGAGGCCGTTTCAAGATCCCCAATTTATTCAAAATTTAGCGAAGCGATTTCTGGATCAATTACAATCAGGGCATTCGGTCTACAAGAAGATTTCATAGTGGGAGCAGAAAATAAAATTGACCAAAATCAACAGGCCTACTTTCCCTTTATTGCTTCGTCTTTATGGATCTCTACAAGATTGGAGTTGCTCGGTGGGCTAATTATTCTTGCAGCAGCCATTTTTGCAGTGACATCTCGAGAAACAATTAGTCCTGGTAAGAGAATTGGCCTACCGCGTAGGTATTATTGATTTACAGAACTATGTAAATGACTAAAATTAATGTTTTCCATTAGCAATTGTGGGGCTGTCTATATCCTCCTCGCTGCAAATCACTCAAATGCTGAATTTTTTGGTGCGACTAATGAGTGAATTGGAAACCAATATAGTTTCCGTTGAAAGAATGAAGGAATTGACTGAGACTGTACAGGTCAGTTACTGAGCTGATGTCCATTCCCATTCTACGCATTGGTACACAGGTGGGCCTATGATTGTGATATATTAATTTGATCTGCCATAGGAAGCACCATGGGTCACGGAGAAACGACCTCCAAAAGAATGGCCTCAAAATGGTGAAGTCGTTTTCCAAAAATATGAAACCAGGTATCGTGAAGGATTGGATTTGGTGTTGAGAGGAATAAGTTGTTCCTTTAATCCTGGAGAAAGAGTGAGTGAGACAAATGCTTTGATGAAATTGGCAGCATGGATTAATTCGCATTAAAATAAACACCATTTTATGTATTTCAGATTGGAATTGGTGCGTATTTTGAAAACTTCTCCCGTGATAAAAGTTAAACAATTAACGTTTCAAAATTAACGAGTTTTATTTATTTTCAATCCAGTTGGAAGGACTGGAGCAGGAAAATCGTCCCTCACTTTAGCCTTGTTCAGATTGATAGAGCCGTCGGGTGGCTCCATTTGTATTGACGGACAGGATATTAATCAAATTGGACTGCATGACCTCAGATCAAAAATTACAATCATTCCTCAGGTACAATTATACATGGATAAAGGTTTTATCAGGGGTTTCAACATTATACTTTTTCGTGCAGGACCCAGTTTTGTTTTGTGGGAATTTGAGAATTAATCTTGACCCATTCGATGCATATACTGACGATGAAGTCTGGTAAGCTGAATAATGCTTGATTTTTCAAAATTAATTTAAAGTTGAGACTACAATTGAGTTGTATCATCAGGAACTGTTTGGAATCGGCGCATTTGAAACCGTATGTGAGCAGTTTGCCACAAGGACTTATGTACGAGGTAGCTGAAGAGGGGCAGAATTTCAGGTATTCTTTAATACTTTATAAATTCAGATTATTAATGCATGTAAACGAGAAGTGTGGCAATGTAACATGCAAATTCTGTACTATACAGTGTCGGCCAGCGTCAGTTGGTATGCTTAGCACGTGCTTTGTTGAGGAAGACGAAAATTCTTGTGCTGGATGAAGCGACCGCAGCGGTATTTATATTAGAATTTTTAATTTTTTAATTTTTAATTATGGAGTATAAAAAGTAAGAGAATACTAAAAAATGGATGTTCATTAACAGGTGGATCTAACGACTGACGACCTTATTCAAAAAACTATCCGAAAGGAATTTGCTCATTCAACCGTAATAACGATTGCCCACAGACTGAACACTATCATGGATTCGAACCGGTATGAACTATATACAATGACGTTACGTTTGACCATTTAACTAAATGCGTATCTTAATTAATACAGGGTCGTGGTATTGGATAAAGGGCAAATCGTGGAGTTTGACTCTCCTGAAAATCTCTTAAAAGATTCAAGCACCATATTCTATGGTATGGCAAAGGATGCAGGCTTGGTGTAAAGTTTAGTAGTAAAAATCATTGCGTGTGTTGCAAAGTGGCATGCATGTACAAAGTTGAAGAATATAATTACTCTCTCCACGTAGTTATAATTATTGATATTTTTGTATTTATTATAACTACCTTGCTTTTATTGCCTACTCGTGGTTTTACGTGCCAAAATATTTTATTAAAACGTATAATAAGCCATTTCCACATTATATAGTCTTTACTGTGTTACGATATTGTGTACATATATCCTATCTAATAAGAGTCAAAAGCAAATGCTCGAGTTGTTCTATGTTTAGCTCGAACTGGTTTGAGCTTGTATAAAGGAAAATAAAGCGTTGTTTAACAAGAGCCAAGAAATTCGTTAGCTTATCGTCACTCTGAGTTGTCGTTCATAATTACATTATTTCCAACAGCCATCCGACTCCTTGTACATGTATAATATTGATCTCTCTTAATATTGGGAATCGACAAGTTTTAATTAATCACGAAGGAATGGAGTGTCTGTAGATTAGAGTTTAGCCTAATATATGTACGCGTATAGTTCCAGGTTACTGGAATTGTGCTATTACTTCATATTTGTGATAATGTACATACACACGCATAGGATATAAAGGTGATAGTGCATGCACATTTATTATTATATCATGAGAAATAAAATTTATATTGGATGGAGCTGTCCAAGCATTTAGTTGCGTTTGTATTAACGAATACAGAGTTCGAAGTGAGCTAAAACTTTTTGTACTGTACAGCAGTTTTGGTTGATCTCGATAGCAAGCAGTGCGAAGGTCGTCCACTTATCGCATAAAACAAGTCCAATTTCGCTATTGAAAAAAGCTGAAGCCTAAAATTATGTGGAAATACACAGACGGGCACTTTTTTTGCTATATAAATGTCCCTACTTATATAATATTGTCATTTTTTATGCCAAGTCTATGAACTTGGCGAATGCATAGCGTTAGTTCAAAGTAAATCTCATCAAATCTGTTCACCTTCGACAAATAATTCATCGGCTGATTTTCCTCATCAAGCAATTGCAATCAGTACTTCCTTTAAGGTGAACATGGATTCAAAACTGGTTGGTTCGGCGAAGGAGGAAAAATGTTTGGAAGAATTGAAAGAAATTGTAAAAAGTAAGTACACAATTCATATGCAAATGCAAGTAAAATTCTCATAATTACAGAATGAACATTGTAACATATTTCAGAAAATTCTGAAGAATTTGAGAATTTTGAGTGGCTTTTGGATGACAAATTCCTACTTCACTTTGTTCGAGGAAAAAAGTACAAAATAGCAAAGGCATCTATTGCAGTAAGTGCATACAATATGTACCTATGCAATTAACTAATACGAATAAATGGGTGCATATGCAATTTCATTATTGTGTTTTTAGCTAAAAAATTACATTCGCATCAGAAAACATCAGTACAAACCATTGTTCTTACAATTGGATAATTTTGAAGAGTCAACAATAGGAATTCGGAATGGGGCTGTCAGTGTTTTACGGCACAGGGATGCCTTCGAGCGAACAATCGTTGTCATCAACTTTAGTAAAATTTATTTGTCATACACGAAAAATTCATCTATATTTCTTTACACTTTTATACATATCTCTAAAATAAAATAATAGCTTTCTGGCCTGACGACATGACCGTCGATCAGTTCACTCAAGCCCTCGTTCTGGTGACGGAAGAGTGTTGGAACTGTCAAAAGGTTGAGACCCAGGGCGTTCAACTGATTGTGGATTTGTGCAGTTTCGGGTGGAACCACCTCAAAATGTTTACTCCGTCCGTCGTCTACAAGTGTGTCAACATTTTTTGGGCAAGCTAAGCAATTAATTAAGCTTATAACCAACTACCTATGTACATTAGTTTACATTACGCATGAGCATGTACCTCAACCGAGTTTTCTCAATTTTTCAGAACAACATGCCAATTCGATATAAAAATATTCATCTTCTGAACCCTGGGAGTATTTTTGAAATCTTGCTGAAAGGCATTAAACCGTTTCTACCCTCCACACTACGTGAGAGGGTAAGTTTTTTGGAATTATTTTATGTACCTAATTCTTGAGGATGTATGCATGGAATGAACATGTTTTTGTAGTTTTATCACTTTTTCCTTAGCTCTTGCCACATTCCACTGATTGTTCCGAACTGTACAAAGTGATTCCACAGGAAAATCTGCCGATATCCTTGGGTGGTGATTTAGATGACGAGGATGCATACGATACTGAGCTAGTTAAAAGAATCTATGCAAAAACGGAATACTATCAGCGATTTGTGCAAAGTTTGTAACCAAATTTTATATTAGTTGCTCCATCGCAGATACATAGTTAAGTACGCAGTAAATCTAGTTTTATGTAGGAGAAATGTAATGATAAATGTGTAATTAAACAATAATAAGTCCGCCGGATATTGTGATGTTACTATTAATTTGACAACTTACTAAATCTATGTGTTCTACAGATATAAATGGGTCTATAAATATGTTATAAATGTTGCTAAAAATTGTTAAAACACTACAATAGCTACAATGAAAAAGTAACGTGTCATTAGTGTAAATTGTAATAAATCATAATGTTTTGCAGATGTTTTATGATCGGTATAACACCGATCATGCATACATACGTACAATTGTGTATTCAATCGTTCCTATCCGTTAGTCAGATTATTTCAGATGATCTACATAGTCGCCCATCTGTACAAGTGAGATTGCATGGTGAAGGAATCAACAAAATACATGAACTTGACAATGAATACCGATAAACTAATTTCCCGAATAATAGTTTTTCTATTTTGTTGTGAAATTCCTCATTTCGTAGAGAGTTTTAAGGTAAATACTTATTATTTGATTACTGTACTTAATTATACATGAACATTTTCCGCGTTTAATTTATTTACATATTTGTATTTACAATACAGCCAATTTCAAGAGCGTGCATTCCAAAACCGAGACGTGGAACTGACCAGTACATCGTGGGCTATGGATCCTTGATGAGTACTCCTTCTAAAAGCCGGACATATCCGAACACTTTGGAAAATATACCCGTAACAGTGAAAGGATTTTCTCGGAGTTGGAACTGTAAAGGAGTTTCTCCAACGCTCTCCACAACTTATTTGGGCGCAAACTGGGATCCGAAAAAATCATTCAACGCAGTTATATTCAAATTAGCCAACAGTTCGGGTGCTGATGCTGAAAAAGCACTCAACGATTTCGACAGACGAGAATCGTATTATTGCCGAAAAGAGGTACCAGTGAAAGACATTCAGTTTTTTGGAGGAATAAAAAATGTATCATCTTCAGCAGCAAGAAATTCGCAGTACTGGATTTATGTTACGAAACCCGAATACACAGCTTTTCCGTCAAAGAACTACCCTATTGTACAATCCTACGTTGATGTTTGGCTAAGTGGATGTTTTGAATTGGAGGAGAAATTTGATTTAGAAGGGTTCGCAAAGCAATGCATAGAAAGCACGCAAGGTTGGTCAAATAATTGGGTCAATGACAGAATATATCCGAGAAGACCGTTTTTCTATCAGCCGAATGCACTAACTATTGACAGGCTGCTTATGGAGACTATTCCATCCAAGTATTCCAAGATTAACAACGGTGGGAGAATAAATGTCGGAGATGTTAATGTTCTGCTTGCACTGTTTGGTTTGGTACGCTATTTTTGTAGCCAGTTATAATAATACCAAGAAGTTTCAGCAGTTATTTTAATTCCATTGTTGTTAAAATTGTGTAAACTGTATTTGATAAATGTTTGTGTCATAAGACTTGAAGGTGTGCTTCATTATCATTAAGTACATAAGGTGGCAATAAAGTCATAAGTCTGTATTCTTGAGAATCACAGTTGTTCCTACATCATTTGCGAGTCATGCATAATTTCTGAACTTATCAGAATATGCTGTTTAATGATGAAAAGGCGATGATCCCAAATGAAATGATAGTATTTCCCATGTGGAATTTTATTTTAAAAGTGTTGCAGGTACGGAATAACTAATGTTACATAAAGTCAAACAAGGCTTGTGAACACACGTGTTGTGGTTGACGGGTGTCAATTTACTGACTTTACAGTTGTTTGCTTCAGATATTCAGTAAAAATCTCCTGAGATATCTTCTCAGCTATCATCATCGTAGGAGCTGCCGTATTTGCATTCGTAGGTTGTGGCATAATACTTGCGTCCACCACACGCAAATTTTCAATTCCCTTCACCCTAAGAAAATTAAATATGCATATCTCAAACATAAAAATAGGTAAATCCCAAAATTACCGAAGTGCATACCTTAGCTTAGAATCCACGACAGACATGGGATCCGAAAATTTGCCCATTTTGCAGGTGCCAGTAACATGCAGCCAGGACCAGCCCCTTTCTCTAATGTGACACCTCCAGTACTCGTCTGACCGAGGAGCTATTTTCATGCAAGCGTCTGGCGAGTCGTGCGTATAAGTTACATTCATGGCTTTGAAATGCTTTGTTTCCTCCATGATTTTGAGACCAAGTTTAATCGCTGCAAAAATTAACATTGAGAAATATCTTTCCATAAATGTAAAATGTCGAGAAGTCGTCAATATCCATTTATGTTTGTAAGTACCAGCAAGCATTGAATCCATGTCATGCTGCTTAGTAAAAAGTCTGTGATCGATAAGGGCCAACTTGGTGTCATCTCGCTCCCCCTCCAAATAGGCTGTTGTATTCAGTCCTATCTCACCCACTGATTCCAGTCTATTTAGAACAACCTGCATTGCCAGATTTTGATTTTGTACGTCGTCATTCCCCAAAAGTGGTGACTGTTGAAAGACGAGTTGAATATCAGGCCACTCTGATTCTCCTTTGGCTTTAGCTTGTGGCGAAACAATGAACGCTTGTGGCCCGACATCCAATCGTGTAAAGTACCCACGTCGTTTGTAGCTGTGAAATCTTTTCAGTTCTCTCTCAACATTGTGCTCTTCAATTCTTGGGAGAGAATAGCGATCGGGATTATTGGCAGTAAAACGTAGGATTACTGCTCCATGATCTCTCAGGTTTTGTCCCACTCCGGGGAGTTCACTTTTTAAAGGAATTCCTGCCTCCTTCAAAACATTTCTTGGCCCAACTCCCGACTTCATGAGAAGAAGTGGGGATGAAAAAGTTCCAGCACTCAGAATAATTTCTTTCGCTGCGTGAGCAATTTGTGGGATGCCGTGACGCTTATACCTCACGCCGTAAGCGACGTTGTCAGAGTTGATCAGGATTTGATCAACTTCTGAGTATGGCATGACTCGCAAGGATTTTCGTTTGTAGAGGAAAGGTTTTATAAATGCGGCAAAGCTGGAATGTCGTTCGCCATTCTTGATTGTTTTGGCCATCGTTGTAAAACCTGAGTCATGTTTACACGTGTAAAATATTTTCTGGTGTATATCTTTTTAAATTTAGATTTAAGCGTCAATTGTAGTCACCTTCGTTCTGATATCCGTTCGGATCTCCGCTTTTGTACCCCAATTCTTCTCCAGCTCTGAACCAGGCAGGAAGAATTCTTGGGGTGTCGGTGTCCACTGTAAGTAGACCTCCAGACCCATAGTAAGCTGTGGAAGAGGAAATATTTACTTACTAATATTTTACATATGCATCTATCAGTTAAACCTTGTTCAATTAACAAGTTAACAGACACACACCTGACCGATCTCGTTCTGAAAAAAGTTGCCCATTAAAGTTTTCAATCTTTTTGTAATGCTTTATGATATTTTTATATTCCCAGGAATTGTCTCCCGTGAGTTCGGCAAAGTGATCATAGTCCAGAGGAGATCCACGATTGTAGACATTTCCATTGTGAGAACCACTGCCTCCAAGCATCTTACTATTTCAAAATTGAATAACAATTTATTCAAGTTTAAACCTCATCTTGTCCTAAAATCGTTCATTATTTATTTATATTTACCCAGGAACGCTTTCTACTATCTGTGGCATCATAAATCATAAAAATACTTAAAGTACTTATCTACTTACTGATTTTTATACAATTGTATTGTTGCTTACGCCACCATCTTCCATTGAAAAGTTTGTTTGGGGGACCGATTTGAAAAAGTAGTTTATTGCCGGATGGCTGTTTACGTAATTATTGAGGTAAGGATTGTACGTTTGAGGTGGTGGAAACCCACCCGTCTCGAGCAAAAGAACGTCGAATTTTTCCGAGAGTCTACTAGCAATTACACATCCGGCCGTTCCTCCTCCAACTACATGATACGATCAGACATGGTCCAGTAAATTATAGAGAATTTGAAATCGTGATAGCTATTGTTTGTGCGCCATACCCACAATAAAGTCATAATTTCTTATCCTGGGTAAACCACGATCCAGTTGCAGTTCGTCTAAAGTCTCATGGAAATCGTCTTGCTGATATTTATCGACATATTGCTGGATCAAGAGTGACATTGACCCAAGTATGAACGAAGCTAACTTCATTATGATGAGTAATCAAGTATGAAATCATCCACCTCGCAAATCCCTGTTCCTCATGAAATGATGAGTACTCAATCATCCCTTTTATACGCACACGGGAATTAGATCAACTTGCATCAATTAAAGTAATTATTAGGATGAATGTTGTAAACCAACTGCACCTTTTGTGTAACATAGTAAACAACTCCTAGAATTTTGTCAACTTCGTCAGAGGAAATACCAACAGCTACTTATCATTAGTATATTATTCGAGTTTATCTATGTATTAAATTGATCAAGCATGTCATAATTTATTGCGTTATTGAGACAGATAGTCTACGGAGTAGCATTTATGGAACATTATGTTGTAATTTCTATGCGCATACTAAAATCAGACACACATTTCAGTTCACACGTCACAATGTGACTCGTTTATTTCGTTTACACAAAGTCAATTTTCCAAAGTTGCTTCTCATTAGAACTGTCACAAGGTACGGCTCGAGCGTGACCATCTTTACAATTGTTATGAATGAGCTTCTTGAAAAAGAACTCGATCAAGTTGAGGTGGGCACACTTGGCTGTGGGGGCCGACAGACATCGGCCACTTGCAAGGTTCTCTATCATATAGTTCGTCTGACTCGAGCTTCCAGGTGAAGTTGGAGGATTTTGATCTATGAGCTTCCAATATTGATTCCGAGAACCGGACGCATACCCCTGCGAATTTATTGATAGTCTTTTTTTGAACAAAACCAAATTAATAACCACTGATTTTAAACTATGAACAGACCCATGTTGCAATTGCTCCGGTGACTACATCTTCATCCAACACCTAAATTAAAAGTCAAATGGAAAACACATAATTGGCAATGCATAATTGTTGGGCTACTTTTTACACTTACTTTCAAACGACCACCATCTTGCGCCCAGTTGGCGAAAGTGGCACCTCGGTTTGTACCTAAGTCCACTTGTGAGAAATATTACCTTCGTTAGTTACATACATTTGAAACAAAAATGTTAGACAATGTTTAAATTACCCCAATTTGCAGTCCACGTCTGACTATCTTCATTATGATATTTTCGCTTGCTCAAAATGACTTCTTTCCCTTGTGCAGTGATTCCTCCCTTGACATCCAAGTACTAAATATATAAATAAACACGAAGAAGTTGCATATGTATATGCACAAAAGACTTAAACAAATTTGCTGTTGTTGGTCATTACACGGTCATCATAAACGCTTCGAATCATCATACCCACTGACCCACTACAATACATGTTGTTAATTTTCTTAATGTCCAAATCACTTAGGGCATTAGCTTCTCCGATAATTGCTCCCACCTGCGATTAATTTCATAATACGTTAACAAAGTATTGTTGATGCAGAGAAGAATTGTAAAAACGGGGTCTACCTGTTTTGGCGTGATGGTGGGCTGCCCATTAGCAGACATTACTTTTGGACCATAGTGGGTAATTGATCCGTAATCGTAAGGAACGCTAAATACAGAATACGCTGCGTCGGGATACGTATCGAACTTGGGACGGTTAACTGTAATTTCGTATCAAAGAAAAACACATTTTTATCCATGTTACGCCATTAAAGGGTGATGAGTAAAATTAACATGAGCAAAATTTTAAATGGTATTACTCCACACACGGAACCTATCACCGGCCTCCCGACAAATTTACGGTGGGTTTCTTTATTTCCCGTAAGGTGAGACATGGTGAAGTGAGGCGAATGACCATGGCTTTTTTCACCATGTCTCACCTTACGGGAAATAAAGAAACCCACCGTAAATTTGTCGGGAGGCCGGTGATAGGTTCCGTGTGTGGAGTAATATACATACTTGGATCCATGTTGGCGTAATTGATGGTAATATATTCGTCCCTGTCAGATCGGTTGTGCTCATGACCAAACCCAATAACATGCACCAAGTGATGAATATGCGTGGCTAGGTCGGCGCACTGAGTCCCAAGTGAAAGCACTTGACGATTCCCACGATTACCAATGGACGAACTACAGTCCAACCCTTGGGTCACAAAGATGTAGTCATTCTCCGCCATGCGTTCCTTAAATATGACGCAAGTTCGTCCAGTGATATGTTTAATTGCTTTATTAAATGTAGAGCGGAAAGCAGCAGCTGAATTTTAAAGAACAAATTATTGAAAGTAAATGTTGATTAGCAGTTTTTCGTAAATTAATCAGATACATACGAAAATTTGGGTCAAATTCGTAAACCACGGTGTTACTTGGCCATCTGGCACTGGGGTCGATTATCCCTGATCTCCCAATTTTAGGCAGGGGGCCAATGATATCGCCTTCAACAAGATCAAGCGGATGTATTGCGTCGGAAAAATTTATTTTAACCACGCTCAAGTTGCTCAGTGTGCCATCTTATAAAACAACAATTGAGATTAGTCGTTGAACTATCATTTCAGAAAATATCAAAGGTTATATTTACTTTTGTTGATGTTTAACGATGTTCCCACGTGCAGTAGCGACAGCAGTAGAATTATACCCGTTTGGAAAGTAACACGAAAAAAATGCTCACTTTTACACATTTTGAAATGAAAGTGACACTTTTCCAATATGTATTTCCGATACGCATAACAATAATGTGCAAAATCTATTTCTTGAAATGAGGGTCATTTCAGGTCCTTTTATGCAAAACTACAAGTGTGTCAAAAATTTGGATTAAATGTTATGATTGTTTGTGTGGAATTCTCATTTTGTCGGGTGGATACACCCTTCTGTGCAAACCTAAGTACACAGATCTATGTACATATGCAGTCGTAAAAATACCGCAATAACAAGATTTGTAAGAGGAAGTAACACTTTCACGTTAACCGAAAATGTTGACATATCCATGATATAAATCATTAGCACAAAATAATAACTCAAAAGTTCGATACATTTTAATTTTTCTCGTTATTTACTAAAGTATGGATAAGTAATGAGCACGGGCAAGTATGTGTGTATGTATGTTACTAATTTTTACTTGGCACATTTATACATATATCTCAACGATAAGATTTTGATAATAATAATTTACTTTATTTTGCTAAAGTTGTTTCCGAAAGACCATTATAGTATTTTTAAACCAACCAAATGTGGATGCAGCTCTCAACGTTTTCTCCATCTCGAAATCTGAGGTGTATCCTTTCTGGGCAATTTTGTTCCGAATGTAAGTGTTGTTTCTGTTATTAACATGGCTCGTGCCACCTTGAGATAAGTAAATAAATCTTAATCTTGGTAAACTTAATCTTAACTTAATCTTGGTAAACCAAGATTTAAGCTCGTCCCACCTTGTCCTTCAATTGCCCAACTGATAATCAATCCGTACTTGCTTCGTACTAAGTTAGAGATGAAAATGTCTTCAAATTCTTTCGGGATATGTTCCCCAACTTCTAAAGAAAGTGTCCATTCAAATTCACTAAAGTCGATTGGTTTGCTCAGATCCACAACGCCGCATCGACCCCCCGACAGGTCTTGCGTTTCTGGATTGCCATCGTAGCAAGACACCAGAATCCCTTCTTCCTTAATCTGTTTTGCATATGTTCCTGTTCCTGCCCCCAATTCGAGTAATGTGGTCACCTTTAAATACACATGTGTGAGGTTCGCATTCAAAAAGTGATTTCTTAACTATTTTAATTTTTCTACGCTCACATTTTCATTTTTCAGGAATTTCACAATCGCCTGGGCCAAAGGAGCATCAAATATGTGGCCTTTCGTGGCCCCAAGACCTTGCCAAAATCCACGATCTGCTACTGAGAACTCGTCTTTATTTCTTACTTTTGCTGGGGGTTCTGCTCCAATAGAATTTCCACTTTGTTGAGATGCCTGCTTTCGCATTGTATCCCATTGTGTATAAAATGCTAAAGATCTCGTCTCCATCTCATGCAGAATTTCTAGCGTCTCTGTGAAACTTTGTTGAACAAATTTTTCCTGTTGTTTCTGCAGCAGTGAAGTCCAATTCAAGTATAAAACTATTCCCTATTTACAAACAATTATAGTGAAGAGATCACGGAAAACTTGAAAATTAAATCGATAATAGTAGAATATCTTTGTATTCGTACCATTACTGCTGCACAGGTTACAATATAGGAGCGATTTTGTTGGATAAAATACGACATTCTTAGACCGCTCGGAGAAACGTCCTTACCATTTGTTTTAGTCATTTAGTCAAAGTTTAAAAGGCAGATAAATGAACAAAAGATATAAAATGAGGTAAATTGAGGAAAAAGTAATAAAAAAAAGACAAGTATGCTGTAGGACAATTAAACTATGTATATGTATGAAAGTTGCAAATATATTAACATACAATATCGATATTAAAGAGAATAAATAGTTCGATTTGATGGTTACACAAATTGTGGAATAATGTAATAATTTTTTTCCAGGGCGCATATAAAAGTGGACCTAATATCCATTTCATGACGATTTTCATATCTCAAACACCCAGAGCAAGAAATATCCGGCCAAATCAATGCAAGCACCACGCTTGTCCCTATTTACCTTTGGCATAGCGGTATCACGTCCGCTGAAGAATAGTTAACAACCGCAGAACAACACCTGTAAATACAGTCGTACAGCGTTCGATGACGGCATATGTATAACAATCCCACCTTTTAAAATAAACGTACTTATGTTCTGGCATGTGACGAATGTGAATCTCAAGTCTGGAATCCTATTCTTCTGTCACTAAAGTAAACCAAGGTGTTTTAATAGAAAAAAAATTGTGTAACTTCATTTCAATTTTCTCATCCACAATTTAATACATATTTTATTTAATCATAATGTTATTTGTTATTCCTTCAAATTGTATGACTGTCTTGAATTGAGGATAATATGTATTAATCTGACCGCATTTAACTTTTTGAGATTTTTTATTAAAACCATAATTTAAATACATATCATACTCAATATATACTTAATTAATGAATTTGTATGGAGTAATCGCAAATACCAACAAATATACAATCAGCACAATACGAAATCTAGGGTTTGCATTCCTCATGGTATGGTTCTAAACTCCTGAGATCTCTCCACGTTGGAGGAAGGTTATTGTTCAAGTGAAGCCCACACTTTTTACATGGTTGTGTGAACAAGGTAATGTACGAATGTAGCCATGTCTAGAAATAAAGATTACAAGACCATATTAACAAATGTACAACTAGCAGTCCATTTTTAGAATTCATGATGAATTATTGTTACCATAAACGACTTCACGGATAGTTCAGGATGCGTTGGGGCGCAGAAATGAAGCATGGCAGCATTTGCATTGTCAGTCACTTTCTGAAACACTTTATATCTCGACTCGGACCAAAAATCAAGTGTTCCATCTTCCTTCATCATTTCCTCAAGCACTCCCCGAATTACAACCCATTCTATGAGCCAGCCTTTCAAAACAATCACAGCAGTCAGAGTTCGACCAAGTGTAATCTGAAATTCAAACAAATTTAATTCGTCAATTTATTATTTACTTACTGAGGAAACTCTATAAACTATTATTAGTCTATAATAGTTAGTTGTTTACATTGAGAGCTGCATTGGTTCCGAGTGGCCTGGTGATAATGATTTTCATATCATTGTATGAATTTGCTATCCCGTTTATCGTGCTGTTAACTGCTTCCGGAGCAACGACATAGTTGTTAATCAAGGTACGCCTTCTTTTGGCGGAAAGACTGGTGTTGTAATATGTTCGCTTCATGGAATTCTGACTCAAAATTGGACTTGCTACTCCAGAATATTCATGCACCTAAGAAATAATACAGGATGAATATGATTTTATGCATGTTTAAACATAATAATAACATTGAATTTGTCTCTTTTCATACTTTTTCCATCCACTTGTAACTATCCACCAGTTGAGAGTATAAAGGAATCCGTTCCGGAGCTACTTCCTGATTTACAAAACTAGAGTTTCCTAAATTGAAGGGTCCTGGTGACTGCAAAGTGTACAATATTAGGATAATAAGTGCTATATTAGGAATAACAAAAAAAAAGTTTGCGTTCTACCGGTTGAGTCATTCCTGAAATGTTTGCATCCATCTCCCTGCAAACACATTATACGACGTTACGTTAATTGCTAAAGGTAAACTGGACATCAATTTGACTACTTGCTAAAGTAGCAGCAAACCTACTTGACATTATCCACCATTCTCTGCATAAATACGGTGAAGACAGACTTGAAGGCTCGTTCCCTCTCCTCCTGGGTGGTCGTACTAGAGTTGCTTTCTAGTTTTGGACCCGTCGCGATCGTCTCGAAGAATGCGGTCACGTTGCAACGAAGCATCTTCACGGCGTCCAGAGCTTTTTGTAACATTTCAACCGATCCTTGACCCTCGCCCGTTGTGGGAGTGGGCAGCATGCTGCCCACACCACCAACACCACCACCAGGATTCATCGGTATTCCCCCCACTGGATGAGGCGGATGATGAGCCATCATTATAGATTAACTAATTTTCGCACTGTACTTTTCAGAAAACTTGGACAATTGACGATTCACCGACTGTCTATGGTTTTTTTTATTCACTGGTATTCAATGATACAATGAGAATTGTATGTACATCAATGCACGACTAATATAAATGAGACATGCTGGAATCAGCAATTTTTAATTAACTAAATATTTTTAATGACATACATATTATTCGTTGTTGTGAATTGTGTATGTATGCAGCTTGCCCGGCAGAGAGTCTCGCTTTGCCTCATCAAGTGGAGCGTGTTGTTCATGTTGCACGTGGAAAGTCGCTCGGCTGAAGTTATTTTATTTAGCTAACTAAAATAACTGAAATATTATTGTTCAAAAGTTCAAGAAACATTCACAAATTTAGTTCTACAATGGTAAGTAAACGCTAATTGATGTGTGGTTTGTAATGCTTGTTTCGAAAATTTTGCCTATGTTTCCCACTTTGAAAGCTTTAATTTGAAATTGAGGGATCGTTTTGTTAATTTGTTTTAGCTGCGGCGAGAATCTCGTTTAAGGAGAGAATTCATTTATCGGAAGGGGGTTGAAGACCGAAAAAAGTCTATCCAAGAGAAAAAAGAACGGCTTAAGAGGGCGTTGGATGGTAATTATTTTATTTTAATTGTAAGTTTTGGACAGATTGTACTAATAATTAAATGTAATCCTTATCGCAGATGGGACACCAATTGACACAGATCTGAAGAATTCAGCTCTTAGCTTGCAAAAATCATTAAAATGGGACGATAAGGCACCAGGTTTGGCCTCTGCGATAGGAGGAGAGGTGCAATGCCACAATATTGAATTTACAATTCGTGTATGATGACTTATAAATGAATAATAATGCAAAGTTTTTTTTAATGAACATAGTCCGGAGGTACCGGAGTTTCAAGTCAGGACGATGAATACCGATGGGCTGGAGTCGAAGACCCAAAAGTTGTCCTTACAACTTCTCGAGATCCATCTGCAAGATTAAAAATGTTTACAAAGGTAAATCACATCACAACTGCAAATCGTATAGCCGTATAGAGAAGAATTTAAAATGTTATAATTCATAAAATTTGTAGGAAATGCGTCTACTGGTTCCAAACTGTCAGAGGATAAACAGAGGTGGCTATGAGTTGGGACAACTTGTTGGTGCTTGTCGATCCAACGGGGTTACGGACCTACTTATAGTTCAAGAACATCGAGGAGAGCCTGATGGGCTGACCATTTGTCATTTGCCGTACGGGCCGACAGCATACTTTACAATATCCGGAACTGTTATGAGGCACGACATTCCAGGGCTTGGCCATGCCCCCCAACAATACCCTCATCTCGTCTTTCACAATTTCAAGTCACCTTTGGGGACACGGGTAAAGGACAATTTTATTTCTTATAATCATTCAACGATATAATATGTAATGCATTTATTGAAAAACTGTCATATTTGCTTAGGTTTCAAATATTCTCAAGTACTTGTTTCCTGTACCAAAAGTTGATAGTAAACGAGTGATTACATTTGCAAATCATGATGACTACATCGCTGTGAGACATCATGTACATAAGAAGACGGAGGACGGAAGAGACGTTCAATTATCAGAGTTGGGCCCCAGATTTCAGTTGAAATGTAAGCATCAAATTGTGGTTATCCAATTTATTTAACGAAGAGTTTGTCACTAGCTTTTATGTTTATTTCAGTGTATGAAATAAAACTGGGCACTTTAGAAAATGCTGCCGCTGCGGACGTCGAGTGGGCTTGGAGGCCTTATATGAATACGGCACGCAAACGTAGATTTCTTTCTGATGATGACGGCTGGACTGAAGATGCGGATATCGAAACTCCGACTGCCTAAGCTACATACATAATGTGCATTCTTGTATTCCTTCTGGTTTAAGATTTTTGTATTCGCCTACAAAATTATATAATATATAGCACAGGTTTATATTATTTCTGACCCAGCATTTATTGTAAACCAAATCAACGCAAATACAAACCTCATATAAAATGTTAATAATTTAATTATACTGAATTGGTATCTATTCGTTTATTGTATTTCTCATTTCTTGGACAGCCAAACCAGCACATCTTCGAGTTCTTGTTCCACTCGAAGAAGTGATTCATGATGTTGCGTGAGTCGTTCGAGATGGTCACGTCGATCTTGTAAGGCGGCCTTCATTTGCTGATGAGCTCGGGTTCCTTCTTTGTTTGCCAGCAAAATTTGACTTCGTTTCCCAATCACTTCCATTCGTTCACGATTTGTCTTTAAGTAGTTAGAAAGCATAAGTTGAACTCAAAATTTATAAATATAGAGTATTTGTATTTATGTATCTCAAACTCCGAATTCTGCATAGAACTAACCTGCTCAACCACAACTTTCAATGCATCATTCAACTTGACGGCTGCAGTTTCTGTATCCTTCGACACTATGAAATAAACATTTAGCCACATTGCCAATAAATTGCAGAAATAAAATATTCAATACAATTATCCTAGCAGTACCTTGAAAGTAGTCTTCCAAGTCTCCAGTAATTTCTTGTGTCAGTTGATGGAAATCAGGATGTAAAAGTCGGATTTTTCTTGTCAATTCGTCCAAATAGAGTCCTCCCTGATTCAGTACAGATTCAGCCATATTGTGAATCGTAATTTGCGAGCAAAAAATTCAGTATATAATATTTTCGAATCTATATAACTTGATTAAATGACCAAGAAATTTGATAGATTTCCTTGCAGTGTGAAAGTGTAGTTGATCTCGCTCTGACACGGAAGTCTTGTGTTTGCATTCCGGTATCCAAGTTACATATGTACATACATGAAGCGACTTCTTGAGTAAAGGAGCGTGCCCAAATTGTATAGAGTATGTATGCACATTTGGTGACAGTAATTGTGCCCAATGGAAAGATATGGAATAATGCAATACTGATAGTTCATATTTCATAAATGATACAAATATAATTATTAATAAAATAATTTAATCTGTAAAAAAATATTTCAAGATTTACAAATACATATCAAACCACACAAACATTAACTATATGACAATCGATTTAATCGTAAACTTATGTGGTTTAATTTGGTTCTTGTTTATTAGATTTTGCTGTGTTTTGTAGGCGTTGCAGGGAGCAGGGTGTTTCTGCAGGGAGTTTTTCTTTCTTTGAGGACGCTACGGAATATAAAAAGCCAGCGATTGCATTTCTAACAAATGTATTTTAAATGCGCTAAATGCATATAATTAAGCATACTGCAGACACTGATGTTGACTGATTGGAGTTTTAGGTAGAACAACTTTGCCTCTGTCATTTGCAATAATTGTCATTCTCTCTTTGGTCGAAATTTGGAAGAAAATGTCATTAAATGACGAGCACGCGTTGGTCAGCTGCAATATAATACATTAAAACAATTTTTAATTTCATTTGATCTGTTGAAATTTTAAGATTACGAACCTGGTGAACCAGCCCATGGTGAAATATCCTATCTCCTTTTTTGATTCCAATCGAACCATTCAGGTTAGGCGAACTTGTTTCTTCTTCTGTGTATAACTCTAGCAGTAATTCTACAGTGTCTCGAATTGTTTGAATGATAAGCTGTATCTTTTCGGTGTGTAAAAGTCGTCTGGTCAGATAGCCTTTCACTCGAGCAGTGAGTTTGTCAAACTTGGGCTTCATTGCAGGGTCAAGTGCCTACGGGACGCATCGGATTTCATTCATACAATCTCCTTCTTAGTGATTAAAGTAATTTTACCTCTGGTGGAATTCTCAAATTTACTGACTGTAAATCCAGTGAGTCTAGAAGTATGAAGCCCCTCAAAGGCGGTGATCCAATGTCTCTCCTGGAATTAGAGGCTAACAGCAAACTTTCTGTCTGATTGCCAGCGTTCAAATTTGTTGGCGTTATCGGCGAGCTACAGAAATGTTCTAGTAGAATCTTTTGTTTTTTTGTTTCAAAATCATTTTGAAGTTTTTCTATTTGGTGTTCATAGCTTGTCATCAATGACTTTAGTTGTTTGTGATATTGCATTTCGACTCGAGAAATAACGTCTTGTCGAAGTTCAGTTTGGTTTGTGTTACTCTGTTTGATTTTTAAATCTTGCAACTGAGAAACTGCATTCTGACCCTATGACAAGATACAACGAGCGTTTCTTATTGTGACAAATAATCATTTGGAATACAAAAAAATCACATTTATTTCAGGAGGATCCAGAGGTTCATTTCCGTTTATTAAAGTTGATGAGGGGGATCTTCTTTTACTTGTTGATACTGGAGAAATCATAGGTACAGGGCCCAGTCCAGAAGCCAGTAGAGCCGCACTGGGGGTTAAAACGGTATAAGACCGATTTCTGGCATTGGTATTTGGAATTTCTTTTCCGCAATTGTGATTCTCTTTGGCACTTAAGTCGGATAAAAAGAAATTCTCAGTTCCCTTGGCCAAAATAGACTTGGAAGCGTCAAGTTCTGTTTGACCAATGTCATCACCCTCGTAATTATCAAAATATTGGGTTGGACGTTCCAGTTTTATTGGGACAAAATCTGTTGTTATTGTATTAAAATGACGTCTCAAAACTATAGCTGATGATTCTAAAAGTTTCTCAGTAACGTCAAGTTCATTCTCATTGTCCCAATTTTCCTCATTTTGCACGCGTTTTCCATAATTGCTGATAATGAAGGTAGTGTTTGAACAGACGAACGAATGGCTGTCGCTTTCCATCCGTATATCCTGTCCAGTTTCACACTTTTCAGATAACCTAAAGTTCTGATGTCCTTGCAAATGTTCAACAGTGGAGCAGTCTTTGGCTTCGTTTTTCACGTATGTTCTCGGCGTGGAAGTCAAATATTTAGGTGTAGATGGGACTTCGTGTGAAAATAGATTAGATGGATGGATTATCTCTGCATTTAAATCCTTTAAAAACTGTCGAGTTCGCTCCTTCTCGATAGCGACTTGACGAAAATAGCGCATTTCGGCTCTCTTGTTCTCATTCATCTGATAAATTGCAAGGAAATATGTTTTTATGCGTATTTGTTGTCTACTATTCAATGCAATCTGATTTACCAAAGGTGGCAGAATTGGAAGTCCATCCACCTTAATACACGAGATGTATGATGGCACTCCCTCCTCTACGGTTAATGATGATGAAGAGGACGATGTACTTGAGTCCATTTTTTGTAGGTCTGCCATTCCAGATTTGATACCAGCGATTTCAAAAATGAAGTACTTTATCTCAAACCAAGGGTTTTGCACTTGAAGTAAAGATGGTTGTTTAGAAAATTTTGCCAAGACACAGAGACTCGCCAGCGCCATGACTATTAAATGCTACATTACTTATTTTATGAATAAGATAGAATTATTGGAGTTGGTTCTTTCCCCCATGGGAGAAGATGCTACATTAAATAAATAAAATATTTAGACCAGATAACACTTGATTTTAATTTTTTTAAATGTCACTCACTATGTAATTAATAAGTTATGAAAACAATGCGATAAGTTCAAATAATAGTCCAAATTTTCACAAAGTTTTACACTCAACCCTTCTTCAATACATATAAATATTTTCTAAAATATCATAATTAAATTCATCTTCTTGTAAATGTCTTGATAATGAATGGCAGATAGCATTCGAAATATTGACCAAATAAAACACAACTTTTCCTTCGGCTTTTCCACTAAACTCCGTGTAATCCAATTATTAAATAATTAAATTCGTAGTTCTAACCCTTTGTAAATGCAGTTTATTTCTCATCACACGAATCATGAATCAGGGAAGGTCAGAAAGTTCAATTGCCTTTGGTTCCATTTTTAGCATTATCGCCAAATTCCGATCTGAGCATTATTCTCAAGGATACCCTGAAATAAAGAGACGCCAAGCTGAAGGTAAGCAACTCGCTTCGCTCAATTCAGTCCTACCGAGGCAAAGCAAAGCTTCATTGCGATTCTTGCTTTGGTCACGAATACACCTCCCCAAAAACTCGTCCAGTTTCCACTCCGTTCCAGTTGCTACTTCATTCCTAATTTTTGTTTCCAAGAAATTACTTCCCAACAGTTCAATAGTGTGTGAAAATCTTTAAATTGATCTTTTGTGCATATTTATTTAGCTTGCTAATAATTTTTCTTTCCTGAACAGACGAAGATGGAGTGGAGTCAGCAGAATGGACAACGTTTGTACGGTCCCCCGGTGGAATGTAATTTGAAACTGCAGCAGGGTGAGTATTACAACAATTATTATGTGTTTTCTTAATTAAGTGGTGGTTCCTTCGGTAGGTAACATTTTGTTAAATTTTGCATCCTATTTATCTTGCAGGAACCGAAGTATTTGTCTCTAACATTCCTCGAGCTTGTACAGAGTTCCATATTTACTCGATATTCGAGAATGCGGGACCAATTTATCAAGTCAGAATGATGATGGACTTCAGTGGAACTAACCGAGGTTATTGCTTTGTTCGCTTTTTTGAGAAACAGCATGCCTATAAAGCAATTCACGTGCTAAATGGATTCGAAATTCAGAAAGGTCAACAATTGTTAGCACAACCATTTAGAGCTATTTAATTACTTGACCATGTCCTTTATATGTTCTTTTATAGGAAGCAAAATTGGCGTTGTGATGTCGTTGGATAATTGCAGCCTGCATATTCCTAAGATTCCCCCAAACAAAAGTGAAGAAGACGTTCGAAAAGAAATATATCGAGTTTGTAATGACGTCACAAATGTGACCGTTGTTCCTCACAACGATGGAAAGAATAATCAGTCGTGCTTGGTCGATTTTACTACTCACAGGTTACAATATGCATACAAAATATATTAATCGTTCAGAATCAAAATGAACTTTTGTAAATAATTGGTAATTAATAATTAATTTGCATCCCATACAGAGCTGCATCGATCGCTCGGAGATTATTTCTGTCCAGAAAAGTTAAGCTGTGGGACCAGTGCTGCTTTGTGGAGTGGGCTCAGCCGTCCGACAAATGATCAAATTTCGTCACCTGCTTGGTTGTCATCGCTGGTTGGAGATTTATGTAAAAGAGGAGAACTTATTTTGACTTGTCGTTTTAGTATTGTATCGTGTTTGATGTTTTTTATTTATGATTTAACGATGAACTTATTTAACGATGATATTATTGATTTGGCGCATATCTTTGATGATTTTTATATTTATTTTCGCCATGAATTGATACTTTATGAATTACACTTGAAATAAATTATTTCCTTGTTAATAATACTGTGAATTCATTGTAGTTTATTGAAGTAATAGTAGTACTAGCATACTTCATCGATTCGAAATTCGAGTACAAATACAGCATTAAATGTCTCAAATCGTTCAATCATTGCCATACTAAATATTAAGTTGCATTTATTTATTAAATTAGTTACATATATTAACGAGGACTAGATATATATTTTGACCACGTATCACAAATATGCTTAATTAATCGGGGCGCATTTGATGGTCCTCCACAAGTATAATCAGGAATAAAAGACTCCCAACAGTTGTATCCGGCCCAAGTAATTTTCCGAGGCTTCCTCAAAATTCTATTCTCGATTAGCCAAAATGGTAGCCCACCGCAGTCATCAAATTCGTCCAATGGGTTGCCAAAACAGTCATGCATTCCAAAACTGCTGATCGCTGACTTGTCAAGGGTGCCGTTATCAAACTTTTTCGATGTAAATAATGGGTCCATGTACGAGTACGGGTATGCTAAAAGGCGATCATTTCGCTCTTCCGGCGTCTCCGGTTGGAAACTTTTAGAGGTATTGCTCCAAATTTGCCCATCCCAAAAAAAGGGGAATGGAAGTCCTACCCCAGAATGCACAAAACTGTATGGGATGAGTCGCCAGATGTTGTGCTGGATTTGTTCATACGAGACGCTGACTTTGATTGCCATACGTTCATGTTGCGTTGGGTCGTACAGGGAAAAGTCTGTTTTACTACATTTCGGTCTGGGCGATTGAAACGTGTGATTATTTGGGAACAATTTTATAATATTCTTCAACGTAGTTTTTGCAAAATTCGGGTTGCGATTTGAATTATAATAGTCGTACAACACGTGCGTGTAAGCATAAGGTATTCCGCAAACCTCCAATGTGTTCAAATACTTGTTATCAATTCTCTTTTCGGAGAAGCATTCAAATGAGAAAGAAAAGTTGCCGGCCTGGAGCTTGCGCTTTACCATTTTTTCATTCCCGCTTAAGGAAAATGCAAAACGACCTAAATCATCCCTCTCAATATAACAATTTCCGAAGCAATCGTAGACAGGGTCGCCATTCTTAAAATTTCCATATGGATTCGCTAAGCACTCGACAATTTCATTGGTATTTTCCCAATTTCTTATCATAACCGAGGAATACGGTTCGCCGTGTATGGAGAATGGTATCATGCGATACACTCTTGACAAGGGACAGTAAACTCCACAAAGTTGTGTCTTTTTTTGTATTGATGCGCCCGGGCTGACCACTGCCTTTCCACTCGGGCAAGGCTCCGGAGGGATTGTAATCATGGTGGGAGTGGATTGCTGTGTTGTTCTAATTGTAGTAAGAGTGGGTTTTTGTGTTGTTCTTGTTGTAGTAAGGGCTGTGGTTGTCTTAATAGTGGGGGTTTCAGTTGTCGTAGTAGTGGGGGTTTCAGTCGTCGTAACAGTGGGGTTCTCAGTTCTTATCGTAATGGATGTAACTAAAGTAGGCTTTGTAGCGATTGTGGTGGAAGGTGTTTGTAAATAACTAGGCTTCGGTATTTCAAACGTAGCCCCTGCATTTGCGTCTATGTGTTTCTGGACATCTTCAGTTTTTGAGCTACAAAATTAAATAATTACACAAATTGCAATTATATCTGTTGATTACTCCTTTCATAAGTATTTCTCATTACTTTAGAACCAACTCTTTAACGCAAAGTTGAGTAGTGTCTTGTGGGCAAGCTAGCACAATTGGCGTCTCCACTAAATTGACCACATTCCATTGAATCATGACAGAAAATAAAAGCAGAGCAGTGCCCACAATCTTTTGGAAAAGATAAAATGATTTTGTAAGAAAATCATAAAATGTACACATTAAAATTCTGTAATTAAATTACGTAGCACTTACGCTAAGAAAGAGACTCTTATTCACGAGGAACCAAGAACCAGGGTTCACAATGTGCGGCTTCTTAGCGTTGAAGCTCATATACAGGCTCATAATCTACTCATGAGAATCAGTCGATGATGTCATTGAGAGTTTACATATCTACTTACATTTGCTATTATGCAACTTACAAATTTGCGACCTTTTAGCGAACCAGCTAGTAAGAGTCCAGATCTTCTCACAGGTTCAAACCCATGCATGACCTTCAGAGATAAATATTTAAAAATATATTTCAGTCATTCTCCTATTCAAAATGTAATTGTTTAATGCAGTCCTTACAGTCGCACCCACAGCTGAAATTGTAGATATTACTACAAACACGCTTATTAATGTTGTACTTAGAAAATAAAGAGTTTCCACAATTGACTCCAATTCGGTTGGATCATACTATTCGGACATAATTTGTACACATAACATCCAAATGTGAGCTATACAATTTACAAATGAAATTATGGATTTTGCTCCTACATACTTTCACACGTGCACCAGAATCGCCAGAAATATATTCCGAGCCATTGACATGCTTCACGGTAAGGTCAAAAAAGAAAGCAGTTGATGCTCGAAACAGTTCACAGCAAATACAGAGCACCTGGAAAATAAAATAAGACTTGCAAATAATTGTATGAGTAGAAGAGCCTAATAATTGAAAACCGGTAAAATTACCCTGGTAGAGAAATAGGAGAAAAGAACCGGGGTCGAACAACTGGAGATTCCTTCAATAAGTTTGGTAATTTTTAAATGCTGTTTTAACAATATTTTGTAGGACAAGGACTTTTCAAACTGCTTCATTGGGTTCACATTTTTGGGTGCAACTGCATTTCAAACAAGAATAAGTTACGTACATTTGTGTAACATAATTAATAATGTTCGTGGGCTGACCTGTGCCTAAAAGATAAGTAGTTCTAAAGTTCCATCCATGAGCCGTGTTTGTGATGGAGCGACATAAAACCATGATGAGCAGAAGATGGTTTCTTGCCACAAAATATACGTAAATCTCAAAAACGAGAACGATGTACATGAAAATGTTCATACGAAAATTGTCAAGAAATGCTTCCTTTAACCCCCAACGAAGGTAGAGAATAGTTTCAAATTTAACCGATTCTTGAAATCCAAGGTCACTTATGTACAAAAGTGCGACCAGCACGATAACGTCGAGAGCAGTGATAAATAGGTGACAAAATTTCATGGTTCCAGTTCCTTTGCTGGCATTTTTATACTTGAAATCTTCCAGTGATTCGCCAACATCACTGATATATTTTGAAATATGGTTTCCGTACAATATGACACTCAGATTTCCAGCCAAAGCCACGATTAGGGTTAGTAGAAATACAGTTATATGTAACCAATGTTTTTGAAACAGCAACTTTTCAAAATTTCTGCAAGTCAAAGAATTATAATCGTAATCAATGTAGTCTAAGCAGTTTTGAACAAAAAGCGATTTCGAGATTACAAATACATACGCATATTGAGAATGGATGTCCTTTGCATTCTCTTCTACTTTTGCAGATACGATGGCAAACAAAGAAAAGCTGACCATGAAAAGTGCCACTCCCAAAATGCAGGTCAATAAGTACAAATCCCATTGTCGTTTAGTTGGCTTCTTCTTGCAACGAAAGGCGTCAGTTTCCGTATAAATTATAAATGGTAGACGGCCCAACATTACCACGAGTGAAAGGAGACGACTAATTGCAGAAAATTCTTTGTTGATGCTTAAACGTTCATTTCCACTAGTCAACATAAATAGCAGGGATGAAAATTTTTATATTACGATTACAGCTTAAGACATGCATTAACAAATTGAAGATACATTATGCATTATCTACCCCGCATTTTCCTTGACTAAATCCTGTAATAAAGCTATGGATGGCCGACCACTGGCACCATCACTGATTATCCAGGTCATATCAGGTTTTCCGCTGGACCGACTTTCACCGGAAGAATAGAAAGTGGGGAAAGTGTCGGTGCTGGACAAGTCTGACTCCACAACTGGCTTAGTCCTTAATTGCCTTATTTTTGCAGTTGCTAATTCACGTTTTGATGATGAATCTGCTTTCTGAACACTTTTTTTTGTAACCGTTTCAACTTTTCTCGGCAATCTAGTTGGAATTGGGACCGAAGGATTGATATTGTTGGGCTTCTTAAGTGCTTTCTCCTCGAGCCCTTTGTCCCCATCTACAATAAATATTGTACCAGGAAGGAAATCTTCAACCTCGGGAATTAATTTCTACACATGGGCTAAAAAATGCTAAGCTTTATGACCTTGGAGGACACTCTTTCTCTTCATTTGTTTTGCTTCACTTGCAGGCAATGGTTGTGATTCCGTTTTAAATTTCTCCATATTGTCCTGGATCGTAGGCTTATCTTTATGTGCTGCTTTGGTGGAAGTTGTTGTTTGTTGAGGTTCGTTCCCTGCGACATGTTCTTCCAAATCTGTTGCACAATTTCGTCATATGGAATTAGATGTATCAATATTAAAGTTTACTGTTTGAGTTAGTTTAGAAACCTGTCTCAATAATTGGTGGCCGAGACCGAGATATCGATTTTCGTTTTGATGGAACAAAATACTTCTCAATCTCCTGAAGTTCTTGTTCGTCAAATTTAGGAAAATTATGCTTCGCTGCACTCTTTCCTGGGGGCTTGATAGTCTCCGCCTTGGGGTTGGATACTTTCTTAATGGACACATTCTGAGCTGCTTCTATCGCAGTCCAAAATTCAAGGCGTTCAACTTTAATTCAAGCAAAATTATACATTATTTCCAATTACAGGTGAGACCAACCTGGATTATCGTTTTCAGTGGCTTTAAATTCTGAGGTTTTATGGGATTTTTTTGGTTGTAGCTTTTTGAAAAATTTCTCAATATCATCCTCTTCTTCTGCCGTTAATTTGTGATTGTGACTGCGAGGACTAATACTGGACTGTCTGCGTTTGGGCGTAGAATTGGAATTTCCTGGTGATTAGGAAAATCTAAATAATTTTTCGGGAAAACGGAGCAGGTTTTTACATGGTTTCATCTATTACTTGAAAGTTTATGTCCTTCGGGTGTTGATTTTACTGGGGTGACTTCATTATTGTCAGTATTCTTGGGACCCCTAAACATGAGATATGTAAAAGTCATATCCTATCGGAATTCAATTTTCATGACATATGTATACCCTTTAGCAAAACTAGCTTTACGTTCATTTTGACCCTTCTTCCTGATCTTATTGTTAGTCTTTTGGTTATTATTGGACTTTTCCATGTCGATAATTGACCAGGATATGTATACAGAGTTTTGGAATATTTGACTCAAGCCGAAACTCACCGAAATTCATTCGACAGCTTGTACGAGACGTATGAACTTAATTATCGGACTTTTAGACTTTAGCAATAATTCGCAAACTTAGCAACAGTAAGCTCTAAAGATCGAGTGGCTCAAATCGAAAAAAAATCCCTACCCTCTCATGTTGAAAGTGAGTTATCAATGGTGAAACTCTGCAAAAAACATTGCATCTCTATTATCCAAGTTATCTATTTAAATTTCGGAATATTATTTACAAATAAAGCCCGTATTTTTAGCAAAAAAACGTGAAATAAAACGAACCGTAAAACGAATGAGTGTTTCACCGAGAGTAATATCATTTGGGGTAACGATACCCAAAAATATATAATTTACTAATAAAGGGTGTTAATAAAGTCCGATCCCATTTTTCCTATAAAAAAGTGAAGGCTAGTATAAAAAAAACTACCCGTGATACTTACAAAAAATGTTCGACATATTTACCTTAGTATTTGGTCTTGTTACCATTTACTTTAACCATGCCCTCAACTCTTTGTTTAAGGCTCTGTGCTAATTTTTCCAATGTGTCTGTGGGAATCGAATTCCATACATCTTGAACTTTTTTTACTAGCTCTTCCCTCGTCCGGGGTTGTGGTTCTTTGTATACATTTTCCTTAAGTATGGACCACAGGTTCTCCAGGGGATTCAAATCTGGGCTGTTTCCGGGCCACACCCCCTTGCTCCAGACCGTTGAAACTTGCGTCTTGATGAGACTCAAACTCGCTTTTGCTGTATGGGCTGTAGCACCATCCTGCATGAAAACTATTTTTCTTTCATTCGGAAATATTTCCTTGTTCCCCATGCTATCGAAATAGATAGGTAATATTTTTTCCATATAATACTTTGCATTGACTGTTTGGCCTTTTGGTATGATATGTAGAGGAGTCACGCCACGTGCACAAAATCCACCCGCTACCATAACTTTAAGCCCGAATTTTGGGGCTGCTCTTGATGGTACATCCGATTTGTTTTCTGTCCTGTAACGAACATTTTGTTGGTTCAATTTTGGATATAGCTCAATAATAGATTCGTCAGTCCAAAGGATGTGACTGCGCAATTCTTCACCAAGTCTTTTTTCACTCAAATGGCCACTTTTCTGAAGGAGTTCTCCAAATTTCAGACGGTCATCGATATTTTTTTGTGACATGAGAGGTTTTTTGGTTAGTTTGTAAGCTGTGTGACCCCACCTCGTAGATTTCACAAATTTTTGCACGGTCACATAGTTAATTTGGTTCTTCTTCTCTTTATAGCGTTTTGAGTCATTTAACTCCCTTGCACAATTACGTAATGAACTACCGGTTTTCTTGTAAAGTCTGTTTTTAATCATTCTCTTTGTGGTAGGTGACACCTTTCTGGGTCGCCCGGGTCGCTTTTTGTCGTGGACAAAATTTTTGTTCTTCCATTTCCAAACAGTTCTGCGGCTGCAGCCCAATTTTTGCACAATTTCTGCAGGTTTAAACCCCTGCTGATGCAATGTTTGTATCTTAACTCTAAGATGCTCATGACTTACACGTTTAGTTGTTCCTCCCATGGTAAAAATTTGAAATAAATAACTTCACTGGTTCAAAAGTTCCAGCTGAATTTGTAACAACCGCGCTCCAAAAAATTCATGGGATCGGACTTTATTAACACCCTTTATTTGGAAAACTCAGGTGTGTCCCGTGTTTTTCTTCATAGTTTTCTTGCTGCTTTTACTTTCTCCTAAGCACAAGAATAAATAAATATGTGCGTAGCAAATCTTAAACATGACATGCTAGTTATTTATGTACATATTTTTATAACTTCAAATCTGTCCAAACATTTATCATGAAGCGTTTGAAACTTTGTATCTTGATGATCTTCGTATAATTTTTTCATTTCCAGTATTTATGAGAGTTTCTCGATTGTGTAGCCCCCGACGGGAGTTAGTCCATCATTTCCATCCCCTATTGGGTTATCTTGCATCATAAACGGATTTAAAGCCTGGAAGGGACTACGAATAGGATCTACATTTTTGTTTAGAGTATCTGATCAGCTTCTTGGAAATGAAGTACCACGAGTACGCCAATCACTTTTTCCTGCAAAGTCAATACCCGGTAATCGTGTTTACTAAATACTCTTTAGCTTCCTATTTGATACTTTACATAAATAAAACAAATTTGAGTATTTCTCTCACCTCTGACTGGTAACATAGCATTCACGACGACAAAAATGGGAACTCCAAAAGTTTGCATAGTTGGATGTGGGTAAGTAAATCGAAAAATACATATATACAACTTTAGGTGGTGCAGTGGTGTGTCATTGAGGTCAAACAAGGATTTACTATTTCAACCGGTAATTAAGTCGTCAAAATTTAAAAATTCCCCCATTAATATGATAATCAGCAAAATTAATGACGAATGGAAATCAAAATCCACGGTTTTTGGCTTGTCATTTGAAGCTCTAACAAATTTGATAGATTATAGCTAACTTTATACAAACTAAGAGTAGATAATATCTTACGTACATATATATTGTTAAGTTAAATATAGTAATTTAGCCCTTAGTTATTGTTATTTAATCATTTAAAGTAAGTTATTTCTGTTTGTAAGCTCACGAAAATAGGCTAGTGTGCTATGCTAAAATTTCATTTTGTGCATTCCCTAGTACTAGTAAATGAGGGTAATAAAGGCTATTACTATTACTATTACTACTATTACATAAATATTTGTGTACAAAAAACAAATCTAAATATATAACAATAAGGTTCGCAGGAATATGTGCAGCTACAAGATTACGTCGGGACTTGTCGTTCAACAATTTCGTCATGGTTGACATGAACGCCGAAATTGGTGGCACTTGGTTCGCCAACAGTTATCCAGGCTCGTGCTGCGATGCACCAATTCATCTGTACGCATACTCATTTGAACCGAAATCTGGTACATATATAATTTCAAGTACATAAACTTGATATGAAGTTGATTTAGTAGTTAAACAATAGTATTCCCATTTGTCAGATTGGAAAAATACTTATGCATCACAAGCAGAAATTTTGGAATATTTAAAGCACGTTTGCATCAAATATTCACTTTATGACAAGATTCGACTTAAACATCAAGTTCTCAGGATCCAGTTTATTAAATCAAAGAAATTGTGGAGTGTCAGTTTCAAAAATTTGGAGAATCAAAACGAATTTCAAGAGGACTTCAACATTGTGTAAATAAAACTGCGTTACATATTTATTATTATCATAACGGATATTTCAGCGTATATGTACAATGACTGTGTTGTTTTTAGAATTCTTGGCACTGGTATTCTCCGTAGCCCTAAAATCCCGAGAGAGTTTGATAGTTTTGAGGGCCCCATTTTTCACACGGCAAAATGGGATCATGATTGCAACCTTAAAAATAAGGTTTTGGCAGTGATCGGCGTTGGATCAAGTGGAATCCAAGTGATTCCTGAACTTGCAAAAATTGCAAAGAAAGTGATTATTTATCAGAGGTTTGGATTTACTTTATGTTTCAAATTAATATATTCAATTGTATAACTTAGAATTTAAATGGTGAACAGAAGACCTTCATGGATGCTACCCAAAGAAAATAAATCATACAACGTTCTCGCCAAACTAGGATTCCAATTCTTCCCTATTTTTCAGTACGTATATCGACACTGGTGGTACAGCTACTTTGAGAAGTTTTGGAATTCCATGAGACCAGGAACTAAAACGGCTGAAATGTGTATGACCCGTATCAGTTTTGACTACCCTACATATTTTAAGCCAAAAAATGATGAATGAACTTTTTTTTACATTCTTAGTAACTCAAGAAGCAAATAAGTTTCGGGACAAGAACTTAAAGATTTCCCAAAACTGTTGCACCAGCAAATTCCAAATGACCCGTTTGGGTGTCAAAGAGTCCTATTCTCAAATGATTATTTTTCCACTTTGAAACAGTCAAATGTGAAACTAGTGTCGTGCAAAAGTTTACAAGTTACCAAAAACTCAATTATATCAGACGAGAACGAAGAGGAGAAAGTGGAGGCAATTTGAGACTATTATAAACTAATATAATCCATAGACATATAGATACATAGTTATATATTTCGCATACGTAAATAAGTACACATTTCTGTATTATAGGTAATAATTTTGGCAACCGGGTTCAAAACGGAGGAATACTTTTCACCAATTGAAATTTGGGATGCTGAAGGTGGAAATGTTTTGCAACGGTGGGACAACCATGGCCCTTCGCTTCTTTTTGGCATTACTGGACATAAATTGCCAAATCTTTTCTTTTTGTGGGGACCAAATACGGTATTTACTTACTTAAATGGCACAATTATTCATATTATATAAGCATCCAGGTGCACATCGTCTCATCAACTTCAATTGATTGTAAATACATAATCATGCTGTGTGATCATGGATGGAAATGACTTTGACTGCTATTGATCTCATATTATATACCTGGCATAACCACAGACCATCACCAATACATGGCAGTAATCAATTCATTGTACTCTGAGAAATGTACATATTATGTAGTGCCACTTTTGTTGTTGGATATGTGGCAAATATGATAACTACAAATTGGTCGGCATATTATTCCTCATTGAGTACATAATATACCATATTTTATCACGATTTCCAATTCATGTGGAGATCGAAGATGATAAGTTCACACTGATAAAGCAACTGATAAATTCATACGCGAATGGAAACTTATAGGTATAAAGAGGAGCAACAAGGTCTCATAATAAGGACGCTCTTACATATTATTCATTTGGCACTTATCAATCTTACAATTAATTGTTGGTAACCCTTCAAAATGCAAAATCTTCCTATTTATGCCTTCGGATTGTGTGCAGTATTAATTACTGCAAGTGGAATCCAACTTCCCCGTGACCCTGTTCACTTTAATGACGATGGCACTTTCAAGATTGTGACGTTTACAGACTTGTAGGTGCTACATTTATATATTTATTATAACACAATAGAGGCAAATTATTTATAAAATTTAATTGGAAATCAGGCATTATGGAGAAGGCCCAGGAACTGAACAGGGCCCTGCAAACGACCTGAAATCCACTAAAGTCATGACTGACATTCTTCGATGGGAACACCCGGATTTTGTGGTCTATACTGGAGACCTTATGTCGGCGGAGGTGAGACTTAGATTTGTTTTAAATAAAAAAAGCTCACAGAAATCAAAATGCATAATTTACTTCTTCAGGTCATGTTTCCTAATGGGTCTGTTTATGTGGATATGCTGCTCAAACCCGTTGTCGATGGCGGTTATCGGTTAGATAATTACCCAGATTTTATTAATTCTTGCAAATAAAACAATAAATGAATATATGCACTTGAATAGTTGGGCGTCTACGTATGGGAACCACGACATTGGAAATAATGTGACGAGGGAGGAAATTCTTGAAACTGAGCAGAAATATAATTTGTCCTACACCCAACACGGCGTTGATGGAGTTGAAGGCACAACGAATTATTTTGTGCCAATCTATCCCCCCAAAAATGTATCCAATCCGTCTGAAGCGCCGTCACTGATTTTATGGTTTTTCGACACAAGAGGAGGTCGAAACTCATCTGGGGGCATTCCCGCATACGTGCACGAAACTGCGGTGGAGTGGTTTGTACAAGAGCTTGCAAGTATGAACGCTACTTGGGGACCCATTCCTGCTCTCGCGTTTTTCCATTATCCAACGTAAGTAATTACAAATAATTTTGCACTGTCCAGTTCACCTGAAAATATTTTAAAGTAATTTCTAGAGCTGAGTATAGTCCAATTCACGACGAAATTGATCAACGTCCAGAATGTCCTGGGCAGCATGGTATGAATGAAGTGATAAAGATGCATATGTATGCATAAGAACTTGATTTGTAATCGCTATCTGTTTACCTAGACGATATTGTGACACCTCAGGAGCGAGATACTGGCTTCATGCAGGTCTAATTTCGTTTGTACGTTTTTTTAATTTTATACACTTAAATACTTTTTTTTAAATTGCAGGCGCTTGTTAATTCCGGCACTGTAAAGTCTGCATTCGTTGGACACAATCACGGAAACGGTTGGTGCTGCTATTATCAGTCGGTGGATTTGTGCTACAATCGGCAATCTGGGCATGGTGGGGGCTGGGTTGGTTGGACTCGAGGATCTCGAGTAATTACCTTGAACCACGCAACACTTTGGGGTCAGACCAACAGCTATATCAGACTTGAAAACGGAACATTTACCGACTTTTTTCCTGTCAGAAACTTCACGCAACTGAATTAATTAGTAAATTGTTGTATATGTAATATAATTATACAAAAATTGGAATAAATCATCGAAACAATTCAATTGAGTTTAGTTTTTTTGAGGAGGAATTGAAATGACTCCAGGAACTGATTATGCATGTGCTGAAATCCAATTTAGAAAATTTTGTCTATTAATTTATAATGCTTAATCTGATTTTTTGTCATGTTGCTCCAGAGCCTCGGTCACAATGCTGTGACATTGATGATGGAGAATCAAATGGATTTCGTGATCAAGTGTGTTCGCTGGATGACAGAACGGCAATGCTCATTAGTCACAGTAACGGAAACGGCTGAAGCAAAATACATGGAGAAAATTCATGGCGAAATGAAAGAGATGGTTTGGATGTCGCCTGGTTGCAATCCTCCGTCTCAATATGTGGACAAGTTTGGACGAATTGTGGCCCTGTATCCTGGGACGGTGAGCTCTTATGCGACAGAAATCCGTAACTTTTCACCAAATCACTTGAATTTTATCAAGTGAGGCGACTAATTGTAAGATGCAAGAGCATTTTGTCTGGCTGTCTCATGATACTAACGTGTTTTTAAGTCGGTAGATTGAATTTATTAAAATCATGGTATTTGTGAGCTTTTAAAATTATCCTACTAATTGAACTGTCAATCAATCCTGGCGAAATTATAATAAAACTAATTTAACTTTTTCATGAGTAGCTTTCCACCCCATCCAAACCGTGTAATGATATCTGGAAAACCCAAAAATGTCAAATTAATTTCGTATTCGTGTTAAGAATAGTATTTATAGGACGCTATTGCATGCAAATTTATTTATGTACCTGTGCGTAATGTGCAACCAGATGAAGTATACAAAAAGTAGGAGAAAACTTAGACCAACGAGACCAACGCTTTGTTCTGGTGATGAAAATTCATAATAATATTTGTTAGCTCCGAGAATGCAGAGATACAACGAGACGACGAGGACCGGTGTGAGTAGTACAAAACAAATAATATCGGCCACTAGGTTCCGACAAAAGTATGTATTGCCAGGGTCCATGAGACACTGAATGATACGAGGTATAGGTCACTTTAGCACAATTTTGTATACACTTTCCTGTGCGTACATATTTAATGGTATTATGTGACTTACATCCTTGAAAGTCGGAGGTATCCTTGTAGTTTTGTAGGAAAAGTGACAGATTTCACATCCGTTCGTGTTTGAAATTGAAAGCCATTGCTCTAAACAGGATTTGTGTATTTGTGCCAGTGTTCCTGTGCATTTACAGGGCGAGATTAACGCCTCGTTGTTTCCACTCCTGCCATTATTACTTTGACCTGAAAATGATTAGTGGTATTTAAAATGTGACAACCAATTATTCAGATTGAGTCATATTTACATACCTTCAAGACAAATTCGACAGAAAATATTCGATAGAGTTTGCGTTTCTTCGCTTCTTTGCATCTCAACGGAAGATGACCAACAGCAATATTCAGGTTCGATTGTCACAGCAGTAGTGCTCACCACGACCTTATGTGAAGATGTCAATTCTGCTATTCTTAAGCTATCTTTAATTTCGATGACTTCTAGGGACGCCATATCGATGGAATAATTGCATCCCAGTTGAATTAAACTGAAATCCTCGGGATTATCCGTTACTAAGTTTGACATTGTTCCAAATGTCGCTAGTTGCGAAAGCATTATGAAAAACCTAAAAACTTGGTTTATACACAAATCCTAAAATTGTTGTGGCTTTGACACGTTCTTGATCCCAATAATCGAAATAACCAAATGAAGTAACTGGACCATCAAAATTGGTTTAAGGTTGCGGATGTGGGAAGAACAAGTTGCTTAAAATTATTGTCATGAACTTGATTACGTTGTCCACCACGTGTGTATGTACCTAGGTGTATGGATAGGTTTAAGAAAATGTCAAAGTAGACGGATGATCTTGTTCTTAAGATTATTTGCTGAGAAAATTCATCTGGTTGTCGTACTAACAAGTAGTTGTAACGTTCAGTACATGTCATCAAAATGTTCTTCCGAGCAATCGTACCTAATACACAATACCAAGTAGGATTAACCGCAATGAAGGATTACTAAAGATATGCATGGATACGTGTGTGCATATTCCGTACCGGCAGAAAACCACAAGAAATTAAATACGTCATTGTAAACACTACCCACACAAATATGTACCACATACACATAAGTATGTGTAAAGGAATATAATTTGCAACTATAGTTCACCCACTGGCAATGCAGCCCCATGGACGTATCAAAATGTGAATACTATGCAAACAAGTGTGCACGAAGAGATTCTGATAAATGATGGAATATTATTATATTATTATTACTGGTATGTCGCCAACAATAAGATTAAACGCTATTCTCTCCGATATTTGACAAGATATGTACTTTGCAATTCTCATAGTTCGTCTATCGATTCCATTATAAACTCTCATTCGTGCGACTGACGTTTGAATTAACTGCATACATGGTACAATTGTACATTGACATTAAATTACACAATTTGAGCTTCATGGTCGTCTGGAAAATCTGCTTTTGACGTTTTTGAGAGCACGAGTCTAATTTGCTGATGGGACATTCTCCATGAACTCCATTTGTATTGGTGATGCCTGGATAAGTTTGCATAAATTCTCAGAACTTGCACATTTATTGCATGCAGACGCATTTTTAAGGAATTTATCCATACCTGAAACTTCCTCTCCCCCAAATGATACAAGCTGAAAGAAGGGCAAAACTTCCAACAACGAGTGCGATTGCTTCCCATCCATCGAATAAGAGACGATTACTGTGCTTCCTGTCAGTATACCATTGATACGTCATGATCCAAAGGACTAAAGTTGGCAAGAGGAAGCTGAGCAGTTCTGCTATAAATGCTATTAACTGGAAAGTGACGCGATTTCTGGGATCCCGGATGTACTAAAGAAATGCGCGAATTACATAGATAAGAAAGATTGAATTAATTAATAACATTGTAATCTTGCGCTCATTAAAAAATTCCAATTTTACTTCTCTAAATGTTGGAAAAACTCGTATAGTTTCAAAGGAAGACTGACAAATTTCACATTTTTCGCGTCTGGACGTAGTTAGCCAGGTTTCTAAACAGGAAGCGTGGAGCAGTGCCATTGAACCTGAACACTTGCATGGAGACTCGAGCAGTTTTTCCGAGGCGTCATCCCCACTGTTATTACCTTCGTTAATGGATAACGTTATACAACTGAAATTGAAATGGAGCCTTATTTTTACAAACCTTCAAAGCAAATTCTACAACACTGATCCGGCATTCTGTTAGAGATCCCCAAAAATCACAGGATGTAAGAAGTTAACACAGTAAGTGCACACAATTGATATTCTCACTGAAAAGCATGTTGTATGTCACGTATTATTATCAGTAGCCAGCTCAGACACCAGGTTCAAAGGTTGGTTAAATTTTACTGTAGACAATATAAACTCCTTAAATAAATACTTACACTTATAAATATGTATACTCATATATACATAAATCGATGACGCAGTAATAATTGTCAAAATAGTACAATGGTAAATATTGATGTTTTTTTCATGGTTGGAAGACTAAATTAGTGTGAAACAATTGCAGTTGTTAAACAACACCTATTTATTCAACCATTTATAGATATATTTAAGTGTAGCATTTGGTAATGGAATTTCAAGGAATAAATACATAAGAAATTTCAAAGAGTAACAAGTTGAATTTATTACAGATTACTTTCAATCGATAATTAAGTTTGAAATATATACTCGGTCGAGTAATTTGAATTAATGTTTTACTGTTGTAGCAAAAGACTATTTAAATGCAGCATTTCTGGAGAATCGTCTTTCATGGCTTTTGCAATGTAGCTTTCTTCCCTTCCTTCCGGCTCAATGGAAAATATTCCCAATACTTCTTGTCGAATTCTTTGTATTTCTTGGAGATCTTGTTTTAACAATGATAAATCTTGCAGAGATTTCCCTTTAGATTTCTTATTCGAGACAGCAACCGACATCTTTATAGTTAAGCCTTGTTGTAAGAAATATAAGAGACGACCTGTTAAACACATTGCAATAGAGTGAGTTATTTGACAGATTTACTTAAAATTATCTGCAGTTACAAATATGAATACCTCGATGACGATTAAATCCGGGCCAAATTTTATCAGAAATGGATAAACTCTTTCTGCTCAATTCCACCAATTTTGTAGCCCATTTTATTTCGTTACTTCCAAACTGATTTTTCCGTGCTCTTGAATGTTGCATTAATAGAAAAGAAACGCGCTGTAGTACGTCATTCTCAATATCATGGATTTTAAAATTATTTGGATGCAGGACAACTCCAGAATACTTGTTGATAATTTTAATTAGTTTCTCGATAGATGAGAAACTATCATCTTGATCCACGAGCGATGTTTCTTTATCAACTTTGGCAAGTAGGGAATGCACAAATTCTGGCGATTTCTTAGACGAGCATAGTTCGCAACACCAACTGACATCCATTGTTTGCAAATTATAGGTTGGTAGAAGATTGCCATCAGTGCAATTTTTCTCTGTACATTTTGGCGACGAAAAATACGTCCCCAATTCGGACGAATCCATACATCGTGGACACCCGCACAAAAAGTATTTGTTGTCCTTCAGTTTCCTTCGTCTCTCAGAAGTTGGAAGGGTTGCTTCTGTGTAGAGAAAATTTACGCTTTCTCCTGTTTTAATGGGCACTGCGGCCCGCAAATGAAAATCCGAATTCAGTTGAATAATCCAGCTCGAATTAGGAACACAATTATGGGCTGGCATACTGGCAATATGATAAAGATAAGTCCCATTCCTACATCAAATAAGATGGGACATATTTAGGTTGTTTTCGCATTTCTAAAATAATGTCATCTTTTTTCATCTTTACCTATAAAGCTGGGCTTGAGATACTCCATCGTCTGATACGAAAGCGTTTACTCCGATCGCTCCCAAGACATGGTCAATTTCCTCCTCTTGGCACTGACTCTGTCCACACACCTGTCTCACAAACCGGATGGCAGAATTTTTCTGTTGTCGAGCATGTTCAACTCTACTCCTTTCTTCCCCATGAGATTGCAATTCTAATATTTTAGACCATTTCGCCGGATTCTGAGCCTTTTGCAAAACCCCCCGTAGAACCGTCACCCCTTCATAAACGAAATAATCAGGAGTTGTCTCAAAGAATGTGTCGGGAGTAATGTTTCGTTCCGCAAAAATTTTACACTCAGATTGTGCATGTTGTTCGTCCTGAAATTCAGAGTATTATGTAAAATATAATTACGATGAAGCTGTTGGAAAATAGCATATGCAATGAAAAATTATGTGTGTACTTTTTCGCAAGTAACTCCACACAAAGGCCAGTGACATTTTGAACACTTGTAATTTGTCGGAACAATCCGGAAGCAGCTTAGACAGACTATCGTCGTCCAGGATTCTACTGCACTAGCGTCACCTAAATGAGGTCCAGAAAATATGGGGGTTTCCTTCAAGATCACTTCACCTTGCTTGACATCCCTCGTCGTGACCAAATATCTCCCCAACACGTCATTTTGCTGCACTACGAGTGGGAAACATTGAAGTTTATGTGATTTCCAGTGATTTTGCTGATGTGCTTTGGAACAGTAACCAACTTTCTTGCAAGCGCCACAACTGGAGGTACAGGGGACGCCACAGATTGCACAATTCTCCAGCGAAGTATGCAAGTAATCCATTTCTTGTAAGTTTGGCATGTGTCGTACGTGTGAGACTGCTCGACACGAGCTTCTTTAACGAAATGAACGGTTTTACCAACTGAAGACATGCATATAGAAGTAACAGATGTAACTTTTCTTCTATGCAACTCAGAGTGTGATTGTCTTTTAGCTGGCAGATTGACAAACTGGAGGTGAGAAACTGTTGAGATTTTTTCTTCATGAATGTTGCAAACGAGACAAGGCAATCAAAAATTCTGACTGGTTTAATTAACCAATTTGAATCATAAATGAGGTCTCTTCGGTTTGGTGCATAATAGAATGTGTTCTAATTGTCACGGGTTAAAGATTCTTAGTTAAATGAATACGGGGTAACATCATTTTTCAGTAAACTCACTGTTTTCATATCAGTTTTGCGACAAAAAGTTGCAACAAACAGCACTTTTGAACGGAGGGGAAGTCTCAATTTATTTATAGACACAACTGTTCTCATTCCCAATCCAATCTATCCATTGTGCTTGTTGGAAGCTGGACAAGGATGGATATGTTCCCGTCCTGAATAAACTTTTAAGAAGTCAAGTGGCTTTGCCAAACTTGCCAATGAACAACAACGAACCTCACAATACTGCTAATACATATGATTCTGCTTGCATTATGCATGTACATTATATGGCTATTGAAACTGTCACACAAGCGCCAGAATGACAGCGAGTATATTCGAGTGTATCCTTCTTTAAAGTGGATGTCTTAGATATGCACATGTACGAATGCATGTTAAAATATTGATGAAGTTTTCGAAAACGCTTGCTCATCGATCGTGTTTAACTATTAATTAGTCAAGATGAAATGGGGCAAATTAATAATCCTATGTTTGTAAGCTATAAAATAAGTTCCCGGATGCCTCAGCATAATTTCTGATCTTATTTACTTGTTACTGTTACCCCTCTGAACTGACAACTCCGTGTGTTTGTATACACGCACGTGTTTGTTTGCAATAACAACTCATCTTCTTTGGTCCGTCCGTCCATTGGCGTCACACTTTATATCGATCTTAAGTTCCCAGCTAAGTTGTCCTTCAAAGAGTTATTTAAACTAAAGTCTGATGGCACTTGACTAAAACACCCAGCATTAACGAATTAACGATGATTACATACATAGTTGATGAGCCTTTGTCTACTTCCGTATGGTATACGACATGACGGTGTCCTATAAATTCATAGCCCGCATTATGCATGCTGACCTCGAATTATGTCAACTTTCAAACTTTGTTCTTCTGTTACTAATCTTTAACTGGCTGAGGACAAAAGACAACGCTGTACCTCAAAAGACAGAAAGTTTCTAACCAATGGTGGTCGAAAGACTTCACGAAAACCAAGTTCTACAAATATAATGCTGGTAGTAACAGGTTAAGAAATTCGGAACCACTACATATATCAGTTTAGCATGTTGGGCACCAGCTTTTTTTAAAATTATAACAACATATCCCCCAGTTTTGGAATTATGGAGTTTTGTTATTCCTAGAAATTACAAACTCAAGAAATTACACGGTTGATGTTTAAACAGTTTTATTTAAAATATATCAGTTGTTGTTAGTCCCAGTAAATGAATAAATATATGTACATATGCATGATTTAATACAACACTTCTTAGGAACATGTAAAAGTATGTTGAATTTGGCTAAAATCTACCCTTTGGGTTATACACAATTACATTAATATGTATTAAAATGTGTGCGTGGATGCCGTCATGTCGACGACGTTACGTAACTTCTTAAGCGTCATGTGCCCTATTTCGGGTCGGGATACGACGGACATGGCGGAGTCGGATGAACTTGACCCAGCAGCCAAAACGTCAACATGTCTCCTTTCCCTTTGACGTCAACCCAGCCGCGTTTCTCCAGAATGAATCGTGGACTTTCACACGCATCAACAAGCGTTGCGAACGCTTCGCTGCAGTGTATTTTCAGAGCTGAAATGGGATACAATATTATGCATCTAAATACGATGGGGCGAGACACAATGGCATCTACATTTATACGAGAGCAGGTCAGTTTTCGAATGTCGAGGGGGTGTGACCGAGTTCAAACTGATTTTCAACACAACAGAACGCTGAGAAAAATGGTATCACTTGCCATACATTGGTTGAGATATGAATTTTTCAAACATTCATAATTCTGATAAGTGTTTCGAAACTTGAACAGCCTCGTAGTTTAATAATTTAACGGTGATAAAATTTGCTCAAGTATAATTTTCAAGGCCATTGTATCAATATTCCAATGAAATATACATATAAATTATTATTTTTTAATTACGGAGGCCTGTAGATTCCATTCTCGACGCAGTATTGACCGTGTCTCCAAATAAGCAATACCTCGGGCGCTTTAATCCTACCACACCGGCGCAAATCGGACCTTATATTTACAAGAAACTGAAGGATTAATAATCGCAAAAAACTCCATACTGATAACCATATCGCACTGCAATATTCCCCAAACGAGCAAAAAGTAACTGATTTGTAACCTACCAGAATGGATGCCAATCCTCAACTTGACAGTTTCATGGGGACGATGACGCATTTTGACAGCGGAGGAGTTGGTGACAGCTTGTAAAATTTGCAGTGCCATTCTTGCCATTTCAACTGCGTGGTAATTTCCTTCTCGAATTACTGGAACTCCACTTGCCTTAAATCATTAATCAACTTCAGATTCTACATACTTTGTAAGATGACGGGATAATCAATATGCATCATCTCATTCATAGCGAAATCGATTACTCAGCTTCCAATCAATCCATACTCGCCGACAGTCCCGTTTTTGCGAGTATAATTATTATGACCCTTGATATACTTATCTTTACAAGTATTCAGCTTTCCTTCACTCGATCTGCTACTAAATATTTGTACATAGAAATTTGCAGACATTTCGCAAAGCGATAGACAATAAAAGCTAACCACATCCAGATACACGATGAAAAAAGGTTTCAACATATTCAGGAAATTTCTATCCAGCTGGGAAATTAAGACTCCCTCAAACCCACTCATATTTAAACAAAAGGAAGAAATGTAAATACTTTCCTGGTTCACTGAGCAAACACCATTTTCTCACGCTAAGTTAACTACATTTGAATTGTGTGTAGGCTTCTTGCCCAACAGAGAAGCTTTCTTTTGACGGTAAATTGCTATTTGCTTAAGATTAAAGCCCCGATTCATTTGGATAACGCGAATTTTGGATGATCAGATGTGCAAATCAAAGGATAAAATGCAACTTACGACCTGAAAAACGATTAATAAATTCGGATATTAGCAGCATACTTCAGAAACGAACTGCAATTTTAAAACCATTAACAATACTGTCACTTGCCATGTAAGCATCGCCAATTGTTTCGATTTTGTATACATCAAAGCTGTCTATCACAGAGTCGAAACAGGTGTATAGCTCATTCAAAAACTCAACCACCTGCAACGAATCAGTCACAATTCTTGGGATAAATCAAAATCAGAAAGCAAGTACTGGAATGAATATGTTATTTACTTGGAGGGCGGTTGACTGGGCAGACATCAATGTGAAACCTATACATTATACAAGAATACATTGAATACACACGTAAATCACCTCTTAGTTGTTCAGAATCACGGAATGGGGATTACAGCATATGCCAAAGTTTTACGGTTATGCAATTTATTACAAAGTACACAAAAATAAATACGCCTCACCCACTATATCGGAAAAGTAAATGGACACAGAGTCGTAATTCTGTGCAGGGACGCGAAGCCCTTCTTTCAGCTCTTCTGCTACAGATACTGGAATCAGCTCGTACAACAGACTTTCTGAAAATTTTCATCATGAAAAATATATTCTAATAAAAATGTTACTAAACACTTTAGCGAATACTTAAATGGTCAGTCTGATGTGTTTGAAATACCAGTTTTTCGCTTTTCCTCACTGAGTTGTTTTGTTCTTTCATCCACCAAAATCTCTAGATTATTGGCATATTTTTCCATGAGTCCGATCATGATGTCAGGTGGGTTATCTCTAAGAAGAATAACATGTATTTTAGCACACATCTACGTATGTATATCTTCATGTAATTGTTGATCGCATTCTAGTCATTTGTGGGGAGTTAATGAGACTGTTGCATAAAATGCATATCAGTTTTGGTCACTATGTAACAGGACCAATATAACCATACGCACGCAACCATGTACGTACTAATTCAGTAAATCTACCCTTTACCACATAACGCCATATCATCCGTCACGCGTTTTAAGATATCGGAAAAGCACAATACTTATTGATATTATGCACATATTTGTCACATGATAAATACTACAATATACTCACATTCCCTTGTGCAGTGGTCGCAACCGATTCCTCACAGATTTCACATCCGGCCTATTGAAATCAATTGTATTAATCATATCTTTACCAATTAGTCCTGCATTTAAGACGATGATGTGACAGACCTGGCATCTGGTTCGAAGCGAAGACAGTCCGCGATGCACTCCTTAATCTGACCCAGTTGACTTGCCCAACCAGTCTTGTTTCCTGCGAGGAGAGAGTTGAGTGGATTCCTATTTTTTATCACATGGAGAAAATTCTTACCTTCTGAGGAAAGGGTGCTACTCTCTTCCGTAATGAGGGCCAAGGCTCTCGGCCAAAACGGATCGCGTGGGCTGTCTCCACCACTAAAATCCTGGAATTTTTCCTTGCCCACAATTTCAAGAGATTGAGCCGATGGATGCCCTTTGCAAACAATCTCTCGAATTTCTAATTCTTCCCGAAGACCCAAATAGTTGGCTAGAGTCTGACGACGCAGCAACTCCCAGAGGATGATCCCCAATGAGTAAATATCTCCCTTCCGGTATCCTTCTGCCCCACTTTTTGAGTTACGCTGCTAATTATCACAAAACAAGAAAACATTGCACTTGTGAAGTTCGCAAGGAATAAACATGGATTACTTCCACCTACGACTAAATGTTAGCTTCCCACACATTGTGTGGGAAGTTAACGTACATGTGTCGAGGAAAATAAAGCATTAAAAGCCACGTAAAACTATGTGACACTTGATGACAGTCGAATAACCCTTGTGACTTGTTTGCAAAGGGAAACCTTGTGAAAAGCCACTTTCATCGTCATGAGAGAATTCACAAAATCCAGTATTTATTCAGGTGCCAAGAGTTACACGGCGAGGTGGATTTTGCTCTCTCATCGTTATTTATAAATATCCGAGCCATGTAAAGATTTAACTTCAATTTGAAATGGAGTGTAATCCAATGTTTATTCATATTATGAGTACCGTTGTTCAAAGTCTGTGCAAATACAACGTATCTGATATATGTCGTTTCGCTTATTTCCGTGGAACAGTAATTCGCATAGTATGAGAGAAAGTAAAACTATTGAAATAATGGTTTTTGTTCTTCACCGATGAGGATTGTCAACGTCATTTCTGGCTGAAATAATGGTTCTTCATAAGAGATACCTGATATTGCTAGTGCATATTTATTTGGCTTTGATACCTACAAATAATGGAGTAGAAACTAATTTCTTAATTTTTCAAGAAAGTAAGAAAATATTTACAATTTTTAAAAATAAGGTACAAATTGTTGAAATTTTGTATGGAAATGTAATTTTTGAAAAATATTTAGCATCCGAAGCTTCGCCCGAGACAGTTGGTACATGCCTTTCAATATTTCTAAAAACGTTACTTTCTCATGGAACAAACCCATTTTCGACAAGTTTTGTCAATTATTCTGTAAGTGCAGTAACGAAATATGTGTTGCATAATAATCAAGCTGGTTACAACCAATTATATGTACATTTTTTTAGTCTGTTCATGAAACTGCGAAAAATGTGTATACAAAATCGGCAGAAGCACTCCCCCAAGCCATGTTGACAATGACGTTCCTTTCTTCCAACGCATTTTCAGTGTCGAATGTACAAAATTTCTTTGAAAGCGATTTGAATGACAACATATTTCACGGAGTTCTAAATATGGAACAAAATTGTGCAAATTCTCAATACTGGGATTCCTATAAATTCAAGGAGCAAATGTTTTACTCGAGAATTCACGAACTTGACGAAAACGAATTTATATTTCAAAGGGAAATTGAGTACAATATCATGGCCAAAGTTCAAAGACGATCAAATTTAAAAGGATCCGAAATTGTAGCAGTTGTAGCCGTAAGTTGGGAGAAAATTGAATTCTAAATTTTGAAATAGTTTTAGTTGAAATTCTTATATCACGGCGTATCATTGCATAATTCCAGAGGAACAAGCTTTCTGATATCATGGTTCTCATTTAATTATTCAACTACTTCAAAATCTCAAGTAAACGTTTGTTGTAATTTGAATACGTTTTTTGTACACATTTCACAGTTAAATGACGTGGATTCTGTCCTTGACCGGGTCGATGCCTCCCGACGCAGTTTTGACTTAAAATTAGCAGAATACACGCAAACTGTGGCTGCAGATTCTTTCCTAGATTTACAAATGCTCTTCAATTTCACGTAAATCTACAAATTCGTGAATACATCTCATCCACTTGGTAATTATGGTTTTAAACGTGCATGCAACAGCTATACACTGATAAGCAGTGAGGATCCAAACAAACTGCTTTCACCAGCAACCTCCAGTGCAACCAGAGGTGATATAAACTGTCAATTCATGGCCCAAACTTTGGAGAGATTTCAGCAATTTACATTATTGCAGCCCATGCTACACTCCAAGTAAGTAAAGTAATTGTAACAAGTCTTTTGATGCATATTGTGCAAAGTGTTTGCCTTCTTCTTATTATTATTACAGATATAATGCTTTCTTCAGAAAGCCAAAACTCAGCTCAATTCGAAACGCACATGTTCAGCCATTTCACAAATTAGTTTGGATCTGCATAACCCTCACTTGGATCCTGTACTATTGTGCACTGTGCGGTATGAAATACTCTTACAAATATTATATTCGCCAAGAAAGTGAGCAAGCAGGGCGACGCGTGTTGTCAGATGTACACGGAGGATGGTGGATTCTCTCCTTCATTACCGGAAAAGGTATTGTATGACACAATATGTATGTGCTTATGTGCCTACTCATGTGCATGCATGGGGGTCGGAGGATGTCTCTCCTTTCTGACATGTACAGCATCCGACAATCCCATTGTGCACTTCCAAGAAGTTCAACAAAGTTACAACTCAAATCCAATTTTCTATTGTAATCAAGTTCCGGGACATCCTTCCAACTTGTTGCCGTTTCTGCAGATACTCTTCGTAACGGGGGCTCTAATGGGGATGATCATCCAAATTTTCTACTCGTCGACCATCCTCTCAGCAATAACCGTTGTCATTTCTCCCATCAAAACATTTGATAACCTGATTCAGCTCAATTATCACTTTACAACTCATGTTCTCAGCATGCCCATGCAAGACGTTATCAAGGTAAGCATATAAACATGTGAAGCTATTTATATGCTTAAATATGAGAATAATATTTTAGGAGTAATATTTTCATAATAGAAAATTATCAGCGATAAACATCTCTCCCAAAAGGTGGAAACTGTCGATAATAAGAATCAAATTACACATTTACTGAGGCAAAAAATGGTGTCCACGGTCACATATAGCGATGCTTTCTATAGAGAAGCCTTCAAACAAAATTACACGACGACTTTTCTGTGTAAAAGAATTGCAGCAGTTCCAGTGGCATCCTTTGGCAGGGCATTTCCAATCTCTTACGTTACAAGGAAGGACTCGGAACTCACGGAGCTGTTTAACTACGGGTACTCACAAATGTAAAATTTGCTCAACTTTACTCTTTTACGGGTAAACACAATATATTTTCCAACCTCATCAAAATCTGTCATTTTACACTAGAATTATGAAGATAATGGAGAGAGGCCTTCATCGACGATATGATCGGCAGTACGAGATCTTTCAAAGGAATTTAGCATGTGGATCCAATTCTGGAGGAAATGTTCTTTGGGACACAGTGGAACTCGCGGAAACTGTTGTTCCATTTTCCTGCTATTTTGTTGGAGTGTCTTTAGCGGCATTGCTCATTGTGTTGGAAAGATTTAGAAACTGTTGCGGCTTAATAACAATGTAACTCGTGAGGGTGAAAGTGTACATTGCAAAATATGGATAGGACAAAGGCATGCTGGGAAGATGAATGTAAATAGAAGTTCTTACCTTTGGGTGCAGAGGATACTCTGGAGGAAGGTACGGGCTCGTGATGAAGAATGGGCAGCTATTCAATTGGCATCCTCCTCCTGGATTTCCTAAACTGTTGCTGTGATTGTGGTGGTGGTGGTGGTGATGAGAATTGGTGTGATGAGAGGTGAAACTGGAGGTGAAAGTGTACGAAGCTCGGGTGGCGCCATGGTTTTGACTCGCCGAAGCTCCCGGAGCCCCCACCACACCGCTGACGTAGGTGTGACTCTCAGTTCTGGCCTTTGACCCGAATGCAAACTCGTAACGTTTGAGACCAAAATCACCCAACTTGAGGTTCCATCGGGAGTCGATGAGACAGTTGGTCGGCTTCAGGTTTCCATGAGCTCGAAATGGTGAAGAGTCGTGAAGGTAAGATAGACCCTGAATCGAATGGAAAGTATTTAGTCGCTCAATTTAATTTGCACATTATCATTAACATTATAACTACTTAATATATTTAAATAATATGTTATAAGTACTTAGTTAGGATTAGTAAGTGATGAGAGAGTGCTGTTATCTATGGGTGGAATTCAATATACGTTAGGCAATGCTTAGGCAAGAGAAATTTGCCTAAGCAAATTTTATTTGTATTCAATATTTGTTGCTTAGGAAAAATTCTAAGCAAGTGCTGAGCAAAATATTTAGGATTTTCTGTATTCAATATGCACAAATTCCTAAATTTTTTGCCTAAAGTTATTCCAGCTCGGAGGTGGAATAACGACTTGCGTAACTATAATTTAGCTTAGAAAAATATTTATTTCGACCATTTTAGACGTAGTTTGGGGCGAGGATTACAGAAATCGACATGGTTTTGACATGCTATGACCGTGTGACCGTTTCGCTTCACCCCTTTGTTACATTTCGCTTGCAACGGTTTATTAAATATTCTAATTATTTGCAATTACATACAAAGTAAAACTTCAAAAACAGTTTCACATATACTGGATCTACTAAATAGTGCATCACTTTGTAAGTTTAGTAGCCAAGTGGTCAAAAATAGGTTTAGAAATTTGAAATTTTTGTAGAATATTCCAAACATATCGAACTGGATATATCTACGGACAAAGAAGACTTTAATCCATTATCCATCTCGTATTTAACTTTTTTCTTCACCTCCGTCATTAGTACTTTTCCGGCAGACTGCAAGTTCATTACTAATTTTCTTCCACCGGAACAGAAATTTTCTTAAAGTATCGTCCGTTTCTCAAAGCTGGAAGTACCTCTTCCTACACAAAGCCTAAAATCTTGTTTTGAGTCGGATAGGGGAAGTTTAGAGGGCTTTTGACAAAAATTCGTCAAAAAATGACCAAGAAATTATGAAAATGCCCATCCGAAGTCGACCATCGCATAAAACATTTTTCGGAAGGAAAATTGTCACAAACGAAAATTTTGGAGAAGCTGAAATTATCCGGATAGTGTTGCTCATTCTACAGAGTCTAGTATACTTACTTCCTTTGGAATTGGATGAAAATCTAAATTAGCAGGACTGCTATCCTCTGTAAGGTACCAGACCCCAAAAACGTAACGCGTACCGTTTTTCGAAAAATCGACGCTCTGACAAGCCAGGAAAACACCCAGGCCCAAACTCAGTGGAAAAGTTGTTAAAATAATACTGGGGAAGTATAACCTCCATCATCCCGCGCTCGTATCCTTCCCATACTATTAGCATGGTACGGATACGCACGCGGGAGCCAAATTTTGATGGAAGTTATGCTTCCCCAGGTATATGTCAGCTGCATGTGAGTTGCACCATCAACAACAAACTTCAAAAACGTCAAAAAAGGTACACTTAAAGTTTAATTAGGTTGTAAAAAATTAAGTTTGTTAAAAAGTGGTAAATGTCGGGTTGATATTTTAGCCGAGATGAAATAAGATGCAAAGAGCGGAGCATCAAAATTTTGCAAAAATTTTGTCAGTTCACACGAGGTCACAGATTTTCGTTGCCTTAGGCAACGAAAATGGCTAGGCAAAATGCCTAGCCATTGCTCAGAATTTGCGTAAGTTTAAGCATTCTTAAACTTACGCATGCCTAAGTCGACTTTATATTGAATACGAAATTTTGCTCAGCAAAAACCTTGCTGAGCATGTGCTTATCTACGCAAATGCTTATGATCGCGTATATTGAATTCCACCCTATATTTACAGTTTTATGTACATGTAATACTTAATAATGTCAGCCTCTCAGTTAATTTAATCATTCTAAAATATCATATTTCCCTTTGATGATACTCGAGCCTGAGTGAAATAAAATAACAAAAATACAAACATTTAGTTGAAGTTGTAGACAAGTAAGTGGTAATTTCAAAGCAAATGTCCTCATGAATACAAATTAATGTTTTGCCCTCCACTTTTATCTTCAAGCCAACATACTTTATGGAGGCAGATGTGACCATGTGACACTTTCCATTTCTCCCAAAACTTTGTTTTTTCTCCTAATTTTATGTATCTTTACGAGAAAGTTTTGTGGAACGAAACCGCTAACGGCAACACCACCACGATAAGGAGAACCATATTAAAATAATGTTGAATGTTGTCTTGTTCCCCCAGGGTTTTACAACCTACTTACTCCAGCGTGTACTAATAGTGCACCAAAATAATGTTCCCCTTCCGACTGAAAATACTTTTATATGTAATCTGAAGTTGAAAAATTTCCAGAATGCATCCAATCCTTGACCACACCACTGTTGGATTCTGGCAGAGTAACGTTCACTGGGGAAAGTCGGCTCATTTCCGTCATGTCATTTTTCTTGCAGCTCATTCATAACTTGCCAGCAAAGAAAGTATGTCCCATTACCACTCAGTATATAGGAAAACGTGCAAGGATACGTAAATACATCCTTCCATTTCAGTTGGTCTGGTGGTCTCTTCTTTTTCTCCTAACGGGCACGTCGAGGAGGAGATCGTGTTAAATATATAGCAGTTTTGAACAGAGGAAATATACATTGTAGAAAAAAGTAAGTGAGTAAATGTCCTTATCTCGGATGGGAGCGGGTAAATTGCATGGCTGGCAGTGGTCACAAGAAAATTATACAATTTGGGAAGATGAAGGGAAAATAAAATAATAAAGTTGGACTGGAAGAAGAATGAAATTAGATGTAATCGTTGATCTGATGTATGTAGGTTTTGCACAGAATTATACGTACGTGTGTAACAGGGAGTGAATGTCTCATATTCGCTCCCAATTTTCTGCGTCATGGATTATTCCATATCTTTGACCATTGATAGTATTAACTTGTGAAAAGATGCTACATACATACTTATTTACTGCATATGAACATGTGAACCTCCACGCAGAGAAACTTTCTCTTGTTGAGCAATGAACTAGAAAATGAGCTCCGACCCAAACAGCCTTTTTGTTGCTTTCTCTTTTTCCTTGGCTGCTTCTTCCGCGTGCAAAGGAGGAACTTATGTCACTAACAATTTCCTTGTTACTGTTATTTCAGCCCCGTCTCAAGTAAGCCGCTGAAATTCATACAGGTTTATTTTATTGTAATGTGGAGCGTGGTGACAGTAGAATCTCGAAGGAGAAGTAGACAAAAATGTGTGTGTGTGTACTCTGGTCGTCCAATTATTGCATCCGAAAACAGTTATCAGGTAATGATGCTTATTCCTTCCGGCTCATCGGTCCCGTGTCTACTTTGTTCTTATGTTTATGTTGCACGTGATGAAAGTTTGGGTAACATGACTAGCAGCGTCTTCAACCTGCCTCAAGTACTCTGTTTTCATGGATGGATTTTCTCTTTGTAAAGTACAGAAGATTAGTTTTGGGATTATCCACAAATACGATAAAAAAAGTATTTTTTAAAAATGCATATGTGGATGAATACTTTGCACATATCGGAACGAAAGTCTGGCTGGACAAGTAATACGAGCGTAGAAAATAAGTAAGATATTGAAATTTTAATGGAAAAACTTTGCTATTACTGCTATGCAATTGATTCAGAGAGCGAATAATGTCAGCGTTGAGTTAGAGCATCTATACCATTTCCAAAGATTCACCACCGCATGCACAGGATGGCCAGCGACGAGGGAGGAAGGAAGGAAGGAAACTTACACTTTGTTTTTACATTGCCGTTGGGTTCCCGAGAAATGAGAGGATTTCACTACTTTCTCCGTTTGCAGGTTCTATTTCTGCACAAACAGTTCGACATTTGGAGAAATAATGTAGATTCTCAACTCTGAATTTTGCAATCACAACTTCTTAGCATTGTGACCAAGTTCAATGTCATATGTGAAAGAGAAAGTTTTCCAAATTCGATCGTAAGTAATAATTTCCTGTCACCGGATTGTGTAACTTGGAATAAACACCTGCGATAGAGTGGCGCTTTCCTCCTACATGCATACTGCATAAGTACTCGGCCATCCAGTAGTCTCACCATGGATGATAAGAAGGAATTATTGAGAGACCTTCTTCGATTGTCACAGGCTCAGGATTTAGACGATAAAAACGTTAAAACCCTCGCCGAATTCCCATCAATTCCCGGAAAGCGAGAATTTGGCTTTCCTTCAGTATTCGCGTGAATCGTTGCAGAAATTATTAACTCGAATTTGAATGTATAATCATCCTCGGTTCAAGTATCTAGTTCAGAAAGTACGTCGGGAAAAATAAGTTGCACCGAAAGGAAACAAATCGAATAACGTAACTCTGTGCATACACTAATCCGTATTGTGACCAATTTTTTTGTAGACGAAGTATGTTGGAGAATCAGACATACATACTTTGTATGTAGCCAGTTAAACAGAGTATTGACTCACAATTCCTCCAGGGCCATAATTCGAAGAAGGAGAAAGTAAGCAAGGGGAATACTTTGCAACTTTGCTTTCCCCATATTTTCACTGAAAAGGAAGCCAAAAGTACTCTACATGAGGATGAAAGCATTACAATTTTTTGTGAATTCACTCCATAACTTAGCACATGATCACGTTGGCATGATATGGAACGAAATGAGATTTTTTTAAGGATTTTGTGCAGAGTTGAAAGATAATTTGGAGTTCAACTTGAATAGGCTTTCACTTTCCTGTGTTGGTTGCAATAATGTACAGAAAGAAATCAACATCGTTTTTTTGCGATAAAGTAAAGAAAATGAATTTTTAGGTTTCCCTTTGGTAAAAAATGTATGAAGTCTGGACATAAAATCGTAGTTACCTATACATGTAATGAGCAACATTGAAAGTTAATTCAGCAATCTGTAGTTAGTCTTGTGTTCCAGGAGTGATTACTTCTCAAACAAGTAACAAATTAAACATTTCCTTTGTATCATTACTATTAATGTCATAACAAATCGTCAGATATATTTTACGCTTGAAGAACTGGTCGAAATAGTAACTTAATTATTCCAAAACACTTGTTATTGGAATATTCTTTCGTTGAAATATTAAGAGTTGGAGCTTTACAGTTTAATCAATCCGAAATTTTAAACGAAATATAAAAATTCGAAATTATGAGAATAAAATGTCACTTTTATTCTAGTGCATGCATAATTTCCTACATGTACATGAAAGGAAGAGGAGGAGAAATGTGAACTTACTCTGAGCAGGTCCCCGACCAAGCTGGAGATGAACATGTCGTCCAACTTGAGGTCCCCATTGTCCAGAATATCCTTCAGCGACCCTCGAGAGCAATACTCGCTTATCAGAACGAGACTCTCTTCGTACAAGCAAGCGCCGATAAACCCGAGAAGATTCTCGTGTCGGATTTCTCGCAGCTAAAATACAAATCATAACAAGACAGAGTTAGCAGATACCTTTTTACTTATAATACGCATTCCATCTCCGCATTTAACGGTATGTATGTTATTATAGATCTATAAATATATTTACTATCAAATATATTATGGAGGGTATTATTATACAAATTACAAGTTTACGTGCACTTCAAGACCAGATTTCCCCTTGCACGAGGGAATTATATGTTCATCGTTTCATAATTAGCATGATCCCACAAATACCCCTAATTAGCAGGTAATTAAGCAAAACCTTGCAAGCTGGATATATGTAATCATAATCAAGGAGAATTCCCTAGTCAACTGTTTTGAATAGGCAGTATGGTGAAAGCTGTGCATGTACATTTCTACGTAGTACATAAAGTGGATGTACACAAGACCCCTGCAAAAAACCAACCAAACACTGTAACAAAATAAGTGTGATGAAAGGTATCAACGTACTGTAACTCGATTGCAGTGGGGTTGTTGCTTGGTTGGTGGTTCACTTACTTGGTTATGGTCTTGGATTAGATTAACATTCGATCAACGGCTTCAAGTCTAAGCCGCTACCACAACATGAAACCGAAGGATGAGTCAATTAACAGCGCTTCGAATAAATGGTGGCCAAAGTATGGTCGGATAATACAAAAAGTTATTTTTTCCTAATGCAGAAATAATAGCAATACACAAAATATGCACATATCTAAATAAATACTGTTTTTTGAATGCCCACATAATTTACCTAATTCATTAGAATGATCTAGAAGTTATGGACGGAAGGCTAATATCATAAAATCCGCGAATGGCAATAATATCCACACCATTTCCTCTTTAGACAGACACAAGATTACGATGATGCTTTCTCTACAAGAACGTAAACGGCGACGAGAAAGACAACTTTCTCCATTAAATGAAATCCGTACGTACCCCAACAGCCAACTCATACACTGTAAATTGTTGACTTGGCCAGATTGAGTGGTTGAAGTGGACAGAAATGTATCGAATTTGTGTCAAACTCGTACTTATTGCTTTCTCTCACTACGTATTGGACATATGGAAGAGAAAGGATTTTCACTCCATGAATAGGTCAGCACTTCAACTCTGAAAGAATTTAGGCCGTCAATCTCATGTATTTTGTTAGTACACGCTGAAAGGACGACTCATACGTACATAGGTTTCAAATGCCTCCGATGCATTGATTTCCTTTGAACAGTTTTATTCGAGAAAGTTTCAACTTTTCAGGATGCTCAAAATCTTTTACCTCGACCCTCCTGGAATTTTGAGAACGGCAATATAAATACATCGAGGGGGAAAAGGAGGAAGCCAACTCTGCAGAACAAAAGAGTCCAAATTGGTCGTAATTTGAAACGGAGGAGCATTTGGATCAGAGAATGCGGCATCATTTATTTCCTCGTTTTGTTGTCCACCAAGCAGCCGTGCTTTTACAACAGCAGCTTGATAACTTCATGTATGTATGAATATAAGTTGTTGTTGTTGGTGGTTTCAATGGATGATCATAAATGTGGGCAGAGTAAACTCGTCCGTCGAATCCAACTCTGCTTCCTTGGTATGAATGCATTCGCTTCCCTCCCGATTTTCTACAGCTTCTGCATGGAGATTTGATACGATAGACGAAATTGGTTTAATGGGTGGTGACATGTGGAGAATGGAATGACAATCGCCATCAATTGCACTCACGGCACTGCAGGGGGAAGTCATCAAATGGCTCACCCCCAAGTAGGAATTTACCTATATAATTGAGAGGGAAAGTTATGCTGTTCGTATCCATCCTTGAGAAGAAAGGGGTCAACAATGTTGACGCAGAAATTCTGCATCAGAACAATAAGTTGTGCTAAATATCTCGGGGCTGAAGAAGGTTCTCAAGGTTGCAATCAGTCGAGTCGAGTATACTTAAGAAGAACGTTTTCAATCATCATCGCTATGTGCACTTTGGAGAAATCTGTGAAATATGAACCGATTTTCCCACATGTTTGGATACCCGGAAATCTTTGTGCGTTGAAGGGATGTTGGGAAAATGAGCACATTGTTTGTTTGCAAACCACTCCACTTATCCTCAAGCAGGTTTCGACTTACGTGTGCTATGGTCTGTTTGCCAACGTGTATTACCTGCCAGGAGGGCACATGCTTTCATAACCTTTAGTATTTGCACATGGAAACTTATAATCATGGAATGGACGTTTTGTGTAGTGGATGCAGGCATTGTAGAGAGAAAGAAATTATATACGTATGAAATATATGTACCACGATATAGAGACAATCTGTTAATGAAGGACAGATACGTGCTTCTCCATTATCAAACTCCTGAGGACAGCATGTGTTCAAGATGATTGTGAATAAGCAAAGGTCTTCTTTGTGTTAGAAAATCAGTGATTCAGAACTGTTACAGGGTAAGCTGGGATTGATGCACAATTATTAATTCCGTAAATCGAACTTTCAAAGCATTTCAAATGTCAATGAAGGACGTAATATTTCCTGTATTCAGACATCATTAACAGTAATCCTAGTGCACAATGCGAAATGAACTATGAACATGGTAAGAGGAGAATGTGTGTGCTTCTTCGATAAGCTGTTGCTACTTACTGCTCCCTCGGCCTCCGCAAATTCATATTCTGCACATCAACTTACCTCATCATCACACGTCTAATAATACTTAATGCAAGCCACTACTTATTTAAGTACTTGGTAGACATTACCAAAATAACCTGAAGAAAAGCCGCAACAATCCTATTAATTCAAGTCTTTGGAGAAAATATGGCTTCAAAGCCCAATTCAGCGAAAGAATTATTAGACAGAGTGCTTCACCATCTCTTCAGAGAAGAGATTTATTGTGCAATTTAAACAAATTTATAGGATGATGCACATATAACAATGTTTCTTATTTTATGCTGCATACAAGCATCTCATTGCATATTCTATGTTCATTCTATGTCGGTATTTTCAAGTACCGACCAACCAAAATAATCCAGATAAAATAATTTTCGCCAAACGAAAATAAAACAACGGGACAGACTCGTTATTATTGATGGAGAAAGCACAAGAGAAAGTCCAAGTTGCAATGTCCTACTGGTCGGTTCAATTCTACATTGATGCGAATACGGATATGTGAATCATAATGTAAAGTGACGTCTATGCGAACTAAATAACCGCATGCAACCTTGATTTCGTTGAAATATAAGTAATAATCGATTTGGTTTCTCGGAATCGTCTCTGCAAGCCCAATCTCCACAACGAGCTTTACAAAATGATCAGCAGCACAGTGAATTCACTTAATTGGAATTTGGTTGGGAGATAATAATTTCCAATGCTACTTCTGCTATAATAGAATATTTCAAATATTTGAAGCTCTAGTGACCTAGAAATGTGTGCGCAGAATTGTGAGAAACCATGAAAATCCATAGTGGTCAAAACAACGCCTGTTACAAAGTGCATTGGACAAGTCGGAATTATTTTTGACAAGAGATGGAGATGAAAAGCCATCCCCTGTCAACGCTGACCTTGTTCGTGTCAATCAAAAAAAGTTTATGTCAACCAAAAACTCACGTCGGAGTAGAAATGTCAAAACATGAAAATGCTTCTAATCCTTCGTTTCCCGAGCATTTCATCACCTCTTTTTCCGCGAAAAAGTACATCCTCTTTCCTTCTGTTTTTGCACAAACCTCTTGCGACAAGCTACTGGAGAAAAGAACCACTTATGACACGAGGAGCATAAGTAATAATACACCCTTTCCCCTCACCTGGGAGACTCCCAACCAACGAGCACATCATCACATCATACGTACATAGAGTCACATCACGTATGTAACCAGACCACCCACTCCACTTCGGCACACACAATCTCATCTCATCCATGAATCCTCTCAAATCCCATGCACCATCACATCAAACAAAATATTTGCCAGATTTTCTCCCATTTTCTGTAAAAGATAAATGAGGAGAGGTGATTCAATGTAAAGTCTCCTGTTCACCTCATGGGCATAAAATATCTAGGATTTTTGAACAACATGTTCGACACAATGTGCAACCTTGAAATTGGTGTCTACGTGTTGTTACATAAGTCTTGGTCCAGATGTAACAATACAATATTCATTCGCGAATTAGGTAGGAGCTTCAATAACGTGAATGCATGGACATGTCTACGCACGCATGTAATCGGCCTTCCACATTTCTATATAAAGCCATACACAGAAATAGCCTAACAACCAAAGAACTTTGCCCTTGGGTTGAAATTAAGATTATCACTGGCCTTGAGGTAGCTGACCGTCGTCCTACATATCATTTTATTTGGACATGCATTACTTTTCTTGAGCTGAAGCAACAATCTTTATTCAGAGCTTTGAGTTGAGAAAATTAATATTTTTTTCTACTATTTTTTGCTCTGATCAAAAATATGATGTTTTCAGATCTATTTTTCTATAGGATTGATTATTATCATGAACTTACGAGTTTCAGTTGGTGTTTCATGTTGTTGTCAAGTTGTCCAATGGAGATCGCTTTGGCTGCAAAATGCCGTTCTCGATATTGAACCAAGGGTGCAAAAAGAGTGGAGAAACGAGCTAGTGAAGCCTGACTCCCAGTGCAAGCCCTGCCCCCCACAAAAGGGCACATTGTCCCCGATTCCCAGGAAATGTCCTTCTTGTCAATGCGCCAAAGAAGGGTGTCCATGTCTCGAGAAAGTCGCCAGTGTCGAAACACCAGATAGACTCCTCCCATTACAATGGTGAGAATTAGAACGAGGGTGGCAAGGGTCCAAAGTCTGTTTGTGTCCCCTGAAAACAACAACAACAAAATGCCTGGTTTTGTAAATATTTTGCAAATATTGCTAACTAGATAAATAACTTGACACGTGCAGCGAATGAAATCTCGTAAAAGCATCGACGTGTGTATGCAGTTGACTGATAATAAATTGCGTGATATGTCACTTACGTTGACATTTTTCACCAAAAAATCCGCATGGAGGTTCACTCACTGGGGGATTTTCACCCAACCAGTCGATCTTGTCGAACAGGGCAAGTTCCTGAAAAATAGCACAGTTAACTATATGCATGTACATATATTCATTCTGTCATAAGTAAGCATTTTCAATTTTCAATCTCACTGGAGCATGGAAAAAATAATTCAAAAGTCGATATCGCGAAATCAAGTACTACTTCAGTGACTGTTCGCATATGAATAAAATTAATATGACCAATATTCGCTGCATTTGCATGTTCACTTTTCTGTGGAGGAACAATAAAACAATCTAGTTGTGAAATCGGGTGAAAGATAATTGGCAAAGAGAAAAGTTATTAACCAACAAATCGAAAAGTTTATAACGTGCACTGAATCACTCGTCCGTGACGGGAGACGGAGAACTGTTTCATAAAGTGAGAAAAGTGATGTGCAATAAAATCAAAAGTTTGATTCATACGTTCAATTCATTTTTTCATAGATTCGGAATTCATACTTTGCAAAAAATTACTCTCAACTATTTATCTTTGAGTCAATAATATATCGCAATGTTCATTTGTACTGTACAATTAGATGTAAATATTTACTACGTGCCAAATGTTACTAAATATTCTGTATTTAAAAATGTGCGATCTTATGAATATCAGTAGGCCAGATATGTATTGCTGCTTTTTTATACATATTTATGCTCTATATACCTGGAAGGTGTGAAATTGTACATGTAATGGAGAGAAAAGTAATCAGAACCCTTTGAAGTTACAAAGAGATACAAAAGACTTTAATTAATAATTCGATTAAATGGAGCAGAGTTGAATAACAGAAGCTGAAAGGCTAAGCAATGTGTCTATCTATAGCCGGCTGCATAGTTACGTTAGGTACTTCTCCTATATGGTTGCATGGTTTCTTGTTCCAAGCCATTGGAAATTTAGAGTTAAGTGAAAGCTTCCAATTCCTTTCTGGCCAGGCAATCATGTCCAAGAGAGGAATCACTTCAACTTTGGAAAATTACATTGTATTTCTGCCACAACAAAATAGCCGCATCCATCTCAAGTTTCACACGGCACTTCAACCAACCACCAAAGCCAATTAGTAGCTGCTGCGTGTCCATATAGCGTGGAATTCCAAAAAAAAGACTACCATTTCTTGCAAAACAAAGTAAAAGTGAAGGAAAGATGAGGAATTTATGAGTTCCACTCCACTCCACTCTCGTGATTAAAGCCATTCATTCTCATCCCCATCGAAAATTGAGAGTGGATAAGTCAGGTGTGTGCATAACCACGCCAAGAGAAACTAAATAAGTGCAACTGCTATTATTAAAAAAGACAAGGAGTATATGTAACAATATGGGATTAAAAATTAACTTTAGGCGTATGTGCGTTTATGTAACTCGTATCTATGCGATTCTAACTACGTAAGGAGGAATGTTTTCATGCATCCATCGGATTCAGGGTTTATAAAAAAAACACCGAAAGTGTGTGGGCGACACATTAGAGAACTTTATGTAATTCCATGTAATGTAATTATAAGCAGGATAAAGCAACAGCTGCAGATGTGGCCACGGACATAATTAATTTAGTATCTACAAGAAATTGAAATATGAATGCGACAAACTATTTAAATGGCAAATGATGAACGATTTGCATGTATAATAAAATGAGAGCAGAATTTTATAATCGTCATCATTGACCTTCAAAATAACGTCACATTTTCTGTCTGAAATCACTTGACTTATTTTAAGCCTACCATCTTTTCCGGAGTTTTTACTTACCGGCAGCTGTGACGAGGATCTGAGAAAGAGTCCGACGGGATATAGGCCCAAGACGCCTCCCTTATTTTTCAATGAGATAAGCGTAAAGTTTCCCTCGGCATCTCCGTTCTCGTCCATCTTGGTCTCATGTCCTGTGGCGGATTGATAACGTATGTCCCTCAGCCTTCGGGAAATCCCTCGCTAAAAGTTGTTAGAATTTAAATATTTATTACTCATATATGAACATCATGCTCCAAAGGTTACACCGATGTAACCATTTTGAGCTAATATTATGCACTCTGACTTTGTAACCACATGAGATTTTAATGTTCACGCTTTAACGTAATTATTAACTCTTCTCAGTCTGCACATTGAGTCAATTAAATAAATAATAAAGCTGCTCACTCCATCCAGCACTTTGTTCTTGACGAGTTCAGACAGAGCCAGGGACCACTCGACCTGAGTGTTGGATAATCCTCCCTCTTCTCGTAAACGAGCTTTCTCCTCCACAATAATTTGCTGGATGGCGTGGGCTGTAAAAACAATGGTTAATTCGTTTCTAAATGTGTTTATATACGTTTTCTCACAACGCCCCAACTATTATTGCGCTACATCTAGATAATGTTCGTTCTTGTATTATCAAATATTACCATATAGCATTACAGCATCGTAGAGATAAGCTGCCTCGATCCTGTATACAAATTGGATAAAAAGCACGGTTAAAACAAGTGTATGGAAGGGCCAAACTATGCCTCTGAGCGATATTAGGGTATTATTGAAGTGGCTATTTTGGAGTTTCCTCCACAAAAAAATACCGGATGTTCTTCATCCCTCCGAGCTTTGATAAAGGATTCTTGAACTCGAAAGGTTCCTGTTCCATCCAGTAATTGACACGACGTGAAAATTCTGTAAAATTTCGTGGTGGTGAGGCCAGTATTCCTGAGTTCAAATGTGCATATACCTTAGTTAGTTGCTACTAATGATTGTGAACGCATATTTTATGAAAGTTGTCCATTAATTTAATAATTTGATGCTTAATTGATGGCAGATTAATTGGTTGATTGGTTTTTACCAAGGTATGACCTGAACGCAAAGGGAGCTTCATCAGTCTCGTTTTCGTCAGTGAGCAGTCCTTTAAAATATCTTCGGGCGTTCCACACGTCGTCTTTGTAATCATCCATCGACACTCCGATCACCAAATACTCGCCTGCAATATGGAAAAAACATTGTCTGTTTATATTACAGGTTATCTGCAATGTCCTGACCTTTCACCTTATCCAACTGTGTTAGAGTAGAAACGGAGTGAAAGTGATTTTATGTGTTTACACGTTTATGACGCCAAAATCTGTTTTGCTTCCTGTCGATCATCGTACAACGAATAACACGTTGACATAAAACATTTGCGATATGTGCACAACAAGAGGTAGTGACAAGTCAAAGCTTTTACCTAGATGACCCGAACGCGAAAGAAATTAACCATAGTAAACTCGAATCAAACAATGTGGAAATATTAAGTTTCAGCAAATATTCAATTTCATTTTAACAAATCATTTGTTGTCACAAGGTTATGTAGATTTATGCAGACATCCGAACCATGGGGCTGAAGAAGTGCTCAAAAATGGTGATGCGTACTTGGAGAAAGTTTTCTGAACTGACTCAGCTCTCAAAGAATGTGTACATGTGCATGTACATATTCATTAGGGTGGAGGGGAATAAAACCTGAGGGATGTGATAACGATGAGCCCGTTAAATGTTGACTATTAAAACTCTCTTACTTATTTAACTCGAGCTAGAACAATAGCATAATTTAAATATAAGGCGACAATAGCCTGGGTAAGTCTAGAATACGTGCATACATGTAAAAGACAGGTATGATAATACGAGCCACTACTTGAACTAATTGATGTACATATATATGTATCCTATATTTTTCAGATAATTAGTTCATCACATTTTTTGTTTTTATTCGCAATTTGTAATAATGTATTATGCGAATTTGCCTTGACGTATAAAGTCACATTTTGGGAGTGGGGGCTCATTGTAATACATGTATCCATATATCTTAGGAAAATTATTCTTTAGTATAATAGATGGTGACCTCTGTGTTGTCTTATTACGTAATGATGAATAGAACATGAATTTGTTGTTCCAAAAACAAGGAAACCCACGCTTAGTTTTTAGTTCGTTTAAAATTCCAATCAATAACTATGTAGTGACGAAATGGTTGGATTGTACTTGTCAAATATTTATAATTTCGGAACAAATCCTTGATCAGGGTATTTTTATATTTATGAGAAGGCATAGAATGAGAGCACTGGATTATGTCATACTCATAAATCTGACAATGTATATCTTACTTTCAAACAGAATACGTAATCCCTTGTGAGAACTCTCGGCTATTTTTGTAGGTAAGTAAGAGCAAATTTTAAACCCATTGTCGGATTTATTTACATCCTTTTGTCGACCTTTACACAAACCAGCCAAGCATGAAGTATTCCTCATAAGAAATTAATGTGAAAAATGTATGACGTAAAGTAAATAAAGTCGGATACGAAGATGAAATTGGAAGGAAACATAGGATAGAATGGGAAGGAAATGAGATTTTATGTTCATGAAAACCAAGCAGTCAGACTTTGGAGGGTCTCAGGACATTGTCATGTAATCAAAGTCAAGTTGGACGAGAGACAGAGAAATGTCGAAGTCAGGATTTCATCCTTAATGAGCAAGTCATTGTAGGAAGAAGGCAGATTCATATTATGCTTTCTCCTTGCTGGAATTGGGGTCATGCTTCACAGCCAACGCAACAGGTTACTTGTGCATATGCATGAGTAGTGGTGTACATAAATACATGGTTTCTGTCGTCGTCGTCGTCGTCCATTTTGCATGTCCGTGCTTTCTTTCCGTTTGATGAATTAGGTTTGTCATATGTGATTGAGAAGTAGACCAAATAGGAAATACGTATGTCAGCAGAAGCTTGAAAGGAAAAAAATGGCTTTTGTTGTGAGTGAGTTTTAAGCAGCTTTTTCTCTTCCTTGTCTGCTCTGCTCTAATCTTAAGGACTGCGGTAGTAAATACATACATACTCAACTTTGGTCACCGAAACTTGGTACACAGTCCGGAAGAAATTATATTGTGTTTGTAGAATTTTTTCCTGAAATTAGATATGCAAATTAAATAAATGCGTACCTCAGAAAGTTTGCTACACTTCTTAATAGGTTTCAGGACAAACTTATTATCGCCTTATTGTGAAATAAGTATGTAGTGGTTGCTACATATTTGGGCGGAATACAATATATGTATGTACATACACGTAAAATATGAAATTGACATTTTTTTCTCTCTCCAGAGGTTATACACTTTATGCTAAAAGTTGGCCACACGTGTCACGCATAATCAATCTATCAACTGGATTTCATACAGGATAAAAACCGAAAATCAGCATTATGAATGATTTAGAAACCGTGGTGGAGTTAAGGACCAGATTTTTGTCTCATACATATAAACACTCCAAAGTGTCAATTTGATGTCGAACCTGTCAAGATAAACTGTCCCCAGGGTCCCCTCGTTCGCGTTGCCTATATCATTTTCAGTCCGTTAAATTAAAAATGATGATAAAGTGAAAGCCTGGCTTCAAGTCGGGATAGATAAAAGTGTTTCTTAAAAGGAAAAAATCGGGCCGAGTTCTTGTATTTAGAAAGATGTTGCAAACTTTCTTTTCCACCTTTACTGAAAGATTTATCACGTAGCCGAACTACGCAAGACTAGAATATTGATGACCTGTGGAGTCAAACTGAATTTGATTTCTCCATAAAACAGACCATTTAGATTCAGATTTAGCTGAAAGATAAGCCATAAGATTACATTCTTCTATGCCGCCGTACATAAAAGTTCTTTCGTGTGCGGCACAATAATTTTATGATACTTGACCACGCATATATATGTAGCAAATGAAAGTAAAGTATTGTATCATATGGCGCTCGGTTCGCTGGCGTCAGTTAATAAAACAAGACGAAAGAAAGTGCAGCAGCTAAATACATTCTTTGCAGAAAGTCATTAAGATTTGAGCAGAGTTCGATGTAGGTAATAGACCACCCAGTTATGATGCGATAAGAGTTTCACTTTTACGACAGTATTTACTGCCCATTAAAACTGCTCCATGTAGCTCCATGAAAATTAAAATGTCCAATAGTATACATAGTCATAGAGAAAGCAACAGCCGAATAAAAAAATCAGCGAGGCTCACCTTTTTCTAAGAGATTGTGCTTTTTTAGGGCAAGTAAAAGTCCAAGATGTTCAAAGTACTCGGCAGTAATGATGTAAACTGAAAAAAAACGAATGGGGCCGATTGAAATGGGCAAATATTGCAACGCATACAATTTTTGATTATAAAACTTGGAATGATTTATTGTATTTTTGATGTCAAAGCACAGTAAAAGTAGGAATCTGCCACTTACTACGAGTCGTATCCTTGGTCCGAGCAACAATTGAGTCGAATGGATTGTCCCCGTAGCCATGATGGTAAGGTCCCTTGTAAGGAATTTGGGTGTGAGCGCTAAGCAGCAGCGACAACCCTCTTGCTACTCGCTTAGCCCTTTGGTCATCGGGAGAGTCTGAATGGATAATTGGTGCACAATTTAATTTATTGTAGGCCATCGTTATTATGAAGAACGCTATGAAAATGACTAACCCGAGTAGATCAGGGTTACCGATTCGTTCCATCCGTAAGTTGAAACAAGAGACGCCACAGCTTTTGAAATTGCAGCGTCTGGTGGCCGTGTTCTGCTGAAGGTGGGAAAGTGGCGTTTGTCTGATGTTTGTTCGTCACTGCAGAACTACGAGAATGAAGGGTTTGTAAACTTGTAATTATTATTAGTAGTTTTTGCTAAAGTCTATTTTTTTATACTCCTAATACTTTACACTCTATGTATTAATATTGGGATTAAATGCGAATGAAGTGATTGCAACTTTCTACTGAGAAAGTAAGTGGAAATATCAAGATTAAGTAGAAATAGTTCTACTTAATCGGTGTCAAGAGTAAGAAAGAAATATTGTCAAGCCCGGCACAAAATTCGGAACACGTTTCTCACATAAAGTCGAAATAGAACAAGTACATAAGGAGGAAAAAGAAACGGCATTTCCTTCACAAAGTGTAAATAAGTAAGTAAAAGTTAACGGAAGTTATTAACAGAAGGTACATACGCATAGTACATATTATGTATACGTAAACGTATCTATATGTATAAAGTTATTCTGAGAAAGCTCTGGATCGTGACGAGATTTTAAGCAACTCTCAAGTTATTGTCGTCCACCGTAATTGGATAAATTGTACTTCATTGCAGTTTCTGATGAGATTTAATTTCGGCAGAAAAGGAAAACACAAATCTCCTTTTCTCTGTCAGAATTTAATTTTGTTGCAATTAGCTAAGCCCTTAATTACCCTTTTCTAAACCCATTTCTATCATGAACGGGGTAGTTTGTGCATATTTTCTGGCCCAGATATAACTAAGTATGCACTCCAGACGAATATTTTTTAGCTAGTTCTTGAAACTACCAAACTCCCACCGCTTCTGTGCTGAGCGCAATACGTACACAAGTACCACTACGTTGAGGAATTGAGTATGGTTAACTTTTGGATACCGTGTTGGAATAAAAAAGAGGAAACACCGAGCTCAACAAGCTAAATCCAGGGATGAGAAAGTAAGCTTATAATCGCAAAAAGGTAGGAGTCAGGCTTACGTAGGAGATGATTGGAATGTTCAAGGAAGCCGTGAGACGCCCTTCGTGAACGCACGACTCCTGCGGCCCGATGATGAGCGACACATTCTATTTCAAAGAAAATATTGATTAATGGTTAACTTCAGTTTGGATACCACGCAAACAATGCTAAACGTACCCAATCCTTCCAGAACGTAGCGACTGCTTTGATACTCCTTTCCTCGTCGCCGAACGTTTCCCCCACTCTGAGGTCAAAGTTGACTGCAGAACAATGAAACAAAAATTATTTTAAATTATTTGCATTTAAATAAGCTTTTCATAATCATATTTACCTTGCACATGTCTTCCGAAAAAGTCTCGCTCTTTATACAAGTCTGAGAGGGCGGCGCTCAACCCCCCAGCAATTGTGAGACCTGGGCGAGAATATTCTTCATCACCTGATAGAGATTAAATATGAAATAATTAGGCGATAAAGTTTAGAATGCATGACAAAATTCAACTATGATAAAACTTGATGTAAAAATTTGATTCAAGATCCACGCATCCCTTTCCCCATGAAACATTTTTGATAAATCTCATGAAATCCGAAGGGTACATTTTTTCTCTGGATTAATTAATTAATATGTCATCTCTCTACCTTGTATTTAGTATACGATTGCTCATTGCTCATAATTTATGTATCAATTCTCAACGACCAAGTCAGAACTTGCAATGGTATAATTACCCATTTCACCACAACCGTTATATAAATAGGGATGAACAACTGTAATCTTTATCACCTGGTTTTCTACTGGATCCCATGATGAAACCGAGACGTAAATCCAGGATTAATTTGGGAGACCCTTGACCTCGAAATTGTACTTGCCATATCGTTTCATTTCCTTCCCAAAATCTATCCATGCGGCTCAGGAACTGTGGCTCGTGCAAGGGTCCGAACGTTGTGGGCGTTCGAGGTTTCGCCGTGGAGATGATGACGAGTTGTATAAATAGAATCAGGTTGAGAAGAACAGTGCTTTCCATTTTGTTTGCCACTTCAGGTATCACATTTCCTCTGTAAGTGCAGATGCGAGTGTCTTGTATAATATGAAGTTTGGATCCGATTTTTATTTCCAGGTACCACCCGCACACACTTGAGAAGATAAAGGTCAATATGTGTAGAAAAGCATGGTCCACAGGGCCTGGTAACTTAATTAAATATTTATGTTCGTACCTGTTGAGTTTAAGATTGAGAGACACGAGGTGTATAAGAAGGTCTCACATTTCTCGTAAAAGTACAGATATATTTTGTACCCTCGATAAAATAATGACACGAGAAAGACGGGACCGAAATATATTTTTAGCCTTAATTTAATACTATATTTGTGGAACTTATGCCTGTAATTTCGCACACAATTAAAGTATTATCTGTTGAAATAAATGGAAACTGTACTTGAATCCCAGAAATGACAGTGGGATTCCTTATGTACATCTACTTAAGTAAAAGTGGATGTGTGGGCGGAGGGGAAAGTTGTTGTTCGATAGAAGCAAGCCTGAGTCCCGACTGAGAGATTTCTCCACTTTCCCCAACTTTATACGTATTGTGTTCATGTGCATATACGCAACGCAAAGTGATCTTCATCACTACACGGTTTCCTACTCCATTAAGTGTTGGTTGGTTGTTGGTGGGTGCAGTCCGTTTTTTTCAAAGTCCTGGATAGCCCTGCATGTTTAGCTTCCACAGGGTGATAAGTCGCATCATTTTCAAGCTGAGTGATTTTGATGTTCTGAAGCATGCATATCTCATTCCGCATCGTTATTCACTTGAGAAAGTCAAGTTTATCGGGATACACATGTCTATTTACATATGCTTTCCTAAATACATTCACAATAGGATGCTCATTGCTTTAATCGCTTTCCCCATGCGAAAGTTTTGTCTCAATATGGCAAGCGATAACTGGGTGGCTATGCAGCAATCCATTGATTTAAGTGAAATTTCTCTCCAAGCTCCATACCTCTGTTGCTTCCATGTTTGTGATGCATACATAATAATAACAACACAAAATTCTATATCTGGTTTGGGATAGAAATTCAAATAGGAAGTCCCATTTGTGCAAAAACGGATTGAGAAGCCATAAATGCAGTTTTCAATTTTATCCATTTTCCTGTAATTTAATAGATCGGATATGCAGTGTATAGTTTTCTAGAAGGGCTTTTATGGAAATTTGCTTCGTTTAAAGACTCGGTATTAAATGTCGCATTTTGTAATTTATGTGGTGCAAGTTACACACTCTGTGAATTTGTATCCGGTATCCTCGTGTATTTACATGGTTTCATCGAGATTATACCATTGCATTGTTCCTCCTCCCCATTTCTGAGTAGGAGAATATTTTGACTTGAAATTTGTTTTCGTGCAACGGCTTGACATTTTTTGTTGTCTACCAATTTACACAAGTGCATATTCATTGGGTCCGCGTGTTTAGTTTCCCTCTGAGAGACTCCCCCAAAATGTTTAAGTATGTGTTTATTGTATGTGTGCAGCGTCGTTTATGCGGAAGTGAAAGCGATACAAGTAGAATTATTGTCCTATAAGTATTTTAGAAATGCTGCTTGTTACGCACTTTTGTTTCGGAGAAGAAGTCGTATGTAAACGACGCTGAAGGAATTTGGAGCACAATTCACTTCTGCCTGAGAACGCTGCCGTTATGCAAATTGCTTTCTTTTCCGACACTAGTCCGCAACAGCCTGCTCGTCTTCTTGTCGTTGCGTAAGGGGAAATTTGATATGGGTGGATGGGCAACAGAGTGGACATGAACTGGTTGTCTAGTTTAATACAAAATTCGTATCTTATCGACACAACAATAACAAACACTCAAAAAAGTCAGTTACTAATAAATATTCAGAATGTTTTTTTTTTAAATTGTCGAATAGGCGTGGTTTTTGCAGAAAATATAAAGTGCAGTTAAATCACGAACCCAGTTCCGGTTGTATTTATGTACATATATAGTGAATGGAAGCCAAACCCAATGAATTTATTGCTAGACGGGTGAAAGGGACAGGAAATAGGAAATGGTGGCAGATGAGATGATGCTGACATGACATGCTATACGGAAAGGTTGGATAGGACGGTGGTCCAGCAATTAATTAGATCTGAATCTAGTAAAACGTGAAAGTGATAGTATTGCAACATTTAATTCAATCAATGATGTGTGGTTAGTTATGTAAATCTATAGGGAGTACTAGAAAGGAGATGGATTTACGCTGTTGTAAGAAGGCAAAGCACATCAATATAAAGTCACGACGCAGTACAGCGTAAATAAACACTCTTCGGTGGATAAGTTATTATCGATTTCTTAGTATTTACTGTATTATATATGTATTCACGGTTAATTTGACTAAAATCGGTTAATTGCATGATAAGTCTCCACACAATACAAATATTTTAATTAGTTCAGCATTCAATAAAATCGAGGTCGAGTTCACAACACAACTCTTCCAATCCAATATTATCACAATGTCCATTTAAATACCCGGATATCTCACAAAGACTTGTGAGTATACGAATCCTGCTGGGGTTAATATGTCTTTCTTTCTCTAAAGTTAAGCTGCTGCTGGTGTGACTTGTACCACTATAATTGGCATCATCAACGAGAATGGAAATTTTAGAAAGGAAAGGAATGAAACTATTGTTGATGTTATTGTTGTCCAGTAGATTGTCATCGCTGGAAATTGATGTGTAAGGAAGAAAAGCCCATCTGTACATTTGAAACAGAGGAAGAGTCCCTGTTGGCAGGTTGGTTAGTAGTTCAATTAGTTTGAATACTTCTAGAGCACTACAAAATCAGAAATTGAAACAAATCATGGTCCCATAAAATACGAATAATTAGTCTATAATGATTAACTGACCATGCTAGTTGGTCCTGATCAAACTTAGTACCGTTCGCCAATTGTTTTTCCAAGAGTAGTAGAACCTGATGCATACAAAAAGACGACTTGTAAACAAATTTATACATACAAATTCCTTCTAAGCCGTATAGCATCAATTTAGTTTAAAATACTGCGACGCCGTAATAATTGAAAGTGTGGTAATATAGTACCTGTACAATTTCGTGAATCATTATTGGCCACAATGCAATTAAATTTGTAAACTTGAGGATCAAGACTCGGAAACAGAGGAACACTGATCTCAAAATGACGGGAACAATTTGAGGAGAATTTGGCGTTTTTAGAGCTTCAGCAAGACGTTCTGCAAAAATTGGATTTGCATGAAAATTGTTTACGCTTATCTGTAATATGTATGTAACTGGCTAGTCAATAGCACATGTATTGCATACCTTGGATGTTGGTAATGAATTTGTAAAATTGATCAGGTTCGCTGGACCAAATGACGAAAGCTAGTCGCTTTAAGAGTAATGCTCTCCCTTCAAATTCAGTATCTTTGCTAGTAAAAATATTCAAACCCGTTGTCGGTGGGACGCTGACTCGAGCTGGAATGCGAAATACAGTAATATACAATATTTATCACTTTTATCAGGCTCCTATATTACTACTATATACTACATTCAGAAATTTGTTACAACAAGTTACATGACACGTACTCAAAAGTTCAGAAAAACTAGATTTATCTTGTGTGAAAAGATTGTCCATCATAACTTTCCAAATTTGGATGACACATTGGTTTTCAGGGAGCTTTCCATTATTACATTCATCGTCCCAACCATAAGGAACGAAATAGTAGTGTGGCTTGATCATCTGGAAGAACGTCGGATCCAGTAATAACTAAAACACAAATTTAATTAGTGGCAATTAATTAAAATTCACAATTAGTTCACATGAGAGGGTGAAGTACCATTTCAAAAACCTCCTTTTTCCATGCTTTCCGGAAATAGCTGTAGTAACTCATATTCTTCAGCAGCTTCAAGATTGAAACGTACGATGCCGTGCTGGTGTGTCTACAAGCATAAATTTGTAAATAATAAAAATTACACTATACATAAACTATATGCATTTTAAAAAGCAAAGTTACACACCTCAGTTTAATTAACCCAATTAAATTTCCCAAAAGATGCGTCAACATTGGCATGACTTTGTCACGATCTTTGTCATCGGTCCACAGCAGATCAATGAGGCTTGGCAGGTTAATGCATAAGCTTGCAAGAATTTCCTCCATATTTTCTTCTGACGTGGTGACCTTTTTAAAGTTGTAACTTTTTCCTTGTAATCCTTGACCACTTAAAAAGTTCACTTGACCATTAGAGCTGCTATTCGACTCTACCGAATTCGAGTCCATTAACATGTAGCTATTTTGGTTGCAAACTTCGGTTACTCTGCAATCAGAACAAAATAATACAGATTAATATTTAATCAATGTATATGTACATAGCATGAATATGTAAAGTCAATGAATAAACTTGGACTTACAGTCGATCAAATACTTTGAACAAATTTTCTTGTAACTCTTTAAGATCTTGTTTTGACCAAGACTCTGGTTTGAATTTGCTGTATAAATCATTGACTACTTCACAGATTGTCATCAGTCCGACAGATTTGGTTAGACACTCCTATGAAAATTGTAAATGTTATAAATTAGAAACATATAGATAAAGAGAAGCAAAGTATATAATCTATTCAAGATTCAAAATGACATACCTTTACCAACGCACTCAGCAATCCCGAGTTGAATTCTATTATTCCAATGTGCTGAACAAAGCCACGATAAAAAAGGAGCAAGTTTCTATTCAGAATTCGGGTGCATATTATTGTCAACTTTTCAACTCGCATAGTTTCAATCTCTTTACACAAGTCGGTGAGTTGATTGGATGGTTTTAGGATACTTAGGCTTGTCAAAAAGTTTTCGAGGTAATTGTTACAAATCGGGTTCAACAGATTCCTCAATCTGTTCAATGTCACTGGAGACTTTACAGCTAAGGCAGTTTTAATCAAAACGTCGAGCTTTGACAACAAATCTTTTGACTGACAATCAATTTCATCGACGGATTCTATTTTTGGGGAGGTGGAGGAGCCTCCAGGCAAGAAAGACGTAATGATTCCATAAATAGAGGACGAACTTTGATTTTGATGTGCCTCTTGAGGCTTGTCCGATTTTTCACCATGGCGGAATAACACAGCATTGGTAATGGCTATAAGATAATCAAGGCTTCTGAGAATATATACTTCATTTGGAGGCTTATTTCCATTTTGGCCTAGAGGTTGCAAGTTTTTACATATTTGAGTTACAGTTAGGATTGTCACAGGGCAGTTAGTATTGATTATAAATGGAAGAATATGAAGATTGAGCTCCATCCAATTAAAATGATTCGCATTTAGACTGCAGTCATCCCGAAACTCCAAAGCAGTCAGGAGAATTTCGTGAAAGAGGGGTTGGTTTGTGAGAGGAAGGAAGGCAAGGTATTTGTGACTTGGGTGATTTCTGTGAAGACTGGAGAGAGATCTTGAACTTGTGGCGTGATAATGGTGATGCACAGAGTTAATCAACGATTCGAGACTTATCACAGTGCGAAAGAGACTGTAAATTAAACAAATCAAAGTGAATCATTCATAATTACAACATGATTAATCATACATGCATATAGTAGTGTGAAACAAAAATATGCATACCTCAAGAGAAGACCTTGATATAAAGTCAAATATTTTTGCCCATAGTTAGACTTTAGTAATTCCAAACTGAGATCTGCACCATTGTCGGATGACGATAATGATTCTCCTAGCAAGGTCAAATTCTTTCCAGTTTCGTCGATATCTTCATGCTTCAAATTAGTTGTTGTCGACCTCAAAATGAACAGCAATGTTTTCTGGACCTTAACTCGTGTCAAGAGATCTGCCACAAAGTGAGAACTGGAAATGCTATTGCTCGACTTTCTCTTCAGCTTGGTAAAATGTTGTCTCTTTGATGCTATCGTTGTATTTGAGCTTAGAGGTGTAGAATTAATACTTTTATTTCCAATAATTGCAAGACTTGCTCCCCCGACAGATGTACCATTATTGAAACCAAACGAAGAAACAATCTCCATTCGTTCGGATTCTAGCACTTTGTCCAATAGCAGTTTCAACACATTGCACGATTTGAACTGGATATTTAGATTTGTAAGTTGAAGCACCTTGTTATGACTTTCTTCGTTGGGGATTACAACACACATAAAATCCAACAATTTTCCCAACAAAAGTTCCAAGTAGACACAGTCTTCTCGAAAATTTATTCTGGGGGATTGATTTGTGTTGCAAGATTTCAAATAGTTGATGAAAAGATCTGGTTTGAGAGTGAGAAACTTTTCCATTTTTGCTGAAAAAAAATTTAAAAAAAAGATGACAACCCCGCCACATTTTTCTAATTGGCTAAAACTTTGTAGTAAAATAGCTTTTGCTTACCCAATACATATAAAATTCGATTCTGAACGTCTTCTGATAAATCTTTTGAGACTTTTAAATGTGGGTGAGCCAATTTCTTGGAGAAACCTCTTGATGCCGATTTAGATTTGGCTTCGACACCCAATTCTGTGGAAGGTGTAAGGATAAATGGGGATGTTAACTTGGCGGCGTGATCTCCAGGAGCAGTTATTGTAGTGACCACGGTTGATGATGAAGATATCATCCCAGTCAAATCAACTTGATCTGCTCCTTCAGTTATATTAGGACATTGGTCTTGTACAATTATTTCAGGGATGTTGTTAATTTCAGAAGAGTCTAGAGAAATTTTTCTTAAATCTCCCATTGATCGACTGACAAATTGTAAAGATTTTTCATTTTCCTCGAGCTTGAGATTTGTTAGATCTGGAGTTGAATTTGCTTTAATCATTTCTTCTTGATCCTCAGCTTCATCATCATCATTATCGTCTGCTGACTTGTATGAGCATTCGCTGGTCAAATCACTCGCACTTCCGATGCCAATGCTAATTTTGTCAATATCCAGTTCAGCCGTAGCATGGTTTCCGTCTCGATTCCCTGCATGTTTCTGAGTAAGACATGTATTTGAACCTCCCAAACACAGGCTTTCCCTTTCTTTTTCCTTTCTAGATCGACTCAAGCTTTCTCCAACAGTTTCAAAGTCGATTAATAAACTGGAAACAAAAACATCTATGAATCTGAGATCATTCTCGCGAAGCATTTTACAGCAAAACTCTTCAGCTTGTTCCCTCAGCTCTAGAAATTCCAATGGGTATTGCTCAAATGAGCAATCCAAGTTTTCAACTAGTTTGTAAACCAATAATCTAAGATCTGAAAAAAAATCCAAAAATTGCAATCAATATTCAATTATTAATTACTACTCTATAAATAATTCAAATTGCTTACCTCCAAAATCTCCAACAAAATCAAGAAACTCTATCAATTTTCGGAAACTATCAAAATCCTTGAGAAAACTGAGAAGAATTTTTTCCACTTTTAACTTGTTTAAACAAATTAATTCACTTAAAGTTTCAAATTGATCTTGGTCCCAGAGGAAACGAGTTGCCAGTTCAATAAGGTACGTTTGTTCAACAATTTCAAAGCAGAGGGATTTTTCCAAGAGTTTTACAACTTTAACAACTAAGCTTATGGTTTCGACATCGCCGTGACATCCAATCACAATAAGAGCCTTTAGCCATTCAGTAATGTTTGAGATTTCCTTGAGAATTCGAGGGTCCAGTAGTTCCTCAAATAAATTGTTGACGACAGTAAGATTCTCCAACTCAATTTGATGCAGTGAGAACTTTTCGAAAATGTCACCCTCATAACTCGGCCTACATAGTTTAAAATCCGTCCAAAAATTATCCATTAACTTTGGTTTCAAAAATTGCTCAAAGTCAAAATTAGAATCGCCATCCTCCGAACTGTAGTAGTGGACAAAAGTGAGATAAAATTGAATGAAAGCTTCAAACAGATCTTGATCTAGCTCAATCTTCTTCAACATTAGCATTAAAACGGGTTTCACTTTGACGATGTTGCTTGAATTTGACATTTTAATCATCGCCTTGAATACTCCAGGTAAAAGTTTTTCATACTCGAAACACGACAAGTCCAATTCAATCAAGTATTCCAGAATGTTGCAGTAGTCAACATTTGATCCTATGGCGAGGACAACTTGATCAAACACATACTCGGGTTTCAAGTTGACGAAAAACAAATTAGCGCATTGCTTCGAGTCTATTCTCTTGAAGTAGATCACAATTTGTAGTAGGATGTCGTCCAAAATAGAGATTTCTGACTTATCTAGGAGACTATATTTGCATGGATTAATAATACGTCTTATTAATTATTTTGCATTGATTATCAATAAATAAATCACATTCATACCTTATTAAAACCCTGACAATTTCAGAAGAACTCAAGGTATCATCCGTCAATATTTCTGTGCAGCTGGTGATTAGTGATGTCTTACAATGGTTTACAAAATATGTGGGATCATTTCCGAGTAGCCAACTGAACAGGCGACGATTGAGACTCATGTCCCTTCTCAGCAGTGTTTGGAGGCTTGCCTTGATAAGTTTTGTCTTTTTCTCTTGGCACAAAGTGATCAATTCAAAGTGATTTAACAACAGGTCCAATGTAGCTCGCTGAATTAAAATGGACTCATTTGTTGCATCGCTGGTAACAAGGCAGCAGATCAAGGTATCCACAGCAAGAGATTCATCATCCGTTATAGCTAATTTTCTTAGAATATAATTGATCCCAGCGAGCCGAATTTTCGAATTTGATTTTAAAACTTGCCACAATACTCGATTAAAATTCTGAGTTCCAACGTTTGCAGTCACATTTTCCAGTAGATTGTTAACCCTGCCAATGGTAGAAAGCGGATCGTCTTTAACTATCGTGGGAGTAGTTGCTGACGAGTTTTCATCTTCAGAAAGTCCAGCCAATATAGAAATTAAAAAACCTTCGAGTGCGGGATATCGAATTAGGGGGAGAAGATAGGTTTCATATATTCGAAGTAACGTTGGGCGGGATTGTTCAGAAGCTGAAATAACATAACAAATGAAATTATTCAATTGATTATGACTAGTCTAAAAAGTCAATAATAAGTTTCCTAAATTGTTACCGTATGTCCAAAGAGGAAACAAACCTACCAATTAAATAATATAAATTAGTCAACGTAAATAAATTATTACCAAAATCGATTAGAGTAAAATTACTTACCAGATGCAAAAGAAAACAAGTCTGGACCAATTACACTACTTGTCCGGTCTGGAGGAATAGATTTGAAAATTAGTTCGTAAGTTTCTAATGTCTTTAGATGAACTCCGCCAGGAAGATTTGGATGCAGACATTGCGATAAACGTTTGGTTACGAGATGCAGGCGTGGGAGGTCGGCTCCATATCTCCCACTCCATGTAGTTATCACCTGAATGTATCGATAATAAGTTCAGATACATACATACAGGATGCATCTTAAAAGAAATGTCTAATTTCGTTGAATTACCTTGTTAAGTTTACTAAGGGCTGAAATCAGGTCATGCCATTCGGAAGAGTATTCGAAACTCTTGAGGGCCTTGTCCACTGCAGAAACGTAATTTTTATACTTTGGATCGTTTGACATGTCTCGAGAAGAAGAAGAAATTGATTTTGAAACAGTTGAGGAGGATAACGACAGGGACAACGACAAGGAGTCGTCTCCTCCTGGAGACTCGTTCCCTGACATTATAACGTCGTCTGAAGTACTACCAAAGATAAGGGCCTACCCGTGTCCAAATAATAATAATAATTTCGTCGGCGAAGAGTTGAATTGCATCGATTACATTAAATCAATATACGACTTTCACTATTATTACAAAATGTGAAGCAGCAGCAGTAAAACAGAGGTTATTTAACCTAACTCTATCAACCATCACTTTTCGCAGTTCTTGCTCAAATATTAAATCACTAAATAAACAACGACGTTCGGTCTGTTTTCATGAGCACAAACAAACACGGTCGATATTTGTCCTAGAGAATGAATGTCTTGATTATTGACTCGTTGCAGGATCTTGATTTCCTATAATAGTAAAAGGACAACAAATATTTAGATAATATTTATAAGTATTATAACCACAATGTAATGTTGTCCAAATAACCCAGCAGACAAATTGAAGACTAAATCGCAGTACTATCTACTATCTACGTAAACTTTTTCATTCGTATATGGTCATGCACAACATCCCATCACGTGCATTCACACTGATATGAGAAGTGTCATGATATGCCATACGAATTGTTGACGCATAATTATAATTTATTACAATTTAACTTACTTGTTTGTAGAAGCAAATTATTTTTGGCACAAACTTGTTGCTTTATTCACTATCATGCAAATCAAAATGACAATCCGAGTCCGATTTTCGATTGACTGACTGACACGCAGATGGCTTCCTTCCTGTGTGTGACACGTTTTCTTTGTGTTCCACTTTCTGAATGTGATTCCGGGAAGCTATTGAAGAATACTCTCAGTTCTCACAGGATGGATATGTAAATAGATATGCCTAAAAACAAGTATAAAATCAACAATGAATACATTCTACTAATTATTCAAATAATACCACATTACTCCTCGTCCTCGTCATTTCAACAACAACAGCGCATGAATATGTGCGAGGGTGGACTCAAGTACGTGACAATGAATTAAATTAAACAAATGACGTTAACGGAAACACAGTAATACAGTGATTGATTTGGTGATAAATTGTTATCCAATCTGTCTTGGGCTAAAAAAAAGAGTGTCGAGAATAAAACTATTACCTATCGATGACCTTTGCCAGAAACTAAAACTCTGTAAATGTAAACGCAAGACAGGTTGGTGACTCATTTTCCCAGATCTCACTCGACAGTTTCTACTACCCCGAACTATACCATTTTTTGATTTAACCCAGCTCTATCTAATACTTAATATTCTGGTATTGGTAACTGGCTGTTTACAATTTAATCTGATACTGCATACGGGGTATGATGACGACGAATGGTTAGAGCTTGACTGATAACATGTTATCGGACGGATGAATGAACCACCTCTCCACGAAAGCAAATAAATATCCTTTATCAAAAGTCCACAGCTCTGTCTTGGCTGGTTCTACACAAAATATTGGCTGGAACGGACCAGCTAAATACGTACTATAATATTATAACAAATGTCAGGAACTGGCATTTCGCATTAATCACAAATCTTGCACTATTTCATCTATGGAACTATATGTCTAGCACATTCAACGCCACGGATCAATACACATTCGTCCAATGTCCTTCCATTCAAATAAACGTTTTACCATAAAGCCAAGAATAAGTAAATGAGGTGGCAAATATCTTACTTACTACTGGATTTGGACTTGTTCGTCAACGACCCCAAAGTCTAAATTGACCTGCAACAACAAAGAAATGTATTGTAAATCAATGCTGGTCTTTATTTAATTCTGCTATCAGTGAAACGCAGATAAATGCTGGATAAATATAACTTTTCAGTTTTTTATAAAATCAGCAGGTTTGCATTTAATTATTTGTAACTCTTGAACAAAACAACAACATAGAACTTACCAAAAGCCAGTTAGGGGAAGGTAAATAGTTATTTTAACAAGTGACGTTCACAATTAGCAGCAGCAGCGCAGAGTTGCAAGATAAATATAAAATACCACTGCCGTGTTGGCTATTATGTAATACGACGATCGACAACACAAATCCAACACAGGTAAACTAATGATGAAGAAGTACTTTAACTTTAACTACAAGTCACAAGCAGTAGTAAGTATGCAGTAAAAGTAAAGTTGGTCTTCTTAAACGTACCTTAACAACCTAAACGACGACGACGACGATGCCTACCACCACCGTATCACCATATCTCCAATTTATTTAATTATTATTAAGTAATATTAAGCAACAGACCACAGCACTATATATTCTTCCCATCCGATCCTTTGTAGTATTGTGCTGTGTGTATGGCAGGCAGCTGTGCGAGGACGATTTCTGCACAGTGCAAATAAAATGTGGTGGTGGTTTGGTTTCTTATGTGGTTTGCTGCGTTTCGGATGAGACTTTTTTTGCCTTTACTTTGTTCCCCGATCTCATGATTTGTGGATTCGTATGTAAAAATAAGGTGTGGGCAACTAATTTGAAATTTGAGGAATTATGAGGATTTCCTTTGTTAAAAGATGCAAGTATAATTTTATGGAATTTACTGTTATTATTTAACTTTTTATTGATTTCACACTTCACATTATGAATTATGTAGAGGCATCAACAATTAGGGAAATCTGAGTCAAATTAGTGACCGAGTAAAATCCAGGACTCCACATATAAACCTTGTACATACCTATATCTATAATATCAAATAAATGAATGTACCAAATATAAATTTAGATTATATAATTGCACATTAGTTAACGTAAATCCTGAGCTCAAGCAAAATTGTTTATCAGATTTCATATGTCATTAAATTGTATAACCTTTTGAAATTAATGCATACGTGTATGTATTCAAATTTTAATTAATTAAGAATCAAATTCATTGTTTAAAGGTTTTGAATTTTACATAAGAATTGTTACATACTTAGTTTATGGCTTGACTTTTTAATCAAAGTTAGGAAAATTGCTTCGTTTTAGCATGAATTTTACATGGCTTCTGCAAAACAGTAAATTTGAGCAAGAATCGGATATATACTTCAATTCAAGCACTCTACTATTGTAGATCATTGTTGACAACTAATTAGAAATAAAATTATAAATACTATGCGGGTCAAGATTATTGGTACCCTCACCGCATTTAATCACTAGTTTATCATCCACATGAAGTACTATGCAGTGATCTCTTGTCTAATTACTGCATGTATTTCTAATTCTCAGTGCTGCTATTTCGCAAGTTTCTACTCGTGCTCTTCCATCCCCTTGTAAATCTTTGTACCTCCGAGAGCAGGCGGAAGTTGGTCAAAATCGAAATCCTTGGATAATTCGGCCATCCATTTCTGCTTGTTTGTCCCATAAATGAAAACACTGTTCGCCAGGTCATCGTCAATCCTGTCAATATAATTGGTCGTCAATAAACGGGATCATATATAGCTTAAGAAAATACCAACCAAGGGCGTGCTATATCCACTAAAGTTTTAATAGCTGATGGAGCTGATTTGAAAAACATAAAGTTACATAATGTCGTGTGTTTAACTACATATCATTTCAAAACATTTTAGAATTCTTACAATTCACACAAATGATGTGATCGACACACTCCGGATAGTGCTCCAGGTAACCGAACATCATCCTAATGAGAAAAGGGAGACCTGTGCAGACACATTCGTTCCAGGAATTATGCATAATAGAATTATTTTCCTCTTCTTATCAATAAACAATTAATTCCTAGGTTTATAATTGACCAGGATCATACATAAATATATACTTACATCGAAGGCACGCGTGTTGGATTGGGTTGTACCCATCCAAGTTGACCAGTAAATGACCTCGGGTCATGTTCCCATATTTCTCGCCTATATAGGATCAGTACGTATTAAATATGTATGCATAATGCACATATGCAAAATTATTAAATAGCTCACCAAGCTCGCGAATCAAGCTACATCCAGCATCATAACCTTTTTCCACATAACGAAGCAATCGTTCTCCTTTTCCTTGTAGTATTAATTTCCTATTGTCCAAATTTTTTACCTCAAAGTACAAAACTGAAAGAAGAATTAATATTTTCGTTTAATTAAGTTCATGATGAGTCATATGAGTTTCTGTGTTTTACAAGATCTTCCTAATTTATCTCTTCCGTCTAAGAAATATCGGTAGTCTTGTCCCTCTATATCAGACCAGTCTTCTGTGTGGATCGTGTCCATTTTACGATCTTTTCTCCATTGGACGTCCTAGTAGCCAATAATTACGAGTTTTATTTCCATCTTCGTATCGTTGTTATAATTCATGCACAGTTTATATTTACCCGAAGCATTCGAGATTCTGCCACATCTACATCGAATTTGCTACCTGCATTTTTTAAATGAATCATCCAAAGATTCTATTATTGAAAGGCTAAGTAAACATAAAGTTTTTGAGCACTCACTTCGAAGCCACTTTATGAGATTGATTTCCTTTTTCATATATTCGTTTGGAAGCTGATCAATAACTCTCTCCTTTAGCTGTATATTTATATGAAATAAAAGTATTTTCGCATAAAAACTTTACATCCCAAATTAACTATTCTGCAAATGTAATACATGCTTATCTAATTAATTTCACTCAAAACTCACCTGATCTAAAAGCTTCTTTTGTTGAGTGGTCAGACTCACATCTTGTTCGAAGGAAATTCCACTAGCATTTGGAGCTGCCAAGATGAAAATGGAGATAAAAATTAGGGGATGATAAAATGTTTTAAAATTCATTTTAGCCAAGTATTTTATTATAACGAGAAAAACTTTGGATGAATTTGGGAAATTTTTAGCTCTGGCCCTAAAGTATACAATGCATGCAACCACTGATAGAACAAAATTAAGGCAAGGCTGAAAGAGAGGTTGAGGATCACAACATTTAACAATCAACTTGTAGATTCATTAATTTGGTGCAGATATAAAATGTCGAGGAGAACTGCCTCTTATTACTCTTATTATTCTTCATCTATTGAAGCACATATGCAATTACAGATATTGTGAGAATCATAAGTGCAGAAATGTAGCCAATCCTGATGATCTTTATTGTCCAGGTGTAGCGATTCATCTTGTGTATGTATTCTGCAAAGGCAGGTACATACGTACATACTTTGGTTTTCACAAATACGTAATATATGAAAGGTAGGACAATGTAGTTGTTGATTCAGTAAATTAACTCTTCCGTTCATAAACTTAACAAATGATGAAATTTCTTCTAAACTTCACTTAAAACGCTATAAAATAAAACTCGCTTTATTCCATAAACTTCATATGTGGTTTCCATACATTGGGATTTATTACATATGTGAGGCAACATTTTAATAAAACTGGAGAGAAAAGCATACCGGTCTCTGAACTAATACTTTTGACAGAAAACTATAATATCCAGTTCTAAAACATGGAAATTTCCATTAAGTACCAGAAAATAACAAATCGGGATATAGTTTAAAATTCTTCTACAAATGTATCCATACGTATAATTAAATAACAGGCTTCATCACAATGTATATTGCGTGACACACCTGCAAAATTAACCTGCCTTGTTTTCCTAGAATCTGCTGATGATGCACGTGTGCTATGTAAATGGGCCATTAGCAAAATTTATTTACTACAAATTTTTCAACCTTTGCTACATTTTAGCATACTTTTATAATGGGAAAGATAGTACAAACTGAAACTTTTATGATTTTACTGCAGACAAAGTCTGACAGTTGAATCCGTTTGAGCTTTCAGCATGATACATTTTGAGTGGTTATTTTCAACAGTGACGTTAATTGTTTTTCCCAAGCTATTGTGACGACATAAAATACTTACTCGTTGGTTTAATATCTGCATAAATATCATAGCGAAAATGAATTATCTATCCAATTTGAGATCGTGTAATGTTTAACCACATCCAAAAAAAATTAGCTTGGACCGATGAGAGGAGATACGGAACCAACCAATGGCATCATGTACATACAAATACATATACTTACCAATACGACAGACGTACATATATATACATACATATACTGTCTATGTATGTCTGTATATGATAGGTATACATGTATATGTAGAGCATAATATTAAGTATTTTGAGTAAAAACCATTTTTATTTCTTCATTCTATGTACTTACGATTACTAGATGAAGTTGACAATGGATCTCAGAACAAGGAGGAAACTATAAAAAAATTCATAGCTTCCAATTTCGTAAAAACAAGCTCCACGTGCTACTTACATAAGTCATCAGGATTACTTTCTTAGTTTCTTGTCAGTAGAAAAATGAATCTAAGCATCAGTTTGATTTGCATACATATTTTTGCATGTATGTAGACCTCATTTACACCGTTTATCGCGATGTCGACCGGAAAAGTAGAGCTGGGGAAGTAAAGCTGGGAGATACATACAAAAATACATACTTTTTAAAATTAATTTAAGTCAGTAAAATTAATGCAGGACTCTTTGAAACCAGTTAAGTTGGGTCTAGCTCATATAAATACTACAATGTATATACGTTATACTTATAGTACAGCAGCTAATTACATTTTGTGCAGTTCTCCAACTTGGTGAAATTAATCCAGTTTATGAATTACATTTGAATAAAATGCCGTAAAACCTATAGCCCGTGATGACTCACTTCTTCAGCATTCATAAAGTGTGGCATGGTACCGGAATCGGATTCTATCCTTTTATTATCCCACTCCATGAATTAAGGAATTGAGGAGTTTTGTACATATGTACGAGTAAAGCAATCGACAGGATTTCAACTTGTCGCATTCTTATACATATTTTGCCATGCGAATAATTTGATGACACATCTGCAACTGACGTATTTCACATGAGACATTTCCTCATATACGTAAACCTTTTGCAGTAATTTACAAGTAAGCTTATCGAATCACAGCCACTGGATCTGAACAAGAACGAAATATATCCTTGTACGAATATTGCTGGACACCTAGATTTACCTTAGTATTTATATGTATAAGTTTAAAATCCTCCAAAACTTAAATTACAATTTTCCCATGCACAAACCATTGTAACCAAAGTACATACCTATTAATCCTAGGGCTTATGCAGAAGTACATACATACATACAATAGTCTGTAAAATATTACTTATTATTTAATTTGATGACTATTAAAATGACAGAATGTGCTAGACTCATTATTAGTTGGATTACAGAGTGCAAAGTAACTGGTAATCAAAGGTCACACGCTTAAAAATTAAGTACGATGTCAACCCCAGCGGTACAAGTAGTGAATGGTGTCAAAACGTACGGTGCAGAAAATGCAAGTGTACTTAAAAATTTGAATATGCAAGTAGATCAAGGCACAATGTGAGTGAAATTGGATAGCTTTCCTAAACTATTTTTGAACATGTTGTATAAACATAATTATGTATTTAGGTATTTATGTAGCGTCTTTGATACGTAGTACATAGTCCATAGTAGTCCTTAGAATTAGTTCTGCATATAAATTAATTAATGCATAAATTGTTTTGCAGATATTCTCTATTAGGTGCTTCAGGCTGTGGGTAATTAACAATAATACCATTTTTAAATTGTTTTTTTTTATTTATTTAAATAACTTGATTGCAACAGCAAGACCACACTCTTGTCGATTATTATTGGAATGCGACGTTTGGATAAGGGTGAAGTGAAAGTATTCGGAATAGAACCAGGCAAATCAGGAGCTAATACAATTGGCTACATGCCACAGGTGGAGAAATTGCTTTTAATGCGACTTAAAAATGTATACTTAAAAATAGTATGTTTTAATTATTTCAGGATATTGCATTATATGAAATTTTTAGAATACGAGAAATTTTGTCATATTTCGGACAGATTTACGGAATGGCAAAATCAGAAATTAGATCCAGGACTAAATTTCTCTGTAATTTCTTAAGTTTGCCGGACACTTCGAAGTTCATTAAAGATTTGAGGTACACTTGGATTTTTACATTTGTTATTTACGTGTAACATAATTACATGCATTAGCGTTGTTTGAAATGATTTAAACTCAACTCTTTATGACTTATTTAGTGGAGGACAAAAACGTCGAGGTGAGTAAATCACAAGTGATTAATTTAAATTAATTATTTTACTGAGAACTAATAAAACCTGTCCCTCTTCAGTCTCCTTCGCGTGTGCTCTTATTCACGAGCCAGAATTCTTAATTTTGGTAATTTTCGAAATTTTTTACTTTGATGTATTTGCATTGATCATTATGTAAATGCAACTACTGCATTATGCATTATGCAACTCTTTTTGATGTGCTTAAAATTTTTAGGATGAACCGTGCGTTGGACTCGATCCTATTCTCCGAGAAAGGTAAAAATAATCGTAGTAAAATTTCAAATTTGTAAGTAACAGAATTGTGCATGTTCACATATTGTTTACGACTGGACTATACAGGATGTGGAATCACTTGTGTGAAATAGTGGCTCAAAAAAATAAAACCGTCCTAATCACTACGCACTATGTGGAAGAAACAAGAAACTCAAATAAAGTTCGTTCAAAAATACTTAATGATTATCTTAATATTTTAGCTGAAGTGCTAATTATTATTTATTTTACTTACGTACGTCGAAGGTTGGACTGCTTTGTAACGGAAGGCTTTTGCTTGAAGATCATCCACACGTTCTTATGAAAACACATAACAGCGATCTGCTGGAGGATGTCATTTTAAAATTATACAAACATGATGCATTTGGTTCTGATAATACAAATGCAGAGGAAGAGTTGAACAACTCTAGACAAGTATTCGTGGATGGACAGAAGTCTGGAGAGTGCGTCGTGGGAATAAAATACATGAGGAAGAAGTCAGAGTTCCTTTCTTTATGCGGAACAAGTCAGGTCCACGTTGAAAGCATACCAAAAACATATACGAAATTTGCATTCAATGAATGTGCCAAAATTTCTGCCCTTTTGAAGAGGAACTTTCTCCTTCATTTTAGACAGCCTGCGTAAGTATTGAGCTTAATCACTCTTAAAATTACAGTTTTAATTTGTTTTCATAATAATGTTCACATTTCTTTAGATTTGTCGTAGTGCAGCTATTTATTCCTGCCTTGCAAATCCTTATTTTTAACTTGATCATGGGATCGGAACCATACGGAATAAAAATTGGAGTGGTGAATAATGACATCCCAATGGGCATTGATAACCAAACTTTCCTCGACCATTGCAGTCATCAAAATGCAAGACCCAACTCCTCGTGTTTTGGGGGAGATCTTAGCTGCTCATATTTCAAAATGTTTGAGAAAGATCAAGTTGATTGGGTAAGCTCGTGGAAAATTAATGGAATTTATATCCCATCATGTCCTACACGTTAATTTTATGTTAGCGTCCTGTCCGCTCCGAGTCTGAAGCACTGGAAAATGTACATCGAGGGGAAACAATGGGATTTCTCACAATTCCAAAAAATTTCAATAAACAAATGCAAAACAAACTGTTACATAAGCAGTTCGCGTCAAACGAGTCTCTTCTGGGATCCACAATTCACATTCGTCTGGATTTTTCCAATAAGCTGAGCAGCTCGTATCTCATAAAAGAATTTCACGAACGCTTCCTTCTTTTCATTCAAGATGTTGTTGCTGGATGTGGGGAAGATCCACGCCTAGTTACCCTGCCTTTAAAGGTAACATGTTCATGTAAAACTTAAGCGGCATAGAAGCAGTGTGTACAAGCATAATTATTTCTCAGATGAGGATAATTTTGCATATTCATATTTGGTATATTTATATTTTCCCATAAGGTGAACGCCGTTTATGGTTCTGTGCAAGGGGGATGGCCGGAATTCTTCCAGCCTGCATTCATCCTCTGGATAATTTTTCTAATTCCAACGGCATTTGGGATTTTGTATGTAGCCGACGTGAAAGCTGGCACACTTGACCGGACTTTGACCGCCGGCGTTAAATATTATCACTTGCTGATCTCCATCCTTATAAGTGAAGGAGTTATGACACTTGTCCAACTTGGGCTTTGTTTCATCGTTTTACTCTTCGGTTTTAATTTTCAAGTTGTTGGCTCTTTATCCTTGACCATTTTTCTCTGCTTTTTGATGGGCATGATTGGAGTTACGCTAGGTAAAATTTGTTTAATCCTCCACATAAGTAATTCGTGCGTAGTGAGAAAATTACTCAATTCGCAGGATTATTTATCGGAACTATTTGCAACCATGAGATGGAAGTTATAATGGCAGTTGCGTCAATTTATATGATAACAATTCCCGCAAGTGGTAAGTAAATCTAGATTCATCAAAGTGGGAAGAAAATGCATAAATTGGCTGTTGTAGGAGGGGTTTGGCCATTGTCATGCATTTCACGGTGGTATCGAGTTGTGAGCTATCTCGTCCCTGTGACCGTCCCCTTGGAAGCGATACGATCCGTTGTGAACCGCGGATGGGGGTTAACGGACCCAATTGTCTGGGAAGGTCTGTTGGTAATGCTGGGATGGATATTTATATGTTGCCTCCTAAGTGCAATTTTCCACAAACTGAGACATTAGTAAAAAATATATTCAAGTATTTCATTCTAAAGTACTACCTCATGTTTTGTATTCTACTGATATATTGCTTTGAAGTAAAGAAACCATAATTGTATAATAAAGTGCACACGATTGTTTATTATGACATGGAAAAATATGGGACGAAAGATGGGGAGTTTTTAAGTATATGCATACAAATGTAGTACGAAGATTGCCTTGAGATTTTATAATCATATTTTACAATGGTTTATTTTATTCGTGTCCAGTTCGGTCACACTAATGTGAAAGCTTGTGCACAACATACGCATTCCTACATACATTCATATCACTTCAAGATAATGAATTCTACTTAAATATATGTACGTACTATGCATGCACATAGTTGGTTTAAGAATCCAGTTTTCCAATCTCGTCGTATTATCACCGGGGGGACATTAGCATAAAGCTGGTTTTAGTTGTTTTACTAATCTTCAGTCAGGCTGACAAGGTCAGACGACGGTGCAGTATTGTTGAGAGTTAAATTGCGATTATTACAATGTTACATCTACATCCATTGGATCCCTTGACCTCCGATGAGATTTCCCTTTCCTCCAGAATCATTCGAAATAACAAACAAAGCCCCCACGGATGGATTTTCAACTCGGTCATTTTGATTGAACCTCCAAAGTCAGAGCTGGCCCCAAGATTATTGAGTAATGATTCGTTGAACGGTGTTTTTCCTCGAAAGTCGTTCACATTATTGATTGAGCGAGGAACAGGAAAGGTTTTTGAGGTGGTGGTGAACTTGACCTCTGGGGTCGTGGAAAAGTTTGATCAAGCGAAAACAGGTCAGCAGCCAACCCTGAGTCCCGAGGACTGTTTCGAATCGGAAAAAATTGTCAAGGAGAATGCAGAAGTGCAAGAGAGATGCAAGAAATTGGGATTGGATAACATGGAGCTAGTAACGGCAGATCCATGGTTAACATAGTGCACAAATTATCCATACGAATTATTAAACGAATTATTTATAATAAATACTTTTACTTTAACAAACTTTCCAGGTCTGTCGGCTACAATGGGGAACCAGAATTTGAAAATATAAGGCTTGTTCAGCTTTTCATGTATTCCAGAAACTTTGCTGGGGATAACCACTATGCTCATCCACTAAACTTTGTTGTTGGTATGTCGTGGAACTCGTTATGTTTCTTAATTAAAGAATGCTGTATGTACATAATACTTACAATGATTTCTGTTAATGCAGTTGTGGATTTAATTGCTGGCAAAGTTATTTCAATCGATGACCTTCCAATTCACAATGACTTTACTCCACAGAAGGATGACAATATTAAAATTCCAAGAGCTATAAATAATTATGATCCAGAATTCTTGCCAGAAAACTTTATGAGAAAAGATTTGAAACCTTTGGAAGTCCATCAACCCAAAGGTCCAAGTTTTTCTGTAATTGGGAACGAGATTTCTTGGCAAAAATTCAGGATTCGAATTGGGTAAAAATACTATTTGTACATAAATAGATTTAGTAATTTGTATATTTTTGTGTTGCGCAGTTTCAACTATCGAGAAGGACTTGTTCTTTACGATGTCCGATACCAGGACGGGGAAAAATTACGTCCACTTATTTATCGGGCATCGCTTTCAGAAATGGTGGTGCCATATGGTGACCCTCGCCCTCCATTCCACCGAAAATGTGCCTTTGACATAGGTATATATAGCTTTGGTACATACTTATATAGGTATAGAGGTATATATATATACCTTTGATATGATGATTTTTTGAGGTGACTATGGACTTGGATTTTGTTCCAATTCCCTCGAGCTTGGATGTGATTGCTTGGGAACAATAAAATACTTTGATGGAATACTTAATACACATGATGGCGAACCAACGACAATTAAAAATGCCGTTTGCTTGCATGAAGAGGATGCTGGGACTCTGCACAAGCATACCGAATACAGAACTGGAAAGGCTGTCGTTGCTCGATCCCGGAGATTGGTCATAAGCTTCGTCGTGACCGTCGTCAATTATGAATATGCATATTACTGGTCGTTCTACCAGGATGGGAGCATCAATTTTGAAGTGAAAGCAACTGGAGAATTGTCAACCAATTTGCTTGCAGATGGAGCAGATTCTGGTGAATTTGGAACAGTGATATTTCCCAATGTGATTGGACAATTCCACCAGCACATTTTCTGCATGAGGATTGATCCCATGTTTGATGGATTGCTCAACTCTGTGGCTGTGGGAGATATTCGAGCCCTTGCACAAGGGACAAAGGAAAACCGGTACAATAATGGATTTACAGTCGGTACGTAATTTCTATTTTTTTACCATAATTATGAATTAACTTAAATATGTATTGTGAATACATTGATGGAAGTTACATATTTAATATTCCTTATCAGACGAAAAAGTGTTTAAAACTTCAAAATCCTCAGTTACGGATGTAAACTCTTCTACTTCAAGATACTGGAAGATTTTGAATCCTTCGTCCATCCACGCTTACACCAAGAAGCCAGTCGGATGGAAACTAATTCCTTCTTCAGGTTCTTTCCCTGGGCTCTTGGCAGGACCTGAGAGTTACATCAGAAAACGTGCTGGATTTGCTACACATTCCGTCTGGGTTACGAAACAAAGAGATGACGAGCTGTTTGCAGGTGGTCTGTACATCAACCAAAGCAAGGGCGGAAACGGTGTCGCAAAGTGGGTGGAACGAGACGAGAATATTTGTAACGAGGATGTCGTGCTCTGGCATTCTTTTGGCGTTACGCACATTCCAAGAGCTGAAGATTTTCCTTTAATGCCAATGGAGACGACTGGTTTTACACTCAAACCCTTGAATTTCTTTCTCGGCAACCCTGGAATTGATGTGCAACCTCCTTCAAAATCATCAAACAAGAGCAAACTGGCGGACAAATGTTGTGAGAGTGGACGTAAGTAAGTTCTGATGAATTGATTTGAAAATAAAATACAAGACATAACTTTGTTAACAATTGTAGATATTTAATACACATTTTAAACCGTTGAACCACTTGTATTTAATAAATAAAATTCGTCAATCATATACTTAACAAAAAGCACTATACTTTCACGATTAGGAAATAACGACGAGTCAGCTTTCACACCAATGACTAAGCGACCATTATAATTTACTGCGTTACACATTAAACCAATCCTTTTTAACTGCAGTCCAGTTAGGATATTAAAATGGGTTGCTTCGGATCCAAAAAATTTGAAGGGTTTCGAACTATATAAGAAATTTGATAAAATGGCAGTTCCAAAATTCCCAACTGAGCAAGCACGACGTGTGAAGCCAGAGACGAGACCCACGGCCAAGTTGACCAAGAGCATTCCCAGCGGTAAGCTAGATTTCTGAAGAGAGCTGAACGTTTCAGAAATTAAGTTCAGTCTTTGTTCTGAATCATGTACGTAAATCGGAGCTGGAATTGTGACACACGTTCTGGAAATTGAAATTTGTTTTTTTATACCGTGAAATTTTCACTGCTTACATATTTGCATAATAAGATTTTTATTGTCGATATAATCTTACAAGTGATTTGTGAGAATTCCTGGATGACCGATTCGAGGCCAAGGGTACAGTATTGTAACCGACTTTCTCAATTCTTTGACCTCTTGACGCATCATCATTGTCTTTCTCACGGCGGATGTGAAGCCTGAAAATATGATGGCACTGATGCTCTTGCTGTGCAATTTCGCCGTCTCCTTGAGCACATCTTGACTAATTTCGTGATAACTTTCATATTGAATCAGCGTTCCGGTCATTTTTCCCTCTGGAATTGTCCACTGATTGACATCAAAGCCTTTCAGAGCTACAACTATTGTTTGCACCGGAGTTACGAAAACCAACTGGAGAAGAAGCAGTAACTTTTCTCTGTAACCGACGACAGGTGTTTTAGAGAAGGAAACTCGCTTCTCCACGCCATCATCAGGACATGGATCCGCAATGTTCTTCACCAATCCGACAAGTGCAAATGCATCTGCAAGACTGTGATGAATCCGAATTACCAGGGCGGAACTGGAAGATGTCTCTTCATTCTTGTAGTTCGGAAATGCTGTGATTTCCCAGAGAGGTTGGTCCTGTTTGAAAGGCTTAACTACAAAAGATTCCAACTTGCTGCGGAAATCTCCAGGGTCCGTTGAAGGGTCAAAGAAGACATGGTTGCATATGGAGAATTGGGGGCAGTTTGCCCAGAAGTAGGTGCACATCCAGCGAGTTAGTGTCTGTTTCAACTCTGGATACTGCAAAAATATTTACATATTTACATACTGCAAATAAGTAAATATATGTAAATATAGAGTATTGTGGAGATATAATTATTTTTTACTTTGCTCGATTCCAATAATTTTGCAACTCTTTCCAACAGTTTGTCCACACATAGTTTTTCTTTAAGATAAAATACAGCTACCAAACTACACCTCGGCTTCCCATAAATGTCATCAATGGCCGTGTGGCAACTTGTGATAGATAATGGAGAACCCAAATTATTATTGACCTTGGCAGTTTGCACTGCAAAAATCCGAATGATCAAAAGGGGTAAAATCACCCCAAGCAGAATCGCAGGTACGAGTGTAAAAAGGAGAAAAATTGATACGAAAATCAGTCCTATATCCAGAAAGAGTGTTTTCAGACGATAAAGTTTGGCCATGATTTCTACTGCAGAAAACAGAAAAGAAAATTGTTCACGTTCACTTCACATCTCGATCTCTATTTTGACTAATTTATTAACATTCATGTTTTCGATATCGTCTCAAATTCATCATCGCATTTTGAATGTTTTGCCAGCTTATGAAAGCTTATGAAACGTGTGTGTGGGGATCGCGTAACTTCATAATGAACATAATTGAGCTTACCTGTCTCATGCATGCCTACTATTAAATTTGGGTGTTGGGGCTCAGACACAGCACAAATGCAAAATAGAAAGTTAGATTTCCGGTTTTCTTGGCTCTAGTGAACTTGCCAAAGGTGTATTTACGACAAATGATACTGACTGACAGGCAACCTTACAGTACCTATTTCGCATATCGTAAAGTGCAGCTGCATTTTTTCTTGCATAAATAAAAGTCATGAAGCAAAATCAATCATGATATCCTTCATTTTTTTCTAGGTAAAGAAACATGTGTAATTAATGGAAACAAAGATGAGCATGAGAAGCACTATCACTCTTGTTAGAAAATAAATAATTCTCCTCAAGCATTATTGGACTACTTTTATGAAATTTGCAATATGAAACCGCTAAATGGCATACGTACACTTATTAAAGCTGGAAACTGGAGCAGAATATTGCGTAATCGTTATAATTAAAATACTAAATTTATAATAATTTGTAACCACAAGGGAAAATTAGTGCTTGTGGTATTTATGGATAGCAATAAATGGTATGAAGAAGCCAAAACTGTTGATTTTTGTAGAATACACACTCCAGCAACTTCCTTGTCTTTTGAGTATGCAGTTACTATTTTTTTTACAATATGAGAGAATTTCTACTTTCAGAATTGCACTCGGTAATTTGCAACTCGTTTTCATCCTTTCTACTTCTACTTCTTTATTCTTGTGCCTGGAGCGATTATGGTTTTATATCAAAATGTTTAGTATGGACAGTTATTGTACAAAGCATTTCAAATGAGGTTCAACATGGGATGAATAAGTCCACCGACAAAGTGCATCGGAATACTTTACAAAGAAGCAAAATTGTATGATAAACACAAATTTCTAAAAAAAATTAATTAAAATACTGTGTGAAATAATATAATTACATTTTTCAGTTTCTGGCAAACGTCTATTTATTTCTAATGTTCGAATGGATTATGTTTTACACTGATATCTTCCTCGTGACCGGAATGACTCTACAGTTTGCAATATTTCAACTAAAATTTCGAGAAGCAATGGCTCTCCTGCTGCATCAATATTTCGAATTTACAAGTCTAGTGTGTAAAGGTAGAACGCTTGTCGCGCTTACACAGTTAATATTTTTATGAGATGAATTTACCAATGGTTCATTATAAAGAATTAAATTGTAATACGTACAAGCAAATAAAAGTACAAAATGTAATAATATATGTTTTAGTTGAGTATGCAATTCCATTTTAAGTATAATTTATTACAGGATAACTTACTAATTATTAAAGTTTTTAATGAATTAAAAATATTTCACTACCTAACAAACACATGCATGCATATGTAATGAAGATAGGTCTGAACCTGATCAAATAGTTAACAGGTCAAAAATTCAAGATTTGCAGGATTGCAAGAATATTTTTTACCAGCCACATTATAGACGGCTTCACCATTTTGAAAATATCCAGGAATCCAAGAGGTATTTGCCCCATTTCCACCATGAGCGTGTCGGCATCGAATGACAAGGACGTCACTCCCACTGCTTGATCTTCCACCAACAACAACTTCTCGTAGTGAATCAATGCTTCTTTTCCACATCAGATTGGCATTGTGACGATTCGTGAAGACGTCAATGTCGTCCCCACTGTACACATATTCAGCTCCCCAACGTGCATAATAGCACGACTCGAATTTGAGGTTGTAAGTCCCCAGCAGGTCAGTGGCGTCGACCCTCACACGACATCCAAAATAAGTGGACCCGTCAGCATGAGTCCCCATAACGAGTAAGTTGCTGAGGCCAGACTTTTTGTTCACGTAGAATGATGCAGGATTAGAGCAGACTGTCAAATGAGATAAATATAATCAGAAACTTAAAAAATAAATACATAATAATTGGAAATTCAATTAAATATAGGCATGTCTCACTCACCAGCTTTATCTTCATTTTGAGATGCATTCAATTTCTCCAAGCGAATCTCCATTTTCTCCAGAGTTTGGTTCTGTCGTGTCTCAATTTTCTCCAGAGTTTGGTTCTGTCGTGTCTCAATTTTCTCCAGAGTTTGATTCTGTCGTGTCTCAAACCGGTTCAGCAGGTCCATCGCTTTGGAGATGTTATTCTGGAACATTTCGAACGTTGAAACCGTCTCGTTAAGGTAATCCGTGAGTGCCACCTTGTCTTCTTTGCCAATTGAATCTGATGCACTTTCAATGGAACTTGATCTTTCGATGAAAATTAGCCCGATAAACATAACGGCTAAAATCGCCCACATGATGTACAGAAGAGGGTCTCGTTTTTCCACCATGGCCGAAAATTCACCCTTATTTTTGATGATACAATGCATTTCAGATATAAAGGGGGTGGTTTTTTTTGCTAGGGATCAATTCTATCTGAAATTTATTTTCAATAAATGTAAACTTTAGAGTGAGACAAGGAGAACCATGCAAGCACGAGGATAGAAGGCCATGGAATAAAAATGAAGACGCGAGTGACTAAGATGTCAAGGATTATTTCGCGTACCTAAAAGACATATCATATTATTTACAAATTGCAAATTTCATGTGAACATTGTGAAGTAGACAGTTCTAATGGATTTGCAGAAATATGAGGGTCAGTTAAGTAGCAAAGCAATAATCTTAGGAGAAGAATTGAAATGGTTTCATGTTTCAATCTGAGGATCTTGAGTCTTACTCAATTAGGTACATATTTAAATACATATGTACAGCATGGTTGTGATATTTAAATACTGAAATATTATGACACAGAGTTAGCAAGTGTCAGACTAATTCAGATTATGCATGTATCGACATATTTACGTACGTATCATTAATTTAATGCGTTCGTTAAAATAATATTTCCTTCTGTCTATCCATATTTTCATTTAAAATATTTTTATTCCAAACCAGAAAGATTAGAAATAATTGATTCGTGGAATATTAAACGGTAAATACGTATGCATTTAATTATAAACAGGAAATGTCACTATTATTTATACGTTCTCCAGTACGAAAATAAATACGAATGAGCAACAAAAGCACTTAATAATTGTTTACATATAATTTCCGGCATAACCGAAAGCATGACGCCATACTTAAATTTAAAAATGTTATCAAAATTATCACTCTTGTTCATATTTTCAGAAATATACTTAATTATCACGGTCAAATCATCGTCACAAAAGTTCTATGAATCATTAACCCCGGCCTTGGGCCTAGAGAAAAACGCATCAATACAGAAAATTACAAAATATTATGAAAAATTATACTTGCGCCTGCACTCGAAAGATTATGGATTTGCCAAGTTTGGAGAAAGTTGTGAAGTTTCCACAGTGGATGAAATCGAAGATCATTTGGACATGGGGTATGGCATTATAAGAGGTAAAAACTAACGTAACTTGAAACTTATTGCTGTCCATAAATCCCATGTCAAATCATGTTTCATGTACATGTAACACAGACCAAGAAGAGGATGGCAAATATCGTCGAGCAGTAGAACAACATCTCCACCCGAAACTGCGTGAATTTTATTATCGTTCTAAAACATTCTGTGATTTTAGGAAACTATTAATTTGTGACTCAACGACACATGAATGCATTTGTGCCCATCCATCTCTAGGCGTCGGAAGAAATGAGACATGTCAAATCAATATAGGGAAAAGATGTGACCTAAATTCCACTCAATTGATCCCTGTCGGAATCCCATCATTACCAGAACATCCAATAACCATTAATTGTATTAGTCAAGCTGAATGCGTATCAAGTTTCGGAGTTGCGACGAAACTATGCAGATGTAAAAAGGGGTACTTTGGGGCAGGATGTAAACCATCATTACAACATACGTGGCCTCGTAAAAATATGAAGCAAAGTGGGAGGGGCATTACGGGGGCCAGGTCCATGTCTGGAAATAATAAAGAAATGACAGAATATTTTCTCTACCCGGTAAGTGCAATGTAATGCATGCAATGTAGAATTTAAATAGCAAGTTTAATTCTGGGGAAATCAGACTGAAACGCTTTATCAATAAAACATTTGGATGAATTCAACAATGTGCAACCTTTGGAACGCTGATGCAAATGTGACATCAGCATTTCAAAGGTCAAGGGATTCAAAATACATAGATGTAGTTTTCATATGTATCTCGCCTCTCATGTGTGTCCAAACCATATTGTGTGCAGGAGAAGATCACGAAGGGGAAGAGAGGATAGGAATGAGGAGCACAGAATGATGCCTACGTCATCATGATCATGAGGGCGTAGTTTGTGCATATGTAGCGTAAGTAAAGGTAGTGATCAAGTAGGCGTGGCTTATGTGATCACGTATATATAGAGTAAGCAGAGAGAGAAGAAGAGAAGAGTGTAGTTTTAGATTCAGGATCAGCAGGTTTAGTTTTAGTGATCATCAAGATCAAGTTCAAGGTTTAAGGCTTCGGAAACTTAATAATAAGTTCCTGTCTAGATAATTAGTTAAAATTTAAATAATAGCATTAGCTCTCCCACGTATTTATAATACGAGCATTTCTGTAAATTCAATATTTTTCAGTCGGTATTGATGTAAATAAATTTAATCATAATTCTTATAAAAAAGTGAGTTTCTACTACAAGTTTATTGCACAACGACACAAAGAAAAGGGGCATCCGCGAAAGTGGATGTGAATCAGGACACGCAATCCCATAAAAGAATAGGGAGCGTTACAAATTGGTGCTACGAAACCCTTAGTAATAAAAAGTGCAATAATAAACTTGGAAATCCTTCGCGATAAAAAGTGCGAAGGGTAAAAACAGTGAGTTTGTGAACAGTTTTGAGTCGTTGGCAGCGGAAAGTGTGTTTTACGTATTAAATTACATATTCCTTCACTTCCTGCATGGTGCAACGACATCCGACATCATGGGAATGCTGACTCAACTCTTTGGTTTCGTCGACATGACCGGACTCACCAACCTCAAGGGAAATGTGACCTCAGAGGCAACAGCGCCCCTCGTAGCGTCATCATGGTGGTATGGGGGATTTCTCTTCATGATGGAAGTATTTGGAATCGCTGCGGTCCTCCTCTTGCTCGGTGTCCTGGTGAACAGTCTGGTAACAAAGTATATTTTGCCTCACTTACCTTGTTGGATGATTCCACGTTTTGAATTTGTGAATGCGGATCGTCGTCGTAAAAAAGTAGGTAACCAGTTAAACGTTCTGAATAGGGATATCGAGATCATTTTTGCCGCCCAGAACAAAAATCATGATCAATTTGTAAGAATTAGACGCATTTTTGATTCGTTAACCTCTGAAATTGCTCAAATTTTCATTCTAACGAGTAATCATCAAAATTCCCAACTTGGTGAGCAAACCGATGCATTGTGGCGTCGGGTGAATAGCCTAGAAGTTAGGGTCAAGCAACTTTTGTTGGAATTCGATATTCGTTGTGAGAATAGGCACGAAGCAGTAGGACAATTGGTATCGCAACAGGCAGCTTTGCATAATTCTTCCTCTCCTGATCCTATCCTTACCGGCCTTATTGGTTATGACTACCCGTACCCTCAACAGTCAAATATACCCTTCCAGGAATATGTAGATGAGAAGATTAGGCACCTCGGTGAACAAATAGGAAGGTACAGGAACCATTTAGCATCCTGCATAAAAAGCAATTATGCTATTGTGGAAAAGGAAATGGGAAACTTCCAGAACCACATGAAGTCATCATTTGAAGACGAGGTCACTTGGATTCATGAACAATTGACGAGGATGCAAACTACCATAGATAAGCAAGACCAAACTATTCAAGCTCAGTCCAGCATCATCAATGAGTTCATCCATGCAAATTCAAGGGTTCAAACTCCTTCCAAGGAGATGATACCCACGCTACCAAATCAAGATGACCCCTCATCCTGCGTTGAGCTTCGTGGCGTCCCTCCACCACCACAATTCTTGTCTTGTCCTCCACCACCGCAATTCTTGTCGCATTCTCCTCCACAGGTCAATAACCCTCCAAATGAGAACAAAGAAGATGCCATTCCAGCGTGGTGCATTTCTCGCCCCAGATTCATGGAGCGGAAAGATGAAGAAATCCCAATAGATCCTTCCGATGCAATCATGCAAACTCGTTCTTCATCCTCAGGACCTGTACTATTTCATTCGGTAGGCAATATTCCTCTACCCAAATTTAACCCGAACATTGATTCTGCTGAAAATTTCATCATGGAATTGGAGAATCACATGGAACGGAAGCGCTTTCTTCGGAAAGATTGGATACTATCACTGCCTGCAGTCTTCAATTAAGACCCCAATCAATCATTATGGTGGCAACGAACAAAGCTTTTCGCTCGTACATGGGACGATTTTAAAAAACATTTCATCACCATGTATGCATCGGATTCTGATCTTCATGCTGCTCTGGAGAAATTACTTTTACGTCGGCAGAATGACAACGAACCTTTCCAGAAGTTCGCCTTCGAGATGGACCTCCAGTACCGGAAAGTGAACCGAATGACAACGAACAACAAAGAAGCAGAAATTGTCACCTTCATTGCAGAAAGAGCTCTCCCGTACTTGAAAGCAAATCTCCTCGCGAGTCGTGCTGCAACAGTTGTGGACCTCATCAACTATGCGTCAAAAATTGAGCGTCCTTTGCAAGAACAGTCCCACAACGGTAACAAGTACAAATCTTGGCAAAAAGGTGAGAAGAAAGTTGAATCTCATCAAACAAATTCTGCAAATTCGGGAAAGAAGACTCCACCACCTTCAAATAGACAACAACAACAACAACCACAACAGCAACAACAACAAGTGGCACCTTTCCGGCAACAAGGTCGACCGAAAGTGTGTACATTTTGTCCCCATTTAAGCAACCATACCACCCAGCATTGTCGTCGTCGTCAACAACCTCAAGTGAATTGTGGTCAAGGGAGTGATCAACACTCTCAGCGTCAACAATCGTCACAAGATGCGACGGGAAACGGGAGGAGGGAGTAACCATCCATGGATTTGTGGTTGCTCATCCTCTAATTCAAGATCCCAATCGACTAATTCCTATCCTTTCTATTACTTTCCCCTCCTGTAAATTAAATGCCTTAGCGGATACGGGTTCTACGATTTCAATTGTAACTTTAAAGTCGCTTAGGAAAGTATTAGGGAAAGGATTTTCTGTAAATAAATGGGTAGAAGGACCAGTTATCATGCTAGATGGTACTGAGTCTCTTCCTTCTGGTATGGTTACCTTAAAATTTAATTTAAATGATCGTGAATACACTCACACATTCGCTGTTATGAATAGTTCGAATGAAATGCTATTGGGTATGGACTTTCTTCATAATTGTGGGTTAGTGTTGGACATAGGGTCACTTGAATGGGGTTTTTCAGACTCCTTTCCAAGTCAAAAGTCCCCACTCACAGTTAGTAAAGTTAACGTCTCCAATTGCAATTTACAATTAGTGAGTGAATTTGAATCCGACCAACTGAAGGAGCTTATCAAAAAG